TTACGAATGTCACGAAGAAGCCCCCCCCCTGGCTGAAAAAAAAGCAAGCCAATAAACATGTGGCTGGAAGAAAGCGCAACAAGAAAAAAAAATGAAAGATGAAGGTGCGAGTAGTAGCGTCTATCGGCTCCCATTGTCTCCGTCGCATTTGCATATTCTGAGCAAGATCTATGAACTTTTGGTGTGATCCACAAGCGTTTCGTCTCCCAGTGTATTAATTTCAGCAATTTGTTTTTTTTTTGCGATCATCACGTGTGTTTATTCAATCCGGTTGGGATTGAGTTCGCCGGACCACCGAAAGAAACTCCCTTGGCCGGCGGCCGGGTTTCCCATCGCTTAATCTTATGCGCAATCTTCCCACGCTCTCAATGTCGCGCGGCAAAGAAAATACCTAGTTTCGGTCGAAATTGAATTGAACTTGCCGAAATGAATATGTGTCGGTCTATTCTCACTTCCGCATTTATTTTTGTGGGCCAACAATTCGATTATTTGGCTTCATCGAAATTGTCGACAGCATTCAAATTCGACATTTCTGAAAATTATCGTTGTATACTATTTTTGAAGGATTGAAAAACAATATGCGCCTTGAATTACTGTATCCTAACCATATTCTCCCAAAACCCACTAATATAGCTTTTTTTGGGTAAAACTTTAGATATGAAAACTACCGTACTCGCGTAATTTCAATTTTTTTAAAATTGGCAATTTGCCAATTCAAAATTGAAATCCCAAAAAAAGAGTATTCAATCGTTGATCTCTGAAAAAACGGATTTTCGCGTCGAGACATTAAATGCCATACTATTCCATAAATAGACGTCTTATTGCTATCACATGCCCACTTACCGTAATTAGAAAAAAAAAATCGAGCTCGCGTCCTCCGCATAAGTAAGTAGATCAAAATCATTTTGATCTATGACACACTATATTGCCTCGTCATTTTGTTTAAGTCGAGATTATCGCCGAACATTATTGTCCTTTTGACGCTGATTCACAAAATCTCCCAATTTTTTGAATTCTCACCTTTCTTACCGTTTCATTTTTCAATACAATTGTCGATGTGGAAATAGTAGGCGAGTTGGAGAGAGTCTAGAGAAAAGCAGAAAGAGTTTTTCAAGGGTTTCCTCAATTCTTGATATTGGCTCAAGTTCAAATTATTATTTTTTATTGTTATTGTTTCACATGGGCGTAATGCGATGATTGCCACGTGGCATCCTTGGGGTCTCACCACATTTTGCCATCAAATCTCATGCGCCTTTGTGGTTTTTTTTTTGTGGCGATTCCAAAAAAAAAATGCTTTCGAAAATTTCGCCTCGACAATAAAAAATTCTTAAGAAATTGAGAACAATTGAATAAATGCTGAAAATTAATTTTTTTATGGAAAACAAGAATTTATACGCATTTTTTTTTGCGCTCTCTCTCTCACTCGTTTTAATTTTGTTTTCGTCATCCTCATCATTTTGTAGGCGTCGGGTCTCGCCACGAAATTCGAATTTTCTCGACGGCGCCACCCCGTTCGATTTTATTGTTATTGTTAGTCAGTTCTTTTTGTGTGCGTGTGCCTACGTGCCAAATTTGGATAAAACAAAACCCCATTAGATTAGAATAATTGGTAATAAGTCAAGTTGTAAGCAATTTCAGCCTAAAAATGAGCGGAAGAAAAACCGCGCCAGCGATATTCCAGCTTTCCCATTTTCCCGGTGGGTATAAGCTGAGATTTTCAAAATTTAGGGTCCCAATTTTTTTTCTTGTCATTTTCTCAACGTTCACTTAAGCAAATCCAATTACCTACTTATATATTGCCTGTCTACCTCAATAATTCTAGTATTCTCAATTTTTGCTTAGTGATTTTCGCTTTGAGATATTCTTGGAAGCCGATAATTCCAAGACAATGCCCGGGGATTTACTCGAAGACTTCCTGAACTCGCAAAAAAAAAAACATTATAGTTTAAGAGAGCGTCCTCGTGACGACGATGAATCATTGCATGCGCCTTTAAAAATGTCTTAGCGATTTACCTCGAATTAATTGCTTTCCAATAATATTTCGCAAGGCTCTCGAAGCGAACGCACGCTACAATTTTCATTTTTTCATTGCAAATTATCAAAAATGTGGAATGAATCAGTTTTTTGCCTTCAAAAAAAGGTTGCCGTCTAATAAATAACAAGAGAATCATCCAACTAAATTAAATAATTGAATGGAACAAAATGTGTGCTTTTCGCTTGGCTCAAATCCATTGATATTTAGCGTATAGGTGAAAGTGCTCGGGATTTTCTCTAAAAAATTTGCTCTTCTTTTTTTTTGGTCGTTCAAAGACTGAAAATCCAACTGATTTCTTATTTTCGCTACAATTATTCGAATTTCTAATTTTCTGACGATTCAATGAATATTCTTTTAAAATCTCAATTGATGTTTCATTTTTTTCAAAAATCACTTTCTAGTTATAAAAAATATTTCAATTTTTTATTGCGAAAATTCCTATTTTCATTGAAAGGAGCGATTTACGTGAGGTGTTGGGCAAATGCGCTCCACTGCACTTTTCTTTAATTTTCAAATTTCATTCATTTTTTTGAGCTTTAATCCGCTTTTCTCGATCATTTTCTGATTTTTGTCCATCCAAATTTTCATTTATATTATGATGTTTCTTTATTTACATGATATTTGATTTGATGTTGATGGAAACAGGTGGAAACGAGTTGAGACCACACACTTGTTTGTTTGTTTTTGCTCGACCCATTTCATTTAAACTTTAATACGTTTTTAATAAAAATGAGGAGCGTTATAAACATTAATATAGATATATTTTCAGCGAGTCAGCCGAAATTTGATATTTTTTGTTTCGGTGGCATCAATCGACCGACTTCCTGAGCTCAAACACCCATTGTGTTCAACCAGTGATCAAAATGTTTCATTTCTCGATGCTTCTTTATGTTTTGATTTGGAGTTCATCCCAAGAATCTCTTTCGAATCGGAAAGAAATGTCCGAGGCGATTCTTCGAAACCAAAGAAGGGAGCGATTCCAATTTTGAGAAACGCGCTCCACACTAATTATTACTTTTGATTTCATGTTTCAAACATCAACTTGTTTGGAGAAGTTGATCCTAAAAAATGTGTCCCTAAACGAAAAAAAAAATGTATTGGGATCCTCAAAATCGAATTGGTCCCGCAAATAGATACCGTGGTCCATATATGTACTCGAGGCAACAATTTGATTACGAGTAAGGTTTCGGACCTTTACTGTGGGGGTCTATCATTCATTTCCCCGTTCAAAGTTTGGACAGGGCCTACCGTACCCCTGTGACCCCAATCAAACACTAATTAGTAGCATTTTCTACGTATCGAATTAATTGCTTTCTTATTATTCGCCTTAAACCAGAGAAGCATATTTTTCCTGTCGAGAGTGCATGCGCCTTTAAAATGATTCCATCCCGTTTTCTTCCAGAATCCTTTAATTATACCTCCTCGGTGTCTTTAAATAGTTAGTGATATAAAAAATTACAAAAAATTGTTTTGAGATGTCCGAATTAAATTGGAGGCGTTTCAAAAAATGGATTTTTGAAGAAAAAAATGAAAATTGCATTTCCCCGCTCGCCCCGCATCAAAACTCGGCATGTGTGCGAAACGAAGAAGCGAATGTTGGCGGAAAAAAATTGATGATGAAGAAGAAGAAGAGATGAGTTTCTCGAAATTAACTCAACAATCGAGCAAAAATCGTATTTGTTTTATTATTTTTGTTTGTTGTTGCTTAAATTTTGCCGGAAACCCGACAACACACGAGATTACGAGTTGTGCCAGGAATTTTTTTTGTGACGACGCCTTTGTTTGGGAGCACGTCGGATTTTGTCGGCGGCGAGCCTTTGGACTCGCTCGTCGTGCAAAAAGCTGACGATCATCATCATCATCATCACGGGGAATATAATGTGTCAGCTCGAACAGACAGAATGGGTGGGAGAAGAAATAAGGGGCGAGAATGCGAATGCACGTTTTTTTTTCTAATTCTCAAGGGGTCCCTCCTACGTGTGTCCATCATCGTCATCGGCGGCCCTTCGAATAAGGTGGTGGGTCCCAACGATTTGATATCAAGATTTAGTTGCTTGCTATGAAGACCCCCCCTCTCCAATTCTATAAGCTAGCCCAGATTTTTATCGCTTTGAAACCCATTATTAAAGTTTTTTATTTGTTTGAAGCTTTACCAATTTACCTAAAAAACTTTAAAATCATTTGAATCGCTTCAAGACCCATTTCTCGTCTTTCATCCCTTTTCATTCCAATTTTGGCCAACACAAAACCCATTTATGTGGTTCTTTGGAAACAAAATGGACCATAGATTATTCATCTCGAAAATGTCTCAATTCGCAACTCTTAAATTGTAGATCAAAAATTGAATAGAATTAAAACGCTAATTCTGGAGGTTAGCGCACATTTTTGTCTGTTCGCCGATTAATCCCGACATTTATAAAATCTTTGCTTTTTTCTATTTAAAGCATATACATATTGGCTATGTTGAAATGAGGGTCTCGTTTGGAAAAAAAATAATTTGCGAAGGCGCTGGTGGCGAATTGCCAAATTTTATATAATCGAGCATTTTTCTTCAATTTCAATCCTCTATGCCCTCAATCGTTGCGAGACCATTCGCCTACTGTAGCATTAGTGGAGCTTCATATCATTTTTTTGGGCTAAAAAAAATCCACAATTTGATTATTTGATTGCAGTATTTTCATAAATTAAATATACTTTTTATTTTTCGATTTGTGCTTTAAAGGAGCATTGAAGATTATTTCAAATAGATTTTGAAACCAAAAAAAGCACCTCGAATGAACTAGTTGAACCATGTACACGTCGAGAATGTCATATGCACTCGTCCTCCTAGCACCAATGATTATATGTATTGAAATGAATAATCGCCACCATCCACCATCACCACCAAAAGAATTATTCAATCTTGTCTGCTCTTATTTTTTAGTCCGCGACAAGAATTCTGAAATAATTTCGATTTTCCAGAGAAATGGAGCGCTACGAGTTCTACGCGATGAAATCCTGGTTCTACGTGCCGGTGATTCTCATCGGCCTTCTCGGCAACTTCGCCAGCTTCCTCGTCTATCGAACGACGCCGATGCGCAAATCCACCGTCGGCACACTTCTACTCATTGTCTCGCTCATCGATATTCTCCTGCTCATTCTCATCATCCCAATATTCGTGCTAGTGTTCCTTCCGATCTGGTTCGTGCCTTCTCAATATGGGCATCCGCCGACTTTTTTGATTGTTCAGGGACAATCAATGGGAGCGCTATTCGCTTCACATGAGCTTCTTCGCCTATTCAACGAGATATGTCTACCCGTTGTGCATGATGACAAAATCGTGCTCGTTGTACTTTATGGTGCTCATCACGATTGAGCGCTGGATCGCTGTGTGCCGCCCATTACAAGTAAGCAGCATTTATAATTCATTTCGACACCGGCGCTCGGCTCGTCCGATCGTTTCCTCGATGGCGTCGTCGCCTCCTTCGTAACATTCAGACCGAATCCGATTCCCGTTAATCCGTGCCAGACACATCGCAACCGTAGGATTTGAACATCCCCCAAAACCTAAGGATGATGAAAAAACTAGACAGCCCATCACGATCTGAAAAACCTTCTTCTCATCAAGTACATCAGAACGCTTCCTAGAAGTCCCACCACCATTGTGCCGATGTAGAAGCCGATCAACAGCGCAGGCCATCAGCCACATACCTAATCATGAAATCAGATACTCGATGCAATTTTCAAACCTGGCATATAGCGAAACGAGAAGGAGGGATCTTCAGCGGTCGGGTCTCTGAGTTTTTCGTCGTGCTTTGCGGCACCGGCCTCGGTGGTCCGTCGCGTGGAAACTAGTAGATTCGATCGTTGAACTCGGTGCCGATATTCTGGAAAATTGCGATCGTCTTGAGTTTATTGAAATGGCAAACGATCGACGAGCGCGTCGTCGGCTGATCCGATGATGATGTCATACGGCCGTGATCCCTTCGACACACCGGAATTTTGTCGGCCGACAAAAAATCGATGAGATCGAAGCACAATTTGGTTTGAACACCCGATTCGGGAGCATTTCGACGCCGAATCGCGACGAGCCGAAATTGGTGGACTTGTGAAGTTGATGTCGCGATCGAATCGCTCACCGTCATCGATGATCTGAAATGGTTCGGCATTGCGGCGAATCCATCAAATCTTTTGAATTTTGGAAGCGCATAGATTCCAGTTTACGATTTGTCATTGAAAATGAGAATCTAGATCTGAAAATGGTCTAAAAAGAGACGCGGAATTTTTGAGGTGCGCGACGTCTTCGACACCGGCTAGACGTGTTTGTTGAAATGGATCATCAGGCATCACCGCTTTCGTTTGGCGATTAGAGGGGTCCCCGTGTCGACCTGACATAGCGGGACCACTGGATTGATGGGTACCTTTGAGTAGCGCATGGGATCGTTATGTCGAAAGTTTGGCCGCACTGAACAACAATTTGGAAAATTCCCTTCATTTTTTCATCAATGCCGGATTTGGCGTCTTGATTCCGCGATGAATTCCGCTGGTCGTCATCTCCTCGGGGAACATTCCAGCCACATCGCTTCGGGACCATTCGCTGCCATTATCGATTGGACGAGTTGAATGATGATTTATTTGAGAGGGTTGCTGCCGACGTTCATCCAGGCAACCCCGCCGTCTTACTTGTCATTAATTCACACTTTTGGACTATAAAGCCAATTGAAATATTTATAAGCCATATTTATTTTTAAAAAAAATGAGCCGGTCACGAGAGAACCGCGAACGAAAATTGGGTGATTGCAGGCGAAACTTTTGTGCACAAATCGGAATACGATGAAAGCGGGCATCTGCATTGTGATTTTCTCGATACTATTCAATTTTCCGCGATTTTTCGATTATAAAATTGGGTGAGTTGATTCGGCTGCTGCAAGTGCGCCCCATTGACAACAGATTTTTCGTTTGACTTGTGTGATCTGAAATTTTGATTTTCAGCCCCGGCTACATATCCGAAATGTGGATGCTTGATGTGAAAAATCATTTTTGGTACTTCATCGTCTATTTCGTCATATTGTCGGTGATTTTCGACTATTTCCTCCCGATACTGATAATGGCAATCGCCAATTATTATGTGATCAAAGCTCTTCGATACAAGGATGAATCCATTGGCAGTATTGCAGTTCAGGTGGGAAAAATTATTACTATTTTTGACGAAATCGTGAATTTTTTATTTTCTTGTAGAGAAGGAAAGAGCAGAATACGACAGTGATGCTTCTCGTCGTCACGATATTCTTCGCGTTTTGCCATTTATTCTCAATGTTCCTCAAGTTGGCCGAATGCATTGTCGGCGACTTTTTGACGCAATCTGTATGCAACTATTTTTTTCTGGCTTTTATTGCAAAAATTTGCAAAAATCTATCGGAATGACATTATTCAAGAAAAAAGGGCGTGTGGTATTTGCGCCACGGTGTTTGCACACACAGCGCACTACAGTATTTTAAGATGTGTTGCCTGTCCCTGAAAGAAACCATGGCTATTAGAATCGTTCGCTATGAGACTCTTCACAAAAACAGAGTGCGCCTTTAATTACCGTATCCAAAAAACAAAATATTCGTCTGAAAATTACAAATTTCGGGTTTTTTTTTAATTTCTTAATTTCGAAGATTAAAAATTTCAATCAAATTATAAAGAAACGCAATTATATAAATCAAAATAACCGATGAAAAGCTTACAACGCATTTTCTTCCATAAATAGGCAATAATTGCAAAATGTTATTTTTTTCGAAATTCAAAAAAAATGGTTGTGTTGCCAGCGTCCGCGGTGTTTGCACACATCGTGCGCGCTACAGTAATCATTTTTTTTCGTGAAAATCAATAATTCCTCAATATGAATCTAATCAATTTGCAGAGTTTCGTGTGGGAGGTGTTCGCCGAATTCACGACATTCCTCATCATCTTCCATACCTCGTCGACATTCTTCATCTACTACGGCTTCTCGGAGAAGTTTCGCACGACATTCCACGAAATCATCACGTAAGTCGGGCAATTGCGAAAAAAGAAAACGAATCGAATCGAATCATTCAGATGTCGCGAGAAATCGGTGGACGACACAAAATGCTCCGGACACCTTCTGCAGACGTCGATGGTGTCGGACGCGGCGACGAAACGCAAATTCCCCGGCCAATATATTTGAGGTTTGCATTATTATTATTTTTTTTTCTTCATTATTATTTCGAATGTCTCAACAGAGAAGAAGAAGAAGAGGGGGAGAAAAAAAAAAGAGGCATAATATTAATAGGTGGCATGAGCACCTGTCTCAGATGTCTCGCCTCTACGCCTCTCACGTGAGTGTCAAGCTATCAAAAATCGAATTTGGTGGGCCGACGGAAGCAAAGTGCATGAAAATTAGAGAGAAAGAGAAATATATATATATATATATATAAATTCTTTTTTTGAATTGGGTTGTAATTTCGGCGACACAACAATGCAACCCGGCGAAATCTCTTCTCCCATCTTTTCCTTCCTTCTTCTTCTTCTCCTTGCTTCACCCTTTTGACAATTGGCCTCTCGGAAGACTGGTAGGAATTTGGAATTGAGAATGGCTCAACGGGTGATATTGTCGAAAAAAAATAAATTCTTTTTTCTCGGTCGTCTCGTTTTAAATGAATTATTCAAAAAATGGCTCAGAGACGCCGCACGATTGGCTTGCACAACGGAATTGTTAATAAGTCGAATCGCAAATTTTTTCGTTCTATTATTATAATCTTTTTTTTATTGAAGCTTCAATTGAAGCGACTTCGCTTGCTCATCATTGATGACTCGACGCTCATTTCTTTTTTGCTCTCGCTCGTCTCGAAATTTGATTTTTTGACTCATTTCGCTCGTTGCTAGGCAACATTGATAATTCGACATTTTCTTAATTGAATTTCATTTTTTATTGAACAAAATTTCAGCACCAAAATTTGCCGCATTCCGATCGATTTTTGTCAGATTTGTGATCTCATTTATTACTGTAGGTGTTCGCTTCGAGACCCCCCTCCTCCCAGTACGTATCGCTGTATGTGTTCCCTGCGAGACCTCACAATTTTCTCTCTAGCGCGCTTCGTCTTGGGTCGTCGCGGCGAGACCCAAACTCCATTATCAGCCGATTCTTGGCGTTCTCCCACTGTAGATTACCTCTATGGGACGCTTGCATTGTCTTATAGTCACTGTTGACTGCTGTTGATTTTCAGCATTCCTTAAAAGGCCAATTCTACCGTTTCCAGTCAAAAAGCCAAGAAGTGACGCCTGCTTCACCATTGATGTGGTGACGAGGTGCGTGCGCGCCCCATAAAATTGCGTCAGCGCGTCATCGGCGCCATATTAGGATTGATGTCACACCCACACCAACACCATTTGATCCTATAAATAGGGGGGGGGGGAATTTTTTGCCCACCGCACGCTCACACCAACAACAACAACAACAACAATATGATATGACGGTTTGAGTGTCTCTCGGTTTCTCCTCTTCTCTATCAGAAAGAGAGAGAGGGAGGGGTCTGTGTTTTTTGTCGAAACACTTCCCGCCACACCAGTGGCTGCCCATATATGGTTGTTCAATTTGTTATCAAATCGGACGAGACGGGGACGTTTTCACCCGAATTTTCCTCATTTCCATGTTTTTTTTCGCCGCCGTCTCTCTTGAGCTTCATGCCGTGTTGACAAATACTTATCGCCACTCCACCGTAGCGATGATTCGATTTGTTTCAAGTTTCAACTTGATTCGAGTAGTTCTAATCGAATTCTGACCGCTTACACGCAAGTTTCGCAAATTTCATCTGCGGACAATCGAGCGACTTGCAAAAAAAAACCAAAGGTGTGTCCGATGGTTTTTTTCCCATTCCTTTTTCATGATAATCTATTATTTAAAAGCAGAAATTTGTTGATTCGTCATTTCCAAAAAAAGAAATTTGCATTGTTCTTTTCAATGCCTTTTTTGGTTTTACTTTCACGCCAAGACGCCTTCGTTATCAACAATTTCGAACTTTCCTGCCGGGTTCGGAGACAGATCAAACCGTCGCCGGCGGTTATCATCTCGCATTATTGTGTTGATTATGATTGGTGGTAGTAGTAGTCAACCATGTACGGACATGCATTTGAAATCGATTCACGCGGTGTGTGCGAATTTGCATTTGTTATGCGCCTCTTATCAACCAGGGTGTTGGGAGGCGATTGTCGATTGATTCGATTCAAACCCAACACCCACAACTCGAAACCCCCCGATTTTCAGACGACACCCGATTCGAGATGGGCTACTTCCAAAAATTGTGGCCTCCCTACTACAAGTACGCCGTGTTTCTATTCGTCGGCTTCGAGTTCGTCTATTCGGCGTTCGTGCTCGCCACTTCCGAGGCCTACTACAAATCGGCGTCGCTCATCCTTCCAATAGCTTATAGGTAGATCGAAACGCCTAAAAATTTGATGGCGATGATAAATTGAATCGGTTTTTTTTTTGTAGAATGTTTGATGATACGGTTCAAAAGCAGAAGGCGGGTTTCGATTGGTCGACGAGCGAGAAGGAGATTCTCGAAATTGTTCGCAGCTTCATCGTCATGTCTCATTCATTTCTTTTTCGCGTTTCAGTATCGCCTTCAAATGCTGGTGTTGTGGGTGGTGTCGACGATCGGCGTTCTCCTTTGCATGTTGGTCATCATTCCCCAATTTTTCGATTTCAACGACAAACGCGGCAATCCGAGTCATTTGGTGAGCTTCTCTTCAATCGAAATTTCCAAATTTGGGCTTCTGAGCTCAAAATTGAAAAAAAAATCCACGACCAATTAGCTAATTAGCGTCAGCATCGAATGACCTTGATCTAATCGTCAGATAGTTCGTTATCAGTGAAAAAAAAAATTTTTTTGTTGATAAGCTCAAATCACGTAAATTTGAGCTGCGGACAATTATCGTAGATCATTTTGCAGTGCCTCGTCCGCAAAACGCTCGCCTACATCCTGTTCGCGATCGTCGCCGTCTACGTGGTGGTGCTCGGCGTCGCCGTCGTGTGGGCGTGGTCCGATGGCGGCGCCGCCAGTCGACACTTCCATGAGCACTTCAACAGCGCCGAGAAGGAGGAGATGTTCATCACGCAACTCGAAGAGGCGTTCGATTGTGTTTCCGATGATGATCTCGAGGTGGCTAATGAGCATGTGAGCATGTTTTGTCAGAGTTTTTAGATTTTTTTTGACGCGTTTGACGCATGCAGTTGATTGCAGTGATGTGGTTGTCATTTTCTTCTTCTCCTTCCTTTCATTCACCGTTTTTAAGTTTTTTTTTAAATATCGTTATTCCCAAAAAAGAAACGAGGCTATCCGTATGACGGTACTCGCATTCCCTGTGGTTCAATTCGATTTTGAATTGCCGCCTCGAAAAAAAAATTTGCGATGGTCCACAATTGCTCAAGGCGCTCAAAACATTGAAATTTTTATTTCGAGTTTTGGAACGAAAAAAAAACAGATTTGAGCTTTTTGGATTAAAATTTAAAATTGTAAGAGTCAATGCTGGAAAAAAAGATAAATCTGATGTTTTTTCTGCATTGCAAAAACTTTCAGCATGAAGATTTGGATTTTCAATTAATTTTCGTGTGTGAATCCCCGATGGCCTAGAAAAAAAAACTAGTCCACCCAAACAATTGAGATGAACTAGATGATTCAGATGTGCTACCAAAAAGTCACCTTGTCGTTCATCTCAACCACCTGGCTTCACATCCTTCTTCTCGTCTACATCGCCGGCCATTCCATCGCCTTCCTCGCCATTCCGCTATTCAATCGACGTGAGAAATTTCGATGTGAAATGAGTGAGACGCGAGATTTTGCAGAAATAATCAGCGTCAAAGCCGACGAGCTTCTCGCCAATGACAACAATAAACTGTTGAGCTCGTCGTAAATCTTGCCAAACGATTCTTTCTCCGATTTCAATGACATGTTGCTTCTATACCAAATACGGGTCTCGACGCAATCTTGTTCCCAACGGCAAATAGTCAACCTGGTGTTCTTTCAGGTAAAATTTTCCCCCCAATTTTGGTCCCAAAAATAATATTTTGAAATTCGACTTTTTCTCTCTCTCCCTGTCTCAAATGCGACATTGCTCAATGATATAGGCTTCGCATGTTTGTTCTGTTATGCCAAAATTCACTTATTTTTGATAAATATGAAATATTTGTATAATTATAATGAGAATAATAATGATAATAATTTTCCTACAATCCCTTGTTGTAATAAACCGCTTTCGGCGGATTCGGACGCGAGTTGATGTGGTCCTGAACGGATTGCTCCAATTTCGCCACGTCGACACGACTCCGTTGGGGGAACAGCGCGCAGCAGAGCGGCGTCGTGAAGTACAAGCCGATGCCGGCGAGAAGCGTCTGAATCGGTATCTCCGAGTACTTCATGAAGGGTCGCGTCTGGAAAGAAGCAGAAAATTGAATGCCGAGATTCCGACGCTGAATCACCTTGTAGTACATGGTCCGAGTGATTCGATTCATGATGATCGGCGTTAGAACTGAAAATAGTGTCGATGAGAATGTCGATCAAACACCAATCCAACCCATATATGGTGTCGCCATGGCGATTCGACTGAGGGTGACCTGAGCGATTGAAAGCATCGCCATTTGGCGGGACCTGCCGACGAGCTCGCCATTCTCATCGCTCAATTCGATGCCGTCGACGAGTTCGCTGAAACGAGGAGGTGTCGAACGTGCGGTTGATGGGCTCCGATTCGACCCACTTGCTTCTCATCATCGGAATATTGATGGCGTTCGCCATGGCGATCGCGGCGAATGGGACGAGACGCGCCGCGATGCCTTGATTGTTCTTGATCAGACGATTCAAACTCAACGCCGCCGTCATCGCGCCGCCTGTCGCGCAACAATACGAGGCGAATAGGCGTTCATTCGTCAACTGAAATGCCACGTGGAATTTGGCCTTTGATAAAATACATTTTTTTTTCAAATTGGTCTCAAAACGAATAGAGATTCTGAGTTATAGTATTTCAAAAAAAAAACTAAATATAGTCATTTGAAAAATTAATTTTCAACAAGAAAGAAAAGATGTGGCCTAGAAAAATGTCCCGGCCACGGCCACACATGGTTTATTAATTTGTTTAATAAAAATAGAATTGAAAGAAATAAAAGAGAATCTTGCAGTTTCTCTCAGAAATTGTGTGTTGCAGTATGGCCTTGTGTAAGTGTCGTCCAATTTTTCTAGGCCACGATGTCGACGCAAGTTCAGTTCAGCAATTTCTCAAAGAAACAAGAATACTCACGAGGGACCCTGAACGCAATGGAAGATCACCGCATTGAACTCATTTAAAAAAATATATAAATATTCCGCTGCGGACAATTTTTGAATTTGATGAAATTGGTGAAATATTCAAATAGCTCGCCCCCCCCCCATAGGCGTCAATGGAGCGCGTTTGCAACATTGGCCTTCATCAATTTTGCCAACCTTGCTATTCCCACTGCGATTCGTGTAATTGACGACGGCGTTGAAGGACTGATTGATCCAATGCGAGAAGACGACGCCGGGGAATGTTCGATAGAGCGAGAGGAGCATGCCGGTGATGATCATGTTGCCAGGCATCTGGAAGCTCATTCGTCCCAGAAAGAACATCTTCTCGCCGGTGTCTGGATGATAGGTGGCGTCATAAAGCACTTTGGCCTTCCATAGTTGGTCAACGGTTAGCGTTGGGCTGAATATGCCGCGTCTGGAACAAATTGAAGGCGTTGTGCCGGTGCCTTGATGGTCCCTCTCCCTACTTGTAGTTCTGCACAATCTCTCGACATTTCTCCTGTTCGGCAGCGGACGTGAAAATCGTTAGCGGATTGCCGGACGCGAAAAAATGTTTGGCTCGACCTATGAGAGCGTGTGTGTGTGGGGGGGGGGTTCTCCAAAAAAAAAACTCACCGATATAGGTGCTCTGATCCCATTTTGGCTTCGAAATGTCCGGCAAAACTTTCTGATTCATCACCAAATCGCTCATTTTTTTTGTCTCTCAATTGGAAAGAGGAACGACGAAAAAAAAGAATTGGAAAAAATTGAAAATGAGCGTCACGAGCCACGTGTTTGAGGAACGCGAAATTTTGACGCGGTGGGCGCATGACAGCTGTTGGTGGCTCATAATGTGCTCACAAAAAATGTTTCCAATGTCGGAGATGTTTTCTTGATGCGCCTTTAATGAATTCAGGTCAAATATTAGTAGATTCCTAATTTTTTTTGCAAAAAATTGCTGTTAAAAATAACTAGATTTACCACAAGAAATTTAAAAAATTTCTGAAAATTGTGCATCGTTAATTTTGTTTTTTTTTTTTGCATTTTATGTGCCATTTCGGTCAAAAATGATGAGCTTTACCACCAGAAATCTAAAAAATTGCGCATCTTTAATTTCGATTGTTTGAATATTTTTTCGATTTCGAAAAATCGTCGATGAGGTCATTTTTAAAGGTGCATGCCATCCAAAATTTCATTCGCAGCGAAAATCGCTAAATTTAACGTTAAAATGAGTTGGCTTTGCACCACAAAAATTAATGTGAAGATTAAAGGCGCATATAAAACTACAATTTGACGATAACCTTGAAAATACTCGACCTTAACTATAAGAGGCTAAAATTTGTCGATGTTAGTTCTCCTATCAGTAATTCGAAATATTACAAACCTATCACTTTTTCTATCTGCGGACAATTTTTGTGTTTTTTTTTTTTTGAAATCTTCGGTTCAACTTCCTATATATATATATATATAGTATATGCTCCAGATATGAATTAATTCACACGTTTAAATAAATTTGACAGTAACCTTGGTCCTGAAACGAATAAAAATTCGTTCCAATGGTTGTGTTCTTCTTCATCGCCAATGAATCATTTAAGCCAATTTTTAAAAAGATAATATCAAAACATTCAAAGTCTCGCAATTTTTTGGAGTCAGTAAATCGGCAGAAATCCAGTTTCAAGGTGGGAACGCTGAAAAAATAGGAAAAATCCCCGATAAATCTTTGTCAATTTTATAAGATCTTCAAATTCGTCAAATTTGTCGCCCCCGCTTCCCTCAATCTCGCTCATGCTTCGCGTTTTTTGTGTGTCGCGTATTTTTGTCCAGCTTTCTTCTACAGGGTGTCATTTAAGTTCCCGCACAAAAGTTTGACGCCATGAAGAGCTTGGCTGTCGCACTTTTCGTGCACCAATACAATTTATTTTTGTTAAATAAGGTATATTTTACTTACTTTCCAAGTTTCACCTCATTCGGATGTGTTTCCGAGAAATGGCGAAGGCTAACATCCATTGCGCTTCCATTATCGAACTTCATAAGCAAAATGTGAGCTCGAGAGACATCATTCAACGGGTCGGTGTGCCTCGTAGAACGGTTTGCGACACCATCAAACGTTTCAAGGAGCTAAATACGACCAGTCACCGTCCCAGACAAGGAAGACTCGTCTCAGTAACCACTCCTCAGAAGATCAACGCCGTCAAATCGAGGATCAGGCGAAACCCCCACAGGAGCATGAGAAAGATGGCGTTAGACATGGGAATGAGCATCTTCGCTATGGAACAAATTGTCAAAACGAAGCTTGGACTGACCCCATATCGTGTCCAAAAAGCGGCAATTCTATCGGCCGTCAGCAAGCAGAGACGCTTCGAAAAAGCAAAACGACTTCTTGCTCGCACGCGGTCTGGACAACACCTCGTCACTGTCTTCTCCGACGAGAAGCTGTTCACTGTGGAGACGGCATTCAACTCACAAAACCATTGAGTACTTGCCCAGACATCCCAGCAAGCTTCTGAGAAAAGAAGAACATATCATCCAGCCTCACATCCTGCCAGCATGATGGTTTTCGTTGCCATCTGCTCAACCGGGAAGTGCCCCCTGGTTTTCGCGGATCAGGGGGTGAATGTGAACAAAGAAGTCTACGTTCGGGACATTTTGGAGAAGCATGTGATGCCCTGGACCCAAACGCATTTCGGTGGGCAGAAATGGGTCTTTCAACATGACGGAGCAGCCGCCCACACTGCCAAAACTACTCAGGAGTGGTGCCAGACCCATTTTCCCGACTTCATCAAGTCATCCGAATAGCCTGATTGCTCCCCAGACCTGAACCCGCTTGACTTCTCCGTGTGGGGAGTCTTGCAGGAGAAGGTCAACGCAAAACCCCACTCAAATGTAGAGTCTCTGAAGAAAACATTACTGGCGGAATGAGACAATCTTTCCATCGAATACCTGCGTACCACAGTCGCATCATACCCGAAGCGTCTCCGTGAAGTCATAGCTGCGAAAGGAGGCCGAATCGAAAAGAGTTAATAGATAAATATTTGATATACTATAGATAAAAAATATTTTGAGTCTCGTTTGATATGGACTTTTAGTTTCAGAAATATACGTCTTCAAAGTTGTGCGGGAACTTAAATGACACCCTGTAGATGAAGGCTAGAAGAAATCAGATAAAAATCAACCGATTTGATTGCCATCTTGCATTTTGTTATTCTAATGTTGTTAGGCGGATATTCACCCACATCGACATCATATAGTAACAATTGATGAAATTTTGAAAAAGCAGGTTTTCTGAGAGAAAAAATGAGAAAATTTGGAAGAAATCGAAGAAAAAAATAAATATTGAAGATTACTGTAGATTCAAAGGCGCATCCCGAGAACAGTGAATGGTCTTGAAGCGAGTTATGCATGGTTACTGTATTTATTAATTCTTTTCAATTTTTTTTTCAAAAATCTAATATTTTCTCGATTTTCAGACAGAAACCAATCACGACGCGCCATTCAAACCCTTGTTTGGAATTCAATTTACTGTTTAAAAACTTTTTAATTCACAATCTCGTGCTTTCCAGCATTGGCTGATTGAAAACGCTGTTACAAAACTGAATAAGAAGCGCTCGCGCCTAAAATAGACAATACGAGGAAGATTTTGATTGGCAGAAAAAAAAATGTTTGAAATAACATTTTCAGAGAGCCAAAATTGGATTTTATTGTTGCAGAAAAAAATGCTGAAAATGTTTTCAGGAGGTTTATTTAAATCGTTTTTTGGCTTGTTCAAACTCGTAAAATTTAAGAATCGAAATCTCTGGAAAAAATCAAACATCAAAACGTCGGTCTCATTTTGTGATTCTGGGCATATTTCCCTTGCCGTGCCATTATCCACGATTACTCGAACCCGTTCGGCAAGCCGCGCGCGCGCGCGCGCGGGATGTTCCCGTATCGTTTCCGTATGCAAATGAGGTGTAGAACGAACACAAGCGGAATGGGTGAAGAGATATCGGGCAAACTATCCCATGAAAAAAAAAACGGAATGTGTCGTCGTGTTCGTTGCGGAGAAAAAGCACCCCCGCGCCATAATACTGATGGCATCGCCGGATTAGCATTCGCCAATTCGACTTCACACGAACGATTGCGTCATTCATCGCCCCCCGACGGGAAAGAAGAAAGCCACTTGAAATCGGAGACATGACTTCGTCGGCATTCTGGAATTGATACATTTCGCGCTTCGTGACCTTTTTGTCGCGCCAGATTTCACTTCTTCCGATTTGCCAACAAAATTTGTTTGATTTGATGTGTATCTCGATGATTTATCGAAATGCCACATCGAGGTGTTGCAAAAAAAAAATGAAATGCGAAACGAAACGCAAAAGCTTCTTCTTCTTTTTTTTTTGAATTGCACGCAACAATGGTGAAAGTGAGAATTTATGGTGCGCGGCGCGAATGTTTCCGATTAGGGAGCGGAAAAAAAAACAATATATGCAAATTTAGAGAGTCTCAAAGTGCAAAGAATGCTGCGACTAAATGTGGGGGCGCAGCGAATCGACATTTCTAGCAGCATTGGTTCGATTTAAAGGAACATGGGACAAAAACTCAAAATCGCCGTATGCCGCCAACCGTTTCCGCCCGGCTTACATCATCATTGCAATGTTAGAAGCGGTTGAGCGATTATCGTGTCATAGTCGGTCCCCCTCCGAATCGTACCTTCATCGTCTTCCTGTCACACCGACGTCCTCACATTCATTTGTCTTGTAATTGCTCTTCCATTTCACAACTCGCGGCTTCACACAACGCTGCCGGTGAAACTTGAAAAGAAGCGAAATCCAATTATCATTGAAACTGACACAAAACCGTTTTCTTTTTTTTCGTCTCATCGTGCACTTTGGGACAAGGACGCACTCGAATGCGAAATTGTTCGATGAGGTGTTCTCCATCCATCTTCGACGTACATCAGTGTTCCTAGAATCATCAAATCATCGTAGAAAAATGCAGAGAGAGAGGGGCGAGTTATAGACGTCATTTGACGTTTTACGAGCACTCCGAATCTGGATTCCAGCGCAAAACGTACGCTATTATCATTATTATGGATAATGATGACGGTCAGTGGCGATGACTCAAAACGCAAACAAGATTTTTCGGCAATCCGGATCACCAAGATCTCATCGATTTCCTCGATGCTCATTTCGTTGAGCCCAACCAATTTTGGCAAGACCCAACTCAGATGACTCGCAATTTGTCGGCAGCTTGCTAATTTGTAAACGTGGCGTCCTCGCGTCAAGACAGTTTCGCAATTCGACGACGCGCGCACTGGCTGCCGCAAAGCGCCGCCTTCGAACTCGCCAATTTGAGGGGAAGGGCCAATGACACGGTACATATGGCATGTACATATAAAAGGCTGGCGAATTCCATTCGCCTCCAAATCGTCTCGGCTTCATCAAGCAGGCGGCGGCGGCGGCGGTGGCGTCGCGTCGTCGCCATCCGCCACATTCCTAATCTCAGTTTTGTCATCTTCGATATTCTATTTGTCTTTTCCAGAAACAACGCTTACATTTCAATTTTTCGCCACTTCTTCCACATTCTTTCAGAATGCGCTTATTCGTCGTCTTGGCTCTCACCACACTGGTCGTAGTTCATTCGGCGCCGACGCCGATCGTGTGAGTTGATTCAACGCTCCACCCTCATCAATCAGACATTCATTACAGTGAGAAGATCAAGAGGGTTCTGGAATTCCTCAAGCACGCCAAGACGATTGGAGAATACGCGATCAGCACAGTTCGAATTAGCCCATTTCGGTTTTTGATTCTAGCGATTGACTTGATCTATTTCAGCCGACCGGTATCTATCCGATCAAGGATATCAATGATGAGAATCTGCTCGATATTTTCCGATTCCGGCCTGAGATTGAGAAGCTTCGTCGTGAGGAGGCGGCCGCCAAAAAGGCTTCTGGAACTTCTGCAGCGGGAGCCGCGAAAGCCTCGCTTGCTGTGAACTCGGCGGCTGGATACGATGTTGATCAAGGTAGTCGTCGGCTTCAGTGAAAAATTTCAATTTCTTCTCTCATTCCAGCCGAAGGTTCCGGAGTCGTTGAAGGGTCGGGAAGCGAGGGATCCGGCGAGGAGCCTTCCACCACCGTCGAGACACCGCTGACCGCTGACACCGGATCCGCCATCGTTCTTCCACCGATCCCACCGCCAGGCAAACTCACGCCGCCGGCTAGCGGATATGTTACCAGCAATGAAGAAGCGCCCTCAACGCCAGCTGGTGATGTTGCTGTCCCAGCGCCAGCCGCGTATGAAGTCAACGAGCCGGGAGTCGAACCATCGCCACCATCGCCAATTGATGAATCCACCGCCGCTCCAGAGACGACTCCCGAAGCTGCTGCTTCTGCTTCTTCTCAGGGATACGATATTGACTCGGCTGCTCCAGCTGAAGCGTCTTCCACTGCCACCTCAGCTCCAGAATTGCCAGCCGCTGAGACAACTGCTGCCCCACCTACTGAAACTAATGACGAGAGCGTCAAGACCGAAGCTGCTCCAGCTCCAGAAGCTTCAGCTACCCCAACTGGCACTTCCGATGAGACTTCCGCTTCTCCTGAAACTGCCGCTACTCCAGCTCCAGAAGCTCCATCTACTTCCGACGAATCTGCCGGAGGTTATGATTCTGCTGCTGCTGCCCCAGTCGCCACTGCCTCCGCTGACAACACTGCCGCTCCTGCTCCAGAAACTCCAGCCACATCTGAGGCTGCCGCTTCTCCTGCTCCAGAAGCTGCTGCTACTTCAGACGCTGCCGCTTCTCCTGCTTCTGTGAGCGCTGCTTCAGCTGACGCCGTCGCTTCAGCCCCGGAAACTCCTGCTACCGTTGACACTTCAAAACCAGCCGATACCGCCGCTCCAGAAGCCGCCACCACTGCTCCAGCTACTGAGACTCCAGCCGCCACTGATGGTGCTGCTTCACCGGCTCCAGAAACCCCAGCCGCTTCACCAGAACCAGCAGCCGCCGACGGATACGATGTCGCTCCAACTCCAGATGTCCCAGCTGTTGAACCCAAGACTGCACCAGCACCAGCTTCGTCAGAGGCTGCCCCAGCTGCCTCAAGCGCTCCATCCACGTACGATTCGGCTTCTGCCAGTGGCGCTGCTTCTGAAGCCACTCCAGCCTCGATATCCTCATCAGCTTCAGGAAGCTCTGCAGTTCCAGAAACTCCTGAAACGGCGCCAGCTGCGTCAAGCGCAACATCGACGTACGATTCCGCTTCTAACGGTCCAGCTGCAAGTGCTTCAGAAGCCGCTCCAGAAGCTGCTCCCGAAGTAGCTAAAGCTCCAGAAGCTGCCCCAGAAGCTTCTCCAGCTCCTGAAACCGCTCCATCTGCATACGATTCAGCCGCCAGTGCTCCAGAAGCCGCCCCAGCTCCGGAAGCCTCCCCAGCTCTAGAAGCCGCTCCAGCTCCAGAAGCCGCCCCAGCTCCAGAAGTCTCTCCAGCTCCAGAAGCCGCTCCAGCTCCAGAAGCCTCTTCAAAAGCAACAAAGGCCCCAGAAGCCACTTCAGCTCCAGAAGCTTCCCCAGCTCCTGAAACCGCTCCATCCGCATACGATTCAGCCGCCAGTGCTCCAGAAGCCGCCCCAGCTCCAGAAGCCGCCCCAGCCTCAGAAGCCGCTCCAGCTCCAGAAGTCGCTCCAGCTCCAAAAGCCGCTCCAGCTCCAGAAGCTTCCCCAGCTCCTGAAACCGCTCCATCTGCATACGATTCAGCACCTCCAGAAGTCGCCCCAGCCTCAGAAGCCGCTCCAACTCCAGAAGCCGCCCCAGCCTCAGAAGCCACTCCAGCTCCAGAAGCCGCCCCAGCCTCAGAAGCCTCTCCAGCACCACAATCCGCTTCATCTGCGGAAAACGCGCCATCTTACGATTCCGCCTCGACCGGCGCCGCTGCTAGTGCTTCAGAAGCTGGCCCAGCTCCAGAAGCCTCCGCCTCCGAAACACCAAAGTCCGAGTCGAGCGCTCAAGCAAACACCGCCGCCGAGGCTTCGACACCGGCCGCCAAGACACCAGAAGCGTCAGCACCAGTCGTAACCGCCGAAGCGGCTCCAGAAGTCGACGGATACGTGTCAGGAACCGCGCAAGCGTCGCCAGCATCATCCGCCGCCGCCGCCGACACCGCCTCCGAATCATCATCGGCCACGGCCGCCGCCGAACAATCATACGACGCGCAAAACTTCGCCATCGCCCGAAAAGCGGTGGTGCGTCGCGCCGCGTTCGTCGGATGGGGACGCGTCTAATCAATCGATCGACGCCTCTTTAGATTTGTTGTACATTCCGTTGTTTTCCATAACCCGATTCAAGGTTTTGCTATTTTTTGCTCATATATATATATATATTATTTTTTTTCGCAGAAATGAATATTTATTATACAATTCCAAAAAACCAAAAAGCCTATGCCAGCCAGTAGGAGAAATCAAACAAGTTGTACCAAGGCTCTCCAGCTTCTTCAAACGCTTTCCTGTCCATCTCGACGCCTTCTTCCGTCTTACGTTCAAATGTTGATGGCGCCACGAATCGATTCAGCGGAAGGCTTCGAACCGCCTTCTTCAATTAATGCTTGCCTCGATACTGCCTAATTATTAATTATTACCTTATCTTCCGTTGCTGAAATTAAAGCAACCGCAACAATCAGAATAATCAAAGCAGATTTGTGCATTTTCTTTATTTGACACTGAATATTTTTCGAATTTAAATAGGACAGAGCACGCTAGTTGTTTTTTTTTTTGAGAAAAAAAAACACAGCTTTATTTAAAAATGAGACATTTTTATCTTTTCAAACATGCAGATTAAAATAGTCTCAAGGTCCTATCACGAAGAAAACAATTTTTGGCTAAAACAAATTTCGAAATCTTAATACCCAAGTATAGTGACAATCTCAACAGTTAATCCTGAAAAAAACTCGCTTGGCCGAGGAAGCGCGGACGTGGCCGGGACCAAAAAACTAGTACGCCAAAATAAAATTCGAAGTATTTTATTTATCGAGCACTCTTCGGCGATTTACGGTGAGTTTGATTCGTAGGTTATCCAGAGTACGAAATTCGAATTCCCACTGTTTGAATTCGAATTTGAATTACTGTCAATCTGAATTAAAAGTGCGATGATCCACAATTACGCAAGACTCCCGTTTTTTCCGCGATGGTAATTTTTAATGACTTGCAAGTTGGTCCGCAAACTTTTATTTTCAATCTATAACAATTTCAAAAACCACAACAAAAACAATTCCACTTGAATCAGTAATTCGCAATTCAACCATTTATTAAATATCGCAACATTGTCATTTTGTATATACCATATTTACATAGTAACATCCATCTCATCGGAATACAACAGTCCTCAACGCATCCTCCGGTCGAACCTCCATCGTCGCTTCAGCGCCATCATTAAATCGATACGAAATTCCGCCATCAATCACCAAATGCGCGTCATAGCCGCGACTTTTGATCAAAATTTTATCGGCAAAACCTCGTGGGTCAGCCGGAGGGAATGTCGCATTGAACACGGGGTCTCGCACCGAAAATGCCATCTCTAAATAATAGAAATCGATTGAAATGACGCCTTCTAGCTCGACACTTACGCAATCGATCGGGATCAAATATCAATTGCTGATTGAATTTCGTGCACACCTCGCTAATCACATCCTTATCATCGTACGGTATTTTCACCTAAACAATTTTGAATTCATCATTTGCCAGGGGTCCGATTCGAATCTACTTTGCATTGTTCAGCGACAATCTTCATAAGATCCTGCACACATTGTTCGGTTAGTTTGTTAATATTGAAGTGCCACGATGTCGATCCGGTGCCGGTGCAAATTGTGATGCCACTGCTCTTCTGCTTCACCATCTTCCCATCATTGAGGCCAATCTCGTAGTAGCTGACTCTCGATGAAAGGCTCTCACCAATAAACACCGAAACCCTTGTTTTTCAAGCCATTCCCAAAACCAATGGCGACCAACCTCATTCAGCGCCAAAACCGGCAATTCGACAATCTCCTTTCCATTAAGCCTTCCATGAAGATTGCGTTTCACCGGCGGCGACAGCGACATACATTCCTCGACTTCTCGCGCCGGACTCCTCGGATTGTCCGTCCATCTCGTCGTCGATGGATCGCGATTCAATTGCTGATCATGAAGCTCAATCGCGTCGCCAATATCATCGTCAGACGTCAGCGAAATTCGGATTCGCTGTCGATAGAGCCATCTAGAAATTATTCGAATTTGGATGCATTCTGTCTATTCGCTAAGCGGGTTTCATACTCAAATTCTCCTCGAAACAATCGCTTCAGCGCCGCCGACAAGTTCTCCTCGGGTAGTTTGCGCATCAGGCACATGTAGCCTTCCGATCTGCAAATCATTTATCACTCCTATCAATTTCGCAAAGTAAAACAACAATTCGCCATCTTTAAAAATGGCATCAACATTACACAAATTTCGACATTCACTAACCCCTGCGGATCGGTGTTGATTCCGATCACCGGCTTCTCTTTCGATTTGACCTTGCTCGACGCCATCAGAAATGTCCCATCGCCGCCTAAAAATCGCGTTGAAACAACAACAATTTGGCAAAACAAAAAGGAAACACTTCAAAAATAGATTACCAGCTGAGAAGATTGCATCAGCCCAATCGACAGCTTCCTGTGTGTAGTCGAATCGGCGAACCAGTTTCGATTCAATTCCAGCGCTTCTGAAAATCGTTCCGCGTTGGTATAGAAGAAAAAAAAAAATACAATCATACTGTAGCTCTCGTTGAAGTGTGCTAAGGTAGGAATGATGAATTTTATGTTTCATTAATAATCGATCATAGTCAGATCCTCGTTTGCGAAGCTGGAAAATCAGAGTTCCAATTTGTAAAAAAAAGTTGTCTTGTTAACGTCACATACAATATTTTGCAATTGCACGTCGTCGCACCCTTTGTTCACCTTCTTCTCAAACTCGTATCGCGTTAATTTGCTGAGAATAAGCACCCGTTTCGGTTTGAATACCGGATTCTGGAGCAAAAAAAAAACATCAAATTCAAGGCAAATCTGAAAAAAACCTCCATACTGCTTCCCATCGTTCGCTTCGAACTCGTGTTCTGCGTCAAATAGAGGGGAGCGGCGAGTGATCGCGGCAGTCGCATACGACCTAAACACAATTGCTCACTCATTATCACATCAATGGTCGGACTCACTATTCGGTTCGGTCCAGAATCGTCCGCCGGCTTGAACTGGTTCGGGAAATCGCGGCGGCGCAACTGTCGCCGTCGTTTGGCACGCGTTCGTGATTTGGCGCAGCTGAAATTCGTTGGCTGATGGAAATCTCGACAATTTCAAATCTCTTCAATTCACTAGCTCACCTGCTCGGCGGCTCGAATTCTCATCCTCATCGCGTTTCAAAAAGATCAAAATGAAATGCGTCGCGTGAAATACCGCAAATAGAGGGTGGAAAAAACGAATGCAACTATATATTGTTTCGAAAAATAAAATTTCAGGTGTTGTCACGTGAGGTGCCCACAAGATTCTCGTTCAGATTCCAACCGTCAACGGCAAAACTCTCTTGTTGCATTCGCGCACCGTTTTTGTGTGAGCACGAACAACAAGAATACCCAACAACACCAAGAACAACACGCGCGTTTCTGCAAAATCGTCGCAATTTCGTTTTTCTGATGCAATTCCATATCATTGGACGAATGAGAATGAATACACGGATTCGGTTAGGTCATCAATTATCAGCGCAAAACAATGAAACTAATTTGAATTATGGTTTCAAGAAAAACAAAAGAAGAAAAATAATCTGAAGTATATTATTAATTCAAAACTATTGATAAAAAGAGTTACTAATGTTATCAGTTGACCAAATTTGGCAAACAAAATTCGAAAAGTAATCCAAAATATGTTTGATACGGAAAATTGTAGCAAAAAAAACGAAGAAGACTATTTTTAAATCTTGGTGTGGAAATGTGTAAATAGTAAATATTGTTAAGTGGAGTATATAAAAAATATCAAAATATTAAAAAATGAAAAAATTACATTAACGTAATTTTAAAAACATTTTTTTAACACAAAAAATGATCTTCTTCATCTTTTATCGCATGAATAAATGACATAGGCTGATGCAAAAGAAATTCACTTTTTAAATTATCTCGACAACTATTCGAGACGATGGCAATTTTTTAGAAATCCAGAATTTTTAAAAATCAATCAACATGAATAAATATATCGAGGTTCAAAGAAGAGCGTGCGATGGATGTTATCGACAATAATAAGTGTCGATTTACGAACTGGGAATGAAGGAAACTGGATATGTGAAATGAAACAATCAGATGATGATTCGTTCTATTTATATGAGGAACTGCAATAAATAATGTTGGAATTTCCACGTGGTGGGTGATAGCGATGAGAAAGACAACAAAATCAGTTCACAGAAATCAAAAACAGCATGTTTTTGAAAAGAGAGGGGGCGAAAAAAAACTCGTCCTCCACCTCCACCTCCTTCTCATCCGCAGCCAAAGTCAAATCGACATCATCAACATCACTATCAACATCATCATGGTATTTCTGTTTGGGATGCTGATAAGGATGTCGTGCGGAGAGACGCCTAATTGTTGGGAGACACTCAGAGATGAAGACAAAATCGAAACGTGACGATGGTCGAGGCTATTTTCGAACTGTTTTTCGCTCGGCGGCCCCACGATGGGAAAATCGAGACCAAACCATCAATCGTGGGCGACTTATGATCTTCTTTTGCAGTCGAATTAATTTTGATAGAAATTTCGAGACTACAAAAACAGAATTTTTTTGTTTGGAGATCATTTGAAAGTGTTTTTTTTAAATCCCGCCGCCTCTTCATTGTAGGGTACAATGTGTTTGACGGAATGCACAGGAGACTAGTCAGGTCGTAAAGTTGAAAGAGCCGTCTATTAAAATTTGAAATTCTAAATATGCGGGACCGCAAAATCATTTTTGCGAAAAAAAAGTCGGGGGTTTCGGCGGCCGAAATTTTTGGGACCAATGAGGCCTCCCAGACACACAATTTTAAGAAAAAATTGATCAAAATTGGTGGTAATCACGGATAAATCGCAGACTTCCATTAGAAAGTGCGCAAACTCGGATGCTGAAGGGAAAGGGTCAATGGAGAGAAAAAAACGGAGAATTTTTCCTTTTTTCTATGCGGAAAAAAAGAAAAAATAAACTTTGGATTGAGTTTTTTTTTTAATATATTATCAGGAAATGTTTTTTTTTTCTGATTTTTCACATTTTGCTCATTTTTGCTTTCACGCGTCTCTCAACCACAATTTCAAAAAATCTGTCCTCGTACACCGTCCGCAGATGCACGCCCATATAGAAATCGCCCCAAACAACTCACCAATCTCGTACCAATTAGCCCTTTTCAGCTTCTCTAAAAAAAACCATATCGATGAAAGCATGCAAATAAGAAGCACCAAATAACTATAATAGGCCCAAAACCCAAAACAAACAACACCGAAACAATGATTGAGCCACGAATAATGATAATATTTATCGAATGAGCATTTTTTTTCGAAGAAGAAGAAGAAGCCTTGAATTATTATGCGCGCGTGTGCAAAACTCGACGTTGAAGCAAAAGGAATGTGAGGATGATTTTGGTTGAAGGGGTTGGGGTGTGATCACAACACATATTCACCGGGAGCATTAAATACAGATAAAAGAAATGATGGCGGTCGTGTAAACAATAATACAAAAAGAAAACAACAACAACAACAACAATTTCAACAATCATCATCGTTATTCATAATGGGGCTTTTGAAGCGATTAATATGGGAATGTACAAATTGTGTTATAGTTTGACGCACGGCTTGAATCCGAAATTGTGTTTGTCGGGTTGGGCTCGCGCGTGCTCGCGTTCCAATTTGATGAGTTTCGCGCCGGCGAGAAATCGCCCGTGCGAGTTGAGCAAATTTTTCGGCGTCTTCGGATCGAGATCGACGATTTTTATCGAGTAGGCGAACACGCGACCGTTCGGCAGACGAATGATGTTGGTGGCCGGCGGTTGGGTTGGACACATCGGAGGCACTAATCGCATCGAGACCATTATCTCAAAAAAAAAAAAAAACAATAATAACAATATTTGAAAAGAAACAATCTGTTACCGAGCAATCTTTCATTGTAGCGGCGACGAAATATCGCCTCAACATCTTCACCTTCTCACAATCATCGTCAAGCATTCCCCGCGGCGGCGGTATCGAATCATCAAGAATCGCGTCGATGCCTATCCTCGATATTGACGTCTTATCCAGAAGGCTCGCCTAAGCTCGTTTCAAATTATTGGGTTTAACAGAGTGTCGACGATACTTTATACTCGGAGCTCAGCTCTTCATAGGCTGCGTGAGCCCGAACGATTCCAAGTGGATCAATCATCTGGGCATTCAGCAGCTGCCCGAGAACCGATGGCTCTTTCAGCGAGAATCCCTGTCGCGATGTGCTGCCGGACAACGCAAAAGCCAGCTTAAACATTGATATGTCGTTTTCTTTTCGCATTTTTTTGGATGGGAGATCCTCTTACCACTGAAATCAAGTCTTCCGACGACGAGAGGCGATTCGGGAACAGAACGCCGTCGATTTGCTTCCACGTCAACGGCTTCACGTCGGAATGCACCTGCAAACACTGGACGTTATTTCGCACAAAAATGTTTGGCGCGGACGCCGATTCGAACCAGATTGCCGTCGAGAAACACGCGAAGATTTCGATGCGGCACCAAGAATAGCGAGCGAATCGCTTTGCGCGTTCGCGAATAGTTGCCCGAGTACAAATCGAGCGGACAGAAATCGTACATTTCGCGGAAGTGCGCCGAACCGCATTTTTCGATCTAAAAATTCATCATTGGTCTTTTTTTTTCTCGTGGTATTTGCTAATTTTTTTGAGAGGAAAAACTGATTTTTTCCTAAAATCGCTACGAGACCTATATTTGAAACAAACAATTTTTCAAAAAAAGTCATAATATGACTGCGAGGCGCCAGAAGGTCTCGAAACGATATCAAAAAACAAAATTCCCAAAATATACCTGCATAATGCAATTATTGCAATTCGGCACATCGACGTTGGGGTGTTGTTGGAAGAATCCCTGTTTCGGTTTGATTTCAACCTGCAATCCACAGGAATTTAAAATCGTGCTAGGAATCTCGCTACCGTAATCGTCGACGTTGTACAAGCGTCAAGCCACGCGGCGTTCGGTAATTGTGTAGCATCAAGCATTTGAAGAGACGTTAGTCGTTTCGGATTCAAAATGACACCTGAAGAAAATGACAGGGGCGGCCTGTTTTTGCTCGCGTTGTTCAGCAAAACCAACCATTCGGGGTATTTTTACGGAAAGACGAAATCGGAAGGAAAGAAAGTTCACCCTGAATTCCGTACAATTCATCAAACGATTCGATTTTCTCGTTGGCTGGAAGTGAGGGTATCTGAAAAATATTCATTTTGTCCCCGCATAGAAATTTTCTAAACATGAAACAATTTAGATGTTCTTTCAAAACTTCCGCAACACACGCTTTAATGTTTGCTACAGTAAACCCCCATGAACCGATATGAGTTCATGTTATCGCTTCCGGCCTTCAAATATTGTAGAAGTCATTTCCGGACGGTTGGAACACGTTTGAAACAGCGTTGGAAAAAAAAACGAAGAAGAATCGTATTACGATGAAAAACACCGCCAAGTCCATGACAATTACACATTAACCGTCGAAAATTTGTTTATCACCAAACAAAACATAATGATCACAGGTTTATCACACAACGCGAAATTTTTTTTTTGATTGGGTTCTCGTGATTCACGTTTTGTTACGAATTTGATGAGAGGATGCCTGAGAAACGCAATGAAAAATGAAAGGGCCCAATTGGCAGTTTTTGATCCCACACAAAAAAAACTATTCGTCGCATTTTTTTTTCACTCATGCGTGACGCTCGAAATTCATGGAAACGTGCAATATTTTGGGACAACAATTCCAAGTTTTGAGCGATTTCGATCGAGAAGCATTATTATATCGAGCAAAATCTCACCTTTGCGAGCTGATGAACGTCATTGATGTCAAATTCGACGATTTGCATATTCACTAGATATTGCTCATCGATCAATGGAGCAACAATTCGCTCCATGTAATCATTGACGAGCTCGCTTCGAGCCTTCACCGTCATTAGGCCCGATTTGCGAGCCTTGGCAAACCGCCAAACAATTCTGAATTTTTTTTCGTTGTTTTTGATTACAAAAAACTTCTAATCAGTCTATCTACCAACCTGACGCCTGTTTTTTTATGTTTCGCACTTATCACAAAATTCGCTCGGCCTTCACCGCGAAAACAAAACGACCGGTATTCTCTTGGATTAACGAGCACCTGCAAAACAAAAGCGTTATAGCAATCGATAAATTCGTAGAATTGCTCACATTGCCGTTTGTCGATATTCTCATCATGGTGGTTTGATATCGATTCACAGCCGCATGAAGTGCTGCAACACCAACAAAAAAAAATGAAATCGAATGCAATTATGGGGGAGGCATAAAAGGGGGCGGGCGATATACGAGAAGCTTCCGGCGTGCCGCCCCAGCGAGCACAGATTACGCAGTAATAAATTGGCCGACTGCCAATTCGATCAAAACTAGCATATTTATATGTATCACATGAGAGAGAGAGAGGACGTTTTTGGCGGCGGACTGCCCATCGACGGATGATGATCGCGCAATTGAATCAAAATGTTCTATTTTTAAACAACTATTTGAAAAAAAATTCAATCGCTTGTGGGTCTCATGTAATTTTAGACGATAATAATCAACGGAAAATAAGATTCATTATCAAAAAAATAAACGCACACATTTTGTAACTCGGCTGATAATAGAAATAATACACCCACGCGAGTAATGCGAAGAATTTTGTGGCGAATAAACCAATAATGGAGACGCGAATAAACTCTCTATATTCTTTTTTTTTTTTGAAATGCGATTCGCGCGCCGTATTGGAATGACGGCGTGAAGCGAACAAGACGATTTTATATATATATTGAGTCTCAAAATTCACAACAAAACACAGTCAGACATGTGAATCATTTGTTAAAATAAATAGGAGAAAAGTTTAAAAATAGACGATGTCGATGATCAGGGTGGCCTTGGTGGCCGAAGTTTTTCTAGGCCATATCTAGAATATTTCTTCGTAAACATCAATTTATGACCTAGTTTTGATAATTTTTCTGAATAAAAAGATTAAAAAGTTGAAGATAAGAGGAACGCAAACAAAACCAAAAAAATGGGCATTTATTCACTTCGATTGCCTGTCTCGTTTTTTGTTGTTTTTTACTTGTCTCGACGGCACGTCATTTGTTAAAGCGATTCTCAATTTGTATTTGAACGCTCTGGTAAATGATTCCGAGTCGTATACGAAGAAAGCTCAATCGTATACGCTGATATCGCTCTTCAAACGCGGCCAAATACGATTGGGATTTCTTAATATACGATTGGCATTTCTTCGTATACGATTATAATTCTTCGTATATGATTGTGATTTCTTCGTATACGACTACAATTCTTCATATACGGTAACGATTTCTTCGTATTCGATTGGGATTTTTTCGTATTCGATTGGGATTTTTTCGTATTCGATTGAGATTTTTTCGTATTCGATTGAGATTTTTTTCGTATACCATTTCACTTTACACTACTCGTTTGGCATTTTAACGCTTTTAAATATATGATGTAAAGATTTCTATACCTGTTTATTTAAAAAAAAAATATGAAAGACAAAAAAATGAAAAAGAAAAAGGAATAAATTAATTAATTTTGGTTGGCGCATCAACCATTTTTTTCCACTGCTCGCGCTTTCGATCGTGAATTGTTTCTGAATTAAGTTCATTTGAATGATTAATCATGAGGCAGTCTTCGGCATGTGCAGATTTTGGAGAAAAACGCGAAAAATCTGATTAAGACTAGTTTAGCCGAATCTTTATAATGTTGTCGAGTTTCTTTAAAAGGTTTTTACTGCGTTTCTTTTCAAAATCTGCATAGGCCCACTAAAAAAGTGAAAACTCACAGGAAAGATGACAAAAAAAACTAAAAACAAATAGAGAATTGTGAAATATCGACGAAATGTTGAAACAACCAATTTCCGGATAAATATTATTTGTTTCGTCATTATTTGTTGTTCTTCTTCGTCATATATATTGAAGTTGGTTTCATTAAGATTTGCAATTTCGAACGGCGTAAGCAATGGTTCTTCCAATATTCGAGAAGACGTCGAACTGAATGACATGAATAAAAACCACGATGCTCGTTTTCCTTAAAAATATTTATATCCAGATTCAGATTATCAAGGACATTAGTTCAGCTGAAGATTATCCTATACCTATAAATACACTTAAAATAAGCCAATTAAATAGAAAAATGAACAAATTCCAGATTGTTGCTCTGCGTTTGTCGAGAAATAAATTCAATTTCAGGGAAGAACTCAATTTGACAATTAACTGTATATATTTTAGGGTTCATTCAATTTTTTAAAGGGGGTCGGTTCTAAATTTTCCGAACAGTTTTCTTTTTTAACATAAAAATTCAAATTGTTTCTAAAAAACTGGCTCTAATTTTTCAGTCATTTTATTCCAATTTTTGATGTGAAATTGATTTTTCTATTTTCCTAATTTCGAGTAAATTATTTTATAAATTTTTATCCGTCTAAAGCGGTTCCTCCAATCTAACATTTAATAATCAAAATTAATTAATCAATATATTGTTATTCCCCCCCTTTAACGAAAAAAAAATTCGGCGGTCCGCAATAGTGCAAATGCGCGTCTCGGTGAACCGCCATCTTCCGTTTGAAGGTGACGCTGCCCAAAAAAAATTATGTTTATCATGCGGGGGCATTCGGCCCCCACGTCTAACCCGATTCTGATAAGAAATTTTGACGACACAATTCCACCAATTCGCTATTTCTCCGAATATTATTGGTCACCATCGAGAATCGCCAATGCCAATTTTGATAGACCCCCCACCACCACTTAAAGTATTGCCGAATATCGATTTCCGCCTATTGCGAAATATTTTCGCGGTCATAATTCTTGCAAAACCCATTCATTCATAATCCCGATATTTAGTATGCTGTTCGAAGACTGTTTTGACGGTTTGGATCTCTCGGCTGAAGACGATCCGCCATTCGAGAGCAACGTCACGCCGTGTCGAACGTTGCATCGCTGGTGCAAACTTCCCTTATTTGCTCAGCAGCACGCCATCACCTTCATGGATTCCAAAACGAGGTCCGCAAATCTTTTTTGGTCTGTGAGAAATGGTGCCGCTTGAATTATTCCAGAATCGCTCTATCAATGTGCTCGAAGAAAATGAATGAGATCGTTGAGATGACGGCAGGTCCGCCAATTCATCGACTTGAGATTAAGGACACTGAAACATTTTACTGCTATGATATCAAAGATACTACAAAAGTGAAAAAAAAAAAAGAATGAAAAAAAAAAAAACAATCTATCAATGAATTACAGACGGTGGAGATGAACATTGAATTCAAAATAAATAAAATTGGATCCTATCGGCCTATAATTTTTGCGAAGCGTGGAAATAATACCGAGTTGATAAGGTTTGCGAAGAATGAGCCTTCAATCTGTATGAAGATTGCGGAGAAAACTAGTTTCAATCAGTTTTTTCCAATACCCCTAAAATTTTGTCGTGACAACTTCGACGACTTTGCCCTAATTTAGACCATTGAACTCACGATTTCATCAGCAACATGGTCCAGTGATCTTCGAAAACGCCGATTATTACGATAAAGCGATAAAATTGTTCGAGAAGTTGCTGAAAAGATCGAATAATGTGGTGTACGATTGCCTAATTGAAATGGTATTCTTTTATTTCTTTTTTGGGGTTTTTGCCTTATTACATACACCCCAAATATAGGAAAATTGGGACATTGAGCGCTCGTCAGTCAAACAATTGAATAAATGCAAATCGTTTCAATTTGCTTTCAATAGTCTCGCCAAGCTAAGGTACGCTTTGGATCTTCTCACAGATCAGGTCGTTCGCCTTAATCTCATCGATCAGTGTCGGAACTTTGAGAGCGATTCTTATGGCAACACAATTACCGCTGAAATTCTAGCCCATCGTCAGGTTTTCCGTGCAAACCCATTCCTCATCAACCGAAATGGTTTATTAGATTCAAAACGTCGATCGATTCGACTTCTACGCAAATTGCAATTTCACTGAAGAGCTGCTCATGAGCTTGAAGGGAACTCATATCACATTCACTTCATCAACAATTAATGATGACATCATCAACAAGTTCATCAAGGTGAGAAGCTTCATCCTGTTTGATTGAATATAGGAGCAAGTTACAGAGATGGGTGGATGGTGGCGGTCCGGAGGGTTTCACACAATTAAATCTTCGATGTAGACGGGATTTCAAGCCGGACGCGATTCTGAGAAACGTCAACTTTCGAATATGGGATAGCGAGTTCGAGAATGAACGGTTGGTGGCTCGAGAGCACGTCTCGAATAATGAGAATCCGAAATTCAGTCGCGGCTTCTGCGGCGATTTCTATCGTGTGATGGGACGGGGAATGTGCGCTCAGATCACGCGCAACAATCAATTGAAATCAGCGACATTGCGAATCTCCGATGACAGCCTTCTGTTCACGGTGACGGGCAGCTACTGGCCGAATTACAAATGCTTCGGTTACACGATTCCCATTTAATCCAAATTCCTATAAATTCATATTTTCTTTGACATTCGTTTTGATCTTTGATTCTAAAACTCACAGATTTCCCATTCGAATTCTGACAATGCTTTTTCTTCATAATTTTTTTTTTCGTTTCAATTGTTCGATTCGTTCACAAATGTTTTTTATGCAGCAAAATGCCCGAGGCTGTCGTCAAGAAACCCAAGAAGCCGAAATCTTCTGCCAAGAAACCCAAAGGATTGGAGCCGGCAATGAAACGATGGGACGAATTGCCGTCATTCATTCAGACAAGCGTCATCGAAAAACTGCCCTTTGAAACAAGGTAAGAGAAACGATCTGGAATATTCTGAAAATCACCGCTATCAGATATTCGCTATCGAAATGCTCGAAGAAGATGATGGAAATCGAGAAGGTGCCGCCCGTCTTCATTCATCGCTTCGAGCTTCTCGAATCGGAGCTCTTCAAAATGGAGCCCGTCGACGCTTATGACAAGGTCTATTCCTAGAATTTGCAATTCCCATCAACGATTCTTTAGGCGATCATTGTGACTGTCGATTTCGTCAAAGTGCCGTCGCACAAAAGCATTCCAATCATTTTCCTCAAGACCGGCAATGACACAGAAGTGTCAAGGTTTGAAGGTGGTGAAGATCGGACTATATTGTACAATATAGAGAATACATTCCGCATTCATTCCGCAGCGACGAGGTTCCGACCATCTATGAGAACACCGATTACATCGAGAAATCTCTGGAGCTCTTCGAGAAACTGATGAAACGCTCGAGGAATCGAGTCGTCGAGCTCTCGATCGACATGGTAGGCGATGATTTCAAGAGTTTCGAAGCGTCTTCTTTTATCAATTTCAGCCAAGCTGGGATATTTCAAAGTCGGCTGTGAAGGAGGTGAACTGCGAGATGTTCCAAATCCGCTTCAACAATATCGATCAATTGAATCAAGGCCTCGAAATGCTCGGCGAGCAGGTCAAAAACCTTCGCGCGTTTTTCAAGTTTGAAGGAGCGAAACCGGAAACCAAATTGGTGCCGAAAGAGATTCTTGAGCACAAGCAGGTCGGTTCAAAAACTGTTTCGAAATTGTCTAGTAATTCGATTTTAAGATCCAAAACGCCGAAATTCTGTTCATACGCGGCAATTGCCAATTCACCGAGGAGCTTTTCATGAGCTTAAAGGGCAAAGAGCTCAACTTCTCATCGTCAACAATTTCCGATGCGATGTACAACAAGTTCATACTGGTTTTGAGACACTCGGCATCTGTACCTTCACACATTCTATTGCAGAGATGGATCGACGGCGGTGGTGTTGACGACTTTCAAAAACTCAGCGCCTGGTACCCGAAAGAGTTCAATGAGCAAATTATTCTGAAAAACGTAATGTGTAAACTGTGGGACGACAAATTCAAAAAGGATAAGTATGCACCTTTAAGTTTTCACCATTTTGAGAGAATCGGTTTGAAGCGAAAGATTCCTGAATGAGTTCTTCTTCGCGTACGGCAAAGATAGCTGCTATCAAGTGCTACGCAAGGACGGACGTCAATCAGCGACGATCGCCGTATCCGAACAAGAGGTTCTATTCCTTGTCACTGGAAAGTTTTGCGAGAAAACCGACAGAATGGAATATTACTGCACATCTGAATAAATATTGCCTACTTTGTATTTAAATTTATTCTATTCTTTTTTTAAACAGAAATTGCAATTGTGCATTTTCTTGATACATTTCTTTCGTGTTCGAAATTTAACCTCAAATTCAGTTGGTCGTCCTGGCGAGCACACCTGATGCTTGACAATCGACTCACAAGTAAGTATCCAGGGAGAAGCCGACGCTTGCCGCCCTGAAAAAAAACCCAATGGAGAATGATAATTGTGATAATAAGCTGACAATTGCAATAATCGATATCACAAAAAAATGCTTCATTTTCATTTTCGGTGGCCAAGAAGGGCTAATTCTTCAATAAAGATTCGAATTTCAAATATTTTTTTTTTACTACTGGTGACCAGTGAAATTGCTCCATTGCATTTTCTTGTTATCTGCTTTTTTATGCTATTTTATATTATATCGTGTCGTGAGATTCTGTGTTTTGTGCACCGAGCGATTTACTCATAGTATAGGTTGGATGAACTTGAAAAAATTAAATCGCGCCGGTTGGTTTCGTAAAATAAAATCCGCTCATTCACGGGCACTTTTTTTTTAAATAGCCCAAAATGCTTAAAATTTATTTTTGAAAAATTTATCCTTTTTACTTCATTCTACTGTATTATAACTGTTAAATTGAACAAAACTTGTTCCAATAAGTTTTCCACACGAGACCCAAAGCGGCAATTCAAGTAATAAATAAAAAGCTACTCAAAATTCGTTCTTTTTTAATTTTTGAATGGAAATTGCGAAAAATAAGCAACAAAACTAATTTTTTTATGAGTTACTATGCAAATTAGGGTAAATCGTTTGGTGTAAAAACGCGAGAACTCACGACATCTTTTGCCATTTTTCAACAAAATCCACTTATTTTTTAAAAGAGAATGACAAGAAGAAGGACAACTCGCCAAAATGTGAAAAATGCCAGCGCGCCGGTTGAAGAATCAAATGATATCGCAATTATTGAATCAAATATTGTCACCGAAGGTCCTTTAGTGAAGAAAGAGCACGCGGACGACACGATGAACTGGAACAAACTTCCCGGTTTTCTGCAAGCGCATACAATTTCGTTTTTGGATTTCGGATCGAGGTAATCAGATTCTATAATATCGATTTGATTGTTAATCTAGATATGCGCTTTCAAAATGCTCGAAGAAAATGTGGGAAATCGAGAAGATACCCAAAATTTTCATTCAAGAGATTAAATTCGAACGTGTGGATGGTCCGCCGCGAAGAATTGAAAATAGACTCTGGCACGTAAGCTAAACGACAACAAAAAAAAATATTTGGCGAATTTTTGAAAAACTTCATTTTTAGCCTCACCTGCTCTCCGTCAAATTCGATAGTTGGACACCGAAAAAACAAAAATTCTATTTTTCAAGATGCGAAAATGTGTAGGAAATGATTTTTCTAAAGATTTGCAAATAATTCCAAAATCGATTTAGTGGCGCAGATCATGAGTATGAGCGAACTCCTCGGAGTGTCGCCGATAGCGTTGAAGATGGGCTGCAATTAATTTTGGATTTGATGAAAAGGGGCAATTATTACGTCGAAAGGCTCTCAATCGACATCGTAAGCTCAAAATTGCGTTGGGGAGCGCTTAATGGACCCTTGTTTCAGCCGAATTGGGACCGCTCGTCGATTCCGATCGAGCCGTTCTCCTGCAAAACATTCAAGTATTTCTATCGACACGCCGATAGCGTTGCAAACACACTGAATCTGATTCAAAGCAACGTTGAGAAACTTGAAATTATCAGAGAAGGGTCTGTGCGCCTCCCGCCGGAGGTTATCAGTCATCCGCAGGCAAGCGAATATTGAATATTCAGAAAAAAAAATAGAATTTAAGGTGCAAAACGCAAAAACCCTTTCATTATGGTCGCCGTGCAATTTCACCGAACAGCAATTTTTAGCTTTAAAAGCCAGCAAAATTATTCTGAAAATTCCGAACATCGAAGAAAGCATACTTAATCAATTCATCAGAGTCGGTGTAGTATTAAAGTGGTTTTAATGTTAAAGCAAATAATTTCAGAGGTGGATTAACAGTCCAAATCCAGAGAATCTCGTTTTCAGCATTATATATACACATGACAAAAATATTGATTTGATTTTAAGACATATTCCGCATACCAAATGGGACATTAATTATGAAACAAATAGGTTGGTTTCTAATAATCATCTTATTATTAACAATAATTTTAATTTATAGTGGTGAAGCATTCGCAAAGCCTTACCGTGAAACAATTGCTGAGCTCAATTTTTCACCGACTGGAATTGAGACGCATTATCGCATAATGCACAAAAGCGGAAGAGCAGCGGCGATGGTGACCCATTCTTCCGACGTTTTTTTATTCGTTGTCACTGGAAAATGGTGGTCCACGTATAACTGCGTTCTAGACAATGTGCCACCGCTTCATTTATAAAACCTACAATTTGTTTTTAATAAATATTTGTTTCTTTTCAAAACTAACAAAATTAACACGACAAATTAAGAAGAAATTTTCACTTGAACAGAATCTTTCCTACCATTGGGTACGGTCTGCCACAGGACCTTATCTCAATTTTCAAACGCGCCTTTAAATTACCGTACTCTTGTACTTTTTTATTTTTTTCAATTTTCTTATATTCAAAAAAATGTAATTAATTCAATTTATGCACGCACACACGGATTCAAAGGAAAACATCTACAAAAAAAACAATACTAACCATTAAACGACGAAAAATAATAATCTGATACCGACAATTCGAAATGGCAATGATAATGTACAGCGAGGAAGAAAAATTGAACAACGAAAACGGGAATTTATCACATTCAAGCGAAAGAGAAACACAACACCAGTAGATGAGTAATTTGCTTTTTGTTTCTTCCAAATTTCTTTTAAAAAAATCCAAAACAAGGGTAAATAAATCGATGGCAAACGTGGACAGTTGTTGGCACATTAATAAAAGTCTAATCTCCACAATATTTTCATGTTGAGCATTTTTCAAATGACACTTTCAGCGTTTTTCTCTTTTTGCTGTTTCTCGCTGGCCGCGCGGCGAGCAATATCCGATATCACAACGTCAACCGTCTCATCCATCGGATTGTTGTACTCATTGAACTCGTTTCTCATAATAGTGACTCGAAATCTATTCAAAAACAAATATTGATTTTCTAATTCTCGCCGAATTCAGCTTACAGTGTCACAATGTCCGCGTGCGTTCCATCCATCGCAATATCCAATGGCGTTTTTCCATCAACATTCGACAGATTGTTATCAGCGCCTCGTTTCAGCAGCTGGCAAACTTGCCTAAAAGAACGTATCAAATTTATTTTCGAAAAAAAAAAACCAAAATCTTCTTCAAAAATCCCAATTCTTACAGTGTGTTTCCTTCATTCGCCGCCAAATGAAGAGGCGTGTTCAGCTTTTCATCAAGCATATTGATTTTGGCGCCGTTCAACAGCAAAAATTCTACAGCAGCCGTTTGACCCTGCAAAATGATTGTTAGACGAGATGCTCGAAATATTCTCTCTCTCTCTTTGCTCACATTTCTTGTCGCGATGTGTAGCGCCGATGTTCCATGATGAATCGAGTTCAACTCGAAGCCTTGCGCATGCGCTGTCAGAAGAGCCAGCAGATCGCCGGAAGCGCACGCTTCGGCCACCTGCTCCCACTCGACATTGCTTTCCGCGTTTCCCGCGAGCACCGTGTCGAGCGCGGTATCCGAACCGCACGTCGACAATCGTTTCGACGGCGTCGATTGCGGAATCGTGAGCTCGGCACTCCACGGATCCGCGTCGCAATTCGGCGGCTCGCACTTCTCCGCTTCTTGCATGTCGGCGTACGACGCCGACCGATTCACACCGCCGTTGCTCGTCTTATGTTTGAGATTCTCGATTCGCGACGACGCCGTTGTTCGTGCTCGCTCATCAGATGCCACCGCGAACCGTCGCTCCACGTATTTCGCTTTAATCCACGCCTCGCGAACCGGCCTCGTCGAATTCTCATTTGCCGCCGGCGGGATGACATCCTTTTCAGGAAGATATTTCAAGTAGATCGCATTCACTTGCCGATTTCCCAACGCCAGCAGCACATCGCGAAGCTCATTATCGATTGAATCCATCGTCAATGATCGAACCTTCGATATTTGAACGCCAAGGCTTCGATGAACGCCAGAGCATTCGATGCAAAGCACAACGCCGAGATTAATGCTAACCCATTTCGGTGTGGATGATCCACAATCGGCGCACACTTCGTTGCCGGGAACGCGTCGAATTTGCTCAAACGTCGACGTCTTCGATGACGGCGGCGATGCGGACGTCGGATTGGCCGCATTCGACGTCGACGCGGTTCCCGTCGTCGGATCCGACACCGATCGACTCTTGTTGGCGTCGGCGCCGTTTGGCGTCGATGACACCGAGCTGTTCACCGCCGACGACGATCCTACTTTGGTGTTGGGCGTCGCGCAGCTCACCACCGCATTGTCGCTTTCATGCAACGCCAGAATTGTCCGCTGAAGTGCTCTCATCCAATCATTGCACAATGATTCCGAATCCGCTTGAAGGAGGTGACTTCTAAATTGGGAACTCAACGGCTTCTTGAGCAATAATCTCCTACCTTGTCGGCGTGACGAGCTCAAAACATCCAACTCGATCAATATTCGATGGAGCTGGACGAACCAAACAGAGCATCAGGTTCTCCTCCATCACCGTCGGCGGCTCCGAATCGTTAGATCGATGGGAATAAAGCTGAACATTCAAATTTGCAAATAATCTCCAATGAACGCTTGTCGCCTACCAATTTGTTGTCTCTTATTTGGAACCATCGGCGATTCCAAGTTTTAAAGGCATTCGATGATCGCTTGTACAAATATCCCTCCATCATGACATCCGGATCAAGTGGCATTCCGGTCGGATGTTGGAACATCTCCTAAATTTTTCGCCATCAATCATTCGGATAGCCTCAAACAAAAAACTCGATGATATCTCATCCCCTAACCTTGATATCATTGACCGCTTCAATAAGCGCACCCTCGGACCAACTCACACCCAGCTGTTTATTGCGCTTGCGATTCCGCATCGTAAGCCGATTCCAAATATTCCTTTTTCTGGGCTCGTCGCCCGTCGCACCGCAATTGAACGACGAGCTCCTCGGCACCTCATCAATCGGCTGAATGTGAAACGTCGGCATCGCGGCGAACGAGAATTGACTATCGCGATTCCGACGCATACTTTGACGAACGATGTTGCGCATCGTCTCGACGCGAAACTCGTCGCGCGCCTGCTCAACTCGATGATGCCGACGATCCGCCTCGTTGCGCTCCAACGCGATGAGCTGCTCGCGGCTGACTTCAACGCGCTTCTCGACAATTTTGCGAATCGTCACGCCGGCGGCAATCGGCGGACCATCATAGTCCTCGCATTGGAATATGGTGATCATTTCTTGCGTTTCTCGAGCCGCAACGCGACGCCGAACGAAATCATTGAAGCCGCCGTCCGAATCACTATCAGGCGGCTCACGAACAATCATTGCTCATGTCCACTGAAATCAACGGATGGCAAGCGTTCGGCAGAGGGAAAAAAATAATGGCAAGTGCGGATGACGCGAGAAAATACAAATACGTACATACAATCATAACGCTTCAACTGCTCTGAAATTTTTTATTGCCAAGCGTCAAAATGGAGGCTACAAAGAAGCAGACGAGTCATCGTGAATACGAAATTTGTCGAGTCTACGATTCGGGATGGTGAATAACAACATGGTCATTAATTTCAAGAGAGAGAGAGAGAGAGAGAGAGAGAGAGAGAGAGAGAGAGAGAGAGAGAGAGAGAGAGAGAGAGCGAGGGGGTAATAAATAATGAAGGTTTCGAGGGCATTGCCGGCAGAAATCTTGATATGCGCCTTTAAATATGATCTCATCTACATACTGTAACTGTTTTTTTTCGACGAGAATTGCAGCGAGCCAAAAACTAGAAAATAAAATGCAAATTCGATCAATATTGACTTTTTGTTACTATGCAGGTTTTTGTGAACAATTCAATTTTTTTGGTTGTATATGCGCCTTTAAAGTTGGGTCTCGCCTGCCGACAAAAATGAAAATCAGATTTGTACACAAAAAAATTGCGAAAAATTCCAATTAAAATTGTTCTATTCTCAATTTATTGTTGCCATATTTGCATGTCGAAATTTCGATATTAAAATCGAACTGATAACAGGGCACCAACCCAAAAAACAAATAAAAAAAATTTCAGGATGCCCCTCATACCCATTGGCGATCAATACGAAATTCGATAAATCTTCTTTTTTCTTTTCACGTTGCTGAACACCAAATATCTTTTCGAACACTGATGAAAATTGATTGGACAAAAAAAAATGATGAAGACGACGAAACCCCCTATCTATAGCGTTTCGACACTTATCAATTCACAAATTATGATTTAAAAAAACGACAAAGCGAAAAAAAACCGAAACGCTGAAATTTTCGCTTCCGGTCAAAATCCAAAAAGTCATGAAAAAATGATGAGTGTACCAGACCGAAATAAAAAATGTATGAATAGATGAGTGACGGCGAAAAATAGAAAAGAGAGAGAAAGAGAGAGAAAAATAGTATGGATTACAATTGTTGGGAAATATTCAAAAATGAGTCATCGATTTTCGAAGGGCAACTTTTTCAATTTCAAACAAAACCGAGGGTCGTCGACATGAATTCAGACTACATATAATTATAGATCAATATTGGGTCTTGAATTGAATTCAGTTAAATCAATCCTCTATAATTGTACTCTTGATAACTATGAGGGTTTTTTGCAAATCCATGCGAGACCCAATATGTTGATTTTTCTTTGAACTGAAACAAAGAAATGTGTCACGCCAAATACTATTTATGAATATTTATATGCTTATTCGACACCCCTCCAATATTTGCCGAGACTCGGATTGAAAAAAAAAACAGAAAATGATAAAACGAAACACAACAATTTGTCCGCAGCATGAATTGATGACAAACGCGAAACCAATTGCAGACAAAAAAAATAAGAGAAATGAACGGAGAGAGAGAGAGAGAGAGAACGACAGTGAGGTATCATGAACCCGCCGAACCCAGTGTTCCCATTTTGTACAAGGTTACACCTATTAGCTTTCGATGGAAAGAAGCCGAACAAACGTTGTAATGAAAATCGGCAATTTTATGGAAAACTCATCATTGCCAATTTTGATTGCTAAGAATTATCTCAATATTCGCAAATTTAAAAAGATTATTGAAAAACACATTGGTTGCCCTTATATGGTACGATGCCAACATTCGCTCTTAAGAAATTATGTTTAAAAAATTGTATGAAAATGCCAATCTGATTCTCAAAATAATTAGTGACACGTGGCAGCACCATCGATTCGCCAGATACTCCAATAATATTTCGAGCGATAGAAATCTTCAATAGTCACGTTTTCCCTAATACCGAATTCGACAGCCAACGACGATTTCAAGATCACTAACTACTGTTACCGTAACGAGTTGGTCTCGAGACGCAACACAATTTCAAGATATCATCGAAATACGCGAACATTTGCCACAAACGAATGTTTCAGCTGAATTTCAGACCAATTGAACGCAAATTAACGGCAAAAAAAGAAACGACTTTCAAATATTCAATATTTTTCTATTTTTCAACAATTTCACCTAGAAAACTTATCGGGATTTGTGCTTCTCGAGATTTCCAACCGTTTCCGCTGAATTTCAGACCGATTGAAGGTCAATGTCATTTATGGGCAAAATAAGCGGCGATATTCAAATATTCCACTTTTTTTTGCCAACAATACGTATAAGGAGAGTTGGTCTCGAGGCGCGCAGCAAATTTTTCAAATTCTCATCGAAATATGTCAAACCTTTGGCACAAGCGCGTGCACATCCTGCATTTTGCGTTCGATGAGCTTCGATTTCGCGGCGAATGTCTGAATCGTGTCGGCGACGCCACCGTTGTCGGCCGCCGTCCATTCGTCGAACGTTGCGTGGCCCTTGGAGAAAAACGCCGACGACTCGCGTATGAACGACCAGAGCTGAAATGAGACGAAATGAACGCAAAAAAAGAAATTGGACAAAAAAATAATGCTGAATAAGCGAATTGATGCGGTGTTGCGCGACTAATCGATGGGCGTCGCTCGCGCGCGCACCACATGTTCGAAATGGGTAGCGCGCGACGAGTAAAACACGTTGGACGATGGCAACAACAAAACTCACCGCGTCGAGAATCATATGATCCTTATGAGCATGCGCAATATTGATCTGCGCCACATAGTCGAGAGTTGTGTGCGCGAAACAGGCGCCAACCTACAATGTCAATATAGAACAATCAGAACCGCAGTCGAAACGATGATCGCCGAGTACCGCTGTCAGCGCGTTCCTGCCATCGGCGGCGTCGGCGGGCTTCTGCCGCGAACCGCACGCGTTCTTCAAAAGCGCCTCGTCCATCGATTGCGACATGTTCTCAAAGTGCGCGCGCGCTTCGGCAACTTTCGCGATTTCGCTGAAAATCATTGTCATTCATTTTCAGCACAAAACCACCAAAATCACCTACTCTTTGATGAAATTTGAGAGTTTCGTGTATAATATGACATTCGAATGCTCATAATAGGTTCTGGAGAGGCTAACAGTGTGCGCGTAGGCTTCCGAAAGCGCCTGCAATCAGATGAAATTTTGATTGACAAAAAAAAATTAATTTTTTTCTTACACTAAATGTCGATTGAGCTAGTGGATTGCCAGCGAAGCTCTCCTCGCAAAGTTGATTCACCGACACGGTTAGTTTACTGAATATAAAAATTCACATTCGATTTATTGTCGGCGTTTTGCGACCAAATTTTTCGAAATGGTTTCGCCAAATGCTTATTTTGCTATTCTCACGCCAACTATTTTTTTTCTTGGCCAATTTGTAAATATTTTGCATATCAAATGATATAAAAATAACAAAATTATTAAAATCTGCCATTTCAAAGCGAAATAATCAGGATGGCGGCAACATAAACATTCAAAAAAATTTTCAAGCAAATTACTCAATAACATTTCAATCTGATTTCAACAAAAAAAAACACACTCACTAGAACGTGTTCACATAATTCTTGCTCTGCTCAATCATAGCCGAAACATGCCTAAGCATCTGTAAAAAAATATATGTCAAAAGACGGCCGGTAAATTGATTTTGGGATAGAAGAAGAAGAAAAAAAAAATGAATTACCTCATTGAGTCGATTCTCCAATCGATTGAAATAAGTGGTATGCTGTGCGATGGCGGCGCGAAATCTCGGCGAATCCTGAATCGCCTCGGTGAAGTCGATTTTGGGCGGCGCGCCCGCCATCGACACCCCACTCGCCACCGTCATTTTGCTCGGCGAGTTCTCTGCAACAACAACAACAACAAAATGGTGAGATTGCCGTCGAGCCTTTCGAACCTTTCGATGATTCCTCTTCAGCAGCCAATGCCAACGCGGCTTGCGCCTCGATATGCTTCTGTCGTGCGCGGTGCGCCTCGGCGGCTCGTTTCTTCTGAAAAATGAAACAACAATAACAATATTCGTCAAGAGCATGAGCAACGCAAAAAAAATCATGTGTGTCCGTTCGCGTTGTGAAGCGAAAAGAGCTGCTGCATTGAGAAATAATGCAACACGAGAAGCTGGAAGAGATTTTGGAGGGTCAGAGACGGCCCCGACCAATGCGTGCTCGTTTTTTTTTCTCAACTCACCCACAAACAGGTGATAATAATAATGTTGTGGGAAGCGAAAAAATAAATAAATAAAGGCAACCCGCCAATTTTGCCCCGTTATCAATATTTCAACAAAAAAAAACCCAGCCAAACAAAATAGAGATCATTATTGCGGTGGAGAGGGAAAAGAGAGCGGTTGCGAATCTTCAGAATCACTAATTTTATAGTTCTTTTGTTTTCTTTTTTTTTTTTGAACGAAAAGCCAATAAGATTTTGAATTGTCTGCAAAACATCGATTGAACAATAAAAAAATCGATGCGTTTACGATACCACCATAAAATGGGCCATCGGAAAAACCAAAATTGTGTTTTTTTTTTTTTAATAAAAGAAACCGCTAAAAAGCGTAAGAAATTTTTGACAATGGGACGAAAACCGAAAGAAAATTGTGGAAAATCGGCGACGATGCGATGGGGGGGGGGGAGCGGATGAACAGGTTTTCCGAAAAGCGCGGCGACTGTGGCAGAAAAGAACCAAGAGATCGAAGTTGAGCAAAAAACGAATTGGATTCATCTAAAAATGGTCCCTAGCTTCTCACAGACAACAACGGAAGGCTTTATGCAACATGTGTAATGAGAAGATTCAAGACGTCACGAGATCATCTCCGGCCCGGCCCGGCGAGGCCGGCTGACCGGCAACATCCGTTCCCGTGCAAACAAGACGACGAATCAAAAAAAAAAAAACAAGCGGCGAAGGAGAATCGCGTAAGCGCGGATCGTCGCCGGCCGCCGCATTTTGCCATCAATCGATTCCGAAGGCAAATTGACTACAATTTTGGCGCGCGCCGACAGACGACCTCGAGAACCGATCGCTATCGACGTCGTTTTCTTATTATGAAGCGAAATTCAATTGAAGCAGTCAAGGAAAAGAATTGCAAATTTCTCGAGGAGTCCAACTTTGAATCGGAAATTGGCTAAAATTTGAGAATAGCGAATTTAGGAGAAAAAATGATTTCGAAATTTCTTTTTAATTTGAAAAAAAAAATAATTTTTCCCCAAATTCGCTTTAGAAGATCACACTTAATGCCATTCCAACGCTTCTATATATTTTTTTCAACGCTTCGGTTAAAAAAAAACGAGGCTTGCGTCTCGCCAAGAAAATTTTTGCTCCAAATAAAATCCTTTAGACGCAATTTAAAACATTCATCATGGCCGAAACAAAAAATATTCATTTTTTTACCAGAAAACTGATCCAGCCAAGAAACGAACAAAGCCAAGTGCACATTTTACAACACGAGCGAGGCCAACTGCTGTTTCTCGCGATAAAATAGGAAGGAGGCTCCATCTGGCGCAACGACAAAAAAATGAGCGAAGGGAGGTCAAAACTAGATTAGCCGCGCGAAAAAATAGGAATAGGAAGCCGAGACAAAAAAAATAAGGAAAAGCGATGCAAAATTTTGTATTCGAAGCACAAGGCCACAAATTGCAATATTTATACGAGGTCCACCGAAATTGTTTATTTATATTTTTGGAGGTTGTGGAGGCGAACGAAAGAAAAGCCCCCACGAGATAATTTATGTAAACGTTTCGAACGGCCAGACGGATGGGATGGGATGGGATGGGATGGGATGGGATGGGCACGACAATACACTTACATATACACAGGCACACAGGCACAGCCCGCTGACCAACAACAAGACATACGCACACATACAAAAAAAAACTTGCTTCGCGCAAAATAGCGCGCGATTCGTAGAGCGCGTGCGAACTCGCCGCAACCGCCCGCCGTCACTTGCGGCCGACGATACAATAATGAATGAATGAATGAAAATGGCATTGTTGGAGATATATTATGCAGTTTCGTTCAAATTAATGAGAATTCAATTTCGAAACCGTTTTAATATTCATTGATGTGCCATCGCTTTGGCAAACTTCTGACAAGGAAAGTGTTTTTGCTCAAAGGGGTTTCTTTTTCTATCTTTGCACTCAAAAGAATCGCAAGAACAAGAAGTTTTTGTGGGCGAAAAATCCATTGGTTCATAATGAAACTTCGGACCCACAATTTTGGGACTTTGAAATTTATGCTGAAATCGGGCATCGCACACTCGATAGAGAATTTTGCGAACTATCAAAATTTGAAACAATTCTGAACCTTAGAACTTTTTTTTTAAATAAAAATCGAATTAAATATTACAAAGATGGTTTATTTGAGAGTATTCTGCGAATCAATGTGTATTTTACATCTTTTAGCAGAAATTTTAGATGTTTTCCAAATACTTCTTAGGAAATCCAATAAAGTGTTATTTTTTGAACTTTAAAGTTCATCGAATTTCAATAGATTGGACGGAAATATTAGGCCAGAATTTTTTTTTTAATAAAAATGTTAAATTTCGATGCAGAAAAAGAAAAATAAGTAAAAATGGTTAGTTTTTCTCTGCATTGTCCTTTTAAAATCATTACAATAATATTTAAATATTCATAATAGACAATTTGAATCTTTTAATATTTTAGATAATGAATTTCGAAAATTCGAATTTTGCGGTATATTGTAAAATCAATTTCTAGATAAAATTGGAATTTTCAGAAATTCCTCTATTCAATATTGCCCTTGGGCTAAATATGCCAAAATTGATAAAAATAAAAACGTCTCGAAGAAAGCTACTGAATAAATGTCGTAGAGTTGGGCAAGAATGCGCCGTCCCAAATTCAATTTCTCACCACTTGAAATTAGCACTTCCGTTAAAGTGAATCGAATCGAGGAGAATTTCATTTGCGGAGCAGGTCGTCCGACAAAAACTAGCAAAGGAATGAATCATGGGAGGCGGGGAAGGGCAGAAAAAAGATAGAGGGGTAATCCGATGGATTTATGAGCTTACCAAATTGAGTAGAGGTCGATGAGTTTTTTGCGGTTGGCATTGCTGTTTGGGTAGTGTGCTCGCCGCATCAAAGAACACGTCCTCGTCGGAAATTGATGGACCCATTCCTTCTCAAAAAAAAATCGTTGTTTTCATGGTTCGAAAGACAAGAAGAGGTAAGTAGTTATTCGAAAATAAAATCGATCAAAAACGCCGTAGCCTAAAACAAACACAACAATTGTCAGACACATATTTATTATTTGCGCGATGACAGTGTTTGGAATATTTGAAAATGAACAAAAAAAATGGAACGCAAAAATGTTTTTCTTCCGCACTTTCGATTCCATCTACGCAATGTTATACTTTTCAACAATTGATTTTTTTTGAAACATATTATAATGGTTGATAACGGCGAGATTGATTGACTGAATGAACGACAAATGCTCAGAATTTGGAACCCGTCAGTTTTTTCGTTTTTTGTGGCGTCCTCTTCTGCAAGAAAAAAAAACAACACGTGAAGAAATGAATGAGCCGAAAATTGAATGTGATGGTTTTTAGCCACTTATCACTCAAGATGACTGATTTACTCAAAAATTGATAAAACGGAGGTTTCGTAATAGCGCTTACCCCTTTTTGGGCGGCACCTTTCGGTGGCTCTGCTGGAATGTACATCGAAACTCCTGGAATTTGCTGACCACCACCTTGCATCGTGGAAACATTCGTTTCAGCTCCTCCACCCGCGTCAACGGCATCCTAAAACCAGTAAATGCAACTATGTAGTAACAACTTCGATGGTTACCACAGAATCTTGAGTTCTCTCAGCAGATGCTCTCATTTCATTGGGTTGCTCCTTCCTGTAATATCATCATAAAATTTGAAATGTATAAAAATCGCCCCACGGCAACAAGCCTGCTGGAATATTCGCCTTTCCGTCAGCTTTCGATTTCAACGACTTTTTCATCGACTTTTGCTTCTTTGATTTGGCCGATTGATTCTTTTGTAGGATCGTTGTTGTTTCTTTCGTGGCGAGACCATCACCACCCGGAGTGGGAGGAGGGGCATACTTCGATACGCCACCCTTGTTTCCAAGTTTTCTTGGGGTTGGCGCGTTTTTCGAATCTTTGGGTTTTTCAAATTGCTGAAAATATGCATATTGTTGGAATTCCGAATGTCGACAATTACATAGCAAGATACTGGAATCATATTCTCGTTGAGAGCAAAAAGGAACTGCTCTCCGGGCTTCTCAGCAGTTTTTTCGCAAGTCGGCATCAACATCGTTTTCATCATTCTCGAAGGCTGCACGGAAGACGCTTTTTTCTTTTTTAACTCCCTAAAATTTGAATTTGACGAGAAAATTCGAAAAAAAAAATCAATAATACATTTTCGCAAGCGGATTCTCTTCATCATCATCAAAAACGTCTTGCTGTTTCTCCTCTTTTTTGATGTTGATGTGGAATTGAACATCCTCTAAAAGTTCAAAACGATTGGAACAAAAATTTAAAAAATTGCGAATGTTTAAAATTCGCCAAAAACTTTGTGCAATGCACGTGACGCCAAGCAGAACCTTGTTGACTACCGTAACGCATGTTTAAAAAAAACTAGCCTTCGCTATCATTAGTTTTATCTCGAGTCGTCTTCGGAGTCGATTTTTCTCCTGAAATCGATTGCTGAACATTAATAGGGCTTTGGCTAACAGTAGCTTTCTTCTTTGCCTAAAAAAAGCCGCAAAATCACGATTATTTTGTCGAATTGTTGACGAACACAAAATATCAAAAGAGCACTGTTCACAACGAAACCGAATGCGACTCCCACAAACAATGATGACATGTCCATTTGAATGCGAATTGAGCCGAAGTAGAAATTCCAAAAAAAAAGAGAAAGAAACGCGCTCAACCAACCAGTTCGTTTCGTTCACTGAGCATAGAAATGAGCAAAATTTCTCGCATAAATCGATTTTTATTCGAATGAATAATTTAATAACAAGATTATGTGTGACAAATGATTAAATTAGAAGAAGATTGAGCAAACGCAACATTATTATTTTTTTGGTGATTTAATTTGAAAGAACATCACAAGGCAGGTTAGAGTAGCCGGTGGAATGGGGGGGAAGAATCCTAAAAAGTAGGTAATAAACAAAATCACAAACAAACTTGAATTGTTTGGTCAAAATTGATTGGTCACATAACCAAGACACCCATATATTTTGTTTGTTAAATAAATTATATGAATAAATAATTGAGAAGAGGCCTATGATCGCTTCACTCGCTTGCGCTTCTTCTCGCAGAGCGATGTGCACGATTGCGAGCATGCTGGTCCGCATTGTCTCGAGTTTTGTCCGGAAAAGACGCATTGGCCCTGGAAGGCAATTATCTAGTTTGATTCGCATTAATATTGAAATTTTACCATGCACACAGTTTCACAAGCGTCCTGGCAGGAAACCGTCGGGCATTGAGTTTCGCAAGCGCTGGCGCACGCTGGAGCGCAAGTCGGCGCTTGGTGATAGCATTGTTGAGTGCATTGCGCGTCGCAAGGCAAGTTGCAGTTGTAGTTCACCGTGAGCTGGACGACAGGCGTCGGTGCCGAGCCGCAGAGCTGCTGGCACGAAGCGTCGCAACCCTGAAGGCATTGCGCCGACTTGACCTTGCACAATCCTTGACAATCGCTGAGGCACTTCGGCGTGCACAACTGCTGGGCGGTTGGCATCGGCGCGGTTTGCGATGGCGCTGGTGCCGCGCACGACTGCTGGCAGATCGCCTGGCATGCTGGCTGACAGGTGGACGCCTGGACGTTGAGAGTTGTCGATTGGCATTCACTGATGCAGCTCTGCTCGCACATTGGCTGGCATTGGCTGAGCACTGGCTGTTGCGCAAGATTGACCTGCAAAGAATTCTGGAATGATGCACAAAAAAGAGCAACGCCAAAATCGCGGTGGAACCTGAATTTTGACAGGTTGCTGCTGTTGTGCGATGCACGACGGCTCGCAGGCCGGCTGGCAGACTGGCTGACAGTTGGCCGGTGTCGCTGGTGGTGCAGACGGCTGCATGGCTTGCTGAGTGCAAGCGGCTTGGCATTGCGAATGGCACACCGAGCCGCAGTGATCTTGCGGGAACTTCTCGACGCACTGCGCGTTGCACGATTGCTCGCACACCGGCACACATTCGGGAACCGCGAAATTGATGAGAATCTGCGGCTGTTGCGGTTGTTGGGGTTGTGCGATGGTCTGCGTCGCCACCGGCACCACCGGAATGTAGGTCGGCTGCGCTGGCGGGCACTCATTCGCGCACACCTCGACGCACAGATTCCGGCAGTCGGCGGGGCTCTGCTGCTGGCATCCGTTCTGGCACGTCTGCTGACAAGCGCACTGCTGTTGCTGTAAGGCCCATAGATTAACAAATCGTGATCACGACGCGCGGCACCTGTAGACATTGCGGTGTGCACTCGGGCTGGCAGAATACTGTGCAACTCGGTGGTTGCTGTGTCGGTGGCGGCGTTTGAACCGAAGTGGTCTGAAGTGTGGATTCAACGAGCGTTCAACCGAAACCAAATCAGAGAACCCATTTTGGAGGGGGCGTGGGAGAAGCGTCGAACTAAGCCGTGCTAAAGCCTTACCTGTTCAATGATGCACGACGGCTCGCAAGTGGGCCGACACGCTGGAATGCATTGAACTTGCTGCCCGATGACACTGATGTTGATAATTTGCGGCCTCTGAAGACAACTCGGATCGCAAGCTGGTTGACATGTCGACGGGCAGATTAGCGTGCTGATGCATTGATGATCACATTGTGGCATACATGCGTTCGGGCAAGAGTTAGTAAACTGTGAATTAGCGGAATTATAACTAAGGCTTCCGTCAAACTGATTGAGGCACTCGCTATCGCAAAACGGCATACATTGCGGAATGCAGTCCCTTCCGATGGGATCGTCATTTCTGACGAGGTCCGCGAATCTCATGTTCTCATCGATCGCCTCGTTGCCTTCAATCGCCAGGCTTCGCGACTTCACCGCAAACGATCGACTGGGAACACTTCCGGTCGAGCTAATCCGAACTGTCAGATGTTGTCCATTCCCAATCGGGATGTTAGTGAATTGTTGGGGCTTCGGCATGTTCACCGTCAAATAGTTATAAGGGCTGCTTGGGTTCATCTGAATCGGTGGAGCCGCTTTCACCGCGGGAGATTGAGCTGACTGAGCACCAGTGGGCGCCATTGGAAGCCCATTGAAGTGCAGAAAGTTTCTTGTATAGCCATCGGCGGTTCGCTGCGCAAACTGCACTTCGGGCCTCGGCGATTCCAGAATCTGCTCGACCTCAATTCGGGGCCTCGGCGTCGGCACAATGTTCTCCTTGTAGTACGGCATGATGCAGTCGAGGAGGCACGCCGGCTGACACGCGGCAATACAATTGCTGCTCACACCGCTGATCTCGTGCGGTGGATTGTAGTGCTGCGGAGTGCTGGGCGCCGAGTGCATGTACTGGAACGTGCATTCCGGTGTGCACGTCGGCCGACACGCATCCGGACACGAGACGAACAACAGAACCTGCATGGCGATCACGCAGTTCGGCTGGCATAATGGCTGACAAGCTGGAAGGCAGTTAGGTGTGTCGTGCTGCGGAATCGATGTGGTTGGGCTTATTGATTGGGTGGTGGTTGTGGTTGTGGTGTTGGTGGTGGTAGTGGTTGGTGCTGGGAGTGGTGCAGTAGTAGTTAATGGCGGTGCCGGCTCGGTGGTATTTGGTGCATCATACTGCGGGTAATCGTAAGGTGGAACGGGTGAGTGCTCTTCAGGCTCATCAGGCTCATAAGGTTCAGGCTCAGGTGTCGGCTCGGGCTCTGGCTCGGGCTCGGGCTCGGGCTCAGGTTCAGGCTCAGGCTCCGGCTCCGGCTCCGGATCCGGCTCCTCCTCAGTCGTGTTATAATCAATCTCAGGTGTGCTCGTGAGCGGTTCAGTGACAATAGGTGTTACCTGAGTGGTAGTGGTGGTGGTGGCGTCTTGAATACACCGAAGCTCACAGGCGGGAAGGCATTGTGGAATGCATTGCGTCTGGGTTGGCGGCTTCTCAAGATACTGCTCGACGCAGACTTGAAGGCAAAGCGGCTGACAGGGAGGAATACATTGATTAAATGAAGCTTGAGTGGTGGTCGTCAGGGGAGTTGGATTGGTACATTGCGGAAGGCATTGGGGCATACAGCTGGGAATGCATTGAATCGGCGGCGGTGTTGTCAGAATTTGAGCATTCACCGTCGTCGCATCGACACACTGCGGAAGGCATTGGGGCATACAACTCGGAATGCATTGAATCGGCGGCGGTGTCGTCTGGATTTGAACATTCACCGGCGTCGGATTGGTACACGATGGTAGGCATTGGGGCATACACGCGGGAACACATTGCGCGGCGACTTGGATGATCGTCGGCGTTTGGGCTTGCACAACGGGCACCGTGTTGGGATTCGTGCAGTCCGATGAGCACGCCGGCATACACGCCGGAATGCACACCTTGACGACGGGAATTGGCGCGGCGGTGGTGGCGGTGGTGCGGATGGTGGTGTCGCATGGGAGCTGACATGCGGTGGAGCACGACGCCGCGCAGACCGACTGTGGCGTCGACTGGCACGCGCCGATGCAACGGTTTTCGCATTGCGATTGGCATGATGGCTGAATCGGCACCTGTGTGGTTCGAACCGCGCACTGATTGCTGCATTGATTGCCGCATGAGTTGGAGCACGCGCTCGCCGGGTTTCCTTGGGAAACGCACTGCGAATGGCACGCCTGTGTGCATTTCGTGTCGCAATTCGTGTCGAAATATCGATCATTGATGTCCATCGTGATTCGGATCGTTGGCGTCGTCACTGAAACGAAAATCGACACGCTATCTTGAGAATTCGCGAATCTCACATTGTTCGTTGGTGGCGCATCTGAACGTGCACGACTGTTTGCACGTGCGCTGACAAATCGCCGGCGGCGAGTTCTGCGAAACGCACGCGCCCTGGCACACGTTCTGGCACACCGATTGGCACGAGTCCAATGGTTGTGGAGCTGGTGATGGCTGCGAGATCTGGAAGAAGGCTTCGCTTCAATCAAGTTGATCGATTCAACCCAACCTTGATGTGAATGGCGGCCTGCTGAGCGGCAGAGCTGCAAGTCTTCTGGCAAGTGTTCTCGCATTGCGATGAGCATGTGAAGGTGTTGCCAGTGGTCTTGGCGCACGCTGGAATGCAAGCACGCACGCATACCGCCGAACAGTCAGAATTCTAGAAAATCGATTCGTCCAAATTGAAAAATGAATTGGAATCGTGCGATTACAATTTCGGCTCTTGGGCATTGCGGCAGGCAGGCGGGCGCCTGCTGGCACGAGCACGTCGGCTGATTCGACTGAATGAAGTACGTCGGCGACTGATTGCAATTGCAAAAATTGGTGCATCCGCATTGCCTCTTGAGTCGTCGTCCCTAAAACTCAATTGTTTGCTTGTTGTTTTCCAATGTTTCAAATGTCGACTATGAACCCCCCACTATCGTGTTTTTATGTACACACACACACACTTGGAGTGATTTCGTGAGAAATGCCTCTTGAGCAGCATTGTGCTTTTGCTCATTGATTTAATCGAAACATGGATCGCTGTACTAAGCAGCTAGTTCGTGCTCATCCCTCTTCCTCGCCCTTCAACTCGCCATATTTGAAAATGTCTCAAGTGGGGCGGACTCCACTTGATTATGCGCTCGAATCGCTTCCCCCCAATTGCGATTTAATTGATTATATATCCTGTTGATTTAGGCGTCCGCGCGGAAGTGTCGAATTTGATCAAATACGAACAAATAAAGAGAAATGAAGCAAAAAAAACGGCTACATTTCCATTCCGGTTTTTTTTTCGCCGCGTGCCGCCGCCAACACCGATAATGAGCTACGCGGAAAATAAGCGTTCGTTTAGCCGATCTCATCTGCGGACAATTTACGCGTTGCGCTTTTTTGGGGAAAACTGGATAATGCGAAAAAACGGACAATTTGCGTCGATTAATTTTATCTCTAGAATGCCATTTGAATTACCGCCTCAAAAAAATGTGCAATGGTCCACATTTGTCTTAACGTTAAAAATTGCTTTGTCTTAAAAAAAAGGAAAAATGGCTACTTATATGAGACCATTAATATATTGGAATACGGTATTTAAAGGCGCACGCGGTTCGCTTTTCTTCCAGAGACCCAACTTTAATTTTGAATGAATTTTCGCGGGGTGCGCGCGCGCGGGTTTCGGTTGGGCATCGTCGTGTCACGCTTTTCTAATTCATTCCATCCACCGTCTCCAGTTTCACAATTTCCAAAGCGAGCACAACATGACCTTCAGAGAGGGGGGGAGGGGGGTTGGTGGAGGTGAACACGACAAACAAAAAAGGTTGAGCCTAAAATCGGCGGAGAGGAAACAGCACATCAAACAAGAAGTGTTGTGTGTCGCCAAAAATTCAATGGTTTCCATAAATAGCGAAACGCTGATGATGATTTTAAGAATCGCAATTCCAGACATTCATATTTCAGGATCCGACGCGTTTTTTCTTCAAGACTTACTGCTGACGCGACGCCGACAAGGCAGAACAATAATAGGAATATGTAGCCGCGTGATGGCACCATCATTTGGTGATGCTATACAATCGATCAATGGTGGATGGTGGTAGGGTGAATAGCTGATCTCGTTGCCTCAATGATAGATGCTCAAAAGTGCCCCCGAGGCTTCGGTGGCGGAAAAATGAGCAAAATGGTAGGCGGAGTCCGCGCGGCTCGCCGGCCGCCGCCGCCGCAGCCGGCGAGCCTCCCAATTTTTGGTGCTCGCGCCGCGTGAATGTATTTGTGCAGTGTGAGCCGAGAAATGATTCAAACAAGAGAGAGAGAGAGAGAGATCGGGATAGTGTGTTTGTATGTTATTGCCATTTAAAGAACCCCCCCCTCCCAAAAAATGGAGAGCGCTTTTGTTCCCGTGCACAAAATGTTTCAAGATTCTCCGGCGACGGTGAGAGTTGGAGATCGCTTACAAGCTTCATCTCTCAATCGTCTCGTTGAGAACGACTATAGATACATGTCGTGGTTTGAGATGAATTCCGAAGATCCAGATCGACGTCGAAAATCCGTCAATCAGATTCATTATGTCTAGCAGGTTGAACTGATTGCTTCCTTTGAGTTAGGCCACCCAAGAGATCTCCAGACGAAAACTATAATTTCCAATTGTTAGTGGTTCCGAGTCGGTCGAGCCGCGTTCAGCTCATCGGGGGTCTCCTTGAATGAAGCTTCCAGAATTCCAGACCACGAATGTCGTGAATGCTTCGGAATCTCAAAAAAGTGATGCTCTCTGCATTTGGCTTGAATTCCAGTATTATTTGTTCAAAGCAATGCCGCCAGATCCGAAAGATTTCTGTTTTCAAAAATTGCTTGTTCCGGAAATTTTGTTGTTTTCCGTGGCCCACTTACAACACTCGTGCTTGTTGTGCATGCAGGTTATCAATCCACTCATCACCCCTCTAAGAGATACATATGCATTCAGAACGACGAACAGACAGCTCAGAGGAGAGAGAGAGACACACATAAAAAAATAATCCGGTTGTGTGCCGTTAACATCAATGCATACATGTATACACTAGTGTTCATCCATCCTTCGATCCATCCCATCAGCACAATCACAATGCTCTAATCATTTTGTTCTTGGCGGGAGGGGGGCTTTCGCGCGCGGATTGACGAGAAGATGCTCCCGGCGATAAACTGTTTGTTTTGGGAAACAGCAACAATAGAAGACGAGCGGCAAACTAGAGATTATTAAGAATGGTGGGAGGCGGGGTTAAAGGTCGCATTTGAATTTTGGTCTCCGCTGGAATTTGCTGTGCGCCTCTACAACAATGTCAGCGTGTCCTCGATGAACGTCCGCAGATGGAATCGAATAATAACAAATCTAGTGGAAATCGATGTTACCATCGAAGCACCATTTTCAATTTTCAAATTTCTATTGTAGGTCTCGTATGGAAAAAAAAAACACCTTTAAAAGTGGTATTTGCGATTTCCAATATGAAAAAGCTCATACTGTTTATGGAATTACTCATAAATGAATTTATTTACATCCCCATATTTGAAATTTTTTCCATTTACTCCATAAAAGCGGTCCTTATTCATATTCCAAACAATTTTACAATTTAAAAAAAATCATCAAATGATTTATTTTAGTTCCAAATAATACGAATAAATAGATATGTCTAAATTTGTACTATAAAAACAAATTCTAGACGACACAATTTCGAGATTTTTTTTTTGACTAAACAATTATCAAAAAAAATGAATGAAAGAATGAAATGTACAGGCATTATCAAATATCGTTTAATAAATTATGATCGCCTCGTCGCGAACTCCTCTTTCGTCTTCATTCGACGCCGCAATTTCGCCTGACACACCGGATAGCACGTCGTTTGGCACGCCGCCATGCATTGTTGTCCGCCTTGGGCGGAATGTGCTCCGCATTGGTGCTCACATTGAACCTGTGAGAGCGAGAGTCATTGTTTGTTCACTTCCATTTTTTTTATTGCTTTCGAGTTTTCGAATTATTGAGGCGAGACGCGATGGAAACACTCGACAACACAACGACGATTAGGCTTACCGTACACTCGTTCTTGCACACCGTTCCCAAATTGAGGACCACTGAAGGTGGTGTAGTCGTCGTCGTCGTCGTCGTCGGCGTCGTCGCTGCAACAAAAATCATATTGCGCTGGAATCGTCGAGGATTGTCTCACATTCCTGAATAAAGAGGGATGGCGAGACGGGCGGAATCGGAAGGATGACTGCCTGTGATGCGGGCTGCTTCTCGCTCTGCGCCAACGCCAGTTGAAGCTGAAACCTTCGAACAATAATACAATTTGGGTTCGCCGTCGAACGGCACCTGTACAGTGAAGACGCATTGCGGTGTGCACGCCGGCATACAGGTGGCGATGCACTGAGCCGCTGGCGCTTGGGTGGTGGTCGTTGTGCTGATGATTGGCCGGACGATCGAGCAGGTGTCGTCACAAGCTGGCGCGCAATTCACTCGGCATTCGGTTAGCGGAACTCCCGATGACCTAGAGAGCTCAGATTTTTCATTTTCAATTCTCGCCATCGATTCTTACGAGCACACCGCCAGACAGGCGCTGCTACACGACGATCGACATGTGGCCACATCGGTCTTCGAGTCGAACATGGTTCCGATGACGCGAAGCGTTGGACGAAGTTTGGTGCAGACGAAGTTGCACGTCGGCTGACATTCGGCCGGACACACGCCGGTGGTGGTTGTCGTCTGAACAGCGGCGGCGGGAATCACGAATCGATATTCCTTGATGTTGGCCGGCAACGGGACCATCGGCGTCGACGATGACGGTGGCGGAGTTGGCGGCGCCGTTGTTGTCGTTGTCGTGACCGTCTCCTGTTTGGCGCACGTGAATCGGCAAGCGTCAAGGCAAACCTGAAAGCAAAATGGTCATGATTGAATTGTTCGAAGTTCCCTACCACTCCGCACTTGGAATTCAGATTCAAACGATTGCACGAGTCAAGACAATTGTTCTGGCAGGTTTCGACGCAGACGTACGGCTTCATCAGCGAAGAAAAATTCGGAGCAGTGATGATCTGTTGCTGAATTTGAAGCAATCAAGGATGGTAATCAACGACGCCTTCCTTACCACACCTCCCTCGCGACACGTACATTTCGGAGGCACTGGAGCCGAACAAGTGCATATCATCTGACCAGCGCCGGCCTCCGCAACTGGCATCACCTATTCAAAATATGAATCGTTTTTGATGAGCCGTCGGCTCGCCGTCTCACCTGACAACCGCATTTTGGCGGCTCACCCGGCGTGCATTCGCATGATTGTCGCTTGTCGCGCGGCAACGCCGACGCGACGTCGACAACGACGACGACGAATCCGATGAGACGAACGAAGCGCATTGGTGGTTTGGCGGCTCGAATGCCGAAAGGGAATGTCGCATTATTTTTGCAATTGCCGCGCGCGAGCGCCGCCCCACAATTATCGCCTTGTTAATGAGCGGCTTAGTCGCATGATAAACATCGCAAGAAGCGCGGCTCGGGCTCGGCGAGGAACGGAACGCGGCGCAATACGCACGACGCTTTTTTTGGTGAATGTCTGGCCGAACAAGTTATGCATCGAGCAGAAATCAAGGATATCCTTTCTCAATACTTCAATCATACCTCTAGCCCTAGGCGGATTCACGCAGGATTATTGAAGACACGGGATCAAGCACCCTTAAGATACCCCCACCAGTCACTGGCATCCTCAAGATTCCCCAAGATCATTGGGACCCTTAACATCACCCCAAGTCACTGGCACCCTCAAGATTCCCCCAAGGCCGCTGATACCCTCAAGATCCCACCCTCAAGATTCCTCTAAGATCGCTGACATCCCCCAAGATCCCCAAGATCATTGGCAATGCTCAATGGTAGTTCGCAATCAAATACTGATGCTCAAAAGTGCCCCCGAGGCTTCGGTGGCGGAAAAATGAGCAAAATGGTAGGCGGAGTCCGCGCGGCTCGCCGGCCGCCGCCGCCGCAGCCGGCGAGCCTCCCAATTTTTGGTGCTCGCGCCGCGTGAATGTATTTGTGCAGTGTGAGCCGAGAAATGATTCAAACAAGAGAGAGAGAGAGAGATCGGGATAGTGTGTTTGTATGTTATTGCCATTTAAAGAACCCCCCCCTCCCAAAAAATGGAGAGCGCTTTTGTTCCCGTGCACAAAATGTTTCAAGATTCTCCGGCGACGGTGAGAGTTGGAGATCGCTTACAAGCTTCATCTCTCAATCGTCTCGTTGAGAACGACTATAGATACATGTCGTGGTTTGAGATGAATTCCGAAGATCCAGATCGACGTCGAAAATCCGTCAATCAGATTCATTATGTCTAGCAGGTTGAACTGATTGCTTCCTTTGAGTTAGGCCACCCAAGAGATCTCCAGACGAAAACTATAATTTCCAATTGTTAGTGGTTCCGAGTCGGTCGAGCCGCGTTCAGCTCATCGGGGGTCTCCTTGAATGAAGCTTCCAGAATTCCAGACCACGAATGTCGTGAATGCTTCGGAATCTCAAAAAAGTGATGCTCTCTGCATTTGGCTTGAATTCCAGTATTATTTGTTCAAAGCAATGCCGCCAGATCCGAAAGATTTCTGTTTTCAAAAATTGCTTGTTCCGGAAATTTTGTTGTTTTCCGTGGCCCACTTACAACACTCGTGCTTGTTGTGCATGCAGGTTATCAATCCACTCATCACCCCTCTAAGAGATACATATGCATTCAGAACGACGAACAGACAGCTCAGAGGAGAGAGAGACACACATAAAAAAATAATCCGGTTGTGTGCCGTTAACATCAATGCATACATGTATACACTAGTGTTCATCCATCCTTCGATCCATCCCATCAGCACAATCACAATGCTCTAATCATTTTGTTCTTGGCGGGAGGGGGGCTTTCGCGCGCGGATTGACGAGAAGATGCTCCCGGCGATAAACTGTTTGTTTTGGGAAACAGCAACAATAGAAGACGAGCGGCAAACTAGAGATTATTAAGAATGGTGGGAGGCGGGGTTAAAGGTCGCATTTGAATTTTGGTCTCCGCTGGAATTTGCTGTGCGCCTCTACAACAATGTCAGCGTGTCCTCGATGAACGTCCGCAGATGGAATCGAATAATAACAAATCTAGTGGAAATCGATGTTACCATCGAAGCACCATTTTCAATTTTCAAATTTCTATTGTAGGTCTCGTATGGAAAAAAAAAACACCTTTAAAAGTGGTATTTGCGATTTCCAATATGAAAAAGCTCATACTGTTTATGGAATTACTCATAAATGAATTTATTTACATCCCCATATTTGAAATTTTTTCCATTTACTCCATAAAAGCGGTCCTTATTCATATTCCAAACAATTTTACAATTTAAAAAAAATCATCAAATGATTTATTTTAGTTCCAAATAATACGAATAAATAGATATGTCTAAATTTGTACTATAAAAACAAATTCTAGACGACACAATTTCGATTTTTTTTTTTTGACTAAACAATTATCAAAAAAAATGAATGAAAGAATGAAATGTACAGGCATTATCAAATATCGTTTAATAAATTATGATCGCCTCGTCGCGAACTCCTCTTTCGTCTTCATTCGACGCCGCAATTTCGCCTGACACACCGGATAGCACGTCGTTTGGCACGCCGCCATGCATTGTTGTCCGCCTTGGGCGGAATGTGCTCCGCATTGGTGCTCACATTGAACCTGTGAGAGCGAGAGTCATTGTTTGTTCACTTCCATTTTTTTTATTGCTTTCGAGTTTTCGAATTATTGAGGCGAGACGCGATGGAAACACTCGACAACACAACGACGATTAGGCTTACCGTACACTCGTTCTTGCACACCGTTCCCAAATTGAGGACCACTGAAGGTGGTGTAGTCGTCGTCGTCGTCGTCGTCGGCGTCGTCGCTGCAACAAAAATCATATTGCGCTGGAATCGTCGAGGATTGTCTCACATTCCTGAATAAAGAGGGATGGCGAGACGGGCGGAATCGGAAGGATGACTGCCTGTGATGCGGGCTGCTTCTCGCTCTGCGCCAACGCCAGTTGAAGCTGAAACCTTCGAACAATAATACAATTTGGGTTCGCCGTCGAACGGCACCTGTACAGTGAAGACGCATTGCGGTGTGCACGCCGGCATACAGGTGGCGATGCACTGAGCCGCTGGCGCTTGGGTGGTGGTCGTTGTGCTGATGATTGGCCGGACGATCGAGCAGGTGTCGTCACAAGCTGGCGCGCAATTCACTCGGCATTCGGTTAGCGGAACTCCCGATGACCTAGAGAGCTCAGATTTTTCATTTTCAATTCTCGCCATCGATTCTTACGAGCACACCGCCAGACAGGCGCTGCTACACGACGATCGACATGTGGCCACATCGGTCTTCGAGTCGAACATGGTTCCGATGACGCGAAGCGTTGGACGAAGTTTGGTGCAGACGAAGTTGCACGTCGGCTGACATTCGGCCGGACACACGCCGGTGGTGGTTGTCGTCTGAACAGCGGCGGCGGGAATCACGAATCGATATTCCTTGATGTTGGCCGGCAACGGGACCATCGGCGTCGACGATGACGGTGGCGGAGTTGGCGGCGCCGTTGTTGTCGTTGTCGTGACCGTCTCCTGTTTGGCGCACGTGAATCGGCAAGCGTCAAGGCAAACCTGAAAGCAAAATGGTCATGATTGAATTGTTCGAAGTTCCCTACCACTCCGCACTTGGAATTCAGATTCAAACGATTGCACGAGTCAAGACAATTGTTCTGGCAGGTTTCGACGCAGACGTACGGCTTCATCAGCGAAGAAAAATTCGGAGCAGTGATGATCTGTTGCTGAATTTGAAGCAATCAAGGATGGTAATCAACGACGCCTTCCTTACCACACCTCCCTCGCGACACGTACATTTCGGAGGCACTGGAGCCGAACAAGTGCATATCATCTGACCAGCGCCGGCCTCCGCAACTGGCATCACCTATTCAAAATATGAATCGTTTTTGATGAGCCGTCGGCTCGCCGTCTCACCTGACAACCGCATTTTGGCGGCTCACCCGGCGTGCATTCGCATGATTGTCGCTTGTCGCGCGGCAACGCCGACGCGACGTCGACAACGACGACGACGAATCCGATGAGACGAACGAAGCGCATTGGTGGTTTGGCGGCTCGAATGCCGAAAGGGAATGTCGCATTATTTTTGCAATTGCCGCGCGCGAGCGCCGCCCCACAATTATCGCCTTGTTAATGAGCGGCTTAGTCGCATGATAAACATCGCAAGAAGCGCGGCTCGGGCTCGGCGAGGAACGGAACGCGGCGCAATACGCACGACGCTTTTTTTTGGTGAATGTCTGGCCGAACAAGTTATGCATCGATCAGAAATCAAGGATATCCTTTCTCAATACTCCAATCATACCTCTAGCCCTAGGCGGATTCACGCAGGATTATTGAAGACACGGGATCAAGCACCCTTAAGATACCCCCACCAGTCACTGGCATCCTCAAGATTCCCCAAGATCATTGGGACCCTTAACATCACCCCAAGTCACTGGCACCCTCAAGATTCCCCCAAGGCCGCTGATACCCTCAAGATCCCACCCTCAAGATTCCTCTAAGATCGCTGACATCCCCCAAGATCCCCAAGATCATTGGCAATGCTCAATGGTAGTTCGCAATCAAATACTGATGCTCAAAAGTGCCCCCGAGGCTTCGGTGGCGGAAAAATGAGCAAAATGGTAGGCGGAGTCCGCGCGGCTCGCCGGCCGCCGCCGCCGCAGCCGGCGAGCCTCCCAATTTTTGGTGCTCGCGCCGCGTGAATGTATTTGTGCAGTGTGAGCCGAGAAATGATTCAAACAAGAGAGAGAGAGAGAGAGATCGGGATAGTGTGTTTGTATGTTATTGCCATTTAAAGAACCCCCCCCTCCCAAAAAATGGAGAGCGCTTTTGTTCCCGTGCACAAAATGTTTCAAGATTCTCCGGCGACGGTGAGAGTTGGAGATCGCTTACAAGCTTCATCTCTCAATCGTCTCGTTGAGAACGACTATAGATACATGTCGTGGTTTGAGATGAATTCCGAAGATCCAGATCGACGTCGAAAATCCGTCAATCAGATTCATTATGTCTAGCAGGTTGAACTGATTGCTTCCTTTGAGTTAGGCCACCCAAGAGATCTCCAGACGAAAACTATAATTTCCAATTGTTAGTGGTTCCGAGTCGGTCGAGCCGCGTTCAGCTCATCGGGGGTCTCCTTGAATGAAGCTTTCCAGTCCCGCTACCATATATGGTCGGCAAATTGACGATCGAAAATCGTCGAGAAATTGTGCTGTCTGTGCGGCGTCGGCGCGAAAATCGAAATGTTTCTGGCCACTTACAAAATACACACATATAGACACACACACACACAACAGATTTTTTGGCTTTTGTTTGTATGCATGTACCGGAGAGGAGGGGAGAGGGAAGCATTATTCGAGCTTTATGTACATTTATTTACACACCAAAACATAAATATTGCGATTACATTCCTCTCAACGCCTACACTCGACAGCATTGTGGTCCGCATTTTGAATAGCCGACGGCGCACGTGCATCTCGAGCCTGTCGGAACGCACGGGATCACCAGTGTGCTAGCGTTGTTGCACGTCGAGCGGCACGTTTGACGGCAAGCCGGCAGACAGATTTGGGCGGTGCTCGTCGCCTGGCAGCTGTTGGTACACGTGTTCACGCAACCCTTCTCGCAGGCGCTCTGCAAAAAAAAACCTCACGGCACATCAGAAGTGTGGATTTTCTAGACTGAGTACCAACACAACAGCGGTGGTGGTGGTGGTGATGGGAGCTGCGCAAGAGTTGCCCGAGCATGAGCACGAGGCGAGACACGTGCTCTGGCACGTCTGGCGGCACACCGGCGTCGTGCAGGCGATGGCGCATTGCTGAAATTCGATTTCAATCTGGAATCGCGCACATTTCCGATTCTCACATTCTGACAGCTGTTCTGACAGCTTCTTCCACTCGTCGATGGCAGCACAATGACAATCGGATTCGAGTTGGTGCTGCACGCATTATTGCACGAGTTTGAGCACGCTGTAATGACGTCAATTCTGGGCGTCTGAAAGAAACCGCTTACTTGTTGAGCATGACGGCGTCGTGCAGATCTGAAGGCACTTGGCTTGGCACGACGATTGGCACGGGTTGACATTGGCGCACAACGATGCGCAGCTATTCGTCTGGCACGTCTGAATGCACGATGGAGTTGTGCACGCCGTGGCGCACGCCTGCTGGCACGATGAGCAGCTCGGTGTGAGCACGGTCACCGTCGAGCATTGCTGATGACATTGATTGGAGCACTGCGAGCTGCACAACGGTGTTGTGCACGACGATTGGCATCGAGCCATACAGATGGGCACACAGAATGCCGTCGGCGGGCCGCAACACGACGACGTCGCCGCGTTGCAGCATTGTCGCTTCACACGACTCAACGCCGTCGCATCGAGAATCGTCAACGCGAGCAAAACGACGAGTTGCCGCATTTGGTGAGAAAATGTCATTTCGAGTGCGCCGCGCTTAAATATTTCGTGACCGGAATGTGTCAAAACCGAGGAGGCCGAGGGTGAGGCTCCCAACCGTACAATTGCAGCCCTCCTCCCTCCCTCCCCCCAGAGCTAGCTGTGCTCCAGCCCTCCCACCCGTCGCGGAAGTGCGCGAATAAACACATTTTCAAATTCTCGCTTTTTTTTGCGCACTACCATATTCGGGCTAGGCTTGTTGCCAAAAATTTGTCGAACACATCAAACAACGCTCGCGAAATCCGTGATGACGTCGATCAAGTGGCTCGCAGAAACCCAAAACTTCAAACATTTGAAACCATGGTCGTAACCTTCAAAAATCGTTGCGTGATCAAACCATCCCATTCCGCATCATATGATGGATGAGAGAGACGCAGGAATCGTTATCAAAAAAAAACCCTCCAAACCAAACGCAAACATTTTCGCGATTCTTCAAGATTCAGCGTGTGTTCGAACTTGTCAAAATCATACCGTTGGTGCGGTTTGTTCGGCGTCATCCGATTGACAACCCCCGGCCGTGGTTTGTGTTTTTGGGCAGTCTAGTCTAGTCGCCCAACCAAAAATAGATGGACGGCTAAAAATATCAAATCTCACATCACATCACCGAAAAATAAAGACGCGTTTTCATTCAAACGTAAAGGTCAGTTAATGGTTCATCCGTCTTCTCGACACTTCGCAACGGCGATCTCACACGATTCTGGGCGGTGAGCCGTGGGACATTGGGCTCGGCGATCAGCGGAAGTGCTGATCTTCTTGTGGCAATGTTGCGATCCGAGATTGGCAGCACTACGCTGGTCAATCGTTGATAGACAGCCATTGAAGCGATTGCCTAAAACGGAATTACCGTAATTCAAACAATGAGATTGTGCTACCGTAGCCAGTACGCATTGAAGCGCGTTCAACACCAACACGATATCGGCAATCCAGCATTGCGACTCGCTGAGCCTCAACTGCTTGCTGAGCTCGTGACACTGATGATGCGACATCTGATTGACGACATAGTGAACGACATGGAACAAATTGAACATGGCGTAGATGAAAGCGAAGAGGTTGAAGACCAATGTGAACACCACCATATGTCTCTTTTTTGAGAACGCTCCAAAGATCGATATGACAGCGAAGGCGATGACAAGCACATCTGGAAGTTGACAAGAGTCGTCCGATTCAAACAAGCCAAATCTTACTAAGGAACGGAATGCTTAATTCCAAATCGGGAACGATTCGAAGAGCATTCTCAATCACTATGTACGAATTCTCGGTGATGAAGAAGAGCGCGATGAGAATGCTGAATGGAAGTTCGCAAGCGGCAAGGAAATGGCTCATCTGAAAAAAATTGTTGTTTTTTTGGTAAAAGGGCTCCGAGTTGAATACCGTATCTGGTCAGTTGAAGTCAGTTGAGCAAGTAATTCAGATTTCGAATTAAACACGCCGGTGGGAATGAGACGAGAGGTCGTGTTGGCATCAAGAGTTCACGCAAAAATTTAATTTCTCGAGTTTTTTTGTTGTGAAAATTGATTTATTTCGACATATTAGGTAATGACAAGCAGCTTCACTTCCGATTCGCACCGCAATTCGTCGATGTCGGCGATTCTAAGTTTCTCGGCTGCCGCGAATCATCGTCTAAACACCATATTCCAAATATGGGTGACCATGAGGGTGGTTTTTTTTTTGAAACCTGTTTGATATCCTCGCAACATGTTGTCTACTAATTGCTTCGCTTTTTGATCGCTAGCTCCCAGAGGGATCTCGCCCAATCGACAATCATATTTCGAATACGGTGGCCCGGATTCCATTTTAAGGAATGCGGCGAGGAAGCGTTACGTGAGATCACATTACTTTATTTATATTTATTTATTTGTCATTTCTCGCCTAGGCGTCCGCGCGAGAATTCTCGAGTGTTCTCTCAACGATCTGGATCATCGCCAATAATCAAAACCCCAATGTTCTGGTGGCCATATGACCAACCGTGTTGCTATTTCGAGCGCAACTCGACAGTAGCACAAGCTCACTTTGCAATTCAATTGTTCTATTTGCCAAATTCCATTCGCCGCGTCTGTCGTCTCCACAGTCTCGACCGATCTCTTGAGACGAGCCGTCAGTAACTCGTCCAACAGTATCGAACTTTTTTGCGAGAGCAAAGAAAAAAAATAAAAACGACGAATGGAAAGAAGACGCACGGTGATTGGTGTTGGAATCAATAAACCATTGAAACAAAATCAATAATGCTTTGTTTAATTTTGCTCGTTTCACACGTGCTTTCGTTGTTCGCTCGACTCCATGGATTATAGCAGAAAATGTTACGGTACACCTCATGAATATTCAAACGACCGTGTGTAAATGTCAAAAAAAAATAACCTTTAATGGGAAACGCCGACCGGGAACATTCGAATTCACACTGAAAACGAATAACAATAATTTTTAACTAGAAGATTCCTCATAAATTGTTTGTGTAACTTTTAACTTGACGTGACTTTCGCTTCGAGAATCCGCGTCCGGCAAATTGTCGTCAATATTGTTATCTGGCTTCGTTGGCGTGCTAATCTCGCCGTTTTGTGACCGGAACAATTGCCTAGAATTGCACAATTTTTTTTTCAATGTAATCTTATCGACGGGTTCAAACGTGCAAGGAATGCTTTTCGTCACGGATCGTGGGAGAGTTCTCCGCGAAATTTATAGTTCTAGCAAGTTGGTCTTCATTTTTTTGACAAAAGAAATGAAAAATGAAATAAAACCAATGAAGTCGCGAATTTTAAAATTTATTAAAGTGGAAGAGAAATTTAATGGCCGCGCAATTTTAAGCCATGTTTTGAAATTAATTAATTATATAAATATTTTTTATAAATAATGTTTAATTAAAGACATTTCTAGCAACGCAATTCATACAAAAAACAGTGAAAAAAACAATAGTGAAACAAACAACACACTCCAAATCGCGGACTAGAAAATCGCGGCCGCACAATTCGGCGGTCATGCCAAACTACTTTATGTTCAACTTATGCACAATAAACTTCAATTTTACCAAAAATTGATAACATTTTGAACTTTTATGATATATTACGTGTTTCGTTATCATCACCATCTCCGGCGTCTTATCGCCCAAACATTTTTCAGCTAAATGGTGTGTTTTTTTGGCGCTCAGTTTCCCCCCGCGAATTCCACAAATTCATTCAGTCGCCAAATCGAAAATCCGGAGAGCTCGAAATGCGAAAGGATGATGGGATGGAGAGAAATTGTTTTAATCCGAGTTGTTTATTTTGGCGGCACCCCACCGCCAAAATCAACAGCCTACTGGCGCCATAGTGGTTTTTTCTGTGTTGTGCAATGTGCTCGGTCTCGCGCGCGCGCGCGAACTCCTCCCGTCGAGCCGCCGCCGACGAGACGCCGCCGGCCAAGCCGAAACCGTTACACACATACAAACAGTTATGAGTTTCGTCTCTCGTGATCGAAACGGTTTTGTGTCTGGATGCTCTCAATCTCAGCTCTCAGCTCTCGCGCGCGCGCGCGCGAAATCTCAAGTTTTGGCGCCATTTTGGCGTTTTTCAGGTGCTTCACTGACGTCATTTTTGTCTCGTCTCAAAAGATGTTTGGTCCGCTGAAAATGAAGCTAAAACAATTCGCTCACTCGCTATACTTTTTTCGACAAATGTTTTGCAAGCCAAGCTGTTCAAACAGCCGATTCTGCCCTCCGGATGCCATCCCACGTGTGTTGTAAAATCTATTTTAATGCACTAATAATACCATCACCAAATATGGTAAATTGCCGAGTAATCTTTTTGAGGTTTTGCTGAGATTCGTTCAAAACATTTTAAGCTTCAAAATGATTTATTATTTTATACAGTTTCATTCAAATAAAATACACACTAGCGTTGCGAATTAAGCGAGCTTTGCTTCGTTGAAGTGAGGGAATGAGTAATAATATTGTAACGAACGAATTCCATTGAATGGGGGTTTAAAAAAACAAATGCAACAGATTTGTACAAGTATTATATAATAAAGCATGTATTGTGGTGGATTGGTTGTGGGGAGAAAAGCGTAGCGAGACCCGTCGTTGAAAACCGCCAAACCTCTCTTCACTCTTTTGCCCATTTTTAGATGGACGTCGTCCAACGACGCTCGCCCGAGTCTGACAGACAAGTGACGCTGATCGTGCGCACGTTGCTGTTCTCCTCGTCGTCATCGCTGACGTCGAAGCTCTCCCATTGCTTATCGATCGAGATGATTTTGAACATCGATGAGACCTGCGAGATCGGCTCCGTCACCGCTTTGTCCTTTTTCGTCGGAATGCGGCGAGCCGCCGCCGGCTCCGAGGCGGTTCGTTGAGCGATCGCTTCAAATATCAGTTATGGAAAATCATATGAGTTGTGCGATCTTACATTCTTGATCCTGTTTCCTTTTCGATTGACGCATCACATTGCGACGAAGGGCTCCGTATCCATTCTGCGATACCGTCGCGAAATCGGGCTCCTCCTTTTTCGCCTCTTTGTTATGATTCTCATCGACGTCTTCCGACGATCCGCGATTACGCGATGGCCACACAAACCATTTGGGTCCCGTCTGAACCTCAATCACCTGCAATTCAAAAGAAAAAATAATGAATCACTCAAACGAATCTCAAAGACCCACCTTGAAGCGGAAGTCGCGTTTCGGACGCGCCGGCTTGATCTCTTCATTATTATTATTATTATGGTTGACAACGGCGGCCGACGACGACGATGCAACCGTGTTCGTGTTAACGCACATCATAGCGATTCTGAAATGACGACGAGTCTTAGTAATCGGTTTGAAATCAATTCGAGTTTCATTAAGGCTCGAAGAAAAGAGAGTCGGGGGGAATTGCGAATTTGCGGCTCGTTGGGGTGGGGTTACTATTAGTAGTGGCGGACGAATGGGGCGGATGGCTCTCAAAAGTGGGAGGGGGTTGATGGAGGGCGGGGCGATCGAGCATGGGACGCGAGGTGTTGGGGAGGCCGCCGCCGCCGCGCCGCCAGTCCATGTGACCTATGGTTTTGTTTGTGTTCATATCAGTGTTGCGGCGACGACGAGATGATTGAAAAGTGGAGTTCACGTGTACGCCGATGAGACGCAGATAGAAGAGAGCGAAATAAAAAAAATGAAACGGTCGCTCTTTTTTTTTCTCGCCTCATTTATTGGATTTGTATGGCCGATGTTTAAAAGCATGTGAATGATGGGCTCATGGGCAAAGGGCAATGATAAGCTTGAAACACAGGAAATTCGGATTAATGATTTAGAGGATCTCAAGTTTGTGCCCGCTAATCCCTACAAGAAGAAGCCCACCTCAAAAAAAAATTTTTTTTTGTCTTCAACAAAAACTTTTTTGTTGTTATCAAAACAATGTTGATTTTATGATCTTTGAATTTATTGGTGTTCGCTTTCAAACAGTCTACAAGTTGTTCTTGAATTTCGAGACTCTCATATGTGACGTCAGAGAAAAAAAAAACTACTACTACTACTAAATTGCGTGGGTACGAATGGAATCAATCCCCTCGGTGGAGAAGAAGCGCCCCGCTTAATTAATTCAGCTCGCCAGCGTGCAGAAGGCAAAAATAATACGATTCCAATTTTATGGCAGTGGCCACTTTAGCGCACAGCAAGAGAGAAGAAAAAAAAACGCATTCGACAAAGGAATGATGAGATGGGAAATTTGAGAGGTTCTCGCCTTATGAGGGGGTGGGCGTTCGAAAGGCTTCTCGCCAAAAAAAAATATTTTGCCCAGATATTGAATTCATTCTACAACTGTTGCGAGGAACAGGAAACGGATAGCCATTTTAATTTAAGATATTTAAATCCTGCGGTTACGGTACAAATCTCGGTGCATACACACACACTAGAGTTGACGCGCATTTACACTAAATTGTTGAAATGATTGTCTTACGAGGGAGGTCTTTTTTGCTGTCCGTCTTAAATTTTTTTATTTTTTGCATACAGATTCTTTAAAAAATTTCTAATTTACATTACATTTGTACGCAAAATTCACGTGGAAATTGGCTAAAAATTTGAAGGTCCATATCTCGATAAGTAGAAGTTTGCGCAGGTAGGGACCTAGTTCATTCGATTGGAAATTTTCTATCGAATCTGTATGCAAAAAACAAAAGAAAATTTAATACGGACAGCAAAAATTCCTCATTTGTTAGGCCCAAAAACCCCGTTGTTTTGAATTCTTGCATTTATATTTATTTTTATTCTATTTTTCGCTCCTCTGCAAATTGTTGTCTAATATATAATTGAGATAAATACTCATTGGAGGAGCCGACTTTTACAACAACAACAAACCGAGTTCAACAAGTCGCGCCATATATGTATTGACTTCAAAAATTTGGTAGATTTATACCTTGAGGAGAAAATAAAAAAACGAAAAAAAAATTCCCCATCAAATTTTGGGCACTTCTAATCATGCTTTCCATTTTTTTTTTCGAGAAAAATTAATCAATTCGATATTTGATTCTTCGGAATATGTTGAAAATAGAATTCGATGAAATGTTGAATGTTCGAACTATAAATGTTCAAAAAAACCTTCTAAATATGTACGTACATTGAATGTTTGATTTTCGATACACTTGTTGAAATTGATAATTGATGATGAGGATGTTGCTGCGCGGCGGCGACGACGACGAAATTGGGTGCAAAATGGCCGTATATGATACGACATTGATTTTTGGAACTTTCGAGGAATGTTTTGTGGAACTCTGGTCATTTCACAACAAAAAAAAATAAAAACCATTGAGTAGGAACGAAAGGGTCCCCTCCAAAATAATTGGAAAATCCGAAAGCGGCGGAATGTGAACGAGAGGAAGGGTTGGGTTGTACGTATAATATCATGGGCCGCCCGTTATCGGGCACCGACCGAACGGAACGGAACGGACGAACGAACGAACGGAAGGACGGACGGAATGGCGGAGGGTGTGTGTGTGTATGCGCGCAGCAATGAAGAGAGACACCGCGCGCCGCTGAGACGGCCGCTTATTATTAAAGGACGATGACCTAGGCTCGACTTTTAAAGAGAACCCCCTCCCCAACGTCCTAGTGGTAAACAACATTTGCTCGGCCGCAATTGCGATGAATAATGAGTTGCGGGAATGCGCGCCGGTTTTTTTTTTCAAAAATTTTATTAAATTATTATTGCAAACTTTGATTTTTTACCTTTTTTTAATCGCATCACAATTTATTCTTTAATATGAATAACTTATTTTAAATTTTTCTTAAAAGAATTTTATCGCAATTTTTATTATCGTTATGATTTTAGGGTGGCCGAGGTTTTTTACCAAATTCTCGGCCATTGCCTACTGTACTCTCGAAACGAACTTTTTCTTTTTTTTTGTTTGCTAGAAGTTAAGAATAGTTTGTTCAAACATCTTTTAACCCTATTTTTACGATGAAGGAGGGTGAGGGGGGGGGGTCCCTCTAATATTTGAATAACCGCATTTTGATATTTTCTAAATGTCGGCCACCTCCTTAATATATGAAACAGTCAGACAATTCGTCAGAATTCCCCCCCCCCGGCAAAAATAAAAATATTCGAATGAATATGACGAATTTGCTGAATTACTAATTCCTTCCTTCTTGAAGAAAATGATGCCAAAATGCTCGAATGCCTTCAAACACGTTTTTTATTTTCTCTCCGATATGACCAAGCGAGAATTGCTGATCTTCTGGTATCAATTCTCATCAGTTGGCACGTGAATTGCGGGGGCTTTTCTCGGCCGCGTCTCGTCGCGAAAAAAGGCTCCTCAATACCGTATCGATCACAACCATAATTGGCTATCAAAATGATGTCACCGTATATTGCAACCCAACCAAAAAAAAAAATTCAAGTGAAATGTTCTTTGCTGGGTGCAATCGACCTCGTGGCGCCAAAAACCGGGTGCGAAGGTGTGTTCGCTCGTTGCATCAAACAAAAATTGGATGTACAGAAGATCAGAAACCGACACGCAACAATTTTGGTATTCGTGAATACAAGGAAGTCTCGATGAGGATGTCCATTTAAAATGGAAATGAGAAAAATCTGGTAATTTTTGCAAAACTGGGGGGGGGTCTCAAATATCATTAAAAAAAACCGGGTCTCATCAAAAGAAAGGCTCGATTTCAATTTGTGTTACAAAAGTTGGACGGTTTTTGGGAGCGAAATGAGGGTTTGTTCGATTTAGCTGAAATTACACTGTCGTATTGTGTTGACCGATACGCATTATCTTCAACGATAATCTTCTCATTCTTGTTCACATTGAAATGGAAACAAGCTTATTACAATATCCTACACAGGTTTCGGCTTATTATTTGGCATATATTGAAGATCATATTCACGTGATCCGTCAATGAAGCTAATTGTTCAAAGGTCTTGAAGAGAAGAATACTGTAATAGAAATTAATGTATGACTGTACTAATGAATTTCGCAAAAATAATTTTGCCAATCGCGTCAAAACCATTAAAAAGCGGATTCACTTCAAGAATCCTAACCAATTTGAGTATAGTATGCTCCTTTAAGAAGGTGGAGTTTCGTTTAAAAAGAAAACTAATGTGACCTATTGAAAAAAATTATAGAAATTTTCAGAAACCCCTTGTGTCCTTAACTTATCGCTTTTATTTGATTGTTTTCGATTTTGATATATCTGGAAAACCAGTTGGAAGGTCTCGAAACGAATAATGAGGCATTCAATGGCGAAATGAATTGAAAATACGAATCGGGTCTCAATTGGAAAATTTCAAAATGAGAGGACCGCAAAAATTCGCCCACTCAAAAAAGGGCACCATCAAACCAATTGCGTCGGTTTCAATTGGAACAAAATTGGTTTAAAAGCAACATAAAGGAAGAAACGAGGAAGGAGAAGCGGGGCGACTAGGGCCGAGCACACAACTCAATTGGGAGGGGGCTCCAACGAACGGCGCCCAACTATGTCTATGTCTTTTTTTGTCTTCGAGAAAATGAGCAACGAAATTTTGAGAATCGAGTGCGTGTTCAAACAGAAGTCGAACATTTTATACAATCTATTTCGATTGTGCAACCTTTGAACTCGAAACCTCACAAGTTCGTTTTTGTTGATTTTGAGGATAACTGGAAACCGGGCCGGGTGGCGTGCAAAAAAATATTTGCAATATACAACATACAAAAAGTGTACCAAGTGATAGCAAATTTGTCGGCTCACATGATTCGAATAAACAAAATCCGTTGGCAGGTTTTTTTTTGTGTCGCCAAATATGTATATTTATAGATGGGCGGTGGGTTACACAAACTTGCCAAAAAACAATTGGGAGGTGCCCATGCCATTCCACAAAAAAAATACACACATTTTTTTTCTAAATTGAAGACAACAACAAAAACAACAAAAAATATGCGTTATTGTTTTTTTTTTCCCGCCACATCCTCTTTTGTTGGTTTTAATTCATTTTTGCATTCGCCCGTTTCCAATGTCTGTCGGTCTTTTCTTTTTTTGCAAATTCGAAAGAACACTAGTTGGCTGACGTCTCAAAGCCATCGAGGGAACACCAATTGCACTTGGATTGGATGCACCCGGCGCGCAAAAAAATATTTACGATATTCGAAACGAATGGAAATAAAAAACGAGTCTATGGAATTTTTTTTTGGTGGGGGTTGAAGGAAATTCCGAATTGGGGGACTATAATTGGGAGGCTGAGAATAATTGGGCCAACAAATTTCTAGCAAAAAAGGCTTCTTGAAATTTTGCAAGAAGTGAAATCGAAAAAGCGCATAGAAAAATTGGTCGAGACACTTTCAAACCAAAAAAAAAAAATAAAAAAATAAAAATGCAAGTGCGGCACACAAATAGGAAGAGAAACTGAAAGTTCGGCACACTACCATTGGCTAATTTCGAAAAATAGTTTGCAATGCTTCTCGGTGAAATTGAGACCCGCGGATTGGGTCGGAACAAATTTTTCCGGATACTTTAATTTTCTAAAAACGGAAGACGGAAGGCGGGACAAAAAATCTAACTCGAATACTTTAAAATTAACAGTGCAGAATGTGAGAGCTTCCAAGTGCTCAAAAGGACCTTCATTTTTTTTTTCGCTTCGCTAGACGTGCTAGGAGTTGAGAAATACGAAGTTGCGACTTTTCTTCTGATATTTGGTATTTGAAATCGTAAACCCATGCAAAATAAACATATTAATTTAGTGCAACTTAATTAAATTAACTAATCCATCAAGTGTGGCCGTGGCCGAACCTAATTTTTGAGGACCATTTTTCTAGGCCACACGTACGTTGCGGCGAGGCGTGAAAAAAAGCCGTCATTCTTTTTTCTCTCCCGCCAGCATTTGCCTTTAAAAGCCAAAGCCAATATTTACCATTGTGTACAATTCAGGCCTGTCAAAATATCGAAAATTTTGCTGGCATAAAACTAGGCGTGTGAGTGATTCATAAAAATCACATATTTCAAAGTGACGAGCTTGTTTATAATACGAAATTTACCTTCTTTTTTGTTTTTGAAAGAGGAAGAGAGATTTTTGCAGGAAAATGTTATCTATCTGTGCAGAAGCCGGCGATTTTTTCCCCACGCTGCAACGACATATTGCGTAACGCGGTCAGAGAGCAAAACTTCTCAAAAAATATTGAATGATAAGAAAAAGATGAGCAAAAATATTGAATGATAAGAAAAAGATGAGCAAATGCGTCATTTAATGACGAGCCAATTATGGGCGAGAAAATTGAATGGAATAGATAGAGCTCGCATTGGATGCAAAACACACACCCGCGCCCCCCCCCCTCTTTAGCGAAATGGCAAAATCAAAACAAATATTGACAAATAGGAACGACGTGAGGAAATGACGGGGGGAAATGGAGGAAGGGAGCGGCCTCCTCCTACCTCGTTTGGGTACGGTTTTCCGGATGACAATAACCATTTTTGCCGGCCGTCCGCGTGCGTCATTCGCCAAGCAATCACCACCTCAAACACGACAAGCCACCTCTATTTATTTTTTTCTACTGGCAAAAAAGAAACACACACACACACTTGTGACTAATTTATAGAGCCTGACACGAGATTCCGGTAGGACTGGCGCGGCAAGGTTCAACGAGACGGACGAATCGAGCTAAAAGTGCACCCCACTCTCCAGAAATATAATTAATTCGATGACGCCGACGCCATCGATGCCTTTCCAATTTGGTATTTCACGTCACGCCCGATCACATCGTTCATCAATCAAAGAACAGCCAGTCACACATTTTGATTTGATTTGACCGTAATAAATTTACGAACTTTGATGTGGCGCGAAAATAACAAACATATGTTTATAAATAGACATATTACATTACTTTGGGATATATTCGAAAGTTCACGTATAATTAAATTATCGATAATTGCAATTTGAAATGAGGTTCAATGAAAAAGTGGTGCAATTTTGCGTGCGCGTGAATGCGGACTTGTTCGAAGAAAAGCAACAACTAATTTTTTTTCTTGCTCCTCCAAATTATTATGCGCGAGCAAAAGAAAAACTGGTTGGCTATTTAGATAGTCACTCTTCAAGTCGTTTGCTCAATATTTGCATACATGCAAGTTGTAGTGGTAACCTGCTGATTTCACACAAAATACAACACAAAAATTTGGCTGCTGCTATCTTGGCGCCACGCCAAGATTGTTGAGGTGGCGGCGACGACGACGATAAGAGAGAATCGAGCGGCGTCGTCATCGCCATCACTCGACGATTTATCACGACGGAGCGGACAAAAAAAAACGATGCGGAGGAGGAAAAGACAAATAAACAAACAAACAAACAAACAACAACATAGGAACACCACGGCTTTTGTGTATTGTTTCTCACATCATTTCTCTCGTTGTAAATAAATATTGGCTTGCTATTTCGAGGAACCATCAACAACACCGAAATGTTAATCAAATAAAATGACGCCATTTTTTTTCTCTCGCACAAATTCATATTAGTTCGCTGTCGCCACAAGACCCAACTCATTTTTTGCGGTTATGAGAGCCTTTAATTCGAAATTCGCAATTTTTTTTTCGAACGCCAAAAAATTTTAAGAGATTTTGAAGAAAATTCGAAATTCGTTTTCCGCAATTAAAGAAGCTCGCGACTTTTGGTAGCCACCAATTATCAATTTTTAAGGTAATTAGACGACGCCAAAAAATTCGATTCGGGTGTTTTTTTTTTCGATGAGACATATCACGAGCGCCGTGTGACGCAGAGAAGCAGAATGTGACTGGTGAGGTCACGCAAAGGGTGCTTTTTTGTTCATTTTGCTCTTCCGATGATGACCGTCATTTTCCAAACATCACTATGGAGTTTTTCGAAGCGAAAGAAATTTGATACGCGCGAATGTCGGTCATAAAATATTTCATGGTGTTTTATGAATCATTGACGAGCGGATTTTTTTTCGAGCAAAATTACAAAAGTTGGACGGTTTTTGGGAGCGAAATGAGGGTTTGTTCGATTTAGCTGAAATTACACTGTCGTATTGTGTTGACCGATACGCATTATCTTCAACGATAATCTTCTCATTCTTGTTCACATTGAAATGGAAACAAGCTTATTACAATATCCTACACAGGTTTCGGCTTATTATTTGGCATATATTGAAGATCATATTCACGTGATCCGTCAATGAAGCTAATTGTTCAAAGGTCTTGAAGAGAAGAATACTGTAATAGAAATTAATGTATGACTGTACTAATGAATTTCGCAAAAATAATTTTGCCAATCGCGTCAAAACCATTAAAAAGCGGATTCACTTCAAGAATCCTAACCAATTTGAGTATCGTATGCTCCTTTAAGAAGGTGGAGTTTCGTTTAAAAAGAAAACTAATGTGACCTATTGAAAAAAATTATAGAAATTTTCAGAAACCCCTTGTGTCCTTAACTTATCGCTTTTATTTGATTGTTTTCGATTTTGATATATCTGGAAAACCAGTTGGAAGGTCTCGAAACGAATAATGAGGCATTCAATGGCGAAATGAATTGAAAATACGATTCGGGTCTCAATTGGAATATTTCAAAATGAGACGAGGCAAATTTTTTCTACTCGACTTCTCCGGAGAAGATCGAACATCTCTTGGTTGGTTTCTGTTTACTGGAAAATTGGCTCAGTGAACTGATCTCTATTCTACTGGAACCGTTCCAAACATCAACGCTGGCGCCGGCAATCCGTCACATGTTGTTTTAAGCGGGTCCCGGGGAATACCCCAAGCGTGATGCTATCTTCTTATTTTTTTCAAATAATAATGTTTGACAGATAAGCTATCTGTGTCCGGCGCTTGAAACGTGTTTATTCGGCACCACAGTTGTGGGGGTCATATGAGCCAGAATAACGAACATACATTCGAACTGGGGGTTTTTGTGTTGCATCGACTATGACGTTTCACTATTATTATTATTATTATTATGAACATTGTGTTTATTTTTTTTTTGAAAACGACACGTAACAACGAAATATTCGGTGGAGGCGGGAGTCTACTAGAAGCGAACTATTTTTCAAGGGATCAACAATTCATCAATTTCGGCATATTAGCAGCGAAGACCTTGTGCGACGCCCATGAATACTCCGAACGATCCGCCTGATTGTGCTACGGTCTTTCCAGTCTGAAATTTCTTCTTTTTTTAATAGGTTATTGAAAAATGAAGGTTTTACCTGGATCAGTAGCTCCTTTCCTCGCAATCCCATTCTGAATCCCATGAAACCACCGAGAAGAACTCCTGTCGCTCCTCCGATCATCGCACCCATCATTAATCCCATCCGGATCTGAAAATTAAAAAAAAAATAGTTAATTTTTAAAAAATATGCAAATTCGAACATGAAACTGAAAGAACCGTGAGCAGAAAAATTTATTTATCAAATTTTAGCATTTAAAATAATTGAAATAATAATAACATGATGGAAATCATTTGAATTATGTAGTAAAATACTCAAAAATAGCATCAATGTCGATTTTTGGCAAAAAATGAAAAGAAATTGCGTTTTAGAGTATTGCATCATACGTGTTTATTTAAATCAAAAATTACCTTGGTAAAGCAGGAAGGTTGTTGCTGCTGGCCAACAGCATGATATCCTGAAGGAACTGGCATAGCGTTTTTCTGAAAATTACACCGGTATAAATTTGTTTCATTGGTAAAACAAATAAAACAGAAATTGTGCAAAAAATACCAAATTCCGTGCATTTTTGAAGAAAAAATAATCGGAAAAAAAGTCAGCGCATGCACGTAAAACGCGCCAATGCATGGCGCAAAACAAATGTCAAACTGTGCAAACATTGCAGGCGCTCGACAAAATTGCAAAAAAAACTTATAATTGATAATGTCGAACACAATGGGAAGGGATTAAAAATAAAATAATCGCTTTATTTAAGTATAACTTTTACGGAGACAAAGAAGAAATGCTGTCGTTGTATTTTTATTTAAAATCGAAACAAATGTCTCCAAAAATTTTTTGGGAAAAATTCAAATTTTCGATGCCATTCATTATATCTAACAGTTGTCGATGTCGTGGAGCTGCTCGTTGTCGATTTTATGGTAATCGAGCTTTCATCCTAAATTTCTGAATATCGTGTTTCCTCAGAAGTAAAATTCAAACGTCAATTTCGTCGTCAAGCTCATCATCCTCATCATCATCATCATCGCAGTCTCCTGCACAGACGTTACAAATAGCAATACCACATTGATTCTTATTAGGGACCATTGTAGAAACATGATGATTCACTATTGGGTTCACAGCTAAATTTCACATCAATTTTTCATGCCAATATTTTCACAAACCTTTCTGCACAAATTTCTCCTGCTCGCCAACCTCCAAAGCCTGCGCCCAATATTGATAAAGCTTACAATTATCCTTGCCCGGGGTCCTCTTCAAACGCATATATCCATTCTCTCCCCAATCCTCTCCCCAACTGTAACAATTCTAGACACATTTCAGAATAATTGAAGATTTTCGACCTATTTCGAATAATCCAATAATCCATCGTGAAGCCCACTATCACAACAGCATGATTGATCGTTGAACCGCACTCGCCGTCATAGATTCCTAACACTGATAGTGATGACACTTCTATGGAATCACTCATACCTTCCGCATAACTATATATGTCATCGCTAACCGCCATCCCAACGGAAATCGGACCCCGTCGCACTCTGTCTTCCATTCGCCTCTCCAATTCTTCGATGTCGTTCGGCTTGCTGATGAATCCTGTGTCAAACGTCAGAATTTTTGGTGTCACTGGTGCAAACGTGTCAGCGTCACAAGAAGTGTCCTTGAATTTAATATAACTATATAGTCGGCGTCCGGCGACTGCTGTACGCGGGTAGATTTACGGGGGATGTGTCTTTCTCTTGGTCTCGCACGGACTAACAGGTTATTTCAAATTTTTTGGACCGGTTCGATAATTTTTTTTAAATCGTATGACTTTGGAAATCCAGGGAATCTCATCGAAACATTAAAATAAGCGTTCACACGTGACGAGACCTTTTCAAGGCGCATGCGCGTAAATCTACCCGTGTACAGCAATCGCCGGATGTATTTTTCGAATCACCTCCAAATCAAACGGAATATCATCTGCGGACCTTTCGGCGCGGTTCTTCAAATACCACGCGGCGACCTGGAAATACCCTCCGCGACATCCGATGTTCGCGACGCCCCACGTCGGCTCAATGTCGGTGTCGCAAGTGAGAAGCTGCTGAATCGATAAGCTCGGAATCGTATAATTGCGTATGGCGAAGAACGCTTCAATCATGGCGACCATCGAAAACGCCCAGCAGCCACCGCAATCGTATTGATTGGTGACCGGCTTCATAAGGCGCCTCCAATCAACGCTCGAATCGCCGGAAGCGCGCTTCGTTCTCGGTATCGAATCGGTTTGAATTGGCGTTAGCGCGGAGACGTCTAAAGTCAAAGGCGCGATTTCATCGGGTAGCTTAACATGAGAATTGTTCAAATTGTTTCTAGAAGCCTGCGATCTACCGATACGGAAAACTTGTTGGCCTTCATTTTGAAGCTCGATTTGCCAGTCGCAAACATCTCATTATGGATATCCACCTGATCCTTTACGTTGGCGTATTTCTCATAGCGTTTGAGCCCATTGTCAGGATCAATCTCAACTCCTGACGACTCCATATATAATAGAGATATCCGAATTCGTGCATCTTACCTAAATTCAGAAGCAGCGATTTGAAATTCTGATCAGCGTTCAGAATATCGTCAAACTTCTCCGCCGGCGATTTCGGCTTTTCGGTGGTGGTGGTGGTGGTCGTCGTGGTGGTCGTCAGACAGCAAGACCTCGGGCAGTACTCCCTCATTTTCATTGTGAGAACCGTCATTGGATCCTTCTAGAAGTATCGCATTATAGATACTATGCCTAATAAGGAGGCTACCTTTAGAATCTTGGAATCAACCAGGAATATTGGAAAATCGCACTTGTACTCCAATGTCGACCGCGACAGGAGTTGGGCGCTCATCAATCGTCGGCATTCCCTTCCGTCCCATGATGAGCACGCTCCGCGCAACTGCCACAAGAGCGCCAGCAGCAAGAGTTGGCGAAACATGGATTGACACTTCCATGAATGGCAACAGAGGGCGAGAATCAACGGCAAGCTGCGCAAACAATTGAAGAGACAGGGGGGGGGGTCCAATTCCACTGTTAAAACAAAGCAGCACAGACTTATCAAGTACAGACGAGGTAAACAAAAAATATTGATAACGCAAAAACACAATCGGTGAATGGTTGTTGGGCTTTCATATTGTTTCAATTTTTATTGGTCTGCAATTTTCAGCATGGAGGAGAAGGATGTCAATTCATACGATCTTCATAATGTCAAACGATCCACTCCAAAAAGGGGCCTTTTGAGTTTGGTACGTCTCTCGCGATCCATGAGATTCTGAAATGTGCTCAAATTCAGATGAGGTATGCTAGCGTCAGCGACTACATTCTTCTCACGTTCGGCGTGATATTCGCGATTCTTCAAGGTTGCTCTGGCGCCATGTCGAGCTTGATCTTCCGAAAACTCACCGACGCTCTCATCATCGGTAAGCGAGGCAGTGTGACAAAATTTGACGATTCCATTTGTTCCAGGTGAAGCTGAATGGCAGCTAGACGTCTTTGATAGCAATGAGTTTGAGCAGAACGCTCTGAAAGCGGTCGTCTTGTACTTCACATTCGGATGCGTCGTATTCATTTTAGCGTTCATCTCGGTAACACGACATCGCCTACTCGTTATCTCGAACATCACCATGATTCAGATGGCGTGTTGGCATACATTCTGTGAGCGTCAAATTCAAAAATTGCGCCTAGCCTACTTTCGATCACTTCTACGGTAAGCCAAGACTCGTTAAGACTGTTGACACTTATTGACTCACAGCCAAAATTGGGAATGGTTCGATCGGCATGATTGCGGCAAGCTGACGACCCGGATGAGCGAGTTGACCATCAGCATTGTCACTCAATTCTGATAATTTCATTTTCCAGCGGCCTCGAACGAGTTCGCGATGGAATCGGCGACAAACTCGGCGCAATGATCGCGTTCATCGCGACGTTCTTTGCCGGCATCACCGTCTCATTCTACTATAGTTGGCAGATGTCGATTGTCATGCTCATCGCAACGCCATTCTTCTTCATTCCCGTCGGCATCGCCTACAAGCTAATGTCGATTGTGGCGCCCAAAGAGCAGCAGGCCTACAATTCAGCGGGAAGCACCGCCGAGGAGGTGATCAACGGAATCCGAACGGTTCTATCGTTCAACGGACAGCGCACCGAGATGAGGAGGTACTCGATGTATTTGAGGAACGGAATGCATTATGGCGTACGCAAGGCGTTCCTCACCACGTTTGGCGTCGCGTTTCTGGTGCTCTCGCTATTTTTGGCGATGGCGATGGCGTTTTGGTACGGCACCAAAATGGTCATCGACGGCAGAATCACACCCGGCACCACTTTTGCCGTATTCTGGGCGTTCACCGGAGCTGTTTACGCGCTTGGTGACCATCTCCCCGCTCAATCGATGATGAGTATACGCTTTGGATTTCAGCGCAAGCCGCTCCGCAGTTTCCAGTGTTCCTGGGATCGCAAACCGCCGCGGGACCCATTCTGGACATCATTGATCGGGTAAGCAATTGTCACAGTTCTCGAAATTCGTATTTGCTAGATTCCTCCCATCGATTCGCAATCAGCGAATGGTAGGCTGCTATCAAAAATTCGTGGCACCATCAAATTCGAGCACGTCAAATTCCGCTATCCGACTCGTCTCGAGGTTGTCAGCTGGACGCTGAAAATCAGCAATATTTCAAATTTCAGGTGGAAGTCCTCAAAGGTGTTAGTTTGAACGTGAACGCCGGCGAGAATATCGCGCTGGTCGGGCATTCGGGAAGCGGGAAAAGCACCACAGCGGCGTTGCTCCTCCATTTCTATGATCTCAATGGTGGACGGGTAAGAAGACCGACATCAACTGATGAATAGGACTGTTAAGATCACCATTGATGGCACAGATATTGCTGAATTGAACGTCGCCCATTTGAGGAACGTGATCGGAATTGTTTCGCAAGAGCCGCTGCTCTTCGCCGACACCGTTGAGAACAATATACGGCTTGGACGATTGGACATCAGCGACGATGAGATTGAGATGTGCTGTCGGATGGCGAACGCCCATGACTTCATCATCCAACTACCCAACGGCTACAAGTCGTTGGTTGGTAGTGGCGGTGTTCAGTTGTCCGGTGGTCAGAAGCAGCGCATCGCTATTGCGCGAGCATTGGCAAGAAATCCCGCGGTTCTTATACTGGATGAGGCCACCAGTGCTCTGGACGCCGACAGCGAGCTTGCCGTTCAGAAGGCGCTCGATATGGCGAGGCAGGGACGAACGACCATCACTATTGCGCATCGATTGACGACGATTCGCAATTGCAATCGAATCTATGTCTTTGACGATGGCAATATTGTCGAGGTCGGAAGTCATGAGCAATTGATTCGGAGTCGTGGAATCTACAGTCAAATGGTGAAGATGCAGGAGATGGAGAAGAATAGTGGTATGCGGAGATGCATCGATAATGACGTCGTTGAATTGTTTCAGATAGCGGCGAAGAAGACGTCGAGAAGAAGAATTGTGAAGAGATGCAATCGACGAGAATCAAAATGGGCGAGCGGCTGTCGCGAGCGTTCTCGCTGACTTCTGAGCGGCTCGACGCCGAACTCGAACGACTACAAGCTGAAGCCGAGCGAGCTTCTGCCGATGAATCAGGCCTTCTCGAGATTCTACAATACGCGAAACCCGAATGGTCCTATATGGTGTTGGCGTTGGTCCTCTCGATTCTTCGAGGCTTGACGTTCCCGATTTTCTCAATTCTTTATGGCAAAATGTTCAAGACGCTCGCCGCCGGATCCAACGAGGAGAAGCTCCACAACGCCGCCATCAATTCGATCTACTTCGTCACACTTGGGATACTGTCGGGATGTGTGACAATGGCTGCCGGCTGCCTGTTGGGCTACGTCGGCGAATGTCTCACCAGCCGATTGAGGCTGCAGCTCTTCTCGAACATCTTGCGACAGGACGGCGAGTACTTCGATCGGCCTGAACACGCCGCTGGTCGTTTGACGACACGCCTGGCAACCGACGCGCCCAACATTCGCGCCGCCATTGATCAACGCCTAGCCGATGCCGTTCAGAGCGTTTCGGCGGTCATCGGCGGTGTCGTCGTCGCGTTCACCTATGGTCCCGCAATGGCGCCGATCGGCCTACTGTCGACGGCGACGCTGTTCGGCCTGCAATTTGTCATCGGACAGTTCCTCAAGCGACGCGGTGCCAAAGACGCCGTCAAAGCCGAAGAGCCGTCGCGGCTGGCGATCGAGGCCATCGAACAGTATCGAACGGTGCAGACGCTCACCAGAGAGCACGAATTCGTGGCGAGGTTTGAGAACGGCATGGCCGACATTCATCGAAGATCCCTTTGGAGAGGTAAAACGTCGGCCTTCTTCAATTTTCCAATTCCTAAAATCTTCAGGAGTTGTGCAATCTCTAACCTACTCGCTCGCCGTCTCCTACCTGTTCTTCAATTATTCGACGGCCTACCGTTATGGCATCTACCTGGCTGTCCGATTAATCACCTCACCATTCACTGTATTCCAGTAAGGACGATCCTCTTCCCTAGTCGACATGCCAAATTTTGTCTAGGGTGATTGAAGCGCTGAACTCGGCCGCCTCATCCGTTGTGGCGTTCGGCACCTTCGTACCAGAATACGTGAGAGCGCGTGTCTCCGCGGGCCTTCTATTCCGCATGCTTCGCGACAAATCTCGAATCGACAGCATGTCGAATGATGGAGATGTGAAGCGTCTCGAAGGCGACGTCACGCTCAACAATGTCTATTTCTCATATCCAGTGTCAAGAAGGCGAATGATCATCGACGGGCTTAATGTGAGAGTGCAACGCGGCGAAACGCTGGCGCTGGTCGGCGCCAGCGGTTGCGGCAAGAGCACAGTAATCCAGCTTCTCGAGAGATTCTATGATCCAATTGCCGGATGTATTCGATTCGACGGCGATTCTCTGCTCGACATCAATCTGCATTCGTTGCGCGCGCAAATCGCGCTCGTCGGACAACAGCCGACATTGTTCAATTATTCGATTCGCGAGAATATCGCCTATGGTCTCGAATCGATTGATGAGAATGATGTGGTCGAGGCGGCCAAGTTGGCCAACGCACACGAGTTCATCACAAAAATGCCGGAGGTTGTCGAAATTTGCCATTAAAAATTCGAAAAATTGAGAAATTTGGTATTTTTTGAACAAAAATTTAGAACGAATAGATTAGAAATGGTCTCGAAACGACGAGAAATGCGTTTTATATTCCACACGCGTAAATCGACACTCACGTTGCGAGACCCAAAGCGATTTTGAAGAAGCCCTCATTTGTTTCAAGGCTACGAGACGATTGTCGGCGAGAACGGCGGAAAATTGTCGGGCGGTCAGAAGCAGCGGATCGCGATTGCACGCGCGATTGTCCGAAAGCCGAAGATTCTCCTACTCGACGAGGCGACGAGCGCATTAGACGCGGAGAGCGAGAAGCTGGTGCAAGAAGCTCTCGAGAAGGCCAAGAAGGGAAGGACGTGCATCGTGATAGCTCACAAGCTATCAACAATTCAAGGTCATCGAATTCGAATGACGCCATCCACCGGTTTTTCGTTTTTCAGGCGCTGACTGCATAGCGGTGATGCGAGACGGCAAAGTCATCGAGCACGGAACTCATTCGGAGCTCGTTCAACTCGACGGGGTCTACGCCAATCTAGTACAAAAGAATTCGAGATAATTATTGTGTGTGTGGAAATTTTGAATAAAGCAAAAAACGGCGAATCCGTCCTCGCGATTCCATTTTGAATTCAAACGACACTCGCCGTCTCCGCTATCACTGTTGTCTCTCAGCACTCATCAAGGTCTACCGGAATTTTTGAATTCGACAAACACTGCCCCCCCCCCTCTCTCTGGCCGGTCAACTGACCTCTAGAAACACAAATTGATTTGTTGATCATCACAACACAAAAAAAATCACAATGTTACTCGTTTTCTCGACGATTCTATTATTTTCGATTGTGAGCTCGGCGGAGCTTGCCGACTATCGCCTACGCCAACAATTTCACGGTAGAGAGCTCATTGTCTCAATTATCAAAAATCAACTACATTGGTTTTAAGAGGAGTTCTGTAGGAAGCATGCATCGCTGGAAACGTGCCGGCGACCGTTCACGTTGAGCGATTATCGCGCCGAGTTGCGCCGGAAGGCCGATGAATCGTTTGAAGTGGATGCCGGCGAATCGAGACAATCGTCGGAATTTCGGCCAGGCAATTTCAAGGTACAATGTTGACTCGCTACAATTCATACGCGCTCTCATTTAAAGGCGAGCCGTCGAAGCGACTGGGTCGATGATGAAATGGATGACAGCGATTTCGAGTACTACATGTGGCGGAAGCGACGACGTCAAATGCTTCGACGACGTCAGGAATGGTACGAGTCTTCGAATAGCTACTATCCGCGATATCACTATCCAAGATATACCTATAGTTATCCATCATATGGAAGTTACTATCCATGTAAGAGCATATACCTTGAAATTTTGATGATGTTGCTTCTCAAATATTCAGCGTATGGTGGATATGGTGGATATGGTGGCGGATATGGCGGAGGTCTTCTCGGCGGTTTATTCAACATCGGATTCGGCAGATCGATTGGGGTTTCGACGCCGATCGGCGGCTTCGGCTATCACAGCGGCTTCGGAATCGGCATCGGCTAATTTCAAATATGCCAATTATTGTACATAATTGCCACCCGTCATAAATTAATTGGTTGTATTTTAATCAGGACTCTAAACTCGAAAAGTCTAGGTCAGGTCTAAACCACCTTCGGAAAAACTAATTCTAATCTCTAATTTAGGATCTTTTCGCAGATCATAAATTAGAGAAATTTCAATTTGATTTTTTAAATAAATTGCTCGCAAAAAACCCAATGAAGACTCAATTTTGAGAAAAAAAAATGAAAAATGAAAAGCGAGAAAAGCGAGAAAAGTGTGAAAAGTGTGAAAAGTGGGGCCCGAAAAAATATGTTTTCTCTTTTTTTATTTTTTTTTTCACCCCATCAGAAATTGGAAAAAATAGCGAACACCCTATAAAAAAATTTGTTTTCGCTGCGAAAAATTTTTATTTTTTCCCACACGTTCCATTACAAATCTATAGGAATCAATTCTTAAAATCTTGCCCTAAAAAGGCAAAATCAGCTCTAAATTGCTAATTTTATCATCTTCCAACGAGAAATTTAAGACCGACATGCAAAATCTATTGGTTCGAAAAGCCATGATGAGTATGATAGCAACAATTTCGAAAAAAAAAACCAACCATCGTGCAAAATAAATACGATGCTCAAAAAATTCGAACTACGCAATTTGGCCTCATCAAGAAAATAACAGAATATGTATTTCAAACGTCTGCTAATTTCCAAAATGAATCAAAATTAGAATTGATCGAATTTTGTTAAATTTCCGGAAAAGGTTCTCATATTTCCAGTTTCTTTAATGAATCAAAGATGCAATTATTTCCAAATTAACTTCAACGTAATGAAATCTGGAATTTCTTATTATGCTAAAACTATAAAACACTTACATTTTCTCGAAAATAATTCCATTATTTTCTCTTAAATGTTCAAAATAATGAGAAGAACACGATAAACGCAATGAATTGACATACAATTGCCTAGTTTTCACGAAAATCACGTATACTTCCGAAAAAAAAAATTTATACGAAAAAAATTTATACGTGCAATTTATAACAAATGACATAGAAAATGGACATTTTTTGGAACACCATTGATAATTACAGAAAAAAATAGAACAAAAATAAAGTGGATCGCCATTTTTTTTAAATTTAGGACTAGTTGCTCACATTGGAAGTTAGGAGAGACGGCGAGGGGTCAACGTTGAAGATTCTGTATTTCGCCGAACACTTTCCTGAAATGATGTCATCATTAGGTAAGATCTCATACAATTGGCAGCACAACATATGGCTCTATGGTTATGCAATCGATGCGCGCGACGCAAACTTCTTCTCAATTTACAATTGTGTGCGTGTTTCGCCAAATAAGGAAAGATGGTGAGGATCTATTGCGTTTTAGCACCTCCAAAAAAGGGGAGATAAAAATCTGCGGACAATTTTATAGCGATTTGAAAGTTATAAATTCTAGGCGTCCCTCGCTCGCCTGTCACTCTCAATCCGCCAGTGACCTTCTCGGTCTTCAAGCGCATGTCGAAATGGCGGTGTATCTTCCACACCGAAAAAGGAGCGAATAGTGGGTGTTGTTACACAAGAATGAATGAACGAGCGGCGCATCAGGCGGTACGTGAGCGAAAAGAAGAAGAGCCGCGACGGATTGCGTAATTTGCGCAAATTTTGAAGATGATGATGATGCGACCGTCGCACCGTATGTGCGCGAGTTCGCCGTCATGTTTATGTTGCAGCGCGATTGAATAAAGGTCACATGATTCTAGGAATAAGATAAGAAGACGGAAATAGACAATTTTCTGATAAAAGGTGATGAATCATTTCCAAAAAGAAAAAAAATAATAAGTTTAATTCGATTTTTAAATTGATGGCCTAGTTTTTCGATTCCCAGCCACGGCCACTCATATTATTCGTTCTTTTTTTTTTCAATTAATTATAATTTTTTTGCTCTCCTCTGTCGCGTGCTCCATTTGCGTAACGCGATCCCGCGGTGCTGCACAATTTGGTGAATCCGCGAATCTTCACCACATCCATCGCAAATGGCGCAATCGCTCACCAACGATGCCTCGACACTCCGCATTCCAGCGCACTATCTCGCCAATTACAAAATTATTATCAAAAAAAAATAAATGATTGCGCAACATTGCGGGATGAGTTGCGCAATTCAAGAGGATTTTTTAGCGCGTTCACACACACACACACACACACACACAGCGAGTGCTCCAACTGCTCTCACGACTACCTACTTTTCGCGGACGGCCTCTTTTTTGACGACCTGGAATGCCGATGTCTCAGTGTGCTCGAATTGTGGCACATTCTGACGATTTGAATTGCCAAGAATATTCGACATGGAATGCTTCATTGGTGGCGTGTTATTCTAAAATCCAAATATGGGAAATACGCTATTCGTTTTTGCCCTACCTTTGCTAATGTGTTAGTACGTTCGCCAAATGGTACACGAGTAGGTTTGGGTACCGGAAGGGTTGGCTTTAAAGGAAGTGATCTGAAATTTGCTAGAATTAAAAGCCCCATTTCACTGTTCAAGCTCACTTATTCTCCATTAGCGGCATTACAAAATTTTCCGAAAGTCGATTCGGTGAAGGAATTGGCGCTGACGGCGGGAACGTCGAGAATATCGGCTGCGACGATGTCGAAGGTAAATATGGAGGCATTCTGAAATTCAATTATAATCCGAATTGATTGCGGTACTTACATGCTGAAATGATGAGCAAGAGCGTCGAGTCGGAATTTGTCCAAATCCGCGAACATCATCAAATTGCAATTCGATTGGATCCCGTCGCTCACTTTCGCGATTTTGTTCGCATTCTTCTCATCGAGATGCGTTTCCGAGGCGCTTCGCTTCCCAAATCCAGCGATTTGCTGAACAATTCTTTCCGTCGTCGCCTTTATCGTCGGCGTCAGCGGCGTTGTCGCTTGACTCGACAGCAGACGCTCAACCGATTCATAAACGTCGAACGTCGCATTATAGTCGGGCTCCGGTCCGCAATACACGAACAATGGTATCTTCTTGGTGCCGAACAAATAATGGACCTTTTTTATGAGGCCAAGAGCAACTAGAACGTTGGCTATATCATATAGCCGTCGGCAGCGACTACGACTTGGCGGCTCGAATCCTTCCGTATCGGGATCCTTTATCAAAACGGTGCTGGCGACGTCGAGGCTAACTTTTCGAACATTTTTCTAGAAAACAAAAATTGATTGAAAATGCCATAACGCGCGTTTCCTACCGGATTGCTTAAAAGGACCATCAAGAATCTTCGGCACAATTGAGCCAAAGAATTGCGGCCCTGCCGATCGCGATTGTCAACTCTTGACTTTCGATCATTCTCGAGTTTCGGCACCACCGTTGAGGTGCTCGGCGTCGGTCCCACCAAACTACCAACAATCTCTTTTTTTCCTCCCGACGGCGACGCCAACTCGGTGAACGAGCACATCGCCTGCTCGACGCGCAACACACGATCTGGCAGACCTTCAGAAACCGCTTCCGCCTAAAAAGTCCGAATAGATCAATCAATTTGGTCTCTTTTTTTTGGGAGGAGTGCTTTCAAAAGCTACCTGAAGGTCACACATCAGTTTCGGAAGGTCTTCCAATCCTTGCCATTGGTAAAACGATTTATTCGTTTTCTGCATCGCGTCAAGGGCTTCCATAACATTGACAATATCGTAAATTCGCCGCTTCTCAACATCTAAATCATTGGAAAAAAATGAGAATGTCGGAGATGTCAAAAAAAAAATGATTGTCATACTCATTTTCTTAGCAACCGTTTCCAAGTGGACCTCCTTATTCTGACTATTTCGCGTCTCCTCGTTCATTGCAATCAAGAATCGCTGGCAAAGGAGTCCGAGACTTTTCTCTTTTCTCGATGTAATCTCGCCATCCTCATCACCCTCATCGGCACTATTGTTGACAATCGGCGAGTCTAAAAAGTTTTGATATGATTGTAGGGCGAAAATTGTCGCGTCGAGAGCCGGTCATTTCGCTCTTATCATCAATCATCATTGGGTATTAGCGAGAAATGACCGCATCGAACACTTATTATTTTGTGTGCACAATCTGTAGTGAAGGAGTGTCGCACGATAAGAGGAGCGAGTCAGAAAAGTAATTTTTTGGGCGCCAAAAAAATGCAAAAATTATCGAACGAACCGTGGCACGAGACGAATGAGGCGTCGGAGAGTTGCGACATTGCCGGCGACGGTCGCGGCGACGTTCCATTCTCATTATCATCGTTTTGGTGGCGGTGTTGGCGCGGCTCGGGCAACACCAATTGCTCATTCTGAAGATAATGATTTTTCTCATCACACCCGAATGGTCATTACCTTGATGAGTCGTTCCATTCCCGGCGGAATGTTCTCCTTATTTGCTTCAATGGAAAATGTCGACCCGTAAAAGTGCGCCATGTTTTCTGTTGTTCGGGTCAATCTACCTGAAAACGAATATGGGTGTCACAATTGAATAAAGTGTACTCAAAGAGCAAAAAAAAGAGGCACGAAGAGCATCAATTAAACAACAGCAACAAAAAAAATTGAGTGCAATACATAATATACCAGTGTCGAGATGTGCCCTCCCTGTGGGACGCCGTCACCTTCTTCTGACCCGTGTGCTGTTGCTGCTGCTGCGGTGATGGGCGGGTGGGAGGGTGTAGTAGTACACCACGATGGCGACCAATGATTTTTTTTGGTTGGGTGTGTGCGCTGGTGAGGGTGTGCGCGATAAGACGCACGCCGTAGAAATCAAAAACAGTGCGCGAGAGGGCGGTGAGAGATGGGCGGAGCACCACCACCACCCACCAACAACAACCAGCCAGCTTTTGCCAAAGCTCAAATGAGACCTCTGTCGTTATCATATCATGTGGGTGGGAGGAACGGTGTGCACATTAGTATAGTTGTCATACGACAAGCACTATACTAATATGAGCGAATTTAAAGTAGTATAGCTTATCAGTGCGAAAATGCAACAGTAAAACAGGGTTGGGTTGGTTATCTTGCCGAATGGCGAGTTGTATAGATTGGTAGGCTCACGCAGAATTCGAAATGAATCGCCAAGTTGAGGGTGCGATGGTGTGAAGATTACGATCTAGTCATGGTGTTATTGATCGAATCGCACCACTCACGTCGCCCAGAAACAAATTTCAAACTTGGCCTCCTATTCACACCATTCACCCAAAAAAAAAGTGGGAGGGGGCACGCCGGACGGGCGCCGCGTCACCTCTCTGCCCCCCATGCCCACCCACCCACCAATCGCCTCATCCATTCAAATTTCGCGCGCCATCTTCGCACACACACACACACACACACACGACAGACAGACGCGCGTGTTGGAGGCAAACACTTGCGACACCAAAGATGTAATCTTATGGATGAATGGTGTTACGGTAGATGGCTTCTATCTTTCGGGAAGACAAAAAACAAACGAAAGAGATCTTGCGCGGAGAATTAGCGGATTAGTGTCTCAGATGACAGCTGTGGGGGTCTATATGCAGAGTGCACTTGTGGTGGCGGCGGTGTGAATTCAAATTCAGAGCCACCTGATGAGTCGATTCGACTCGACTCCTAATCGCTCATAATATCAAATATCCATGTTTATTCATTCTGAATAAATCATAAACAAACGATGGTGCTAGCGAGGGTTATCGCATCGGGTCAGTCGGTCATCGCATGCCCTCAGTGATGGGCAGTGTGCACACACAATGTGAGCATCTGTTGCTGAAAGCCTCGCGTTGAGCAGGTGCCCACACCCGACGATCATGGTACGGTACACACAAGGAAATGGCGCATTTTATATTAGCTTTTGTCTTTTCACCCTCATTAGCACATTAATGGCCTTGGTCGAATTACCAATGCGAAACGACGAAGGCAATTCGAGCATGATTCGAAATGTTCGTTTTTTTTCTGAAACACGAATCTTCGATGGGTATCGCGATTGGCGGGAATCGCCAAAGCCTTCAAAAATCGACCTCGACTTTCGCCTTCGCGCAGCCATTTTTTGTTGTTGTTGAGTATCTCTGAGTGTTGCTTGTTTCAAATCGCGCCGCGCATGGTGTTTTTTGGTGTCGTCTGCGTCGTCACGCACCACCATACAAAAAAACGAGGCAAAAAAACTCATTCATCTTCATTTCTCAGCGATTTCCCGCGCGCGCGCACCCTCGCTTGAGTGATTGAGTTGAAAATTGTGAATTTGAATTTCGTCTCGATTCGTTGTGGTGATAAGAGGCGACCAGTAATTGAGATTTTGGGGGCCAATGTGTGAGAAAGGTAATATTTTTTTTGGGAAAACTGTTCAAAAATCTGATAAGGTCGGAAAATTTAGTGAGTTTTTTTTTAAAAGAGGGTCAATTTTATGGTAATTTTTTGCGAAATCTGAACAGTACCATTGAAATAGACAAAAAGAGGTAAATTTCAAAAAAAAAAAAACTATTTTTTTCCTGCCCTTTAAAAAATCCAAAATTTTCGAAAATTATTATTTTACCATGTACCTTTAAGGAAATTTCTCCACTGTTTCAAAATATATTCAAAATTTTCTACTTGTTTAAATCGCAAAAAAATCAGCACTCTGAGTTACTGTAATTTATAGATTTTTTTGTCCGTTGTACGGCCAATTTCAAAAATTTTCAATCGAATTTTGAATTACTCAGCTTATAGCGTTCTGCGGTTTTTTATTGGTGCATTGGAGAACCGAAAAATTGTTTTAAAAAATGATTATTTTTCAAAATACCGTTATTAAAGGCGCAGCGTCCCCACCGACGTCTTCTCATTCGTAGGAAACGCATTTCTCACAATTAGTTCGAAATTCGCAAATTTTCGCTTTCCCAACTGTTGGTGCTCGCCCATTGTTCTCACCCCGCTCGTATTGCTCAATCGGTGATGGCAGACTCACATCATAAACTTGTTCGGAGGCGAAGACTCAACCTACATCCGTGTTCTGTGCTAATGATTGAGTTACAATCGGACGACGATCGTAAATCAAGAAACTAGCAGTTGCAAAACCACACACACACACACGCTTTTTATATACAGAAAAGCTGGCCAGATGTCAAACACCTGTTTCGGAGGGTGGGATTGGTGGAGGGTGAACGGGGAAACGAAAAACCAGTTCGCCAAACCGTCGGTTTTTCCGATTCCGAAGGCCGGCTCATTAGGTTGACAAATGAAATTGGCGGAATGGCGGCTCTTTCTTTTTTTCGCGTTGGCGGCGGCGGCTTCCGGCACGCGCATGATTGTCGCTTTTCAACAATTTGATCGGGCACAAATTTGTTATTGTTGGAAAAACGCCAAAAAAATTGTTTGCTTATAATGAATTTTTCAAAAATCGAGAGAGGACGCGCGCAGTATTTTCGAATCGACTCGAGAATTTCTTTTCTTTTTCTTCGCTTCAAGGGCACACTTGTCAAATGTGATTAAATTGTTGCACGGTTTGAGGGGGACAATTTGAATCGCAATTAGGAGATGGATATCGGCGGGCAAAATTTGAACAATTAGGTGTCTACGGCAAATTTGACCTTATTGAATGGCTGAAGTTCGATTTGAACAGGATGGCTAGGAATGTTGTATTTATTTTAACAATTAGTGTTAAGTAGAAGAGATCTTCTTGATATGACCCTTTTTAAATGTCTTGCACACTGTTTAAATGTTTATCCGACGTTTCGATCTTTAGATCATCATCAGGGAAGGTCAATTTACCTACAAGATAATAAGTAACAGATTGGTCAAAAAAAAGAATAAACGGCAAGAGTTCAGTTGTAAGAATCAATCAAAAAACAAACAACCATAAAAACAAAATCAAGAAACAAAACAATGTCCAATACGTAACACTATAAATATGTTAGGAGCGTTAATGGGATGTAAGTAGATCAAAAAGTTTAGAAAAATAGAGGATAGGTTTAGAAAAGTTTTTTAGCTATGACTAAGAAAATCCCCTCGAATTCCCAAATCCGAACTCCAAATCTATAAGTTCTTCTTTAGTATTAAGTTCAGGATTGTTGGTTTTATAAATCTCAAAACATCTCAAAACAAAAAAATCTCAAAACAAGTCGCTCCACAACTTACAAAACTATTTTAACAATAAAAAATTTAATGCAGAAAAAAGAAAACAATTAAATGATTATATTTCATTTTTTTTTTTAACATTGACCCTCTAACTGTTAAGAATGAATATTGTAAAACAAGAATAAAAATTGTTCAATTACACATTTTCCCATTTTTTTTTGTAAAATATTTACATTTTATGAATAAGTCTATAAAAACACAATTTTCCCGAAAGAATGGAAAAATGTAAAAATTTTAAAAAACTGATGCGGAGAAAAAAAACATAGAAAATTGCAATGCAGAAGAAAGAAAGTAATAATTTTATAAACTATTTTTTTATTTTGTTTTTTAGGACATTGTAACACTTGAATTTCATAGAAAACAATTTTCTCTCTGAATTTTGATTGCATAAAACAATAAAAAGTGTCTTTAAGAAAATATGTTTCAAAATATCCGCTCAAAGCCGTTATAATCGATGTGTATAGCTAGTTAGATGTTTAGTTAGACGCAGTCTTATATGGAGCTGTTAGTTCAAATTTTTAAAACTGGTGGCAATGTTTGAATATCGCCCTAAACCGGGCGTTGCAATCGCGCTCCAGCGCGAATAAGCCTAAACTGCAATTTTGTGCAATAATTCCAAATCAAAATCAAGTTTTTCCTTGACGTCAGCCTAGTTTCTCATTTTCTTCCAATTTTCGACCAAATTTTCTTTAAGCAATGACTAATCCGGACGATCCTAGCGCCAGCTCAGGTCGTGGATCATCTCAAGGAAACGACTCAAGTAATAATAATAATAATAAATCAAACAAAAATAAAAATGTGGGATTTTTAATCAATTGATTGCAATTTATTTACTGCTTCTAGAAAAATGGTAACAAACCGAATCAGAGTCGGCAGCCGAATCGAGGCAACAATAATCGAAGGCAGCGAGTTCCGGTTGAAATGAATACAAACGTTGATATGCGGAAATATAGTAAAATGATTACTGCAGCTCACGTAAATAGTCGCTTTAAAGTTTTTTCTTTTAATTCTCGTGTTTAGGATAATTTTTCCGATATTCCCATTGGCGATAAAATCGAAGATTGTGTGATTTGCTGCAAACCCAACGACGTTTTTGGGGTGAATTTTATTCCATAATTTTTTTTTGAAAATTTCTTCATCTAGATCGGAACTTGTCGCCATCCGGTCTGTGCGGAATGCTCAATTCGTTTGCGAATTCTCTGCGAGACCAAAACGTGTCCGGTGTGTCGTGCTGATATCGACATTATGTCATTCACAACCCTCGACCATGATTTGACAATCGTTCCACTTCCATTTCCCCAAGGCAATCATCCTGATGAAGCGCGTTATGGAATTCGGTTCAGTTGTGAAACCGCTGGAAAGAAATATGAGAAATATCTGTCGCATGTTTGCAAATATTGCAAAAGGTTAGCCAAAGCTGCTAGTCAAATATTGAAAAATTGATTTTTTTTCGTAAAACAAATCTCGAAAATGAAAAATATTCTTTACAGTGATGACGGCGAGCGTCCCGAGTTCTCCACATTCATGTCTCTTCGTCAACACATGGCCAACAGCCATCAACGCTCATATTGTCATATTTGCACGGAGAATTTGAAGCAATTCTCAAGGTTCAATCAAGACACCCTTCCATTCCTTCTATTTTGCCGAATTTGAAGAGAACGCAAATGCTACACCAGGGAGGATTTGCAAAGGCATATGCGAATCGGCGATCGCGATGACAACAGCTTCAAAGGCCATCCTCAATGTCTGTTTTGCGAGCAGAAATTTCTTGATGATGAGAATCGATATCGACATTTGAGAAAAGAGCACTTCTTTTGCCAATTTTGTGAATCTGACGGCACCGCAACGAATGTTTTCTATGGGTATTCAATTATCTTCTGTTCAACTCTCAATTATTATTATTCAGAAGCCATGACGAGCTGAAGGCTCACTACAAGGAGAAACATTTTATCTGTAGCGCCGAGGATTGCCAAACCATGGGAATCGCGTTCGCCACCGAATTCGAATTGAACCTTCATCGAACTCGGGAGCATTCGGAAAAACGGAATCTGTTGGACGTCGGCTTTAGCACTCGACACACTGATGCTCATTCGGGAGCTGGACGAGGTCGCCGTGGCCCGAATCAAGCTGAGCCAGCGCCGCCAGTCCCGCGAGAACGAATTGCGCTTATTCCGAGGCAGCAGCAGCCAGCGAACCCACAAAGGTTTTTTTCTTATGCATTTTTTTCAATTATCAGTTTTTTTCAGTGATCCGAGTGAATTTACAGTCATTCCATCCGCACAATCGAGAAATTCCACCATTCGCTATGCGAATCGCGGTCCGGCTTTTACTCCGCAAGACCACGACTTTCCCAGCTTGGCTCCAGCTCCACCACCTCCGGTATCCAAAAAAAAATCTCAACAAATTTCGATTGTAAAATTTCCAGAATCCCAGATCATCCGATTTCCCAAGACTTCAAAAGGTTAACAAAGCGACGACTCCTAAAGTAGTCGACCCCGTCGAGGAGTTCCCATCGCTTGGTGGTGCTAGCTCATCTGCAACAGCTAACCGAATTTCGGTTCCGCCACTCAAAAAGGTTGTAAACGTGCCGAAGACGGTGAGACCGACCCCACCGAAACAGCACCAACCACAAACGAAGGCGGCTGAAAGAAATTCAAGAGATGATGACGATTTTACTCCGAGGCCTAGTGTTCCTCAAGCCGTTGTGAAAGTCAATAACTCATTGGTAATAAAAAAATCTCTTTGAATTCTGAAATCGATTTGTTTAGCTTCGATTTGATATGGTTGATGATAGTAATCGACCGCCGCCAACAGCCAAATCGAATATTCAGCTTGTTCCGAAGCTCAATCAGCCGACGCCTACAGCGTCGAGCTCTTCGAATCGTGTTCCAACGACGTCTTCTCGAGACTTCCCTTCTCTTCCTGCTGCCGCTCCGCCACAACCGCCAGCGAATTCCGCTTGGCTAAATGCCAAATCAAAAGTATTTGCTAGCTGAAAATGTGTCTTCAACGTTGATTATATTTCAGAAGATTGGCAGCGTTATTACTGGTGTAAGTGTTCCTTCGAACTATTCTTCGCAGAGGAATAATACGAATAACAATAGCAATAAAAAGAAAAAGAAGGGCAATGGTTTGAAGATTGAAGAGCCGGAATGGTCGAGTCTAGGCGGGCCATCCAGTCAGCCGGCGCCGGTTGAAACTGACGAATGGAAAGAGGTTCCGCTTTCGAAGGAAGCGAAAGCTGAAAAGGAGAAGCTGGCGAAGAAAGAGGAATGGGCGCGAAGGAAAGCTGAGATTCGTGCGGCAGTGGCGGCTTCATCAGCCACTGTGAATCGTTCGAAATCGGAAGAATCGGAGGAATCGAATAGCAATGAAGAAGTGTAAGTCTGGCCCTCCTTTATACATATATTTCGAAATGTGCGATTTTCAGAATGCGTCAAAAAGACGAAACGCCGCGAAAATTGGAGGACGTTGAGTGGAAAGAAGTGATGCCGAAGAATGGGTCGGTGTCGAAAAATAGCGAGAAGAAGAATAAGGTAGGCATATCATATCGGGAACCATTGTTTCTTTAAATTGCAATATGTAGAAAAATAAGAAGAAGAGTGGATCGACAGATTCTGAAGAAAAAACAGTTGAGGTGAAAAACGAGGAGCCTGAGAAGCAGGAGACTCTTCAGGAAAAAATTGATGCGGTAAGTGATTCATTCTTTTTTTTTTTGATTTTCGATTTGAGCATAAACATTTCAGTTGTGGAACATCCCACAAATGCCGTCTTTATCATCAATTTTGCCAAGCTTATCGTTCGGAAACTTCTTCGGAGGAGGAAGTTCGTCGTCATCAAATGTTTGTTGAGCATTTCAATTTTGACGCGTCGAAGTCATTACAGTGATTTCAGACGTCTTCGGCAACACCGGCAGTCGGTGTTGCGCCGCCGCCGGGACTTGAGAATGTAGTTCCGGCGCCGCCGCCGGGAATCGCCGACATTAGTTTCGCGTCGGCGCCGATCCTATCCAAAGACGATCTGGATGAGAAGCGTGAGCGCGTGAAAAAGTTGAATGAGAAGCCGGCGGAGCACGATGATGGTTGGATAGCGGCCGGAAAGGCGAAGAATAAGAAAAAGAAATGAATATTAGTGGGTTTAGGGATCACATTGATAACCTTTTCATTCTAGATTTATCCAATTCCAGTTTTGTTTTGTTGATTAATTTTTCTAGTGATTTTTTTTCTACCTACTAAATATCCAATTCGGTTGCGTATTGTATGGGTGTCGTGTGATCGATGGCCTATTATGTTTAAAGGTGTATGTGTACGGTTTAATAAAAAAATATATAATTGGCTGGTTACGCAATATTCGAAAAGATAGGTCTGTGAAATTGACTAAATTGAGTGTTTAAAGGGGAGGGGTACCAAAAAATAAAAAAAAAAAAAACATTGAAATGAGATAAGACATGGAAGAAAGACAAAAGTTTTACGTTAATCGGTTGCGAAAAAATTATCTCAACCAATAAGTATGTTTTCGAAAAACTACGAGTTCGTGGGTTATTGCACTGTATACGCACTAAATTGCAAATTATTAATTAATACGTGTATTTTTAAATTTTTAAAATGAAATTTGATTGATTTCTACGTTGAAACTCTATGATCGCATTCACAAAATTAGGTAAGAATTTTCGAGGAAGTTTTTATTGAATTGGGTTTCTTGGTAATTACCGTAACAAATATTTTATTGAGTCCCGTAACGAAAATTCAACTTTTTGTCAAATTCCCTTTTTCCTGTTTTTTTTTTGCTTCAAATTCGACTTGTAATCTAGTTTTTTTGGAAAAAATGAAATGGTAGGACGGGATTCTGAAATAATCAGAAGAACGTAAGATAAATCGTCAAATTTTTCATCTATTTCAGGAATTCTAATTCAATTTTACCTAATAGTTATACTAAAATCTGAAGAAGAAAAATATTACGATTTCGATGATTCTCTCTTTCATAGTTTTTGTCGAAGAAGTGGAGGACAAAGCACGAATCGAACTGATTTGGTTTGTGGTTTTCTGATTATTTGAATTCTGAAATCGATGATAGTTTCTGAAAGTAGGAGTGTCTTGTAAAAATGCGAAAATCCAGTTTGCAACCAATGAATTTGTACGTAATTTAATAAAAGGCAATTAAATTTGAAAAAGAAACTGCAGATTGGACCAATCGAGGCTTGTAGACGAATTGTGCCATATTGGGTAAGAAATGCAAGAAAAATCGACGAGTATCTCATCGAATGTGATTATGGTTTGAATTAGAGATAATCACCCTAATTATGATTATTAATTAGACCATCAATATAATTGTCCGCGTAATTATCTTCAAATATATAACAAATGCTATTTGATGGCAGAAAATGCAACAAATTATAATGGAATCAACAAAACGTGTGGACCAAATTTCGAATTGGCGAAACTTGACAGAATCGATCTGATTAGAATTATTGAAAGAATATTCAGACCATCGGTTCCAGTTAGGATGGATTTTCTCACAAATTATGAGGAAATTTTTTCTGAAAATATTCATACATCAGATGATCTAAGAGATGACGATGAATATTTCGATTTGAGGGAGCAGTTCATTGGGAAATTTGGTTATATCAAACCAATTGATATCAAAGACGACAATATTCTTTTTATATGTGAAAAACCATACAAAGACTCATACGCTGGTTCATTTTTAGATAAATTCCAGTCAAAACCAATTCGATTTCAGCCGTTCATGGAGAAGTCGGAAAGTTTTCTGAAATATTCTTCGACGAATTCGCATTACCGAATAATCAAGTGTATCCGACATTTGGAAAATATGGGTAAGTCGAATTGGAGAATTCTCAATTTTGAAGAAAATCCTAGAAGTTCATACCACCCAAATGAAGCAAGCACTAAAGATGAAGACAGGATATGCAGCGTATCTCGATTTGATAGTGCATTTGCAGTCAAAGTGTTTGCGGACTTTGTGTACCGTACCCTAAAATTATAAATTTCCCCAGTTTTGAATATTCAATTTAATATTTCATTTTTTGTTTTGCAGTTTCTCAAAGCGCTGGCCAATGGGAAAGTGACCATCGCCGATTATGTCTCCCGCGAAGAAGCCATGATCATCATTCCAACACTTGTGATGACAGCCCTGTTTTTGCTCGGTATCGTTTATTATTTGACCCGTCCTTTCACCTAATTTTTGCGATTTCCCACTTCGCTGCCTTTTTCGTTTTTGAATGTTCTATTTCTAATTTCTTAAATTTTTTCTTTTTAAATTCCTACTTCTAAAAAATAATGTTTGCTAAAAATAGTGTTTTGCCCGGATTGTATCTTTCTAAGTTTTTTTTCGAAAATTAAAGTTTTTTGTATCATTTTCGCTTTTATCTTTTTTTTAATTGTCGTTTTCTGTAACTAATTATTTTATTTTATCCTTTTATTCGAAGTTTTACTTATGTTAATGTTTTTTAAATGTTCGTTAGTTTTAATAACCTCGTAAAATAAATATTTTATTATAATACAACATTTTATTCATTTCAATCCAGGTTTTCAAAGATTTTGCACGGTTTTAAGACAATTGGCAAAACACTATTTTTAGCAAACATTATTTTTTAGAAGTAGGAATTTAAAAAGAAAAAATTTAAGAAATTAGAAATAGAACATTCAAAAACGAAAAAGGCAGCGAAGTGGGAAATCGCAAAAATTAGGTGAAAGGACGGGTCAAATAATAAACGATACCGAGCAAAAACAGGGCTGTCATCACAAGTGTTGGAATGATGATCATGGCTTCTTCGCGGGAGACATAATCGGCGATGGTCACTTTCCCATTGGCCAGCGCTTTGAGAAACTGCAAAACAAAAAATGAAATATTAAATTGAATATTCAAAACTGGGGAAATTTATAATTTTAGGGTACGGTACACAAAGTCCGCAAACACTTTGACTGCAAATGCACTATCAAACCTGAGATATTTCCACTTTTAAAAATTTTATTTGTGTTTTATTGAATTATTCTGGAATTTTACCTCGTCTTTATCGTTCGAAGCGCCCGAAATTGCATCTTGACCAATATCTTTGAGTTCCTTCAGCAATTCATCTATTTCGGCAGTGATTGCATTGGAAACAATATCGGGAATGAAGAAATATCCAATAATAATGATGATGAATAACGGGGCACCGTATAGAAAGGCCTTCAAGAAGACTTGTGTGCTTCGTCTCATATGCTTTTCGTTTGATTTCTCCATTCTTGCACGCTTCTTGTTCCTTCGTGTTTGGTGAATCCTTTTCCTTTGTCTCATCACTCGTCTTCTTCTTCCTCTTCTGAATGTCTTCGTCCACTTCTTCCTCTTCTCAGCCTCGCTCAGTATTTCTTTATAAATTTCTGAAGTTCGTAGAAATTCATTCATTTGTTGCATTCCAAAAGAAATTAGAATGAAATAATATATTTTTGGCATTAAATTCAAATGAACTTCTTTCAGTTGAAAATAGTTAAAAATGATTGTTATTTGCTTGTTTCTTGTGTTACTGAGCCTCTTCGTGGCGAAGAAGATAAACTGCTCATGCTCCTCTACATAACTGGGGATTTCGTCACCCCAGTGGAACATGCTCAGGCTAATCAGTACACTGTCCCACGCAGGCCGAGGGTAGAGTTGAATACTCCTCATCCGGGCGGCTTCGATTCGGCCTAGCAAGCCGGAAGAAGTAAACAGGGACCCAGTCCGTAAGATTTCTTAGCCACAGGATCGGCATGCTAACATTCAAGGTTGGAAATAAGCTTAAATGCACAGTCATGCAAGTTTCTGCTCCAACCGCCGACGTCGATCCTGAAGAAATTGAACAATTCTATGACGCTGTGGAAGAAGCTTACCGTTCTTGTAGGAGCGACTACAAGCTAGTCATCGGTGACTTCAACGCACGCGTAGGGGCCAGAAGTAATGAGAATGAGCGGTTCATCGGAGTCAATTCGATGGAACCGCGCAATGACGCTGGTGAACTCCTCGCGACCTTCTGTTAAACAAACCGCTTATGGCACACAAACTCGCTTTTCCAAAAGCCAGCTCATAAGCGTTGGACTTTCATAAGTCCAGATGGCCTCTTCAAGCACGAAATCGATCACATCCTCGCCAACGGGAGGTTTGTAACAGATGCTTCTGTGCTACCATCATTCACAGTAGGAAGCGACCACCGCCTTCTCCGTGCGAACATCCACTTCAACATAAATTGGCTGAAGTACGATAAAAGCAGAAAGAGAAAGGCGCCGAAGAAAGTATTGGACCCGGAGTTGGCTAAAACAATAAGCTCGATTGTTAGTCTTCCAGTAGCCAACAGCGTTGACGAAGATTACTCTAATCTAACAACGCTACTCAGGAAACTACAAGACCAAGCCATTGTTAAACCATCAAACCACCGGACCAATAGGATCTCTGTCGAAACACAACAATTGCTCTCGCGCAGACGAAACATGAGCAGGTCCGATCCCAATTTCAAGAACCTCTCAAAACAGTGCCGAGAAGCAATCGAACGAGATCACAAGGAGTTCACCAATTCCCGGTTACTAGGAGCAGCCGATCAACGCAAAAGCTTGAAGAGAGTAGCTCGAGACATGAACGAATACAAATCACTGATTCCATGCCTCAAATGCTCCACTACAGGCAGAACTCTCACCTCTAGAACAGAAATGGAGAAGGAAGTGGAATCGTTCTACACGAAGCTCTTTGTGAGTAGAGCCCAGTAGAACTACAGGCCAATCACGGTACTCCCTGTTCTATACAAGGCTTTCACAAAATGCATCTTGAATAGAATCAGGAGTAAACTAGAAGCCAATCAACCTGTAGAACAAGCTGGGTTCCGCAAAGGCTTCTCAACAGTGGATCACATCCACTCTGTCCAAAGACTGCTAGAAGTGGGACGAGAATATCAAATCCCACTCACCCTTGTCTTCGTTGATTTCAAGAAGGCGTTCGACAGTGTTGAGCATTCAGCAGTGTGGCAGAGCCTAAGAGACCAAGGCGTTGAAGAAGCGTATATCCAGCTACTCCAAAGTTGTTACTCTGACTGTTCCACAAGCATCACGCCATTCCATCGACAGGTAGAGATACCTGTTCGAAGAGGAGTAAGGCAAGGTGACCCAATCTCGCCGAACCTTTTCTCCGCGTGCCTGGAGCAAGTTTTCCGCGAATTGTCTTGGAGTCAATTCAAAAACGACTCAGAAGACAATACGAACACTCCAGGATTACGAGTGAATGGCCGCAACCTCACACACCTGCGGTTTGCAGACGACGTCGTGCTTATAGCGCAAAGTCCGCAAGCGGCATCCGAGATGCTAAGTGAGATGGTTGCGAGATGCGAACAAGTAGGGCTCCAGATTAACGCTGGAAAGACCAAAGTCCTACGTAACCCCTTCGCAGACTCCGCCAAGGTTACCCTAACGCACCAGAATTCGGTCAGTATCATTGACGATGTTGACGAATACGTGTACCTTGGAAGACTACTCACCCCCAAAAACGAGCTAGTCAAGGAGATCTTCCGAAGGAGAAGAGCAGCTTGGGCAGCGTTTAATGGAATCAAGAACACCACCGATTTGATTTCCTGTAACAAAACCCGCGCACAGCTCTTCGATTCCATCGTTCTCCCAGCGTTGACTTTCTAACGGAGTGGCGGCCGTGTAATTGGACCCGGCCTAGAGGAAGGCCTCCCATGAGATGGTCGGACTCGCTTCGAAAGGAGATCACTACAAGAACAGCTGAAGGAGCCGTGGTCCACCCAAGCCAAGGACCGAAAAGCTTGGAAAGCTGTGGTTCGCGCCTCAACAGGTGAAGGACGAACCGACTAAGTGACTAAGTGACTAAGTGAAATTTTTGGCTGCCATTACCGAGAAAAAGACAATTGCCGATAATTTTTTGCTCCCCGTTTCTTACTCGCCCCTTGATTTTTAGGGTGGCACCCCGGAGTGGAACTCGCCGTGATCGAACTCGGCTGTAATGGAATTTTTGAAATATATGGTTAGATATTTTTAGTAGTCTCCGTTAATTTTATGAAAAAAAAAACACAGTTTTTATTCGATAACATATTTATTGAAAAACACTTTTAGAAACTAATCAATTATTGAAATTTTTCGATAGATCATTTTTACCCGCATCAAAATGGTATTTCTAACAAAACAACCTTCAAAAAACTTCTCAAAATATAACCGTGTCTTTTCTATATCACGTCTTTCCTGAATTTTAATGAGAAATAACAAAATCAGAAATATTGGGCAATAGTTTTTTGAAAAAAAAAATAAAAATTTTTATGACTTGCAGAAAATTTTCCCATGTCACCATGAACGGTTGAAATCGGATTGATTTTGACTTGAAATCAGCCAAAAGTGAACCAGCGTATGAGTCTTTGTATGGTTTTTCACATATAAATAGAGTAAATCGGTAATGCTGCCGTCCTACCGAATAGTGGTGGGGCGGCACTTCCCTTTATTTCTCTCTCACTTTTATATACGTTAGGAATTAACAACGTTTCGAAGAAAAACTAATTCATTTCTTCAATAAAGTGAGGAAATTACAAATAAATAAAACGGTGGATTATAATGGTGAGAGTTGATAAAAACGGATCCGACATACGCGACTCTGGAAGGAAGGAAAAGGGGCCTTGATTGATGGTTGTCCAATCTTGGAATCCTTGTATTTGGGCGCACGGTGTTCTCAGGTAAATCGAATAAAATATTTTGAGATTCATTGAGAAACTAACGTGTCTCTATAATATTTTAGAATTTTCTCAATCAACTTTAGAAATTATTATAAGATTTTAGAATTTATTGAGATAATTTAGAATTTGCTCAACAAATTTTAGAAAATCTTATAAGACTTTAAAAAATTATTTTTAAACTTATCTATTCTCAATAAGTTTTAGAACGTATCAATAAACTTTAGAATTTCTCAAAATATTTTATTTGATTTGCCTGAGACATCGATAGGGTTATTTTCTGAACAAAATATTCGAAAATTATGCATTTGGGTGCGCAGTATTTGAGCTTTTTCCCGGTACCAGCGAATCCCGAAAATTTACCACCGATTTCACAAGTCGGCACATGGCTAATCATTTTTTCCGAAAATTCAATTCATGAAAAATACAGTATAATAATTCTATTTTATCTTTTTTTGGTGTATAATATAACTTGTGATCTTCTAGAGCGATAAATTTCTTGTGAAACAATCTGAAATTTGCGAAGTTTTCAAATAAATAGATATAAGTATATATAACACGTTTATGTTTGACAACAAAATAAGATGTTTGTGGTCCTTAGGAGAGCCGTTGGGTTTCTGACAGACGAATGCTCAGGTAAATCGAATAAAATATTTTGAGATTTATTGAGAAACTAACGTGTCTCTATAATATTTTAGATTTGTCTCAATAAACTTTAGGAAATCTCATAAGATTTTAGAATTTATCGAGATAATTTAGAATTTGCTCAATAAATTTTAGAAAATCTTATAAGATTTTTAAAAATATTTTTAAGTTTAGCGATTCTCAATAAGTTTTAGAAAGTATCAATAAACTTTAGAATTTCTCAAAATATTTTAGAGTTTATCATTGAATATTTGATTCTCAAAATATTTTATTTGATTTGCCTGAGTGAAATCGCCAATATTCGATCAGATGACGTGAGCGAAGTCGTAACGATGAGCAATGTTGATAATCTGAACATTATTTTATTTATTTTTAAACTACAATCCATGCTTTATTGTTCCTCTTCGAAAGTTAATTGTCAACGATAATGACTGCCGCACCAGCAAATATATTATTTTATACTAATTTTTTAAAATTAAAATCAATCTAAAAAACTGTTATCTTTTTATATTACGAATATTTTCACACATAAAAAATTATCTAATAATACGTGTATTTTTTTAATCTTTAAAATGAAATTTGATTTCTACGCTGTAACTATATGATCGCATTCACAAAATTAGGTAAGAATTTTAAAAATTAATTATCCCTCCTTATTGAATTGGGTTTCTTGGTAATTACCGTAATAAACATTTTATTGAGTCCCGTAACGAAAATTCCACTTTTTGTCAAATTCCTTCTTTCTGATTTTTTTTTTGCTTCGAATTGACTTGTAATCTTGTTTTTTGGGGAAAAATGAAATGGAAAGATTGGATTTTGAAATGATCAAAAGAACGTGAAATATTGCGAATCCCCTATATTCACACATGAAAAATTCTCTAATAATACGTGAGTTTTTTCAAATCTTTAAAATGAAATTCGATTGATTTCTACGTTGAAACTATATGATTGCATTCACAAAATTAGGTAAGAATTTCAGAAATTAATTATCCCTTCTTATTGCATTGGGTCAATATTCTGAAATAAAGGTTTCATTGGGTCCCGTCACGAGAATGCCATTTCTTGAATAATTTATTTTATTTTTAATTTCACTTTGAAACCGATTAATTTTTTGGAAAAATGAAATGGAAAGATTGGATTGTGAAATGATCAGAAGAACGTAAGATAAATCGTCAAATTTTTCATCTATTTCAGGAATTCTAATTCACTTTTTCCTAATAGTTATACTAAAATCAGAAGAAGAAAAATATTACGATTTCGATGATTCTCTCTTTCATAGTTTTTGTCGAAGAAGTGGAGGACAAAGCACGAATCGAACTGATTTGGTTTGTGGTTTTCTGATTATTTGAATTCTGAAATCGATGATAGTTTCTGAAAGTAGGAGTGTCTTGTAAAAATGCGAAAATCCTGTTTCCAGCCAATGAATTTGTACGTAATTTAATAAAAGGCAATTAAATTTTAAAAAGAAACTGCAGATTGGGCCAATCGAGGCTTGTGGACGAATTGTGCCATATAAGGTGAGAAATGCAAGAATAATCGACGAGTATCTCATCGAATGTGATTATGGTTTGAATTAGAGATAATTACTTGAATTATGATAATTAATAAGATAATCAATATAATTGTCCGCGTAATTATCTTCAAGTATATAACAAATGCTATTTGATGGCAGAAAATGCAACAAATTATAATGGAATCAACAAAACGTGTGGACCAAATTTCGAATTGGCGAAACTCGACGGACTAGATCTGATTGGAATCATTGAAAGAATATTCAGACCACCAGTTCCAGTTTGGATGGATTTTCTCACAAATTATATAGGATTTTTTTCTGAGAATATTCATACATCAGATGGTTTACGAGATGACGATGAATATTTCGATTTGAGAGAACAGTTCATTGGGAAATTTGGCCCTATCAAACCACTTGATATAAACGACGACAATATTCTATTTATATGTGAAAAACCATACAAAGACTCATTCGCTGGTTCATTTTTAGATGAATTCCAGTCAAAATCAATTCGATTTCAGCTGTTCATGGAGACGTCGGAAAGTTTTCTGAAATATTTTTCGAAGAATACGCACAACCGAATAATCAAGTGTATCCGACGTTTGGAAAATATGGGTAAGTCGAATTGGAGAATTCTCAATTTTGATGAAAATCCTAGAAATTCATACCACCCAAATGAAGCAAGCACTAAAGATGAAGACAGGATATGCAGTGTATGTCGATTGATAGTTTCAAATTAATATCATATTTAGAAATTTATGGGTTCATTTTCTGATTTCGGACAGCATCAGCTTATTAGATTCAATGAGGATAATTCTTTGAAACTCTCAATTCCTTCAAATCATTTCTCGCAGACCCAATATGTTCATACCGGAATCAAAGAAGCCACCAATTCAACACGTTTGTGTGATGAATTCGAGAAAGAAGAGGCCTGTGTGAGAAGGAATTTGACGGCATCAAAGATAATGATAGCGAATGAAAGGTGATCAGTGAAATCCAATCCAAAATTTATTTTATTATAGTAATTGGCAATTAACATCAGCTCCTTTGGGTCAACGATCTCCAATGTATTGCCAGTCAGGTAAGAATTTTCGAGAAATCGAGACGATTTAATCAATTTAAAGAGTACTACAGTTTCGATGGAAACGGCTATTGTCGGAGTGATTTCACTCCGTTTATCAAAGGAACTTATATGGCATGCCATAAGGTCAGTTAACTCAAATAAAATTTATTATTTTCACATAGGCTGTTAACATGTGGAGAAATTATTTTGCCGCGAGCGGAGTTTGCGAATACCACATAGGAAAAAATACATGTAGGCATTGCAAAAACCTATCCGGAAAGTTAAGCGAACCTGAAAGTGTCGAGGAAATAGAAATGCTCGGTTGTAAGGATTTCTACCACAGATTATTTCTGTTTTTGATTTGTCTTCTAATCATAGAATAGTCTAAAGATTAACATATCAATTTTCAGCGTTAGCCGAAGACGGCTGGAATTACCATCTCGGTATCATATACTTCCCCGATAGAAGGATTTTTTTTCGGGAAACCAAAACAGTCTGGGAAGATACTTTCGACTTCTATTTTTCGTTATGGGATAAGACCTATTCGCCTGGACCACCAGGGCGATGCATAGCCCTTACGAAAAACAAGCTTCTCGTGAATGTAGAGTATGTCTTCAATAGTTTTATTTGGAATTTTTAACAAAAAATTGATTGTAATACATACGTATGTGTGACGCCTTAAAAATGGTGGCTCCTTCCACCATAAGGGTCAGCTAAAAATAACACTATACACATAGGTCTTTATTGTGTATAGCGGGAGCGACCGGATGGTAGGCCGTCTCCGCAACAGAATGACAAAACATTCCACCGAGAGCGAGAGGCCACATGACCCATCAATCATGTGGCATCCTCTGGCGCGTCACATATTCTAACTCGAAAAAGCATAGTTTAACTATCACCAAATTCGATCAAATTAAAAGAAATGGGCGAAAGTGATTCTGATAGATTCTCATTAAAAAAAACAAACATTTCTCTTTCATAATTCCTGAATTCATTTTTCTAATTTGTTTTAAATTCACTCCTACTTACTTTTTTTTAATAAATTAATTCAACTTTTCATCCAGTTTATTAGCCGATTATTAAAATTAATAAATATAGTTATGAAGTGGGAATGGGATTCATGTGTCAATTCACTGTCGAACGACCGGATTCGATTCACAAACTTTATTGAATAAACTTTATTAGCTTTGATTTCGTTGAATATGAAATTCTAATAAAAAGTTATCTTTCTCTTTTCCATTTTCTGCATTTACATTCCGAATAGGAGTGCCAAGTCATGCCAAGTGAGTGTCAATCATGTGGGCTAACTAGAACACCAAGAATTAATATTGCCACTCCGGGAATGAGACCGGGGACCCAGATCCAAGCTTTCAGCGGAGCACCTTCGGAGCATTTATTCTCATTCTTACGTTCCTTCAACGATCAAGCAAAACCAATTAAACCTGAGTTGTGGGATGAGGACGAGAAGAACTTCCTCTTGACATATCTCACGGAAACAGCAAGAGATCGAGCCGAAGAACAAATGGAAACCAGGACAGACACCACATTCGAGGAACTCTGTGACTATCTCAAGTCACGATATGAGGAGGTGTCACGTCAACAACTACGCAATTGCCAGCAAAACATCGGTGAGTCAGTAGACGAGTTTGCTTCCAGCATCAGCAAGCTCGCATCGGCGTCGCATTGCAATCAGCCGAGAGAACTGATCACGGCCAAAGCCCTCGAAGCATTTCTGGACGGGCTATGTGACTATCTCAAGTCACTTTTTTCCTGATTTGACATGGAATTTCACGTCGTGTATTAATCTTATTGAGAATTGGATAAAATAATCAAAAACGAAAACGAATTATTTTGTAGCAAACCATAATTTGGTAAAACCAAACCAATTTACGTCTACAATTAGTTCAGCAATCCATTTATATCGATAACCATCTAAAAATTACTTTAATTTACTTATATACATTAACATCAGTTCTAATCCATTTATTCAATAAAGTTTTTCCATCGAAGGCGGTCGATCGATAACGAATTGACACATTCATCCAATTCTCACAGCCTCGCTATATTTATTATATTATACAGGGTGGCCCAAAATTATGGAAACACAAGTTTGAAGCCTTCTGGCAGATGCTGGCGCATTTTTCGCGCACCAATTTTATTATTTTATTTTTCAGCATGTTTTAATTAAATGTTTTCAACGATAATTCGAAATATAAATACCGAATTTTCCCGATATCACAAATTATTCAATCGACATTGATTTTTGTTTCGCCGATATTTTTTTGACATCAACTTGCCGAAAATCAAAATTTCGGCAATTCCATTGCCGCACAGCCCTAGCAGAAATGGTCTCTAAATTTGTCAAATATTAATACGTGTCACTTTGCTCAGGTGCAACGATTAGTTTCAAAATCTTATACTCTCTAAAATTTTAATGGACCTATTCATGCAATGAAAAAAAAAAATTTTCATTTGAATTCTGCATAACAGATTTAAGAACGAATAAAAACAATTATTATTGCTATAATTACTCCTAATTAGACAATATATGTAATTCCAATCAGATCTAGTCCGTCGAGTTTCGCCAATTCGAAATTTGGTCCACACGTTTTGTTGATTCCATTATAATTTGTTGCATTTTCTGCCATCAAATAGCATTTGTTATATACTTGAAGATAATTACGCGTACAATTATACTGATGATCTAATTAATTATCATAATTTGAGTAATTATCTCTAATTCAAACCATAATCACATTCGATGAGATACTCGTCGATTATTCTTGCATTTCTTACCCAATATGGCACAATTCGTCTACAAGCCTCGATTGGTCCAATCTGCAGTTTCTTTTTAAAATTTAATTGCCTTTTATTAAATTACGTACAAATTCATTGGTTGCAAACTGGATTTTCGCATTTTTACAAGACACTCCTACTTTCAGAAACTATCATCGATTTCAGAATTCAAATAATCAGAAAACCACGAACCAAATCTGTTCGTTTCGTGCTTTGTCCTCCACTTCTTCGACAAAAACTATGAAAGAGAGAATCATCGAAATCGTAATATTTTTCTTCTTCAGATTTTAGTATAACTGTTAGGTAAAAGTGAATTAGAATTCCTGAAATATATGCAAATTTGGATGAATTATTTCACGTTCTTTTGATCATTTCAAAATCCAATCTTTCCATTTCATTTTTCCCCAAAAAACAAGATTACAAGTCAATTCGAAGCAAAAAAAAAATCAGAAAGAAGGAATTTGACAAAAAGTGGAATTTTCGTTACGGGACTCAATAAAATGTTTATTACGGTAATTACCAAGAAACCCAATTCAATAAGGAGGGATAATTAATTTTTAAAATTCTTACCTAATTTTGTGAATGCGATCATATAGTTACAGCGTAGAAATCAAATTTCATTTTAAAGATTAAAAAAATACACGTATTATTAGATAATTTTTTATGTGTGAAAATATTCGTAATATAAAAAGATAACAGTTTTTTAGATTGATTTTAATTTTAAAAAATTAGTATAAAATAATATATTTGCTGGTGCGGCAGTCATTATCGTTGACAATTAACTTTCGAAGAGGAACAATAAAGCATGGATTGTAGTTTAAAAATAAATAAAATAATGTTCAGATTATCAACATTGCTCATCGTTACGACTTCGCTCACGTCATCTGATCGAATATTGGCGATTTCATTCGTCTGTCAGAAACCCAACGGCTCTCCTAAGGACCACAAACATCTTATTTTGTTGTCAAACATAAACGTGTTATATATACTGATATTTATTTGTTTGAAAAATTCGCAAATTTCAGATTGTTTCACAAGAAATTTATCGCTCTAGAAGATCACTAGTTATATTACAGGGTCGGGCATAATTACCGGTAATTTTTTTTGCGCCATGGTGACTCATGATGTCGCGTTTTTTTGAGCGCTCACAATTTTTTTTCCGGTTGTTTAATGTGTTTTCTATTGTTTTTCCAAGTTTCGGACAAAAATACTAATTTTCTGCCAAATGGTAAAGGCTAGTATCCATCGAGTCACTGTTTGCTCGCTATTCGATCAGGGAGTCAAAATTCCCATGATCATCAAGCGCCTCAAACTCCCTCCGAACACCGTTTATTCGACGATTCGCCGATATCAGGAGACTGGAGGACTTGATGACAGGCTTGGGAGAGGAAGAAAAGTTTCTGTTACGACTCTAGCTTAGGTGAAAGCCGTGAAGGAACGAGTGAGACAAAACGCTCATCGGAGCCTCTCAACGATGGCTTATGAGATGGGAATGTCCCGAAGATCGATGACAAGGATTGTCAAAGATAAATTTGGTCTTACCCCATATCGTGTGCGAAAAGAAGCTATTCCTCTGCCGCCAATAAGCAAAAAATACTCCAGAAAGGAAAACTTCTTGTGGAGCGCACGCGAGTCGGCGAACATTTGGTTACCGTGTTCTCCGACGAGAATCTTTTCACAGTGGAGCAAGAATTCAACTCCCAAAATCACAGGGTTTTTGCTAAGACCTCCCAAGACGCTTTTGACAACGGCAGAACCATTCACACCACTTCCCATCCCGCCAGTGTGATGGTATTTGGCGCTATATGCTCTGCGGGAAAGTGTCCGCTCGTATTCGTTAAAAAGGCGTTAAAATCAACGAGGAAGTCTACGTTGACATTTTGAAGGATCACGTATTGCCTTGGAGCCGAGATAATTTCAAAGGCCAACCGTGGGTGTTCCAACAAGATGATGCCCCTGCTCACAAAGCTAAATTCACTCAAGAGTGGTGCAAAGCGAATTTTTCGAGTATTATCGCTTCAGACGAATGGTCAGCTTCTTCGCAGGATTTGAATCCGCTGAATTACTATGTCAGGGGAATTTTGCAGAAGAAGGTCTGTGCCACACCCCATTCAAGTGTTGAGGATTTAAAAAAGAAGTTGGTCGAGGAATGGGACAAGATGTCAGTGGAATACTTGCGTGCAGTGGTGGATGCCTACCCAAAACGTCTTCGAGCCGTCATCAAGCAGAAAGGTGGCCGAGTTGAACAACTTTAGTATTTATATGTTTGTTACTACCCAGATAAACTTTTAGTTGAATCTCAACTTGTTCTGACTTTTACTTTTTGAAATACATCCGTTTGAACTTCTACCGGTAATTATGCCCGACCCTGTATACACCAAAAAAAAAGATAAAATAGAATTATTATACTGTATTTTTCATGAATTGAATTTTCGGAAAAAATGATTAGCCATGTGCCGACTTGTGAAATCGGTGGTAAATTTTCGGGATTCGCTGGTACCGGGAAAAAGCTCAAATACTGCGCACCCAAATGCATAATTTTCGAATATTTTGTTCAGAAAATAACCCTATCGATGTCTCAGGCAAATCAAATAAAATATTTTGAGAAATTCTAAAGTTTATTGATACGTTCTAAAACTTATTGAGAATAGATAAGTTTAAAAATAATTTTTTAAAGTCTTATAAGATTTTCTAAAATTTGTTGAGCAAATTCTAAATTATCTCAATAAATTCTAAAATCTTATAATAATTTCTAAAGTTCATTGAGAAAATTCTAAAATATTATAGAGACACGTTAGTTTCTCAATGAATCTCAAAATATTTTATTCGATTTACCTGAGAACACCGTGCGCCCAAATACAAGGATTCCAAGATTGGACAACCATCAATCAAGGCCCCTTTTCCTTCCTTCCAGAGCCGCGTATGTCGGATCCGTTTTTATCAACTCTCACCATTATAATCTACGCTTTATTTGTAATTTCCCCTCTTCATTGAAGAAATAAATCAGTTTTTCTTCGAAACGTTGTTAATTCCTAACGTATATAAAAGTGAGAGAGAAATAAAGGGAAGTGCCGCCCCACCACTATTCGACTTCTTTGTTCATCAAGTCAAAAAGTATGAGTCAATGAACATTGGCCTATATAGTGTGTACGTGTCGGTAGGACGGCAGCATAACCGATTTACTCTATTTATATGTGAAAAACCATACAAAGACTCATACGCTGGTTCACTTTGGCTGATTTCAAGTCAAAATCAATCCGATTTCAACCGTTCATGGTGACGTCGGAAAATTTTCTGTAAGTCATAAAAATTTTTATTTTTTTTTCAAAATAACATTGCCCAATATTTCTGATTTTGTTATTTCTCATTAAAATTCAGGAAAGACGTGATATAGAAAAGACACGGTTATATTTTGAGAAGTTTTTTGAAGGTTGTTTTGTTAGAAATACCATTTTGATGCGGGTAAAAATGATCTATCGAAAAATTTCAATAATTGATTAGTTTCTAAAAGTATTTTTAATAAATATGTTATCAAATAAAAACTGTGTTTATGTTGTTTTCATTAAACTAACGGAGACTACTGAAAATATCTAACCATATATTTCAAAAATTCCATTACAGCCGAGTTCGATCACGGCGAGTTCCACTCCGGGGTGCCACTCTAAAAATCAGGGGGCGAGTAAGAAACGGGGAGAAAAAAATTATCGGCAATTGTCTTTTTCTCGGTAATGGCAGCCAAAGATTTCACTTAGTCACTTAGTCACTTAGTCGGTTCGTCCTTCGCCTGTTGAGGCGCGAACCACAGCTTTCCAAGCTTTTCGGTCCTTGGCTTGGGTGGACCAGGGGGTGATAACGGCTCCTTCAGCTGTTCTTGTAGTGATCTCCTTCCGAAGCGAGTCAGACCATCTCATGGGAGGCCTTCCTCTTGGCCGGGTCCAATTCCACGGCCGCCACTCCGTTAGAAGAGTAGTCCATCTTCCAGCTGTTCTTCTAGCAACGTGTCCAGCCCAGGTCATCTTCCTCTTCGTGATGTGGTGTAGGGGGTCCCGAACTTTAGACATGATGCGGATGTCCTCTCGATGAAGATCTTGTTCACGTTGTTGTGATAACGTGAGGCCAACCAATCTTCGCTCAAGCGCAGCGTGACTAATTCGGACTCTCTCGGCAAGAGCTTTGGTGAAGGTCCAAGTCTCTGATCCTTAAGTCAACGCGCTCTGTGCGCGGGTTTTGTTACAGGAAATCAAATCGGTGGTGTTCTTGATTCCATTAAACGCTGCCCAAGCTGCTCTTCTCCTTCGGAAGATCTCCTTGACTAGCTCGTTTTTGGGGGTGAGTAGTCTTCCAAGGTACACGTATTCGTCAACATCGTCAATGATACTGACCGAATTCTGGTGCGTTAGGGTAACCTTGGCGGAGTCTGCGAAGGGGTTACGTAGGACTTTGGTCTTTCCAGCGGTAATCTGGAGCCCTACTTGTTCGCATCTCGCAACCATCTCACTTAGCATCTCGGATGCCGCTTGCGGACTGTGCGCTATGAGCACGACGTCGTCTGCAAACCGCAGGTGTGTGAGGTTGCGGCCATTCACTCGTAATCCTGGAGTGTTCGTATTGTCTTCTGAGTCGTTTTTGAATTGACTCCAAGACAATTCGCGGAAAACTTGCTCCAGGCACGCGGAGAAAAGGTTCGGCGAGATTGGGTCACCTTGCCTTACTCCTCTTCGAACAGGTATCTCTGTCGTATCTCTGTCTACCTGTCGATGGAATGGCGTGATGCTTGTGGAACAGTCAGAGTAACAACTTTGGAGTAGCTGGATATACGCTTCTTCAACGCCTTGGTCTCTTAGGCTCTGCCACACTGCTGAATGCTCAACACTGTCGAACGCCTTCTTGAAATCAACGAAGACAAGTGTGAGTGGGATTTGATATTCTCGTCCCACTTCTAGCAGTCTTTGGACAGAGTGGATGTGATCCACTGTTGAGAAGCCCTTGCGGAACCCGGCTTGTTCTACAGGTTGATTGGCTTCTAGTTTACTCCTGATTCTATTCAAGATGCATTTTGTGAAAGCCTTGTATAGAACAGGGAGTACCGTGATTGGCCTGTAGTTCTACTGGGCTCTACTCACAAAGAGCTTCGTGTAGAACGATTCCACTTCCTTCTCCATTTCTGTTCTAGAGGTGAGAGTTCTGCCTGTAGTGGAGCATTTGAGGCATGGAATCAGTGATTTGTATTCGTTCATGTCTCGAGCTACTCTCTTCAAGCTTTTGCGTTGATCGGCTGCTCCTAGTAACCGGGAATTGGTGAACTCCTTGTGATCTCGTTCGATTGCTTCTCGGCACTGATTTGAGAGGTTCTTGAAATTGGGATCGGACCTGCTCATGTTTCGTCTGCGCGAGAGCAATTGTTGTGTTTCGACAGAGATCCTATTGGTCCGGTGGTTTGATGGTTTAACAATGGCTTGGTCTTGTAGTTTCCTGAGTAGCGTTGTTAGATTAGAGTAATCTTCGTCAACGCTGTTGGCTACTGGAAGACTAACAATCGAGCTTATTGTTTTAGCCATCTCCGGGTCCAATACTTTCTTTGGCGCCTTTCTCTTTCTTCTTTTATCGTACTTTAGCCAATTTATGTTGAAGTGGATGTTCGCACGGAGAAGGCGGTGGTCGCTTCCTACTGTGCGCTTCCTACTCGCTTCCTACATTCGATTGAGTTCATTGAGGAGCTCAGAGAGTCTGGTTTCTGTAGCGAGCAATCTACAGTTGAAAGTGCCAATTCTGAAGTGAACTTTTCGTGTTTTTGGGGGCGATTTTCCATTAACCGAGACCAGACAATTGCCATTAGGCCCGGATTGCTCCCGTTCTGCTTTTCCTGTAACTGTCAATCCAGGGGCAGAGCTCGGGTCCGGGACATTTCTTCGCTTTATACTGTTTTTAGCGGACTGGGTCCCTGTTTACTTCTTCCGGCTTGCTAGGCCGAATCGAAGCCGCCCGGATGAGGAGTATTCAACTCTACCCTCGGCCTGCGTGGGACAGTGTACTGATTAGCCTGAGCATGTTCCACTGGGGTGACGAAATCCCCAGTTATGTAGAGGAGCATGAACAGTTTATCTTCTTCGCCACGAAGAGGCTCAGTAACACAAGAAACAAGCAAATAACAATCATTTTTAACTATTTTCAACTGAAAGAAGTTCATTTGAATTTAATGCCAAAAATATATTATTTCATTCTAATTTCTTTTGGAATGCAACAAATGAATGAATTTTTACGAACTTCAGAAATTTATAAAGAAATACAATTTTATTAGCACTCTGGTAAATTAAAATCAATAAAAAAAACTGTTATCTTTTCATATTGCGAATCCCCTATATTCACACATGAAAAATTCTCTAATAATACGTGAGTTTTTTCAAATCTTTAAAATGAAATTCGATTGATTTCTACGTTGAAACTATATGATTGTATTCACAAAATTAGGTAAGAATTTCAGAAATTAATTATCCCTTCTTATTGCATTGGGTCAATATTCTGAAATAAAGGTTTCATTGGGTCCCGTCACGAGAATGCCATTTCTTGAATAATTTATTTTATTTTTAATTTCACTTTGAAACCGATCAAGTTTTTAAAAAAATGAAATGGAAAGATTGGATTGTGAAATGATCAGAAGAACGTGAAATAATTCATCCAAATTTGCATATATTTCAGGAATTCTAATTCACTTTTTCCTAATAGTTATACTAAAATCAGAAGAAGAAAAATATTACGATTTCGATGATTCTCTCTTTCATAGTTTTTGTCGAAGAAGTGGAGGACAAACTACGAATCGAACTGATTTGGTTTGTGGTTTTCTGATTATTTGAATTCTGAAATCGATGATAGTTTCTGAAAGTAGGAGTGTCTTGTAAAAATGCGAAAATCCAGTTTCCAGCCAATGAATTTGTACGTAACTCAATAAAAGGAAATTAAATTTGAAAAAGAAACTGCAGATTGGACCAGTCGAGGCTTGTGGACGAATTGTGCCATATAGGGTGAGAAATGCAAGAATAATCGACGAGTATCTCATCGAATGTGATTATGGTTTGAATTAGAGATAATTACTCAAATTATGATAATTAATTAGATCATCAGTATAATTGCCCGCGTAATTATCTTCAAGTATATAACAAATGCTATTTGATGGCAGAAAATGCAACAAATTATAATGGAATCAACAAAACCTGTGGAGAAAATTTCGAATTGGCGAAACTCGACGGACTAGATCTGATTGGAATTATTGAGAGAATATTCAAACCACCAGTTCCAGTTTGGATGGATTTTCTCACAAATTATGAGGGAATTTTTTCTGAAAATATTCATGAATCAGATGATCTAAGAGATGACGATGAATATTTCGATTTGAGAGAACAGTTCATTGGGAAATTTGGCCCTATCAAACCAATTGATATCAAAGACGACAATATTCTTTTTATATGTGAAAAACCATACAATGACTCATTCGCTGGTTCATTTCTGGTTGAGTTCACGTCAAGTTTATTTAATTTCAGCTGTTCATGGAGACGTCGGAAAGTTTTCTGAAATATTTTTCGAAGAATACGCGCAACCGAATAATCAAGTGTATCCGACATTTGGAAAATATGGGTAAGTCGAATTGGAGAATTCTCAATTTTGATGAAAATCCTAGAAATTCATACCACCCAAATGAAGCAAGCACTAAAGATGAAGACAGGATATGCAGCGTATGTCGATTGATAGTTTCAAATTAATATCATATTGTAAGTGAGTCATAGGGGCAAAACCAGGTCGATCAGCGACCGGAAGGAGGCCAATATATATTTAATCAACCCTCCGACCGGAAGCAATAATCCAAGGCCTTTATCAATGCCACCAGCTCACCCCCTATATAAGCGATGCTCGTTAAACGAACGAGGAGGTAGGAAGCCGGGAGACACGTCTTAAGTCCACGCTATTTCGTTACTCATTCCATCGTTCATAAATAAACTCTTAGTTGTTTATTGTTTGTTTCCAACACGAATCAATGAACATGGAAGGAGCCGGGAACCCTGACCACTCGGCCGAGGTCACGCAATTCCCGCACTGGTAGCAGCGAGTGGTTTGTCTCCCTCGTTTCCTTCCCTCCACCGGTACCATAGTTTAGTTTTATTTTTTTCGTTTTGTTATGTTGTCGTCTGCGGATATTATGGGATAAAGTTGTTCTCCTGCGCAGGAACCGCGTCGATTTTTGGGAAGTCGCGCTCGCAGAAGTGTTCATCGTTTTTGCTTTGTTCATTTGGAGTACATTTTTGAGTTGACTGGGCCCAGTCTGGTTAGGCGAGCGCGCACTGATGGAATGCCGTCAGTTTTCAAAGAGTCTATTTTTGGCATCATTTTGGAAAAGACTCTACTTGAAGACGTTGTCTTCACCTCATTTCAACACATCCTACGATTTAATATCGGAAAACCATTGCTCTTTAATCAATTCACGTCTCTTCATTTTTCAATAAAAACGCAAGGTCTGGCTATTTTTTTTATTAAAACCCAACCATTGATTAAAAATTTTTTAATATATAGCCTCGTTCCCGCATCTACCGCTATCAGTGCCTCTTTCATTTTACAGATGGCTCTAGCAAAGAGTCTCTCTCTCAGCGATCTTTCCGAGATTCGCATTTCTTGTGCCAAACCATTTTCGCGTATGCAAGATTCCGACACCGTCAAGGGATCCCAATTGAAGACTCTTCAATCCGCGTGCGTGACTGACTTCGAGGTCACACACGGAGTTATGAGATCTCTTGCCGAAGGAGCTGAAAACCGCATCAAAGGCTTTGCCGAGATTCCGAGAATCAATACGGTAACAGCCTCGATGCGGCCAAGCTCGCAAGTCCCAATTTTTGGTGGTTCACCAAACGATACCTTCTCCGCATTTTTGCGATCCTTCAATGATCATGCTAATACAGCAAAACCTCCTTTGGGAGACCTCGAAAAGAGGAATATTTTCTTGACTTATTTGACAGACGCAGCCAGAGACCGCGCAGAGGAGTTCCTGGAGCAAGAGAGCGAAGCCTCGTTCGCAACCTTGGTTAACCATCTAAAGGTAAAATACGAAGATCCGGTAAGAGCAGAACTTTCGCGCCAGCAACTCCGAACAACGAACCAGCTTCCGGGCGAGTCCGTAGATGAGTTTGCAGCTAAGGTCAGAAAACTCGCAAATTCGTCGTACCTCGGATACTCGCGTGAATATATCAAGGCCAAAACCCTAGAAGCGTTTTTGGACGGGCTCAAATACGACATAAAATTTCACGTTAAGGCCAGTAACCCAAGAACCTTCGAGGACGCCCTCAATTCCGCAGTGAGGTACGAGATTTTGCTTCAAGAAGCAGCAAGGGCTAACACCATCCACCCACAAACCCTCCCCATTCACCCAGACAAAGAAAGTTTCTCTCAGCGTTTACCGACCAAATTCCATTGCGTATGACTCTACCGCCACCCTCTGCAAAATCATTCAAACCACGTCCACTTTCTCCGTTAACCTTTTTGGATCCCGCTACATCGAAACAAATTCCAAGCAAGCAACCGTTTCGGCAGAAGAATGCAAACTAATGATGAATCATCAACGTTGCTCATTCGGTGACCTTCAGCCAAGAGACGGCATTTTTAAAACCAATAACGCCCACAGAATCGAATGGCCAAACTTTCTAATCGGCGCCCTATCTCCAGCAAAAACCGTTGTAACAAATACAGGGTGTCATTTAAGTTCCCGCACAAAAGTTTGACGCCATGAAGAGCTTGGCTGTCGCACTTTTCGTGCACCAATACAATTTATTTTTGTTAAATAAGGTATATTTTACTTACTTTCCAAGTTTCACCTCATTCGGATGTGTTTCCGAGAAATGGCGAAGGCTAACATCCATTGCGCTTCCATTATCGAACTTCATAAGCAAAATGTGAGCTCGAGAGACATCATTCAACGGGTCGGTGTGCCTCGTAGAACGGTTTGCGACACCATCAAACGTTTCAAGGAGCTAAATACGACCAGTCACCGTCCCAGACAAGGAAGACTCGTCTCAGTAACCACTCCTCAGAAGATCAACGCCGTCAAATCGAGGATCAGGCGAAACCCCCACAGGAGCATGAGAAAGATGGCGTTAGACATAGGAATGAGCATCTTCGCTATGGAACAAATTGTCAAAACGAAGCTTGGACTGACCCCATATCGTGTCCAAAAAGCGGCAATTCTATCGGCCGTCAGCAAGCTGAGACGCTTCGAAAAAGCAAAACGACTTCTTGCTCGCACGCGGTCTGGACAACACCTCGTCACTGTCTTCTCCGACGAGAAGCTGTTCACTGTGGAGACGGCATTCAACTCACAAAACCATTGAGTACTTGCCCAGACATCCCAGCAAGCTTCTGAGAAAAGAAGAACATATCATCCAGCCTCACATCCTGCCAGCATGATGGTTTTCGTTGCCATCTGCTCAACCGGGAAGTGCCCCCTGGTTTTCGCGGATCAGGGGGTGAAAGTGAACAAAGAAGTCTACGTTCGGGACATTTTGGAGAAGCATGTGATGCCCTGGACCCAAACGCATTTCGGTGGGCAGAAATGGGTCTTTCAACATGACGGAGCAGCCGCCCACACTGCCAAAACTACTCAGGAGTGGTGCCAGACCCATTTTCCCGACTTCATCAAGTCATCCGAATGGCCTGATTGCTCCCCAGACCTGAACCCGCTTGACTTTCCCGTGATGGGGTCTTGCAGGAGAAGGTCAACGCAAAACCCCACTCAAGTATAGAGGCTCTGAAGAAGACATTACTGGCGGAATGGGACAATCTTTCCATCGAATACCTGCGTACCACAGTCGCATCCTACCCGAAGCGTTTCCGTGAAGTCATAGCTGCGAAAGGAGGCCGAATCAAAAAGAGTTAATAGATAAATATTTGTTATACTATAGATAAAAAATATTTTGAGTCTCGTTTGATTTGGACTTTTAGTTTCAGAAATATACGTCTTCAAAGTTGTGCGGGAACTTAAATGACACCCTGTAATTGCCTCATGCTCACAACCAGAATTGTAATGCGTTTTAATCAAAAATTTCCCGAGTCTCCCGCGGGGTCCATGAGGTGTTGCGACTACACAACGGGCTTCTGCAACCAACGCCAGGGAGCGGCATTCATGTGGAAACCAAACCCAGAACAGAGTTGCCGTTTCATAAAACTGCGGACCATGTCCGGTCACCAATCAGATAACATTTGGCTGTCTGAAAACAACGAATTCGCACTGTCTTTTAACTCTTCAAATCCAATAATCGAAGACTGTGGCAAATCTCTCGTAGTCACAGATCAAGGCTTCGCTGTCCCAACCAGACGAATTGCCAAACGGGAAATAGTCCCACCCTCTATCACCAACCTAACAAACTTTGTCTCGTCAAACCAACTTTCGGCCCAGCTCTTGGCAGCAGAGAAGGATATTTTAGAGTCCTCCTCTCTTTGGTTTGCTCACTATTTCTTATCATGGTGCGCGTCCTTCAACGCACTCGCAGCGTCTGCCGTTGCAGCAGCAGCAAGCCACCCCTCACTGTTCGCGCGCCAAATACTCAACCAATCTAACATTCAAGCAACCTTCCTCGGCAAAAACACATTAGCCATTAAAACTTGCTCAGTAATTCCACAATCATCCTTCTCCATCGTCCCTTTCACTAATATTTGTTACTCTCGACCATCAATCAAGATCAACTTGCCCAATAACTCCACGCTCAACACTTTCATAGACCCCATTACCCAAATCATCACCAATGAAGCCAACCAAGTGCCGTGCGCACTGATTTCCAACTTTGAATACATGTTCGAAAACCATCTAGTACGCATCAATCCCTTTTCAGGAACTATAGAAAATACACCAAGACACTTGCTTAAATCGATTTCCCCATTTAGCATCTCAACCTCCGACCTCGTGCCATCTACGTTGAAACTATATGATTGCATTCACAAAATTAGGTAAGAATTTTAGAAATTTATTTGTTTTTTATTGCATTGGGTCCCGTCACGAGAATGCCATTTCATGAATAATTTATTTTATTTTTAATTTCACTTTGAAACCGATTAATTTTTTGGAAAAATGAAATGAAAAGATTGGATTGTGAAATGATCAAAAGAACGTGAAATAATTCATCCATCTATTTCAGGAATTCTAATTCACTTTTACCTCATAGTTATACTAAAATCAGAAGAAGAAAAATATTACGATTTCGATGATTCTCTCTTTCATAGTTTTTGTCGAAGAAGTGGAGGACAAAGCACGAATCGAACTGATTTGGTTTGTGGTTTTCTGATTATTTGAATTCTGAAATCGATAATAGTTTATGAAAGTAGGAGTGTCTTGTAAAAATGCGAAAATCCAGTTTGCAGCCAATGAATTGGTACGTAATTTAATAAAAGGCAATTAAATTTGAAATAGAAACTGCAGATTGGACCAGTCGAGGCTTGTAGACGAATTGTGCCATATTGGGTGAGAAATGCAAGAATAATCGACGAGTATCTCATCGAATGTGATTATGGTTTGAATTAGAGATAATTACTCTAATTATGATAATTAATTAGATCATCAATATAATTGCCCGCGTAATTATCTTCAAGTATATAACAAATGCTATTTGATGCCAGAAAATGCAACGAATTATAATGGAATCAACAAAACCTGTGGAGAAAATTTCAAATTGGCGAAACTCGACAGACTAGATCTGATTGGAATTATTGAGAGAATATTCAGACCATCAACTTCAGTTTGGATGGATTTTCTCACAAATTATGAGGGAATTTTTACTGAAAACATTCATACATCAGATGATCTAAGAGATGACGATGAATATTTTGATTTGAGAGAGCGGTTCATTGGGAAACTTGGCCCTATCAAACCAATTGATATCAAAGACGACAATATTCTATTTATATGTGAAAAACCATACAAAGACCTATTCGCTGGTTCATTTTTAGATGAATTCCAGTCTTAATCAATTCGATTTCAGCTGTTCATGGAGACGTCGGAAAGTTTTCTGAAATATATTTCGAAGAATACGCACAACCGAATAATCAAGTGTATCCGACATTTGGAAAATATGGGTAAGTCGAATTGGAGAATTCTCAATTTTTATGAAAATCCTAGAAATTCATACCAACCAAATGAAGCAAGCACGAAAGATGAAGACAGGATATGCAGCGTATGTCGATTGATAGTTTCAAATTAATATCATATTTAGAAATTTATGGGTTCTTTTTCTGATTTCGGACAGCATCAGCTTATTAGATTCAACGAGGATCATTCTTTGAAACTCTCAATTCCTCCGAGTTATTTCTCGCAGACCAGATATGTTCATACCGGAATCAAAGATGCCACCAATTCAACAAGATCGTGTGATGAATTCGAGAAGGAAGAGATCTGTAATACAAGAAGGAACTTGACAGCATCAAAGATAATGATAGCGAATGAAAGGTGATCAGTGAAATCCAATCCAAAATTTATTTTCATATAGTAATTGGCAATTAACATCAGCTCCTTTGGGTCAACGATCTCCAATGTATTGCCAGTCAGGTAAGAATTTTCGAGAAAACGAGACAATTTAATCAGTTTAAAGGGTACTACAGTTTCGATGGAAACGGCTATTGTCGGAGTGATTTCACTCCGTTTATCAAAGGAACTTATATGACATGCCATAAGGTCAGTCAACTCAAATAAAATTTATTAATTTCACATAGGCTGTTAACATGTGGAGAAATTATTTTGCCGCGAACGAAATTTGCGAAATCGACATAGGACAAAATACATGTAGACATTGCAAAAACCTATCCGGAAAATTAAGCGAACCTGAAAGTGTGGAGGAATTATATCATCTCATCTGTAAGGATTTCTACCACAGATTATTTCTGTTTTTGATTATTCTTCTAATCATAGAATAGTCTAAAGAATAACAAATCAATTTTCAGCGATAGCCAAAGACGGCTGGAATTACCGTCTTGGTGTCAGATACTACTACGAGTCCAAGGCTTTTTATCGGGATTCCGGTACTGGTCACCGGGAAACAATTTTCGACTTCTATTGGTCGTTTTGGGATAGGACCTATTCGCCTGCACCACCAGGGCGAATCATAGTCCTTACGAAAAACAAGCTTCTCGTGTTAGCAGAGTATGTCTTCAATAGTTTTATTTGGAATTTTCAACAAAAATTGATTGTAAATACATATGCTAACTCGAAAAAGCATAGTTTAACTATCACTAAATTTGATCAAATTAAAAGAATCGGGCGAAGGTGATTCTGATAGATTCTCATTAAAATAAACAAACATTTCTCTTTCGTAATTCTCAAATTAATATTTTAAAATTTACATTAAATTTCAAAATTCGCTACAGTTCGCACAGACAAAATAAATATGCTTTTCATCCACTTTATTGGCCGATTATTAAAATTAATAAATATAGATTTATGGTGGATATGGGATTCATGTGCCAATTCAATGTCGAACGACCGGATTCTGTTCAAAAACTTTATTGAATAAACATTTTTTTTAAATGTAATTGTTAATTAAAAAAAGTTACCTTTCCCTTCTCCATTCTATCTGCGTTATAGAATCTTTTCGCTTATTCAATTTTTTTTATTCGAATGGATTTCAAAAAGAAAAGAAGTTGAAAATGAAATTAATTTTCGCGTGAAACGTATTATTCGGTTCATTCATTCCACGAGATTTTTTCATTCGTAATCGGTTGTGAATTGCTTCCAATCTGCTCTTGAAATGCGATTTTTGATTCTTCTCTCCTTTTTCGTTTTGTTCTCATTCGAGGAAGTGCTTTGGGGTAAGTTGCTCAATTTAACACACTCGATTTCTATTTTTTCCTTTTCAGACTGTTCGTCTGATATTAGATGCGTTCTTGGCGGATGGTGCGAAGATAAAGACCTAAAATGCGTACAGCCCCCAGGATTCCCTGAGCCGAGCTGCTGCAGTGAGTATAATTGAACATTTCAAAAAATTCATTTATTCGAATTTCAGCACAAAACCCCAAATGCTTAAGCGGATGGGAATCTAGCATAAAAATTGATGGTGACACTATCACATGCGATCTTGCGAACACTTCAATCGAGGACTGTTGTTGTATGTCGTTTAATTGCTAAAATGGAATCTGTAGTCGGACGAATCTGACCACAATTTTTATTGATTTCAATGCTCTCTCGATTTCATGAAAATGTCTAACAAATGGGGCACCTACGTGATTAAATTTTGATGGGAAATGGTCTTAAAAATATTTACAACTATCTAATACGAATACTAATCCAATACTAATACTAATCTATCTTTCGAAATGGTCTCGCACGGGCTAACAGATTATTTTGTAGTTTATGCGTCTCAACGAAATGCGGAAATCATAGAAAAAATAAATCGTTCACGTGAAAACAAGAAAATAAGCGTTCACACGCGGTGAGACCTTTTCAAGGCGCATGCAGTCGCTGGACGCCGACTATATATATATATATAGCATATAGTATAGTATATAGTATAAATGTATAGCCCTAACTGATCTAACTAGTGAATTATGATTCTATGCAGATAACGTTGAAAAAAAAATAATAGTTTTTACGAGTTTTTGACGATTTTTCTCTTTCCTGCAGTTTTTAAAGCAAATCCTGCAGATTATTCACATCGACTTGTATTTTATTTGAAATTATTATATTTTATTTTTTATTTTTATCGTGTTTTTTTTACTATGATTGCTCATAATCACCACTTTCAGTTATTGTTCATCCAAAGTCGTTGCTCAATCACCCGTTGTTCGACTATACAAGTAAAAACTATCATAATCACAAGATTTCAGCTAATAACTTTAATACAGAATCGACAGAAGACCATCCACAATGCGAATCGAACATTGACTGCGGACCCAAAATGTTCTGCGACTACCTGATTAACAACGAAACGAGAGCAATTTCTAATAGAACTGGATGTTTCAACAGTAAGTTTAATTCTTAGTTCACTAATAAAAAACATTCAGATTTTAAAAAAATCTAGCCTGGAATGCAAAACTAATCGAACAATCTTGTTTCAGTCACGAAAAGAGCGGACACCGCGACGAAATTTCTTTTTGATATTGGAATTCGGATGTGCAAATCGGACGACGAATGTGGCGAATTCGACTGCTTGGATGTGACTAACGAAACCTATGGATTCAGCGGAACACGTGAATTCTGCCAGATCAACGTTGAAGCTCCCGCCAAGAAGCCGCTCGTCCCGTGTTCAGATGATATGGATTGTGTCCATTTGATGAATGGAATGGTCGGAACCGCCGGACTGATTCCCAAGTAAACCATTTTCTGAAAATTATACTTTTAGTCCACGTTTTCAGCGCGTATTGCAATAAAACAGGAGATTTCTGTTGTTCCGGATTGCTGGACGTCTGCTTTGGCGGCAATCTCGTCCGGCCATTGCGTAAGTGCGAAGCTGGAACAATGGCCGGATTTGAGACCTGCAATCCGGACATGGGAAATGGGGATCTCCTGGGATTCTGCACCGACATCGGAGTCTGCTGTGAAGGTAACAATTTTCAAATGAATAATTCAATATTAAACTCAATACGTTCTTAACAAATACGTTTTAGGCCCTTATGAAGAGCCTGTGGTTTGCCCGGACGGTGTGCATCCGCTCTTCATAGAGCCGGCGTGCCACCGTGGAGATTCCGGATACCTGGAGTGCCCACAAAACATCGACAATTGCACTTGTGTAATGGGGTGGCCGTGCCCGTCAAGTAATCAAATTTGATTCATTCGCATTTAATAACTTTATTTTCAGTTGCCGCCAACTCGTTGTTGGTCAATTTCGGCCGCCCGTTTGTAGGCCAGATTTCGTGCGATCCGTCGCGCCCGATCTGCAAACGGGCGGTCAACGGGTACTGTCACCCCGAAACAAAAACGATTGCGCTATATGGGAGGTTTTTCCCGGATTTCTTCGGGTTTGTCGAAACCAGAAAATGCAAAATCAACAGGTATAAACGGCAATAATTCTAATAAAAGAAAACAATTTCAGCGACTGCGAGACTAACGAAGTGTGCGTCTATTATCTCGAAGAAGGTCAATGCGCGGCTTTCCCCAATCCGAATTTCCTGGTAACAGATTAGTATTAGAGAACAATCAATAATCGATTAAATTTCAGGAAAATGAGAACGAAGAAGATGACGGTTGGGCCGAATGGGCGGTGGATTTGTACCGGCAAACCGCGTATGGAATAGCCATGTATTTTGTCCTATGCGTCTTTCGCACCATGCTCTAGCGTAAAAAAAATCTCCCCATATGTCAGAAGCCTGTGTGAAATCAATAAATTTTATTTGTGTTAACTGACCTTATGGCATGCCATATAATTTCCTTTGATAAACGGAGTGAAATCACTCCGACAATAGCCGTTTTCATCGAAATTGTAGTACCCTTTAAATTGATAAAATTGTCTCGAATTCTCGAAAATTCTTACGTGACTGGCAATACATTGGAGATCGTTGGCCGAAAGGAGCTGATGTTAATTGCCAATTACTACATATAATGAAATAAATTTTAGAAATTGGTGGGAATTCAATGATCACCTTCCATCCGTTATAATTATCGTCGATGCCGTCAAGTTCCTTCTCGCATTACAGACTTCATTCCCGAATTCACCACACGATCGGGTTGAATTGGTAGCTTTTTTGATTCCCGTGTGAACATATTTGGTCTGCGAGAAATAACTCGGAGGAATTGAGAGTTTCAAAGAATTATCCTCGTTGAATCTAATAAACTGATGCTGTCCGAAATCAGAAAAAGAACCCATCAATTTCTAAATATGATATTAATTTGAATCTATCAATCGACATACGCTGCATATCCTGTCTTCATCTTTCGTGCTTGCTTCATTTGGGTGGTATGAATTTCTAGGATTTTCATCAAAATTGAGAATTCTCCAATTCGACTTACCCATATTTTCCAAATGTCGGATACACTTGATTATTCGGTTGCGCGTATTCTTCGAAAAATATTTCAGAAAACTTTCCGACGTCTCCATGAACAGCTGAAATCGAATTGAAATGATTTTGACTAGAATTCATCTAAAAATGAACCAGCGAATGAGTCTTTGTATGGTTTTTCACATATAAATAGAATATTGTCGTCGTTTATATCAATTGGTTTGATAGGGCCAAATTTCCCAATGAACTGTTCTCTCAAATCGAAATATTCATCATCATCTCGTAAATCATCTGATGTATGAATATTTTCAGAAAAAATTCCCTCATAATTTGTGAGAAAATCCATCCAAACTGAAGTTGATGGTCTGAATATTCTTTCAATAATTCTAATCAGATCGATTCTGTCAAGTTTCGCCAATTCGAAATTTTCTCCACAGGTTTTGTTGATTCCATTATAATTTGTTGCATTTTCTGGCAGCAAATAGCATTTGTTATATATTTGAAGATAATTACGCGGACAATTATACTGATGATCTAATTAATTATCATAATTCAAGTAATTATTTCTAATTCAAACCATAATCACATTCGATGAGATACTCGTCGATTATTCTTGCATTTCTCACCTTATATGGCACAATTCGTCCACAAGCCTCGACTGGTCCAATCTGCAGTTTCTTTTTCAAATTTAATTGTCTTTTATTGAATTACGTACAAATTCATTGGTTGCAAACTGGATTTTCGCATTTTTACAAGACACTCCTACTTTCAGAAACTATTATCGATTTCAGAATTCAAATAATCAGAAAACCACAAACCAAATCAGTTCGATTCGTGCTTTGTCCTCCACTTCTTCGACAAAAACTATGAAAGTGAGAATCATCGAAATCGTAATACTTCTCCGCTTCAGATTTTAGTACGACAATGAGGTAAAAGTGAATTAGTATTCCTGAAATATCAAATATCAGAATGCAATAATGTTGACGGATATACATAAAACAATCATTCCAGTAATTAAGAAGAAACCAAATTGAATTAAAGCAATGTAATTTCTTAAATTCTCACCTAATTTTGTAAACACATCCATAGAATCGCAACGTTGAAATCAACTAATTGTCATTTTTAAAAGTTGAAAAATAAACGTATCTTTGCAATTTAATATTCCGAAAAAAAGATTCAGTCTATCATTTTAAAGTCACTTAGCCTCGAACCCTTCAAGCGAATCCGATTAATTCGTCTGATCTTTTATTCTAAACTACTGCCGCATTATTGCTTCAATGTATGCGGTAATTGCGATTATTGCCACACCCACAGATTCAAAGCATTCGTTCGATCGAATCTCGGTTCGTTATGCCATGTTTTCGTCTTTTGTTATTCTTGATTAAAACAATTATTTTAGGATGAGAAAAGTCAATGTCTCTCATTTAATTTGAAAATAATGCTGACAATGATGTTAGAAGACTTCAATACTTTTTTATTCCGCATATCGACCAACTTTTTTCATCTCGGTGGTTGAAGCAATATTGAGTGAGTTTCAAATCGCACACTATCTAATAATAACTATTAAACTTTTAGATTTGCCGTCTTTTTTAGGCTGAATGAGGACGAACGAGAGTACATGGAAATAAGAGAATTGAAGACAATTATTACTTTATCTCACTAGTGAGCAAATTATTTTTCAATTAATGTCTTATATTCCAGGTATTTCCAGTCTCACTATTTTCGACAAGTTCGAATGTTAAAATCATTGCCAGTTCAAAAGACATTATTACATCTACGGACTTAAGCAATATTTTCGCGCTAAAAAGTATGCATTAACAATTAAAGAAATAATCAAAATTTCTATTTCGTCCCCTTGGCTGTGTTTGCGGATCAACTTGGTATGACCTCAAAGCATTTATTGAGAAACATTTATTGATTTCCAGATGGCTATGGAGACTGCGGGATTATGAAAATCCGTTTTGTAAAGAAAAAAAAACGTATAAATGATGTTAATTATGTGCATAAATTATTGATTGATATCCGGTCAAAAACCAATTGTAATGTGTCCCGAAGAGATGAATATGTCCGCAGATTTGATATATCCTCTATTTTTTGAAGCTGGTCTTGTATTGTGCCAATCTTGGAATTTTAAAATACGATTGTTGTATTGTTATAAGATATTTATTCTACGTAGTTAATAAAACAAACGAAAATTTGAAAAAAAATTAATTCTTGTTAGTAAAACATTGGATAAAAGGAAATACTATTGAGAACTGGATAAAATAATCGAAAACCAAAACGAATTATTTTGTAGCAAACCATAATTTGATAAAAACACAATTCAACTTTAAATAGAAATTTAAATAAGAAAATTAACGATTTTTAATATCTCTATAGAAGTAGAACATTCAAAAACAGTGGAAAATCACAGAAGAAATAGGAATTTTAAAGAAATTTAAGAATTTTCATACGGCCATACAAATAGAACATTGAGAAAACGACAAAGGCAGCGAAGTGGGAAATCACATAATTTAAGTGAAAGGACGGGTCAAATAATAAACGATACCGAGCAAAAACAGGGCTGTCATCACAAGTGTTGGAATGATGATCATGGCTTCTTCGCGGGAGACATAATCGGCGATGGTCACTTTTCCATTGGCCAGCGCTTTGAGAAACTGCAAAACAAAAAATGAAATATTCAAATGAATATTCAAAACTGGGGAAAAATATAATTTTAGGGTACGGTACACAAAGTCCGCAAACACTTTGACAGTGAATGCACACTATCAAATCTGAGATTTTTCCACTTTTCGTTATTTAATTTGCGTTTTATTGAATTTTTCTAGAATTTTACCTCGTCTTTATCATTCGAAGCGCCCGAAATTGCATCTTGACCAATATCTTTGAGTTCCTTCATCAATTCTTCTATTTCGGCAGTGATTGCATTGGAAACAACATCGGGAATGAAGAAGAATCCAAAAACGATAATGATGAATAACGGGGCACCGTATAGAAAGGCCTTCAAGAACACTTGTGTGCTTCGTCTCATATGCTTTTCGTTTGATTTTTCCATTCTTGCACGCTTATTGTTTCTTCTTCTTTGGTGCATTCTTTTCTTTTGCTTCATCACCCGTCTTCCTCTTCCTCTTCGGAAGGTCTTCGTCCACTTCTTTCTCTTCTCAGCCTCGCTCAGTTCCGACGAATAAAGAGAAGACGGCGTTTCGGTCGACGTAACGCACTCACATGTTTGCTTCGTGTGCCGTGTGCCGTACTTCTCCCGCCGCCAATTCTCCAGAATCTCTTCGTGCCGTTCCTCCATTCGCCTCATCATCATCTCTTCGTACGCCTCTTCCAGCGCTATTCTTTGGTCGTAGGCGTTCGGGAAATATCGTACTTCGAAGAACCGATAAATCCTGAAGCACACCCACACGATGGCTATTCCATACGCGGTTTGCCGGTACAAATCCACCGCCCATTCGGCCCAACCGTCCTCTTCCTCTTCATCATTCTCATTCTCCTGAAATTTAATGATTATTGATTGTTCTCTAATACTAATCTGTTACCAGGAAATTCGGATTGGGGAAAGCCGCGCATTGACCTTCTTCGAGATAATAGACGCACACTTCGTTAGTCTCGCAGTCGCTGAAATTGTTTTCTTTTATTAGAATTATTGCCGTGTATACCTGTTGATCTGGCACTTCCTGGTTTCGACGAACCCGAAGAAATCCGGGAAGAACCTTCCATAAAGCGCTATCGTGTGGGTCACGGGGTGACAGTACCCGTTGACCGCCCGTTTGCAGATCGGGCGCGACGGATCGCACGCAATCTGGCCTACAAACGGGCGGCCAAAATTGACCAACAACGAGTTGGCGGCAACTGAAAATAAAGTTATTAAATGCGAATGAATCAAATTTGTTACTTGACGGGCACGGCCACCCCATTACACAAGTGCAATTGTCGATGTTTTGTGGGCACTCCAGGTATCCGGAATCTCCACGGTGGCACGCCGGCTCGATGAAGAGCGAGTGCACACCGTCCGGGCAAACCACAGGCTCTTCATAAGGGCCTAAAACGTATTTTTTTAAGAACTTATTGAGTTTAATATTGAATTATTCATTTGAAAATTGTTACCTTCACAGCAGACTCCGATGTCTGTGCAGAATCCCAGGAGATCCCCATTTCCCATGTCCGGATTGCAGGTCTCAAATCCGGCCATTGTTCCAGCTTCGCACTTACGCAATGGCCGGACGAGATTGCCGCCAAAGCAGACGTCCAGCAATCCGGAACAACAGAAATCTCCTGTTTTGTTGCAATAGGCGCTGAAAACGTGGATTAAAAGTATAATTTTCAGAAAATGGTTTACTTGGGAATCAGTCCGGCGGATCCGACCATTCCATTCATCAAATGGACACAATCCATATCATCTAAACACGGGACGAGCGGCTTCTTGGCGGGGGCTTCAACGTTGATCTGGCAGAATTCACGAGTTCCGCAGAATCCATAAGTTTCGTTAGTCACATCCAAACAGTCGAATTCGCCACATTCGTCGTCCGATTTGCACATCCGAATTCCAATATCAAAAAGAAATTTCGTCGCGGTGTCCGCTCTTTTCGTGACTGAAACAAGATTTTTCGATTAGTTTCACATTCCAGGCTAGATTTTTTAAAAGCTGAATGTTTTTTATTAGTCAAATAAGAATTAAACTTACTGTTGAAACATCCAGTTCTATTAGAAACTTCCCTATCCTTGTTGACCAGGTAGTCGCAGAACATTTTGGGTCCGCAGTCAATGTTCGATTCGCATTGTGGATAGTCTTCTGTCGATTCTGTATTAAAGTTATTAGCTGAAATCTTGCGATTATGATAGTTTTTACTTGTATAGTCGAACAAAGAGTGATTGAGCAACGACTTCGGATGGACGATATCTGAAAGTGGTGATTATAAGATCCTAAGGTTTCACAAACGCGAATTTCGATTTAAAACCACAAAAAAGAAATTATAAAATAAAAACATGATAAAAAATAAAAATGATAAACATGATTTAAATATATATTGGCCGCCGACAGGGTTGCATAATATTACGTATTATCACAACAGACGGATTTGACCAATTTTATTAGCAATTTTGGATTGCCTGCTGTATTTTTCATGTATTTAATTTTCAAAAAATAATATTTAGCTATGTTAAATAAAAATTATTTCAGTAACCGATCTCAAAAAGCAGATCCACCCTGGACAATTTAATTTTTTGGGCGGTATTTCAAATTTCGTTCTAATCAGTGGAATTTTTTGAATTTACCCCGGGACAAGTTTTCCTGGAAACCCATAATTTTCGTCTCACGAATGATTCCGGGAAAAAAAATCCGCAAACACCGTGCGCGCAAATGCACAATTTTACTTATAATGATTTTATTTTGAAGCTATTTTTGTTTTTTTACGCAATATATTGCGCTTTTTATTAATTTCTGGAATTTTTGGCTTCTACAATCATTTCCTGAAAATTTCAAAGATTTAAAATTCGAACCCGTTATGAAATTCCTTTTCTAACTTTTGACGCGTGCTTGTATCATCTTATTACATTTCTTTTTTTTTTTTGGTTTTTATCCCTCTCTTTTTTTTATCGATATCATTTTCTGAAAAAAAATCTTGAAAAGGGCGCATGCTCTCCCGGTGTTTACGACATTTTTCCCGGGAAATTTTAAACTACAAGGGTTAATAGCAATGATTTGTGACGTTTTTTTTTTTGATTCAGCATTTTCAAATTCAAAACAGATAAAAATAAGTCAAACACGTACAGCAACAGTCCTCAAGCGAAGTATTCGGCAATTTGCACTTGATATTTCCCCACCTATCGATGTCTATTTGAGAATCCCATCCAGCCAGACACTTGGGTTTTTCTACTGAAATAAAAACGAACGAAATATTTGATGAATTCCGATTTACTTACAACAACAACTGGGCTCCAGAAAGCCTTCGGGATGCACGCATTTACTGTCTGAATGCTCGCACCAGCCGCCAAGGACGCATCGAAAATCACGATGGCAATCTGAAAAAGAAACGATTGAAAAATGAAATCGAGAATGTGATTGGCTCACCCCATAGCACCTCCTCGAATGAGAACAAGACCAAGAAGGAGAGAAGAATCAAGAATCGCATTTCAAGAGCAGATTGGAAGCAATTCACAACCGATCACGAATGAAAAAATCTCGTGGAATGAATGAACCGAATAATACGTTTCACGCGAAAATTAATTTCATTTTCAATTTCTTTCCTTTTTGAAAACCATTCGAATAAAAAAAATTGAATAAGCGAAAAGATTTTATAATGCAAAGGGATATTAAAAAAAATGATGTTCAGTTATTTTATTAAAATCTATCATCATCAGAATTCAGCATTCCGCATTTTCAAATGTCTTTCTGCTCAACTCTAAGATCTACCCAATGTGGAATGTAAATGCAGAGAATGGAAAACTTTTTTTTAAATTAACAATTACATTTTTAAAAAAAGTTTATTCAATAAAGTTTGTGAATCGAATCCGGTCGTTCGACAGTGAATTGACACATGAATCCCATTTCCACCATACTACTATATTTATTAATTTTAATTATCAGTTAATGTCCAAATATAACTATTGACATACTCTACATCTTTGAGAAGTTTGTTTTTCGTAAGAACTATGCGTCGACCTAGTGGTCCAGGCGAATAGGTCCTATCCCATAACAACAAATAGAAGTCGAAAATCGGTTCCTGGCGATTACTAGAGGATTCCCGAAAGAATGCATTGTCCTCGTAGTAGTATCTGACACCGAGGCGGTAATTCCAGCCGTCTTTGGCTAAAGCTGAAAATTGATTTGTTAATCTTTAGACTATTCTATGATTAGAAGAATATTCAAAAACAGAAATAATCTGTGGTAGTAATCCTTACAGATGAGCAGCTGTATTTCCTCCACACTTTCAGGCTCGCTTATCTTTCCGGATAGATTTTTGCAATGTCTACATGTATTTTGTCCTATGCGTCTTTCGCACCATGCTCTAGCGTAAAAAAATCTCCCCATATGTCAGAAGCCTGTGTGAAATCAATAAATTTTATTTGTGTTAACTGACCTTATGGCATGCCATATAATTTCCTTTGATAAACGGAGTGAAATCACTCCGACAATAGCCGTTTTCATCGAAATTGTAGTACCCTTTAAATTGATAAAATTGTCTCGAATTCTCGAAAATTCTTACGTGACTGGCAATACATTGGAGATCGTTGGCCGAAAGGAGCTGATGTTAATTGCCAATTACTACATATAATGAAATAAATTTTAGAAATTGGTGGGAATTCAATGATCACCTTCCATCCGTTATAATTATCGTCGATGCCGTCAAGTTCCTTCTCGCATTACAGACTTCATTCCCGAATTCACCACACGATCGGGTTGAATTGGTAGCTTTTTTGATTCCCGTGTGAACATATTTGGTCTGCGAGAAATAACTCGGAGGAATTGAGAGTTTCAAAGAATTATCCTCGTTGAATCTAATAAACTGATGCTGTCCGAAATCAGAAAAAGAACCCATCAATTTCTAAATATGATATTAATTTGAATCTATCAATCGACATACACTGCATATCCTGTCTTCATCTTTAGTGCTTGCTTCATTTGGATGGAATGAACTTCTAAGATTTTCATCAAAATTAAAAATTCTCAGTTTCAATTACCCATATTTTCCAAATGTCGGATACACCTGATTATTCGGTAGTGCGTATTCTTCGAAGAATATTTCAGAAAACTTTCCGACGTCTCCATGAACAGCTAAAATCGAATTGATTTAGACTGGAATTCATCCAAAAATGAACCAGCGTATGAGTCTTTGTATGGTTTTTCACATATAAATAGAATATTGTCGTCGTTTATATCAAGTGGTTTGATAGGGCCAAATTTCCCAATGAACTGCTCCCTCAAATCGAAATATTCATCGTCATCTCTTAGATCATCTGATGTATGAATATTTTCAGAAAAAATTCCCTCATAATTTGTGAGAAAATCCATCCAAACTGAAGTTGATGGTCTGAATATTCTTTCAATAATTCTAATCAGATCGATTCTGTCAAGTTTGGCCAATTCGAAATTTTCTCCACAGGTTTTGTTGATTCCATTATAATTTGTTGCATTTTCTGCCATCAAATAGCATTTGTTATATACTTGAAGATAATTACGCGGGCAATTATACTGATGATCTAATTAATTATCATAATTTGAGTAATTATTTCTAATTCAAACCATAATCACATTCGATGAGATACTCGTCGATTATTCTTGCATTTCTCACCCAATATGGCACAATTCGTCTACAAGCCTCGACTGGTCCAATCTGCAGTTTCTATTTCAAATTTAATTGCCTTTTATTAAATTACGTACAAATTCATTGGTTGCAAACTGGATTTTCGCATTTTTACAAGACACTCCTACCTTCAGAAACTATCATCGATTTCAGAATTCAATCAATCAGAAAACCACAAACCAAATCAGTTCGATTCGTGCTTTGTCCACCACTTCTTCGACAAAAACTATGAAAGAGAGAATCATCGAAATCGTAATATTTTTCTTCTTCTGATTTTAGTATAACTATTAGGTAAAAGTGAATTAGAATTCCTGAAATAGATGAAAAATTTAACGATTTATCTCAAAAATAAATTTCTGAAATTCATACCTAATTTTTTGAATACAATCATATAGTTTCAACGTAGAAATCAATAAAATTTCATTTTAAAGATTTGAAAAAACTCACGTATTAATAGATAATTTTTTATGTGTGAATATAGGGGATTCGCAATATGAAAAGATAACAGTTTTTTTTTATTGATTTTAATTCACCAGAGTGCTCATAAAATTCTTTATCTTGAAGTTCGTAAAAATTCATTCATTTGTTGCATTCAAAAAATATAGAAGTAAATAATATATTTGCTGATTTTATATTCAAAAAAACTTTTTTCAATTGAAAATAGTTGAAAATGATTGTTATTTGCTTGTAGAAAATTCGATTTTAATTCGTCTGAAATCTAAATTACTGCTTGTAATCTAAACTACTGCCGCACAATTGCTCAAATGTATGCGGCAATTTTCCAACGTCATTCGATTAAAAAATTATCGAACCGGTCCATAAAATTTTAAATAACGTGTTAGTCTTTGCGAGACCATTTCGAATGAAGCATTCCCGTAAATCTACCCGCGTACAGCGGACGCCGACTATAACAGGTTGTGTAATAAATAAATATAGCACGATGGTGGAAATGGGATGTAGGTGCCAATATATTATCTATCGACCGGTTTCTGTTAAGAAACTTTATTGAATAAATTGATTAGAGTTTCTTGCTTTTTCCATTTAATGAATTTCTGAACAAACTTCTAATGCTAAATTGTTTTAAATACTAATTTGACTGAATATTAAATGCGCGTTCGCTTGCGATGTATTTTTTTTTGAGTCAAACTAAAATTTAATTTCGCAAAAAAAAAATTCAAACGTGTTGTGATACCTGTTTGTGAAAACACGAATAAAATATAGTTTAATAAAAATTGTTTATAAAAATCATCAAAAACAAAAGTGAAGCGTGAGAATGTCAACTCGACGCGTTCTATTTCGCGTTGTTCAGTTATTATAAGAAAGTCGAGTTTCACTGTGGACTAACAATAACCGTAAGATGGCAGAAGATGGATACGAGGTGATGGGTCCCGGTGGTGCTCCGGCTCCGGCCGCGGTGCCTGTGCCGCCGACGCCGCCCGCCGCTGCTCCACCGCCCGGCGGCATTGTTCCGCCGCCGCCGCCACCCAACGTGCAACTCGACCGCTCATCAGCGACCAGTCTCCTCGACGAAGAAAAGTGAGTTTGGGCTTCCGTGTAGAATATCGACATTTTTGTCGTTGTGGTTTGAAGGGAGGAGAAAAAGAAGAAGAAGAAGAAGAAGAACAAGAGCGGCGACGATGAAGCCGGGCACACCGAAGGCATGGAGCTCCATCAGCGGCCGACGTCGTGCGACACGATGCCGCTGGCGTTGATCAGTGTCATCTTGATTCTCATCTTGTGCATTTCAATACCGATTATTCTGACCGCGTTCGGCAAAGCAAACGTAGGCAAATTTTTCGAAAGTTTGAGAAATTTCCGAATTTCCAGATCAAGCTGATCAGCAACAAATTGCTTGTCATGAAGGCGAAGACGGCAACCGCATGATGGCGGTTCAAACCATCGAAACTCGCGTTAATTGACTATAAATAGTTGAATTATTGAGATCCCCCCCCCCAAAAAAAGCATTCTGCGTGCTAATATTCATAATTTACATTTATTATTACTATACATTTTCATCCAAGAATATGAGAGAACAAGCTGGACGCTTGATTCCTCAAGAATCTCGGCGACGTTGGCCGATTGGCCTTGTCGGATATCTGGAAGAAGCCCTCCATGACATGAATAATTCCATCCGTGGCGATGATTTGACTTTCCTGCGCATTATTTCATTTGAATTATCTATTTTATCAATTCGATTTTTTGATTACCTGAATTCGGGCCCCATTGACTTCAATGGCCTCGTCGTCATCGTTGTACGAAGGAATGACGACATCGCCATTGATCGAGCTGAACATCGATGTCCGCACCTCATACTTCTTCCTTTCAAGATCGCTGTTGCAGAGAACAGCTGAAAAGCGTCAAAATTGATATTTTTGAGAAAATCATTAATTCCTACCCTCCACAACGTGCTTCTTAACAAAATTGTTAATGGTCTTCTGGCTTCTTTTGACTTTCTTTAGCATGTTCTTCGAGAATGCGTCATCATGCGGCGCAAACACGGTGATCTGCTCGGTTCCAATCGCATCGGTGATATTGGAGATCGTCCAAAGATGATAGAATTTCGAGAGATCGCCGCGCGTCTTCAGAATCTCCTCGACGCTATCGCGGACCATTGGAAGCGGCTTGTTGATGAAATGGAAGATCGCCTTGCAGGTGCGAATCGGCGCCGGATTCACCACCGAGCATCCGATGCGTCGATTCCGAACCGCGTTGAAACCGTTCATGCTGATTCTCATCGAGAAGAGGGTGCTCTTTTGGGACGAGTTGTCAACGAAAAGCTGAAAATCGGAAAACAAAAGCCTAATAGTTTTCGAAATTCGTGCTTCTCACAGTTGAATTCGCATCGGTGACGATTTCTTCAATGTTGGCAACGCTCGGAATCAATCTTCCCGACACCAGAAGATTATCAATATTCTCGATATCCGTCGAATTGTCGACTTCGGGAACGAATATCGTCGCCGGTGTGACGATGTTCTTCTGCTTCAATTTCTCGGCCATCATCGGATTGAACGACTTCAACGTGTCGTACCACGACAAATCTAAACCTCACAATTGACGCGACCAAACGCTAAACGTATACAATTTTCACGAAGAAGGACACCATCGATGACATGGACGATTCCGTTCAACGCGAATCGATCAGCGTCAACAATTGTGGCCGAATCAATTTTCGTGTGCGTCAACTGCAAAATCACGACTCTTTAATTTCTAGCCGATTTTTCTTTTTCGTCCCAACATTTCTTGCCGCTACAATCGTGTTTCCGCTAAGCGACGTCATCTCAAATGGGATATTGTTCAAGCAATATGTGCCAGCAGTAATCACATGCTGCTTCATGAGTCCTGAAACGCAATTAATCTTCTGGACCCTTTAAAATGCAAATTTCAATTCGCAGAATTGCTCATTCTTCAATGAATAATTATATGCAATAATCATGCGCAACGTGTTATTATTTCAAAAAAGAGGCTATCACGCAACATTTGGAGCCAGGTCTTGTGGCGAATTGCTCTGATGGTCACATTCATTTCAGAACCAGATTTTAAATGCTCAACTTCACGTCTCATTTCAAACACGCACCTTGAACACATTCATCGTTGGCGTTCTCCAAAATGTGAAGACGCGTCACTTCGGGTATCGCCTCAAACGCCTCGTTGGTGAACGCGAACACGGTCGCCCCATTGATTTCTCGGAGGAACTCGTGCATTTCCTGACCGATTACTGAAAATGAAAACGTTTTCACAGTGAACCAAACGAAGAACCGGTTGGCGTCAACCTTTCAAGAACGTTGACAATCGCGGATCGGACTCGATGAGCGTGTAGAGATTCTCGGCGGCCGGCTTCAATCGACGATCGAATTTCAGAACGTCGGCGTTTTTGAGATGAATCGTTTCATTGTTCAACGCGCAATTCAATCGAATATCCTGAATTATTATTAATTGCTCGGTTCTCTCATTTAAATCCATCTTCTAGAATAACCGTCAGAATATCAGAGTTCACTTGAACCACAAACTTCTCGTTGTTGGCCGTCGTCAGCACTTTCCGATCATCCCATTCATAGAGGCGATGGACGCCCGGCAATATGAACGTCTCGTTCGCCTCGTCGCCCGAGATAAGAACGGTGACGTTGGCGAGTTGTTCATCATACTGACCGAGATTGTGATCCGACAGATATTTGGCGTCGATTTCTGGAAATTTCGGCGTCAAGATGAAATTATTCGAATTGCCGCCCCCAGGTCTCGTATGAAAAACTATTCGTGGCGAAATTCGCTCAGTGTAATTAAATTTTTTTTAAATAAATTTTAATTATTTAATTGCCAACCGAGGAAATTGATAACGGGGATATTTCAATTTCGACAATACCTTGATTACATCCATATCGACTAATATCTTTAGTAGTGAATCCACTGCAACAATCTTGAATCCTCTTCGTAACCCTTCCCGACGGCGCCTTCGTCGTGCAGACTAACGCATCTCTGAATCGATTGCAGCCGACAGAGACATCAAGAGTTCCATTCGGATTCGAGCTGTGCTCAACAATCTCATCGATGCAAATATGGGGTCTGAAAGCTGATTGCTAGACGCGCTTTTTGTGGATGGCAGTCTACCCCCTCAAGTGCGACATCTCCATCGGCAATTCGGTAAGAGTGTCGAGAATCGGGAGCAGCTTCTTCGTTTTGCTATCGTCGCGATCTCCATTACTAATGATTCGAACTTGCGGAAGCATCTGGATGATGTGTATTCAGATCATTCAAGAAGATGACAATTACCACAGAATCGCCAAGTCCCATAAATGTTCCAAGCAATGATTTAGCCGTTCCAAGTATCTTCGAGACTGACTGCAGCTCGTCCTCATCATCGGTATTCTCTCGTCGCTGAATTGGAAGACGACTGCGGAACGCCGAATTTTCCAAAGGATTCACCATGTCATTCGCAGAATGCTCAATCTTCAAATTTCAGATTTTTTTTCGAGATATTCGATGCCGATATGCACCTTATGAGCTACATCGTCAAGTTTAAACGCGGTTTCAATCAGTCTCTCAACTTGATCCTAAAAAGAATTTCTTAAAATCAGCAAACACCGCTAATTTCGCAATACCTCGTCGCCAAATTGGCAATCCACTGAAAATGTTAGAGCGAATAATAGTAGACACCAGCGCATCTCTTTGTGAATATGTCGCAAACGTCCTTCAGTGTCTTTATATGGTCAGCGTGACAGTTGCGATGAGTGACCCAAATAAACCGACGCCTCCCACCTCAGAATGCACGGATTCATGAAAACATTTTAGATCAGTGCGTTTTGTTGGTAGAATCACTCTCGAATGTGTTAGCTTGATGATTTATTTACTCGGGCGGAGATGCGGAAATCAATTTAAAACAATGCATAAGAAATAAATTAATTCATTGGGCTCGAAGATTAAAAACAAATTTAAAATAATGCCCACAAAAATACTTTATTTATTCGTTCATTGCTCAGAATCATAAGTCTCTCCTTCTCCCTCGCCATAACCGTCCAAAGCTTCATCCTCGGCGCTAGCCTCCTGGTATTGCTGGTACTCGGAGATCAAGTCGTTCATGTTGCTCTCGGCCTCAGTGAACTCCATCTCGTCCATACCCTCACCAGTGTACCAATGAAGGAAAGCTTTTCTGCGGAACATAGCTGAAATTTTCAAATAATTATTTGCTTTTTCGACCACCGATTACCAGTGAATTGCTCCGAGATACGCTTGAAGAGCTCTTGAATGGCGGTCGAGTTACCAACGAAGGTAGCAGCCATCTTGAGTCCACGTGGTGGAATGTCACAGACGGCGGTCTTGACGTTGTTTGGAATCCATTCAACGAAGTACGACGAGTTCTTGTTCTGGACGTTGAGCATTTGCTCGTCAACCTCCTATAAGACCACACAATTAAATTGGATCAAATATCACTCGACACTCACTCTCATTGACATGCGTCCGCGGAACATAGCGGCAACGGTCAAGTATCTTCCGTGACGTGGGTCGCAAGCAGCCATCATGTTCTTAGCATCGAACATTTGCTGGGTGAGCTCAGCAACGGTCAACGCGCGGTAAGCCTGGGTTCCCTTAGCGGAAAGTGGAGCGAATCCTGGCATGAAGAAGTGAAGACGTGGGAATGGAACCATGTTAACGGCAAGTTTGCGAAGATCGGCGTTAAGTTGACCTGGGAAGCGAAGGCAGGTGGTAACACCAGACATAGTAAGAGAAACTGAAATAATAGTTCAAACTATTGTTTACTTCATGTTGTATATTACCCAAATGGTTCAAGTCTCCGTAAGTAGGGTTGGTTAATTTAAGAGTTCTGTAGCAGATGTCATAGAGAGCCTCGTTGTCAATGCAGTAGGTTTCATCGGTGTTCTCAACCAATTGATGGACCGAGAGGGTGGCGTTGTATGGCTCGACAACGGTGTCGGAAACCTTTGGCGATGGGACAACGGAGAAAGAGCTCATGATTCTATCTGGGTATTCTTCTCTGATCTTGGAGATGAGAAGTGTTCCCATTCCTGATCCAGTTCCTCCACCAAGTGAGTGGGTAAGTTGGAATCCTTGGAGGCAATCGCATCCCTCCGCTTCCTTGCGGATGACGTCCAAGACATTATCGACCAACTCAGCTCCCTCGGTGTAATGTCCCTTGGCCCAATTGTTACCAGCGCCGCTTTGTCCGAAGACAAAGTTATCCGGTCTGAAGAGCTGACCGAATGGACCGGCTCTAACAGAGTCCATGGTTCCTGGCTCAAGGTCGACGAGGACAGCGCGTGGCACGTACTTTCCATCTGGACAGATATTTTAAGTATTGCGAAATACTTGATTTGTCAACTCACTGTTAGCCTCGTTGTAGTAAACGTCGATGCGTTCCAGTTGAAGATCGCTCTCTCCCTTGAACGAGCCATCAGGCTGGATTCCGTGCTCATCGGAGATGACTTCCCAGAATTTCGATCCAATCTGGTTTCCGCACTGGCCGGCTTGGACGTGGACGATTTCTCTCATCTTTCTGAAATTGGTAAAACTTGCAACAATTAGCCGACGGTGCGGTGCAAAACAAATAGAAAACGGAAAGCGAATGCGGAGCGTTGATAAAAGACCACACGATATTTAAAAAAAAAATCGATGATGTGGCCCAAAATGTGCGCGTTGCTTGCGGGCAGCTCGCGACGACAATCGATTCGCAAGAAAATTGTTTTGCAAAATTTTTGCGCAACAAATCACCTCGAATTCGAAAACAACGCGAAACTGATAAGAACGCGACAGCACAATACTCGACGCGGCCTAAAATTCGAACAGCGTTTCGCAATGATTCGCGCGCGCGCGCGCGCGCCAACATTGTCGGTGTTTGCGGACAATGCGCCGCGTTGTTGTCATTGCATACCGTAGTCGCGCAAAAAATCGTGACGTTTGAAGATTAAAAATCTTAATATTTACACTCCATTGGACTGCATTTCACAACAAACAATTGCGCCGTATAAAGAAAATGCGATTTTGAAGTATCATCAAGAAAGTTCAAGAACTTTCGAAAATAGCAGAAAACGTATTCAAATTTAAAATTTAAAAAAAAATTTATCACAATTCAAGTCAGTTCAAATTATCGCAATAAGTGAAAATAAGATTTTTTTTTTAAATTAGTAAACGTGGAATGTCGAAAAAAAATGGGAACAATTCAATTTAAATTTTACGAATGAGGACAGCATTGGCTTCGCCGCCACCATTGCAAATCGTAGCAATTCCGTATTGTCCGGAAGAAAGGGAAAACGCGAGAGAGTTGACGATTCGGAGACCGGACATTCTGGAAAAAAAAAACAATTGAAGTGTCTTCAAATGATGAATGTTTGTATTGTCAGAAACGGACGAATTCGAAAATTTTAATTGGAATCACAAAATAAAATATTCCGTCATTTGGCACTAAAGAGAAATAACCAAAACAATTAAAATTAATTCAAATGAAATATTGTGCTCTATCATATTGTGATGGTTAAATTAAGCAAAACCCACTGCAGAGTTTTTTCCATATAAGGCCCAAGTCGGCAATTCAAGTGATATATTGCCGACTTCGCAAGACGGCAGAAAATTGGCTAAATGCCAAAATTATTTAAGTTAAGATTTTGCGCGGAGTGCGCCTTAAGCCTATTCTTACGAATAGAAAAATCTAAACAATTAGTTTTATGCAACGACGGCTGGGATTTAGCCATTGTTTCCAAAGATTCGACAACCTCAATCGTCGTTAAAGGTTCAGATCGAAAAAAAAACATTAAATTTGATTTTTTTTTGCAATTTTCACGATGTCTTGTCCAAAACAGAAGAATTACAGATTTTCTTTCAATTTTTTCCCCAATCATCTCTTTCTTCGTCATACCCCAATGGATGTCCAATTGCAACAGCGCCTCCCTTCACATTAATAACACTTGGATCAATGCCGAGATCTTTGATGAACGCGAGCACCGTCACCGAGAACGCCTCGTTCAATTCCCACAACGCGATATCCGAAATGGCGAGTCCAGTTTTGGCAAGAAGGTCTCGAACCGCGTTGACCGGCGCCACCGTAAAATCAACCGGCTCGCGTCCGGCTTCAGAAAACGCCACAATTTCAGCGAGCGGCTGAATTCCTAAAAAAAGCGAACTTTGACAATAAGAATATTGAGGCAATTTCTGGGTTACCATTCGGCAGGGCGTCTTGTCCAACAACCACCGCCGCCACCGCTCCATCATTCAACGACGAGGCGTTCGCAGCCGTGATCGTTCCACTTCCATCCTTAATAAAAACTGGCCGAAGTGTGGCCACCTTGGATTCAATCAACTTCTTGTACTCTTCATCTTCAGCAACAACCGTCTCGGATTTCGGACCCTTGACAGTAACTGGTACAACTTCTTGAGCAAATTGACCGCTCTGAAAAAATAAATTATTTTCAAGTGTTTTAGGGGCCATTCAAACCTTCCAAGCATTCGCAACCTTCTTATAACTCTCAATAGCATAGACATCTTGTTGCTCTCGCGTAATTCCGTAATCCTGAACCGTTTTCTCCGCGCACAATCCCATCGGCTGCCTCGACTTGGCGTCCTCTAATCCATCCTTCACAACACCATCCTAAACATCAATCTCGTCTTAGAAACGCACGAACTCTTCATGACGTCTCACAATCATTTTCAGACCACCGTACGGAATTTCGCCGCGTTGCACGTAGAACGGCGTTTGACTCATATTTTCAGCGCCAACGACGAGAACTCGACTCCGATAGCCGGATTTGATTTCAATCGCCGCCGTGATCAACGCCTTCATCGATGATGAGCAAACCTTGTTAATGGTAAAAGCTTGAGACGTCACCGGGAGTCCTGAAACTCAATAATTAAAATAAAGCAAGCGGCCTGCGTCATATACCAGCCGTCAAAGCAATTTGGCGCGTTATATTTTGCCCCTGATTCGCCGACAAAACGTTGCCGCCAATGGTCTCTTCGATTTGTGATGGTGCAACGCCTAGAAGAATCAGGAAAATGGAAATTTCGTGTTGTTTTTCCCCAAATTACCCGATCTCTCAATCGCCGCTTTCGCCGCAATCGCTCCAAGCTCGACGGCGCTCACATTCGCGAACGATCCACGAAATGAGGCGATCGGTGTGCGAGCTCCAGAAACCAGGAATACCTTCTAAAATCTGATGTTCAACACTTTCAGACTCTTTCTCAAAAACTACCTTGTCAGCCATTCTGCAATTTGAGCTTCTAGAAAAAAAAAACTGATAATTAAATGAGCAAAGAAAGTGAGATATGAGGTGAGAGCGCAAACAACTTTACGAGATTTCGAAAATCAATATCAATCATTAATATTTTATTCCTGCTATCAATGAAAACCGTGATATCACAAGTCAAGCACACTATCTAACGTAAGAAACAAAAAAAAAACAACAAAAAATTGGACTACTAAAGTTTCTCGATGACCATTCCACTAGCACCACCGCCACCATTGCAGATCGCAGCAACACCAATTTCGCCCTTCTTCAACACGTGCACCAAATGGGTAATAAGACGAGCGCCCGACATTCTGAAAAAAAAAATCATGCGTCTTATCAGTAATGTGGTTCTATTTTATATTGGCAACAAGGCTACACCACCAAACAAAAAACAGCGAACGAACCCGATGGGGTGACCAATGGACACTGCTCCACCGTGTGGGTTGACGCGTGATGCATCGATGCCGAGCTGAAATTTGTGACCATTTAAGGAAACGAAGAAGCACAAAGAACGCGCACGAAACCTTTTTGATAAACGCCAGAGGCACACACGAGAAGGCCTCGTTCACTTCCCATTGAGCAACATCGGCTTGCTTGACTCCGGCGCGTTCCAAAAGCTGAAAAAAAAACCGAAAAAATTTGTTGAAGTGTTTATATCGATTCATTATTATTATTTTTTATAGGGTTTTATTAGTTTTTCACAAATAAATTTTTTTTCAACGAAATTACTGATCACGCCAATTTCTGTGATTCAGGAATTAAAATAAGTTGATCAGTATAATTTAAAATTTCAAAAATCGTTGAATAACAAAAATAATATTTTTATTTAAAAAATATACGTACATTCTCTAATATGTGAATCTGGAAATTTAAAGTTTTAATTTCAATGCGAAATTCAAATATTTTGCTTCGACGCTAAAAAAACGCTCTCCAATCTCTAAAGATGGATCCCTTCTCGACAATTCCAAATATTTTAATCATGCATTTTCAAAATTCGAAAACCAGTCTACTCATTTCTAGATAACATCTCAATTTTTTCGCGAGTCTGCTGTCAATGATTGTAATCAGGTAGTAAACGATGCGTCATAAATTGAAATAAAACTCCAAGAAAAAAATCCATCGATTCAGCAGAGTTCAATCAAACCATTGATAATCGAATTGCAAAGAACAATCAAAAATCGCATCTTGCACCCATAACCCCCCAGCCCTCATCACTCTGCGTTTTCCATTTCACTTTTCCAAAATTCTAAGCTTTTCCTTCCCCTGGATTAACGCGGCACACTTACTCTTGGGAACATCAATGTTGGCGCAATTGAGAAATCAAGCGGATGAGTGGCGGCGTCACCATACGAGAGAATTCTCGCGACCGGCTTCAAGCTCTGCGATGAAACGGCATCTGGAGAAGCGACGACGACAGCGGCGGCTCCGTCATTCAGTGTTGACGCATTTCCAGCGGTAATGGTTCCATCTAAAAGACAAATTCTCCAGATCTCAAAACTATAATTCGTTGAATTTCTAACCTTTTTGGAAAACAGACCTCAAGCTGGCAAATTTGTCAAAGTTAACTCTCGTGAATTCTTCATCAGTATCTACAACAACATCGCCTTTGCGAGTTTTCACAGTAACCGGAACAATTTCGCTCTTGATAAGACCGTTCTAAAAATTTTCAAAAAAATTTGTACAAACTAAAAATCGTGTTCAAATTAAATCAAACCTTCCAAGCCTCCGCTGATTTCTTATAGCTGTTTATCGCATAATTGTCCTGATCAGCGCGCGAGATTCCCATTTCTTTCGACGTCTTCTCTCCACAATTTCCCATGTGAATCTTATCATAAGCATCAGTCAATCCATCGTTAACAATTCCATCCTGAAATTAAAAAAAATGGTTCCAGCGATATAAACAAAATGTTTTATGGGGTGTTTCACCTACAAAAAAGAAAAAACTAGAATTTTTATTCAAAATGGGCCTTTTTTTAGCCACCGTATCCGATATTTTTTCCTCTAACACGACTCTCACTAATACTCTGCATTTCTGCGCAGAACGTATCAAAAATCAAAATCATCAGTAAAATATTCTTCTTTTTCTCAGAATCGCGTTTTTTTTTCTTGCGCTTCTTTTTCAATAAAATCGTCTTGCGCTTCTTTTTCAATAAAATCGCCTCATTTAAACAAAAAAAGTATTGAACCAATCATAAACTACCTACAATCATTTTAAGTCCTCCGTATGGGATATCGCCGCGTTGAACGTAGAATGGAACTTGCGACATGCTCTCCATTCCGCCACCAATGGCAACCTGAAATCAATCATTACTAATTGATCTTAATTGCAAAATTGGACCCCTTCGACAAATAAAAAAAAAAGCGAGACAACCTCAAATTTCCCAAGTTGTTCGACTTACATCTTGATGTCCAGTTTGGATTTGCTGAGCGGCCAAAATGATCGACTTCAATCCCGATGAGCAAACCTTGTTCACTGTGGTCACGGCGACGCTCAAATCCAATCCTAAAACATTCAAAATTTAATTTAATCACACCGTTTGCAGTTTTTGAATTGAAATCAATAATGAAATGTCGTCTCGTTGCAAAAAATATGGAAACGGTTGGTATAAAAAATTATTACTTCAAATCCATTAAAAATCGCTTCTTTGTAAAATGTTGTATAACATTTTCAAGGCTTAAGCAATTTGTATGAATTTTTTAAGAGAGTTGTAAAAATAAATAAATGGAAATAAAAAATAAAGAAAGCAATGTTATATTTAAATTTAGCAATAATTGTAAGATTTTTTTGTCACTACTTTTTAATCAATGTCCCATTATAGACCAAAAAGTGCAAAAGATTGAAATTGAACATGTCTCTCTTATAAAATTTGAAACCTGCAGCAAGAGCCGCTTGTCTAGCCGGAGCCTGTCCAATATTCGCCTGGCAGACATTTCCCATGAAAACCTCCTGGACAGCATTCGGTTTGACGGATGCCTGCTCCAAAGCGCCCTTGATAGCAATTGCGCCCAATTCTGGTGCGGTTTTTGTGGCAAGTGCCGATCGGAACGATCCGATGGGTGTGCGAGCAGCTCCAACAATGAAGACATCCTAGAACAATAAATTTTTTAAATTTTCCAAAAATGAATGATTGAATTCAAAACGCACCTTGTTGCTGAGAGCTGATGATGTGGAAAATCCGCGTTGAGCGAGAGAACGGGCGGCGGAAAGCATCTAGAAAATCGAATATCTGACAACGGGAGACGGATTTTCGATTAAAAAAAGGAGAATGATAACATTTCCAGTGATCAGTGATGTTATGACAGCGGTGATAACGTCAGGCGATTTCGAAAAGACGACAACGAACAGAATGCAGATCAATGGAGTGCAAATTTTCAACCAAGGCTTGAAACGTTGGGATTGACAATTTCAAAAATCAATGGGCGGCTTATTTACTCAAGAACAACGATTCCTGATAAAAAATGTTGAATATTTGCTTTTTTTTTCATTTCACAAGAACACAATTTTTGAGGTTCGTCTCTTTTGTCTCAGGCGAGTCACCCGTAGAGCTGTGAAGATTTTCTGTTTATTGACACTTCAACTAAACCATCTTAGTTGCAACTTTTACGCCTTATTAATATTTCAAAAGGTATTGTCATGGAAACAAGCTCAGTTTTCTCAAAAATCTATTCACCTGTTGCATGTTTAAAGTATTATTAAACAATAAAATTTAGCTATTTTTTTGTGTCAACGCTCGCACACTAATGGTAGCTATACTCATATCCCGATGAATTTTGAAGAACAGGACCCTACGACAGCCCAAGGACCTCTTGGATGTAAGTAGACTCTTTATTTTCAATTTTATCCCGATTTTTAATTGAGGCCGCTATGACGATTCCCCAACAAGCTTGGAAATACAATTGGTAATACCTGGAATTCGAGACAAGTCCATTTTAAAAGACACAAACACTGCTGTGTATGTAAAAAGCGATTCATAGTGAGAATTCCAGAATTTTCTCAAAATCATCCTAAATTTCAGTAGCCTTGAATGCATAGTGGAGATATTAAAAACAATTAAGAAGTCAAATCCACCAAAGAAAACTATTATCGATCGGCGCTATTATAAGGTTCCAAGATTTCCAGGTGAAATTTTCGGCGTCACACACCAACTAAAAAAGGATTGTTGCGTGTTAACTGTTAAGAAGAAAAGCCCACAATCATGGAAAACTCAATTGTCGCAATTTGGTATGATCTAAAATTGTTCTAAATTTCCGTCCAGTACTCTAAATAAATTATTATTTGATTATATGCCAATGAAAAATTACAACGCATTAGAAAGCTCGTAAAATTTTATAGAATTCGATCAACACTTTTTGAGTAGCTGAAGAAAAGAGATTTTCAACAAGAAATTCAAAAAAAAAATATGTGGAAAAATTAGAAAATGAAGTTTCTTGAAAATTTCGCGACGCACGTGTTTGCGGACAATGCGCCCCAGCAATTGTTAACAGTAACAAAATTTCAAATCAGTTGTTTTCTGTTTATTTTCCGACATTTTTTGATCAATTTCTGTGTAATTAGCAAATAATTTTCACCAAATTTACTTAATTTTTTAATTTGTACTATTTATTTGTTTAGATTACAATAAATTGAAAATGCTTGTCAAAAAAGTAAACAATATGTAAATCCATCTCGCAGCCTTGGCCAATGTCGCGCTTAATTAGCTCCTGTTCAACGCGTGCTATCTTCTCGTCGTCTCCTCGAAAACATTGGCGTCGTTGCTCCTTCGCCCTTTTTTCATCCCTCGTCCTCCACCACATTTCGTCACCAACCGCATCTACTATATCGATTCGCCTTTTGCATCGCCTTCGTTCGCGTATTTCATCATTGCGCAACAATGCACATCCACCGCCAAATATTTTATCGATTGATTCGAGTACTACCCTCTAAACAAATGGGGGGAAAACGATCGACGAGAGTACACAACTTGAAGTGCATCAAAACCAACCCCCCCCCCTTCCATCATCCTATTGTGTGACTCATCGGACATTTCTTACTTTATTTATACCCCTCTTGCGTTCTTCTCACTATTCGTTAGACAATTGGCCTTCTAATTGCTTCAATGTTTCAGCTAATTATTTAATTAAATGATATAATTATGGAGTCATCCTCAAGATCATGGAAAGATCAAGATCCAACTACCGCTCCAGGTCCATTAGGAAGTAATTATATTACTTTATTAATTAATTTCTTAATAATAATAATTATTATAGCACGATTAGACGACTCACCAACTAGCCTTGAAATTCAGCTGGTCGTTCCCGGAATTCGCGCAAAATCGTTTTATCGCGCTTCGAACACCGATGTTCACATTAAAAGTGATCCATTGTAAGATTTTTTTAAATTTATTACCTCCAAAAGAAAAACAATTAATGCGAAAAAAATGTATTGTTAACATAGAACAAATTTAAAAGTATTCACATACAATCGTTTTCAAAAACTCCTTAAAAATTATTTTTTTTTGTAAATACTATTTCGTTTCAATTTGGATTAAAATTTATCGGTTTCAAAGCACACAAGAATATCAATCGAATACGATTTTAAAATTTTAAATTAAAAATTAATAAATCAATTTTTTAATTTGAATCGAATCCGGTTGATTTTTATTTACAGCCAATATTTTTTCCAATTTCGAGGGAAAATATTGTTTTACTTGTAATTTTCAATGCAAAAAAAAGGGTCTAAAATTTGAATTTCAAAGATTAGTTCATGCCGATAAATTTGTTCAAAATATTAAAATTCAACAATAAAATTTACAAAAGAAATTTAAAACTGACTATATTTTCAAAATTTGAAAATTGGGACCACATAATTTGGTCTCACAATGATTTGCGCGTTGACTGAATATTTGAATTGATGCAAAATTACAGTACACTTATACAAATTGATTTTTTCTCGCCAAGAATTGCTTTTGAAGCAAAATTTTTTTAAAGGAACCCAATCGAAGGCTTTATCTGAATGTTATGATGCAATTTTTTGCATAAACAGTCTTAGCAATTAAAAAAATTTCAGTAGTATGAGCTGCACTGTGGAAATTGTGAAAGTCGACAAAAAGAAGCGACCACCGGAGAAATCGATTCTGGATCGCCGCTATTATAAAATCGAGCGATTTCCCGGCGAAATTGCCGATATTTCATTTAAACTGAAGAAGAATTGCTGTGTGCTGACAGTAAAGAAAAAATCGCCGCAATCGTGGGAAAACCAATTATCGCAATTTGGTATGACATAATAATAATTATAACAATGATAATCTCCTCATTTTTCTTAATTGTTGTGATTGCCCAATGATGTTCCTCTCTCTCTGCTCCTGCCAGTACGCTTTATTTTTATTATTATAATGATTTCACAATAACGATAATCAATAAATAATGGATTCTAAACGAAATCGTCGTTGGCCGCCAATTCGCCGTCCGAATCATTGTCTGAACGATATATTAGAGGAACCCGTTTCGAGACACAATTGAGCTTGTACATCACCAGCGACTACACGGACAACAATCAAGGCAGTCGGCACGATTATCGAGGTCCGAAATGAACCACTTACGCGCGATCTGGACGAACATCACACCCCAAATTGCCGACCATATCCAGCCGATGACGATTGGCGTGAGGATGAGCTGCAATGTGTGAGAGAGAGAGAATGCTTGAGAGATTTGTCGAATCAGCAAACAAAAATCGTGTTTGATACAATGCCAAAACGTCAACAAACTAAGCTCAGCGCACTCGAAAATCATTTAGAACAAAATTCAATCATGTGACCTTATTGGCCTGAATTAATTAAAATTCTTGATGAGCGTTTTCTACAGTATGAAATAAGCAAACAAACGGCGTATAATTGGAATCTAATTTCGGAACCTTTAAAAATTGCATTTTTCGATTTTTTTGAGTACTATATTTTGTTATAATCATTGATAAAAATGCAGCAGCCTGAACAATCGTGGATTTCGATTTATTCAGTGGGGAATTAAGCCGCTGTATTACTGTGTTATATAGCGAATCAAATTCATTGTAAATCGGCACAGGTTGCTCGCTTTTTTGCGATTGTAATATATAAATTATTCAAAAAAAAAAACTGAGGCAACCTAGTAATTATCGAATAAGTGCACGGTCAATGGATATTTGAAGCGAAAATTGGAATTATCCTTCGAAAATCGCTTTAAATTGAGTAATTCTGCGTGATTCCAGTGTATAAAAATTCAAAACGCTAAAAATGAAAAGAATTCGCTACTAAATGCTCAAAAAGATGCAAGCAGTCAAAAAAAATTAATTTCAAAAAAAGTGTGTTACTGTAGTTGTGAAAATCCGCAAGGTGTTTGCACCCATTACACCAAATTTCGCAGACAAAAATATTTTTGCCCAGTTTTACCTGTAAAAATCCAGCTAGCAGATTTCGACACATGCATTGCGCAACAGTTCCACCTCGGGCATCAGCACAACACGTCACAGACACTCCAGCAAGCATTGTTCCTGAATAAAGCCGATTTTATTTCAAAATGATTTTTTTTAATTTACCAGTTCCCGGGATGACAAGGTTCAAGAAGAAGCAAAGCGCTGCCATAGAATACGACATGATTGGAATCGATTGCCGAAAAACGCCATAATTGGTCTGAAGAATTTGAATTTCCGGTAGAATCTTGCACCGAATTATTTTTAGGTTATTAGTTGCAAAAAATTTTTGCGCGAGGCCATTTCATAAGTATTGTGCAAATAATAACTGCAAAAAGTGAAACGATAAATCAACGCGATGGATGGTTGTTTTTTTTTTGGTCAAAGTAAATAATAATATACAATTCAAAAATAATTATAGATGGGCAAACCTGCGGTGACAGCGAGATTCTCTCACTGTCGACTTTTGCCTGCGGCTCTTCGTCGAAATCCATGCTGCAATAAATGAGCTCATCATCATCATCATCGCGAATCTCCGCCCAAATTTAATTCAAACCGAACCAAGAAAAAAAAAGTGTGAAAATCTTTTAATTTGCGCGTTTTGCGCCCACTCACTATTCGCGATAGTCGTCCGACATTGTGCCTTTGAAAAACGTCGCCATTGCTCAAAAGGACAACCAAAAATGGAAGAAATGTTGGTGGGAATCGGCAACAAGATGACTGGAAATCAAAAAATTGATACCAAGCCGTTTAAATCGTTTTCGATGTGCGCGCGACCCCCGAAGAAAAATGACAAGGGTTGGCTCGGCGCGATGGGCTCGGCCTGTTTGCAGAGCTCTTCTTGTCTCTTTTTTGTGTATACTTTTATTTTTCCGCGCGAGTTTACTGCATAATACATACCATGACAAGTGCCAATATACTACGATTTCTCGCATTTTCGCCAAAATGTGTGTTTGTGTTTTTTTTTTTGTCGTGTCTTGTTTACAGGAAATGCCGATTACACGCACCGAGACGATGATTTCGAGAACGACGAATGACTCGATTTGGACCGCCAAGTGAGTTTTGACATTTTTGGGACGCCATGTGTGAATTTTGATTAGTCAATTTCGCGCCAAAAATGTGTATGACATTATTTTGCGCGCGAGTTCAAATTTTCTATCAAGCGTAGACTGAAGGCATTCTTTTGAATCAATTTTCGCTTCCTTATGAAGCTAATTAATTGCAAAGCGTTCCATAATTGGGCCGCCAACTTCCTGGAATTGGAATTGTCTATTTTCCGGAGAAAAATGATCAATTTCGGTTTATAAGGCGAAATGGTTAATTTCGCGACAAAACTAGACTCGTCCAAAAAGGTTTTAAGCGTTTCGTCGATTATTTCAGACGCTGTCAGAAGCATGCTTGATTTTGCAGGGCTGGGGGCACCCGACGTCATAAGCAATTAATTAGAATGGTCCCATAGTAGAAAGAAATGCGGAGCCTCTCCGTTTAAAACCAATTAATATCAATTCAATTTTCTCTGCTCTTCACACCTTGGCCGACCAATTCTCATAGTTTGCTTCATTCTTTTTTTTTGGAGCCTTCTAATTGTAAGCCTCGCCAGCAAATTTATATTCTTTTTGAGTGGTGTCATACATATAAGACTCCTTTTTTTCTATTTTCTCATTTTTTTTCTGCAATTTGTTGTTGTTGGTGGTCGTGGTGTTGCGCGGTTCTCACGGATTAACTCTGCCGAATATTGTCGTGGTCCGGGACCAACGAGAATTGAACGAGCGAAACCAGACGAGGCAAAAAAGAATATTGAGAAATTTTGTTGAAGGAGGTGCGAAGAACTTCAAACTCGTTTCTTTTTTGTTGGTGTGTGTTTTTTTCGCTTTTCTTGCGCTCCATGTGAGAGACGAATTCGTCGAATAATAATGACTTCGTGTCAACGGGAAGCGAATTCGGACCAAAAATGGAATGACGCCTCCTCCCAAGACGCCACTTTTATTCTTTCGGGTGAACTCAATTCGAGTTTGCCCCTTTCACGAAGAATTTTAAAAGTTTTTTCTTGCAATGAAGGTCAAATTTAAAGGCTCATTCAAAATTTTCCTTCTTTCATTTTATTAATTATTCCGAGTCAATGCACTTTTTACGGTTTCCTTGTACCCCTGTTAAAATTTATTTTCTTTTCTCTGGAAGTCACCTTTAAATAAATTATAGGCATGATAAAAACTTAGTTGAGCTCCCGGCGGGAAAATCTGGGTCCCTGCAAAATATGGCCGAACTTGCATGGCCGAATTTGCATGGCCGAGAATGTCTCGATTCAGTTTGTTCTCAAGACATTGCAATTTCAAATTTCTGCCGTTGTGGAGGGTCTAATCTGCATTTTTACATTTTTTTATTCGAATAGTAAACAAGCGAATCCAAAAAATCTTCTAGTAAAGGCTTTCTTCAAAAATTTTAAAATTCACTTTCTTCATTTTTTTCCCATTTTTCTGCAAAATACCTTAAGAAAATGAAAAGATTTTGTTTAATCTCCGAGTCTTTGCAATACAGCGAAGATGAGCTCGTTTTGAAGAGAAAAAAAAATCGAAATGAAGAGAACCTCATAATCATAAAAATCCGCATCAAACCTTTTGAAGGAAATCTGATTATCTTCATTCAGAAAATATTGTGTTGTGAAAAAGAATTCGTGTTGAATTATCGTATAAAATGCGGCTTTCTCGTTTTTCAGTGAAAAATAAATGAGTTCATTTTAAGGCATTTTTTTTCGATGAGCAAATTTTGTTGAGATGTGTCGCCCCTTTCCTTTTTTGTCATGAATGTGAAGCAAAAAAAATAGCAATTTTAATGCACATGACTTTTGCTTTTATCGAGTTCTATATTGTCGACGTCGCGCGATTGCCAAGAATTGGCAAAACGCCAAAAAAAAAAAGGCAGCGGTTTTGGCGTAAAACGAAAAGTGTAGATTTACGGGCCATCAATTCTGATAATTTAAAGGCGCATATCGCTCAGCAGAAAATGTTTCGGCATTTTTTCAATTTTCTGCAATCGCGCGACACCGACAATAATCGAAATTTATTCAAAATTGCGCAAATTGGGTACTGTAGCTTCAAAAGTCCGCACGGTGTTTGCACACATTTTCAAAATCATTTTGGAAAATTTCAAAATTTTTTTTTAAATTTTGCAGCGTTTTAGGAAATAATGTGAAATTCTCGAGTGTTTTCTGTGACGCGCATTAAAATCGACGATTCTGGAATAAATTCAAGCGGCAAAAACAAATCATTTCGAATTGGTATCGTCATTTTTTTTTCATTTTTCTCTCAATTCTTGTCCCTAATTAGATTTTTATTAATAAAAATGCGTTGCAAAAAAAAAAAACACACACATATAATTGGAACTGATTCGGTTCGCTATTTCGTATTTCTTCGCTCATGTTTCTAATTGCGTCGTATTTTATTTATAATGTATGCCGCGTCTCAAGACATGCTCAAACTCTAGGCGAAAATGAGCAGCAAAAAACAGGAGAAGCAATCAAAGCCGATCATTCCGCGCATCGACATCGAGCCGTTTGAGCTCGAATCGACGTCGGCGGCGATGATGAGGTGCAGCTCGATGAGCTCGACCGATCCATGTCGCACATCATCGATGAGCTCCCGATTGTTGTCCTTCAGCACCGCGGCGAATGCGGTGATGGGAAGCAAACGTCGATTATCGGAGATGATTCGCAAGAGGTGAGATTGTTGCTAAATATGTATATAACGCGTAAATATGTATATATATATTTTTTTTGAATTTCGCTCCAAAATGTTTTCAGCATTTTGGGTACTGTGCATTTAAGCTTCTCGTAAAATGACAGCCTCCCTAGATATCCAGTCAAGACCAAAAAGCGTCGTCGAGGGGAAATTCGGTTCGCCCCCGTTTTGTGTATTATTTGTCGGTTCCCAGGGATTAGCGAAAAATTAATTTCGTTTGACGGACCACCAAAAAAAAAAACAATCCACTGTGTACTCGCTGCTCCTTTTTCCTCTACACAATGAAATGCAATTTGCCGCATCACGTCGAACGCCGAATTGTGTTTTCAATTTTCTTGAATTGTCTCAAAAAATACAGATTTCGCGTTTTTTTGTGTAGTTTTTTATTTTCCTGTCAAATCAAAAATGCGCTGGGTCTTGTGGCGATTGGTTTTTTTCTTTGCTTTTCCGAAATTTCCCAATTCGATTTCGCATTGATAGACGGAAATTTGAATTTGGCGCAACGGCGCCCCAAGTGGTCTCAAAATTCGGCCCACTCGTCACATTTGATTTTCAGCTTATTTTCAACAAAAACATATCGATATCGTGCGCCTTCTCGTGCCGATAATGAGGTTTTTTTGTGAAATGTGCGCATCCGAGAAAACATTTCCGAAATAGGGCTTCATCTCAAAGTACTTTGCACTGATATTTGCCGCCTCATATTTTCTTCTCCCCCAATTCAAATTGAGCTAGTTTTTGGCGAAAATTGGATTACGGTAGGTTAAAGGCGCATAAATATATGAGAATTTGATATTTTTGAGATTGAACAATTTCAGTTAACAATTTTGTGCGCTTGCCAAAAAAAGCTAAAACCAAAATTAGGCTTGTTTATAATTCCCAACACTTTTATTCATTAATGTAAGCGGAATTCGAGAATCTCTGAAAACAAAAACAATCATATTGAAATGTGTGCAATATTGCGTGTCGGTGTACTTTCAACAATTTGAAACCTGAATTTTTTAAATTTGAATAAGCAATTTGAATTCGAATTTCAGAATTGGAATTCGGCTACCATAATAGAAATGCGAATTAAACTTTTTTTTGAGCAACAAAAAATTCTGTTCCAATAATAGTCGATCTAATTAAAGTTCTTTTTTTTTGCCGTGCGCCCACACCAAAACAAGATGCTCAATGATGAAAATTAGCCGGTTTCTGTTGTTTTCCGTGTTCGCATTAATACGAAAATGTCGAACGAGGAAGAAGATGAAGTCTCGGCGATTTTCTTACTTCTGTGTGTGTGTGTGTGGAGTTTTTTTTAATTTCGCCAATTTTCCTGTTTTTTTTTGTTGCAAAAACTCTCCGATTTGTGTGTGTGTGTGTGACTATTTTACGGCACATTTTTGCATTTTTGCCGTTTTTTTTTCGGTGCTCTCGTTGTTGACAATCTTCTCTTCCACCCCCCCCGCGCCAAATATTTTTGTTTTTTGCCTATGTGCTCGATTTCAGATGCTGAATTCATTAGAGAGCTTCTTAAACAGATTTTCGTGTATGTGTCTTTTTCTTGAAAAGAAGAGCTCGTTTTTTTGTGATTTGCTGTATTTACAAAAATCGTCTGCCGACAAATTTGTTGAAAATCGAAAAATTGAGACTTTGATAGGGAAATCGCGTCGAGAGTCGACGCACTAATTCATGGCATGAGCCTTTAGTTACCGTATGCTTGAAAATCGTGTCGATCGCAAAAAAATGTTTATTTAATATATTTTTTGGGTTACGGTAGCGAAGTCTGTGTATTCCACACGGACTATTCATCGCTTCGTAAATATCTAAAAAAAATTAAATAAATTGAAAGATTCTCTCTCTTAATTTTCAAATCGTTTGGTTTCATCCAGAAAAAAAATTTGAAGCTCATCGAATTCAACAAAAAAAATGTTGTGGTCCGTAAAGGCGTGCACGCGAAATTGCACACATTTGATAATTTTAATAGACCGCCAACTAGAATTTTCTTTTTGCAGACAATTTCTGGTGGAGAAACACATTTTAATGAATTTTTTTTTCTCAAATTTTCATGAAAGAAAAAAATTGTTGAATTTTGTGATCTGTGATTGCCACGTGGTAAAATTTTTTCGAAAAAAAAACGAAACTTTCCCCATTTCTTTCAAACAGGAAGAAATCACAAAAATCGTATTTCCCCCAGCCGCCTCGTGCTCGCCGAGCCAAACCCAACATATCAAATTTCAATAGTATGTAAGTGTGATTGTGTATTCTTCTTCTTCGAGTTGCTCCGAGCAGACGATCGCATTTCCTCAAATTGTCGAACCACTTGGTTCATCTCCTTCATCCTTTTAATAAACAAGAACTAGAGGAACGAAGAAATAGCAATTTTTTTTTGATTAAAGGGAGGTGGAGGGAGATGGGTGGAAGCCATTGAAGGGCAATTGCTCATTCATCTCTTTTTTTTTTTTTGATTTTCGCTAGCTCTCAATTTCAACCAATTATCGCTCGTTGTGCTCGCACAAATTGCCGCCAATTTTTTTCGGCTATTTTATTCCAAAAAAAACTGGTTCGCCCCATTTTTAATCTTCTTTCTTTTTTGCGCAACCTTGCTAATTTTTTTTATCGCCGACGTCTCGCCACGAAAAACAAGATTACTGTAGCACTTTAGGGTTCCCTTTGAGACCCAGACGTCTATCAGTATGGAAAAAAACAAAAGGAAATTAATTGGCGAAGATTTTTCGATTTGATAACAAGAAAATAACATGCGGTGTTTGATGCTTTTGCAAAAAAAAGAGAAGCTCATAAACTCTCTGATGTTAGTTTTTCTCTGAAAAAAAAATGATGTCCGTAGGTACACCGCGGCGCAAAATTGCACAGCGTTCTAAAGAATTCCATAGGGCCTGTTTCAGTCGCCGCAAGACCCAACTCACTAGGCGCCTTTAATCGATTTTTTTTCAAACTTCTGGTTTAAAATAAGTTTACTCACAATTTTCATGGAAGTTTTTTGAAATGCAAATTTTTTTGTTGAAAATGAAAATTGAACAAAACCCCGAAAACAGTGAATTTTCGAATACAGTAATAAATTAAAGGCGCACCCATATTTTTGCGTTGGGTCTCACCGCGGCCGACTACGGTAGCTATTGTTTTTTTTTCGGACCCATCAATTGTGGATTATTTTCCACTAAATCAAAATCGATTTTTTTTTCTCTGAAAAAAAAACGTTGCCATAAATATTTCAAAGAAAAATTGTTCGTTTAAATAATTTATGTTTAAATGTCTCAAATCGAATTCTCAGCAATTCGATGAATAATTTCTGGTGCACTTTGAATGCCAGCTTCTCCTCCTGTCGGCAATCTCCAGTTTGCTTCTGAGTTGTTCTGCTGCGAGACCCAAACTAGTTTCCACACATGTGCGCCTTTAATCAATTCTTTCACTATTTCATCAAAAAATACATACAAAAAGAATGTATATTCATTTAGTCATGTAGATTTACGAGTGCGCCTTTCGAAATGGTCTCGCAACGCGTGAACGCTTATTTCGAAAATTTCACGAGAATTGTTCAATGGTTTTGATAATTATATAAATTCCTTGAATACTTGATATAATTAAAATTAAAAATTGACGGAATGATCTCGAAAACGCAAAATCCCCTATTAGTCCGTGCGAGACCATAGCGAAGGCGCATGCTAGTAAATATAGCATACAACGTTTCGACTATACAAAAGTAGAATATCATTGAAAATATTTTGGCCTGAAATCGGAAATTTCAGGTTTTTCTCAAGTTTGGAACGGGGAAATTAAAAACGCATTGCAGCCACCTACAAAATTTTCACATTATGCTCAACAAAAAATTGATACACATTATGTACATATAGGGGGGGCTGGGGTGGTGGTTTGTGTACTCGGCCAACCCGAGATTCGTGTGTTCTCTCCAGCCAGACAATTCATTGTATATGTCACAAACATTGCCCTCAATTGTTTTCGTATTCGACTACCGTCTGGGCGTACGCCAGCCAAAAGAAAACCGCCCGTCGTCGATTGCCCTCGTCAAAAAAATCTGTCCAACCATATTTTTTTTCTTTTTCGGCAATGTTGTCGTCGGCGCGAAAAAAAGTTGGCAAATCGTTGCCGTTGAAGCAGCGGCGGCTCACCGACGAAGCGACGCCGATCGAGAACGGAAAACCGTAAGTCGACGCATCAGACCGCGCATTTCTCACGTCGAATATCGAATAACCCGCCGGCCCACTCACTCTCGTTCGTCCCCCTAAATTCTTCTACTCATCCCATTTTTTTTTTGCTAATTGAATTTCGTCATTTGTTTTTCGGCGTTTTGCTTTTTTTGGATTTCACAAAATATTGGATTTTAAGGCATTTTGAATTTCAAATTTTTCGAGAGAAAAAATTAAACTTGAAAATTTTGTGAAAAAAAATTAAATTTGAAATTTTTGTGAAAAATTTAAACTCGAAAATTTTGTGAAAAAAAATTAAATTCGAAATTTTTCTGAAAATTTTAAACTCGAAAATTTTGTGAAAAAAATTAAATTCGAAATTTTTCTGAAAATTTTAAACTCGAAAATTTTCTGAAAAAATTAAATTCGAAATTTTTCTGAAAATTTTAAACTCGAAAATTTTCTGAAAAAATTAAATTCGAAATTTTTCTGAAAATTTTAAACTCGAAAATTTTGTGAAAAAATTTAAATTCGAAATTTTCTGAAAATTTTAAACTCGAAAATTTTAAGAAAAAATTAAATTTGAAATTTTTGTGAGAAAAATTAAATTCGAAATCTTTAAGAAAAGAAAATATAGTGGTGTTTGCGGACTTGCCCAATTTGACGCGCTTTTTATTTGACATTTTGATTTATCAAATTGAAAGGTACGAAGAATTATAGCATGCGTCTGGAAAAAAAACCAAATAAATAGCTATCAGTAGTATGCGCCTTGAATCAAACCCATTAAAGGGGCATTTCCAAAATCTACATTTTTTAAAGGCGCATAGAGTTAGTTTCGCATCGACAGATTCTGGTAGCCACGTTTTTTCCTCGACACACGCACCCTGTAGAAAAAATTTAAATCGAACAAAATGCAATGTGTGCAAACACCGCGACGCGAAATCACGTATCGCGCGTTTTTTGCGGTTTTCAGGGAATGTGAGGTTTGCAGAAAATTTTCGTAATTTTCAATAAAAAATTCTTGGGTTTTTTTTTCGAATTTTTTACATCGAAAATTGTCGCTGCCACAATTGGGTCTCGAAACGGAAAGTCACCGCCCACGTGCACTTGTTGGCCTCTCTCTCTCTCTCATTTTTTGTTGGTCCAACGGAACCCGACAAATATGTATGAATGGGTAGTATGTAGTAGATTTTCAAGAGCAGATTTTGCGTCGCCTTTCCATCAATAATTGACAAGCAAAACGTGGCGAAGCGGTCCGGAAATTGGTTTTCCGCCGTCCAATTTTTTGGTATGCACGCCGACGAAACGAGAGTGCCGAACAAGAGAAAAAAAGACGCCCAGCGAGAGACCTCATTTGTGTGTTTGTGTGTGTGTGTGTAATATTGCACTTTGAAATATTAAAAGTCATTCGGTGCGAGAAGATGAAAAGAATTAATGATCTACCAACTGTTCTTCTCGCATCCTCGTTGGCTGATAATTTGGTGTTCAACGAGGCCGCGGGACCCCTCCTCACAATCGAAAAAAAAAACATCAATTATTTTTTATTTTTTCAATTTCAGAATGATTTCGATACGGACCCTTACATGCACGTTTCTATTGATGCAGCTTGTGGTCTCGTCGGCTTGTTTCATTGCCTCGCTAGCGATTATCAGCGCCAAAATGAATTCGACATCGATTCACGAGGAGAAACAATTCGTCAGGTCGGGCTTTCTTATTTTAATTGTGCTGCGGACATGATACTGGGCGCACCGTTTCGCAGCCAAACGTGTTCACGTTTGTCCGCAGCACGAAATTTTCAAGTGATGCCGATGCGTTCGTTCAACGATGTTGCTTTTGCCCAAATTGGAAATTGTCCGCAGCACGATATTTTCAAGTGATGCCGATGCATTCGTTCAACGATGTTGCTTTTGCCCAAATTGGAAATTGTCCGCAGCACGAACATATTAATTAGTTTCGATATTGAAATAGTAAATAATGGAATTGTGGATTTTGAAATTTGACCACAGCACGAATTTTTCAAATAGCCACTGTGAAAATTGTCCGCAGCAAAAAATTTAAAGCATTTACATTTCTTCCATTCAGTGTTTTAATGACATCACTAATTAAAAAAAAATGGCGAGCCATGAACTCGAAATTTGTCCGCAGAATTAAAAACACAAAAAAATGTTTCCAGCTTCGAATGGTGGATATTCTGCGTTCTCAGCTTCCTCATGATCGTCTCATGCGTCGTTTCGATGCGCGCTTTATCAGAGCACAACAAACTCTTATTATTGCCACATATTGGATTTCTAGTGAGGAGTCGAATTGAATTTGAGACCGCAAAAAAAAATCCGATTCAAGATATTATGCAACATGTTGGCGTGCTACGTGACCCACTTCACAATTCGGAATTTCGACGCCACCGACTTCAACTGGTTCATCGGATTGTGCGGAATTCTGTCGGCCGAGAGTTTTCTGCTCATCTGTTTGATAATTGAAATTCGAGCGCTTCGCACGATGACATGAGACCGATGTGACGACGGTGGGTTGCGTTTTGTGTTTATAAATTCGTTTTCGGACCGCGTTTTCCATTTTCCAAAAAAAAAAGAAAATTAATAATAATGCGTAGCCTGCCGATCGAAGAAAACCTCAAACGTCAAATCAGCGCCACAATTCAGGAGTCGGGCAAAATGCGGCTCATGCTTCTGCTGCTCACACAAGCCGCGCTCGCGATTTTCCTATTCGGCGATGTCATCGCGAATCTCATGTATCGCGCTGAGCACTATATTCATGAATATGTCAGGTTCGTCGAATTTCTTCCAATTTTTTTGTTGTTGTTGTTTTTTTTTGGTTCGAATTTTACCCTAAATTGAAGCACAAAAAATCGAAATTTTTTTTCCTCCTCGAAAGAAATTTTCAATTTCTCTTTTTTTCATGGGAAACCGATTTTTATTGTGTGAAACTGAAAAAAAGCTAAGCGAGAAATTCTGGGTGTGTTCACACCGACGCAAATTTGCACCGATTTTCAATTCAATCGAATATCGATTTTTTCTTCTTCAGAAAGGTTTTGCGATGGATATTTGAAAATTCTCTTTCTATCCTAGGTCCCACACCGAATAGAAATGATAGTAATGCGATGACTCGATGCTGCTCATGCGCCTTTAAAAATAGGGTCTCACAGTTCTTTTTTAATTTTACCTGTATATTGAATAATCGTGGACTATCGCACTTTTTCGAGGCGGCAATTCAAATTTGAATTTTAGTGAATTAGTGATACCGTACTACGGAGTAACCTGCGAATCAAACTTGCCCTATTTTGAGGGCCTAATATAGGACCCTCAAATTCAATTATTCGACTATATAATCAATTAGCCACCCTCCGCCCACCATCAAAAATATACTATCAAGTTTCGGTCATTTTTTGCGGAGCTATGTTAAAAAATAACGATTTCTGTCATTAATGCTGCAAAAATTGGCTGAAATTGCTGAAAATCGGATTTTTGTGATATTTCGCCTCCCTGGTTTCAAAAAAAAGCAAAAAAAATTATTGAAATAAAAATGAGTGGCTGGTTTTGCGCACGCGCGCGATTATAAAACAATAATAGTACTATGCAGATTTCGCAAAAAAAAAACATTAAAAGAACCGGTTCAAAATAATTACGTGAGAGCGGAACCGAACCCACGAACTCCACGGTTGAGTCCAAATCCTTCCCCACTGCGCTATTGCGTCGACGCGTTTCCCCTACAAGACGGCTATAACTTGATAGCACAATGCGCAACGACATTTACGTTTCGTAATTATCATAATATTGAATAATTGTTCTCAAATTCACTGGTTCGGCCACGGCCACACTTTATAGATTAATTAATTAAATTAAGTAGAACTAAATGATTACGCATTTATTTTGTGTGCTTACGATTTCAAAAACCAAATATCAAAATGAGAATCACAAGTTCATAGAAATAAAAAAAAATTTGAAGGCGATAGTGTGCCGCAATTGCATTTTTGCTTTTTGAAAGTGTCGACCAATTTTTCTAGGCCGCATGAGCAGCATCAAGTCATCGCATTACTATCATTTCTATTCTGTGTGGGACCTAGGATAGAAAGAGAATTTTCAAATATCCATCGCAAAACCTTTCTGAAGAAGAAAAAATCGGTGCAAATTTGCGTCGGTGTGAATAAAATTTCACGACGGCAAATTTGAGTTGTGAATTTTTTAAAATTATTTTAAAGTACTTTGGTATATTAGCATAAGTGCCGAATGGCGGAGGGACCAATTGAATGGCACCAATTCAAATTTCTCGAATTCGCGACAATATAAGTGCAATTTCAACGGTTTGCATTTTTTTTTGAATAGAAATCAGAAAAGAAGCCGAAAATCGTGCCCGTCTCAATTTGCGCATAACCTCATTTCAGAATCGGCGTCATCATTCTGTGTTCAATCAATGTGATCTGGTTTTTTGCTTCATCCATCGCCATGTGCTGCACATTCTACAATTGTGTCACGTGCCTTAAAATTCATTTTTATTTTAGTGTAAGATTCATTTCGCCCTCAATATCGCGATATCAAATCGAAATTGAAATTAAATCCACTTTTTTTGTTTTAGCTGACTATCGTCGCAATGCACTCGACGAAACTAATCATTCTTCTAATCGATTCAAACATTTCCACAATTATCACTTCATTGTTCATCAATACCGTCAATGGCTTCACTATTTATTACGAGAACAAATTCATCAGTTATCTCGAGCGATGCCTTCGTTCATTATAACCCCCCCCCCGCATTATTTGTATTCCAAAGTGTTCCTTAATCGTCTACGAAAAAATTTGTGATCCCAATTTTCACTTTGTTTCGCGTTGTTTTCATACGCAATTGTCGGGTTCTCATGAAATGTGTTTTATTAAAATTTTCGAAACAAAAAAAATGAAACGAGCAAAATTGAATTCTATAAACAATCAGTGAGTCACTAATTATCACAGGATTACAACAAACATTCCAACCAATCAACGTGCACACAGGACATTCATTCAGCTCTTAAACGCCGGGAGAGACTTTTTCGTGTCATTAAAGCCATTCGAACGACTATGGATGAATTTTAAAATCAAAAATAAAGAAAATGGGATGGGGAGGGGAGAGAGGGAACAATCAACTATACATCACATGGATATGTGCATTCTTGGAATCAGAATCGTTGTCGTGGGTAGCGGAAACAAAGACAATTCGAAAACAAAACAATAGAAGGATTGGTTGATGAAGAATAATAAATTAACCGGATATTGATCGAGGGCGAGATCAGATCAGATACCAGACTTTGAAAATGACACGCGAAGGTGCGCATTTTCAGCCAACTTGTAATTGTGCATATTGATTAGCGCGTCGATGGCAGTCTCGACATCTTCCAATTGGCATAACGCCATTTTGTGGTCCTTCCTGAACAAAAAATCAATTTTTTCGGGATTCTTTGGATACATTTATTGATTTTTCCGATTTTTTTTTTGAAAAAAATGAAATGTTTTTCATAGTGCATTAATGTTTTAAAAAAAGGCAAAAAAATAGAGAAGAAAATTCAACAAAAATTCCACATCACCAAAAAGTGTGCAATAAGGCGTCACGGAGAACACACAATCGACTACCGTACCCATTGTTGAAATATTGGATTTTTTTCAAATTTCCTCAAAAAGCAAAAAGAAGAATGAGCTTACGGAAAGAATTTGAACGCTTTGATGGTATATCCATTTTCCTTAAACGCCTCGGTGAGCTTCTCCTCAGTGACGCTAAGCGGAATATTCGACAAATGCAGTGTGGAGCACGGCGGATAGATGTTCATGTAATTCTTGCTTCCCGGCTTTTTGAATCGATGAAGCGACGAATGCGTGTAGTCTCGGGTGAGTCCGGCGTCCGGCTGACCTACAATTATCCACGACACGTTGGTTTCAAATCACCCAGCGCCCATCGGCGGTCACCTTCTTTCGGCATTTGCACATTCGTGTGCTTCGACGGAGCCACACGAATGAGTTTGTCGTGCCATTTCATTTTGTCGAGATGCTGAATCGCGAGCTGCGCCTGCTGCGGCTCGCTGTACTGGATCAACGCGTTGTCCTTCTTGTTGTACAAAATTTTCACACGCAACACGTCGCCATAGACGCCTAAACGTTATTTGGTGATTGAAGAAGCCATGAGAAAAAGAGGGGACAAGAAGATTATGTGATAATCAACTAAAAAAATAAATAAATAAATTGTGAACAGGGAAAATGCATTTTTTATTTGTTTCTTGTTTTTTTTTAAACACCAACTAAAAGAAGGAGGAAGAAAAACATACCAAAGAGTGTGAAGAGAGCGTCAGTGGTGACTTTCTGAAAGAAAATACAGAATAGAAAAGAGAAAAAAAACTATAGGATTGTTTCGGGGAAAATATTTGATTCATTTCAATTTTTTTCCCAGTGAGTGATGGTGATGACGGGTGACGATAGTAAAGGGAGTTGGTGTGAAAGCAATTTCGCCGCAAGACCCGCGTTTCGGATTACTGTATTGAAGTAGAGGTGAGAAGTAAGGATAGAGACGGGATAGAAACGAAATAATAAATAAATATGATAATATTGTCGGTGTTGAGGGCTAAAGAAAAACAAAACGAATTCTAGGCAATTGGTTTCGACGCGAAATTGAATTTGTAGATTTACGAGCGAACAGACACACATTTAGCCAATACCCCGACAATATATTAATATAAATAAAAAAGTATAAATAATAATAATAATAATCAATAATCAATATGTCCGCAGATCTCGTTTCTCCTCACACCCTCTTCATATCAAATATCGATATTAAAACCAAAAAAAATGTGGAAGAAGCTTGGAAGGGGGCGAAAACGCAAAAAAAAAACAGCAGCAGCAACAACAACAAAAAAAAACAACTCACCGCTTCATTGAGATTCGACACCAATATCACCGTCGTGATGGCGGTGTTGGCGGCGGCGGCGGCGGCAGCAGCGGCCGCCGACAACAAATTCACCGGAAACCGCACACCGCCGATGCCCGTCGATAGGCCGCCATTGGCGCCGAGACCCAACGTCGGCAAGTAGGGCGACAATGCGACGGCGTTGGCGCTGTCAGCGGCAGCGGCGGCCGCTGCCGCTGCCGCCGCCGCCGCCAATTGCGGCTGCAAGAACGTCGTCGCCGGATTCGCGCCGAACGGAAAATTGTACGGCGACGTCGGCACGAGATTCTGGAAGCCCGGTATGCCGCCGAGCGCCAATTGTTGCTCGAGCGTTATGTCGCCGGCCGGCAAATTCGGATTCGTGTAATCACGACTCTTATCATTATTATATTTGACATTGAGCGTGCTCAATTTGCTATAATCGATTCGCATTGTGCAGCACCTAAATCGATTCTCATCATCGCAACATTTCAGAAGCATGCCTACCCGTTGTAGATGTTCTGATTCTCAAGGCTCTGTTTGGCGATTTGCGCCGAGTTCGCCTCGCTCATCTGAATCAACGCTTGAAACGTGCTGTTCTTGGTGAACGTGATGATTCGCAACACTTTGCCGAATCGCGAGAAAAGCTACAAAACGAATTAATAAAAAAAAGCGAGGCAACAAAAAAAAAGAAACGAGAAAATGAATCACCTGGTGCAAAACATCCAGCGAAACGCTGAACAGCATGTTCTCAATGATGACGCGAAGCACCGAGTTCGGCTGTTGCTGAGTGCCGGCGGCGACCTCGAAATTGCACACGGAGCCATTCTGAAAAACGAATCAATCGAATGAGAATCTCGCAATTATTATTTTGAATTGTTTTGTCTTTGCTCTTCGTTCATAATGATTTACTTTGCCAACTTTATTGCCGCCCGTCTTTTTGTCGATGAATTGTGCTGATAGCGACGATGGTGGTGGTAGGGCAGCTGGCGCGCTGCTGGTGAGCACGACCTGCGAAGCGGCCATCTTTTTCGCCGGTATCACGCCGATCAGATGATCGCAAATTGCCGCGCGTTTAGCCGTCGTTGTCGTACTGTAGTCGTCAGAATCACGTTGAGCGCGTTTCATGACGAGAAGCGCCGCGAGAGCGCCACGAAAAACGAATCAATCGAATGTGACAAGAAAAGCGCGGCGCTGAAGAGGAAGGGACGGGGAAAGGGGTGGGGGGCGGCAATGCGAGCAGATGATGATGATGATGATGATGATGATGATTGCGAGCGAACCGAACCGTACAGCGAAACACAACACACGGCATCGTTTTGCCCGGGGGCGGCGCGCGCGCAAAAAAAAACATACACTTTGAAACCAAAAACAATTCAATTTTTGTACGTGTATATATTTGTCTGTTGTCGTCGAAAATTTGGCGGATTTTCTACATGACAAACTTTTCGAGTGTCGAAGGGTAATTGGATTAACATCGTTGCGATTGCTGATTACGTCCGCACATGACGGTTTCATTCGTTCGTTCTTTCTTATGTATTTTTTTTTCCTTCATGTCAGCGCCACGCCGGCATCAAGAAGCATATTGCAATCGTGGCAAGACCTCGAGAAATGATTACAGTACACGCCGAAAGATGGGCTTCTGCTACCAGAATCAGCGCCTTGAAAAATTGATTCATCGATCTCACGCAAAAAAAAACACCAAAATTCTGTGGTTTTTAAGCCACCTTTTTCTTTCGAATTTCGAAAATTAATTTTTTTTCAGCTACCAAATTCTGATGGCCACGGGTTTCTTATTCCAACACCGACTATATGGTGTATTTTGCAAATTTTTTAAAAATTTCGAGGTTGATATATATTTTAAAGAAATGAGGAAGGATCTCAAGAATAATCACAATGAAAAATCTACAGTAATCCCCAAAATCAAAGAAAGATTTTTTCGACAACATTGATCCAAATTGCAATCAATCATTCTTATTAGTCAAAAAAAAATGTCGGCATTTCAAGCAAGTTTGGAGGGAATCGCACCACCTACCGTAACCCACCTCTTGCTCTCAAAAGGAGAAGAGAGAGATGAGCTACAGTAGTAGGAAGATATGAATTGAATGCTCATAATTATATCTATCTATCTATATATATATGAAGAAGGGTTGGATGGTGAGGATATAAATAAATAAATAAAGGGTCGTGGCTCGCGCGAGCAGCAAAAAAAATAAAATAAAAAGAAAAGAGCCGCGGGGCAAAACAGAAGGGTTTTGGCGAGCAATGCGCATGTGTGTCTGTGCGTGTGTGTGTGTGCAACCCTGAAGCAGGACGACGACGGCGGCGGCGGCGGGGGGCTCAATTTATATTAATTAGGCGTTTAGAATTCAAGCCACACCCTGCAGGCAAACGGCCCGGATGCGCCGGATACGCCACGCCCTTCGTCTGTGGAGCACCAATATTGGGCTCCATCCATCAGATGAATGACATTTCGATGACGGTAGACGGTGAATGAAATTTTCCAAGCTCCGCGCGATGAGACGGGGGGGAATGCGAAGGGAGGGGGCGTGGCTTGGAAAATTTATAACGAAAAATGAGGATTATCCCAAATTTCCTGTACTAGGCAAATAACATTGAAAATATAATAAACGAACAAAAAGTGCATGTAATGTGAAAGTGAAGATTAAAACCACACCACGGCGACCAGGACGATGAACGGATTTCGGAATCCCCCCCAATATACCGTTATTCGGGTCACGGCCGGACAGGCAGGCCAACGAGGCGACCGTACGCCCGTTCGCCCTTTTTATCATCATCATCCATCGTGATCCAAAATGCAAATGAGCGTGAAATTTGATTATCCTGGACGACGAGCATTTAAAATCACCTGCTTGTCGATTTTAGTGTCGGCCGGGCCGGGCCGCCCAACAAAACTAATAATAAAAATCGAATAATATCTATGATTGTCGCCATGGCGATTCGGCATATTACAAGCGCGTGCGCGCTGAAATTGCCGAAAAATGACGCTTATTTCGTGTTCACATCCGATTGGCCAAATTTTTGGCTGATTGCGTCTCGTCGCGCTCGTGAAACAAAAATCCAAATGCCGAAATTGTGGGTTGCGCCCGCCTTCAAAGACATTCCTGTTGAAAGCCGATATTCTGCGCATATTCTGACAGCACCGCTCAATGAGCTCAATTATTATTCAGATATGGAATTACCAAGAGAAGCTCAATTATGGTTTTTCCTCGTATGTTTTTTTTCCTCTTTGAGTATCTCACTTCCCCCTCCACCCCAAAAATAACGGAGCGATGATCTCAAGGGAATCGATCATCTCGTATTATAATTGCCATCATAATTGTGCTGCGTCGATAATTACCATCGGATTACGGTAGGTGGGACTCGTTGATAAACAACCAAAATTAAATTGCAGGTGTTATATTATGATTATAATGAATACACAGAGGGAGTGAAGGGGTAGGAAGGGAGGGGGGTGGGGGATTGCGAGAAAGGAAGGAGAAGGACGAACTCTCATTAAAAATGGCGAGGAGGAGGAGAAGGGCGAGGAAGACGGCAACAAGCAGCCCCTCATCTCACATTAATTAGTTTCGAGATTTTCCACCGGAATTCCTGATCCAATATACTACTATGCCGTCATACGACATCTATGTTTGCCAATATAAGCAATTGATGAAGAGAAAAGAAGGGGGGGGGAGAGGAATTGAGCTAGTGAGCTTCTTCCTCTCATCCATATGCCCACAATCTAATGGAATTGAAATTCTATTTTTTTTTCTTGTTTCATTTTCATTCATTCATTCATTCCGATGTCATTCTACGCATCGGCGCGTATGTAAGCGCGTGCGCGCGCGCGCGCGCTCTGCGAGCTCTCGCTGGAAATTGATAGCGAATGCATTGAGAGACGGAAAATAGGAGGGCATGATGATTATAACCAGATGCGGCTCCGATGAATGGTGTGGGCAGCGGGTGCGACTCGAGCACTTGACGCCACACGGAATATTGCAATTTCGGCCGGAATTCCAACGCCCCTCCTCGCACCAACGGCTTTCAATACACACACTCGCACAACGCACACGACGACACTAATTCAACGTTTTCATTTTGAAGAGAAAAAAAATTTGAAATGAAGCAGCTAGCGAGACAAAAAATAATAATGGGTGATTATTTAAATTGAGAATAGTTCATTTGTGTCTACCGCATTCAAAAAAAATAGTTTTTGAATTTCCAAAAAAATCCTCAAATTTGCCTAAAACCCATGGATTCCAGGCGTTTTGCGAAAAAAAAACATTAATTAAAAAAGAATCAACTTAAATGTTTTGAAATTTTAATGAAAATTGCGAAGTAAATTATAGATTAAAGGCTCGCGACGCGTAAAATGAGCTGGGTCTTGTGGCGACTGATTATGGTAGTCGCCATTTGTCAGAAATAGACGATAAAACGCGCTGTCAGCTTCCATTAAATTGTGTGCAATTTTGCGGCAGTGTATGCACACAACCACAAACAGACAGTTTTTAAAGGCGCATTAGCCAAGTATTTCTTTTTCCGAAGAAAGACACATGTTTATAAATTATAGTGACTAAAATCTAACCGAAATATCTCACAATATTCATCTGTCGACAATTTCCATCGAATTGTCGGCAGATGAATTTCATGTCGATGTTAAAAATATAGAAATAGGGTCAATTGAGTTCGCCAGAAACAAGAAATCCCGAAAGATTGTCGGCAGCAGGTGCATCGAAAAGCCAACATCGAAACAATAATGATCCACTACAATTTTTTTTGAGAAGCTCGCGCTCGGAAAAAAACAACAAAAATGGCGTTTTTTTTTTCGGCACCGAAAAAAAATGAATAATTTAGAGTTTATTTGTGTATGGGTGGACGACGACGTTCGGACTCGCGGAGCCCCCACCAAATGAGGCATCTCGACCGGACGAAGGACGAAGTGGTTTGGGACAACGTCTTCTTACAAGGCAGGCGGTTGAAGGAGAGGAAGAACAACAAAAAAAATTCAAATTGTCGAAATTTTGCCTTCGCGACGAAATCCGATGCTCTCTAGCCGAAAATGCGGTCCGTTTTGACAAATTAGTGCATTTTTGGGGTGAGTCGTCCTCTCGTTTTATTTTACTCATTCATTCATTTTAAGGATTGTGCCAACCCCCCCCCTCTCTGCAATTCGTTTCCGGTTTTCCATTAAGCGCTTCGTCCGCTCTTCTCCACCCCAAGACCGCCACGATTATCCCATTTTTGGCGGCGGCAAAGTGAAACAACACAATTGACGAACCTCGGTGTCATCGGGAATCGGTGGAGCCGCCAACGATGCTGCCGATGACGTCGGCACTTTGTTCTTGTCGAGCTTCAACTCCTTGTGGGTGCTGAATTGCGCGAATACGGTCCTGCCGCGAATCTGCAATTCATTCAACAACAGATTTCTGATTTATGTCTTCGTCGACGACGGATTAGTCATTGATGATTCGGATTAAATGTTTTATAATGGCGATTTTGAGAAAATTAAAAATTCATTTCTAATCGGCTTCTCCGATTTCCGAGGTCGGGAAATTTGGTTTAATCGCGAATCAGCTTTAAAAATCTATTTTTAAAATGTGTGCAATGAAAAAATTGAGAAAAGCGTAATTAAAAAAAATAAAACAGTTCAGGGATACTTCACATCCTCAGTTAAATTGAATTCGCCGAAAATTTTGAATCTCGAAGTTCGAGGTTTCTGTTTTTTTTGTGTCTGTTTACACACTGACGCAGTTTTGCACACATTACGTTTCACACCAACAAATCACCGTTCGAAATGCTTTTTTCTATTTTTTTTTTTGAGAGAAACGAAAGGGAAACGAGATTGTATGCAATCCAGCATACTTTTAAATTATTTTGAATTAAAAAAATTTATTTTTCAAAATTAAATTTGAAAAATTCAAAAATGAGCGGGTCGTCAAATTTAAAGCCTAAAATTACTTATTTTAAAGGTACATTATGTACATTCATAAATCTTAAAAGCAAAAACCGGTATTTTTGGATTTAAAAAATATTAAATGTAGTTCAGTTGAAATCAAACCTTTAAGATTAAAAAAAAAGAAAATATTGGTAATTTAAATTTAAACATTTTTAAATAAATTTCAAGAATACCTGTATTGGCACCGCCGCCATTGCAGTGACAAACGCGGCCGCGCCATTCTCCTCCTCGTACTCGACAAACGCCTAAAAAAATTTCCATATTCGGGCATCTCATTACGAAAATCGAAACCGCCCATACCTGACTTTTTCCCTTGAGCATCATAAAATTCGAAATTTGCCCGTATTGGCCGCAAAGTTGAAGGAGTTCGACTTCGAGAAGGTCCGGCGGAATATTGCGCACGTGCACAACTTTGCTTCGCGGCGCCGCCGTCGCCGCCGACGTCGTACACTGCGGCAACGTCGACAATTGGATTTGCGAGAACGGCACGCCGGTCAGATAGGCCGGATTACTGTAATACAGTAGCGACGGGTCAAGCTTGGCCTTTTTCGGCTCCGAATCGGCGGTCATTCCGTAATAGCCAGCGGCGGCCGCGTTGCCAGCTAACGCGAGTTGTAATTCGGCATCCGCGCCACGCTGAAACACGAGAGAAAATTGAATAGAATGAAAGAAAAAATAAAATAAAAGTGCGCCCGCCCCGTTTTTCCCATTAACTATTCGCCTACTATGCTAATTATACATGGACGATTACCTCGTCGTTGAGTTTAATCAGAGGCACGCCTTCGAGGCGACTCGTGAATCTCATTTCGCCTTATAATATATGCCGAATAGACGAGGGGGGGGAAACGTTTTGTTTTACCTTCAAGCAATAGCAAACGAGACACACTGTTTATAATCGAATCTTTGCGGAAATGGGCGAACGCTGCTCGACGACCATTTATGGGTTTTTTTTAATGTGATTCTACAGCCACTTGGTTTGATTTTTCGATGGGAAACTGACCGTAAAAATAATTGAACATAACCAATCGAAATAAAAACGCAAATTCCAATCAAATTTTATTGATTTTCCGCGAGAAAAATCGATAAAATCATGATTGACGAAATGAGAAAAAGAAAATTTGAAACGAAAGAAAAGTGGTGCATTTTGGCGTGCCGATGAATGCACGCAATCGTCATACAGTAGCACATTGCAAAAAACTCACCTTGCTCATGTGGTATTTTGTTGTTGCCGGAAAATTTCGTGGGCGTCGCGCAACAAGAAAAAAAAGCGAGGAAGAAGGAGAAGGGGAAGAATCACGCCTATAACATCTGCAATGATTGGACGCGACACATCGAATGGTATTAGAAGAGGAGGAGCAGAAGCAGCGGCAGGCAGTGGGAATAGTAGTAGAATGGTAAGATGGATAGCGACAATAAAAAAAAGTTCAAGTCAGTCGAGTGGCTCGTTGGCGGGTTTGACCAAATTATTTGCGAAACTCTCCGAGCGCCGCGAGCGCCTCCCGTCCGTCCGTCCTCAACCCGCAAACACTATATACATACATTTATATATATTTATGTGCTCCCGTTCGTTCAGTGTGAACTCGTCGACCCGCCAAGAAGCCTCGAAATGCAACAACGGGAGGAGAGGGAAAAAAAAACATAACAATTGAGGAGAAATGCAACAAAAGATTCGATATGGTCGTTGATTAGAAGGGTCCGTCCGTCTTCCCCTTCCCCGTTTGGAGATGGAGAAGCGCGAGGAAAGGGATAGGGGGAAGGGGAGATGGGTGTGAAGGTAATGAAGCGAGCACGGCCAAACGAAACAACCCAGAAGCTTTTTGTATTGATTGTCTTGGGTCTCGTCGCGAATTGGTTTTGATCTACGTGTCGAGACGCGAATGAATGCCAACTTTGGGGCTTGCTTCGAGACCAAATGACTACGGTATTGATTTTTGTAATTTTCAAAAATTTGTCCTTAAAAGGGGGCGTGCTTTAATAGCGTAAAAATTCAAAGAAAAAAATTGAGAAAAGTAAAACAAACAATCTAGGCAATAAATTTTCGGAAAAAAAAACCAAATAGAAAAATGTGTTCTTCGAGTGCCATGTGCCTTTAAAACAATATCTACAGTAATCACCATTTGGGCGGCAAAAACAAAAATCGATTGCTTCTGGATAAACACAATAAATTGTGTGTGTGTGGGTCTGCAGCTCGACGAAGAGGCCGAAGCGAAGCGAAGCAAAAAAAAAGTTCAAGACGAGCTACCAGATGGCGATCGCCATTCTGCCTGGTGGTGGCGGCGGCGGCGGCGCTCCGCGGCCAGTGAGACTCATAAAAAACACTTAAATATGCCGAATTGCTATGTGCAAAATGTGTCATTTTTTTGTTGTATAATAAAAAAGAATGAAAACAAAACCCGCCGAATTGACTAATGACTATCACCAACCAACAACATTTGTCATCGATTTTATCGTATTATTCATCGGTTTTGTTGATTCTATTTTTTCTGGTTTTTGACGTTTTTTTTTTGGTCTATGGAGAATGCGAGAAAAGATGGGCATTGTTATAGGGTCTCGATGGGAATTTAAAGGCGCAAGAGGTTGGCATCTCTTAGCTTGTCTTTATCTTCTCGCTAATTCCATTTCTAGAAGGTATAGGGTCTCGATGGGAATTTAAAGGCGCAAGAGGTTCGCATCTCTTAGCCTGACTTTATCTCGCTAATTCCATTGCTAGAAGGTATAGGGTCTCGATAGGAATTTAAAGGCGCAGGAGTTTCGCATCTCATTAGCCTGTCTTTATCTTTTTGCTAATTCCATTGCTAAAAGGTATTGGGTCTCGATGGGAATTTAAAGGCGCGGGAGGTTGGCATCTCTTAGCCTGACCTTATCTCGCTAATTCCATTGCTAGAAGGTATAGGGTCTCAATGGGAATTTAAAGGAGCACGAAAACCATGAGACTTGGATTTTTTTCTTATTTTATTTGAATTATGTTTTAAAGGAGCAGGGTTACGGTAGCCAAGTCCAGCGCAATCTAAAAAACCTAAAAAAAAAGAGAACTCACTTTATTGGTAAATTTCAACAATTGTCTACATTCCCTTCAAGACCACTACCGTAGTCTTGTCAAATACATATACAATTTGATATTTTTTGTATCCCAAATAAGGCGTCAACATATCACTCAATTTTCATCAAGAACGAAGGAAGTCTATGACTAATTAGTGCCTAATTAGCTCAATTAATAACGATGGCAGATTCCGGTTGATGTTGGCAGAAGGTTTGGAAGTTGATTTCACCCCAACGGTAAAACGAAAAATCACCTTGAGACTGTACATCCTAACCAGCGAGGTGTTCGGGACCATTCAAAACGCACGTCGGCAATATTTCGTTGGTGTTGCAACAATTCTGGAAAAGCGCCCAAATCGACGATGGCAAATTAAAACGAAAACAGAAAAAGAAAAAAGAAACACCATTGGCGCCTAATGCGAGTTAATTGGGTATTATTGAGGTGGTTGGGGGGGGGAGGGCTTTGGCGAAACACTTTGGTGTAAGACGAATATTCAAATGAATTATTCAAACAAGCACAAATATGGGGAATAGCGGGGGGAACAATGAATTAGAAGCTAGATATGAAGAGGGGGGTTCGAATGATTAATGTAGACGAAATAAGTGGAAAATTCGAGGGTGTGTCGAATTAGGCGACGCCTCGTCGCTCTTCTAATGGATTTTTTATCATTTGAGTTATCGTCCAGCCGAAAAATATTCATGTCAATATGGCATATGTGGGTGTGTGTGCGGCTTGAAGAAGACCGCGCTCGGCCACCAGCTTATCACTATAGTTACCGGGGGGGGGCCAGTGCGAGAGTGTTGGGTATCGAGCGACGTCGTGTTGAAGGTGTCATTAGTAATCGGTGAGGTGCGGAGAGGTGGTGAAGGAGAGTCGCACTAGTTGGTCTCAATTCTTAAGCTTCTTATGTTAAGCTTGATCTCGAATGAACAATTTTCAAAAGGAGGTGCCACGCTTTTGCCGGGAATTCTCAATGGTCCCACTGCATGGAAAATTCTGATATTTCAATTGATTGGGCAATTTAATTTGGCCTCTTTTTGTTGGGACTGCGAAATGTCCGCAGATTATTTTTACTAGAAGAGACAACATAGGGGCTTTCTGTGCTATCAATTTTGATGGGTAAATCTTTAAAAATAAATTCCAGATTGTCCGAGGAAACGAATTTTTGAAATCTAATTTACATTGCTAATTAATAACTTTATTACAATTCGTTTTGAATATCAAAGAAATGCATTGGGAGGGTTTTGAAGGAAATGAAGCGCTTTAATTTAACTGCATTTACGCAGCGGAAAAAAAACGCTCAAAACTTGTTCCTGATTCGCGGAAGCATGAATGCTTAATTAGAAAAACATTTTCAGCGACGACAGAAATGGTTTGGAACGGAATTCGAATTTTTTGACAAAAATCCGATATTCATTAAAATTGTGCGTGTTGACACCGCGACGCACAATTGCGGAATTTTCCAAAATTTGAAATTTTTATTGTATTTCTTATTGAGTGTTCAAAAGTCCGCAGATTCACCGACACGCGAATTTGCACAAAACTTTTTTTGCGCTATATTTCACGTCAATTTAAACCAAAAAAAAAGTTAAAATTTTAATCAGGGAGCTTCGAAATTTACAAAACCTTGTTGAGAAGACAAGTCAAGATGTTTCGCAAAGAAGGGCCGACGTCGACAACGGACCCTCTCGCCGAAATTGGTTTTCAAGAGAGTACTCGGCGAATAGAAAGGGAAGGTAAGAAGAAGAAGACGACGACGAAGGAGATGGTCGATTAAATTGGGTCCGTAGATGATGTTGTCGATTGTCCCATGAGACAAGAGTCGAATGCTGGAGCCGATCGTTTAGTGTTTGCCGGTGGGGGGCCGGGCGGGCGGGCGACTCCTTGAGCCCGTCGATCGGAATCGGATCGCATCGAGAAGAGATATGTGTTTGCACAATATTTTGACAGATTTTCGAGTGATGATGCCGCTCCACCGATTTTGACACCAAAAGCGTGGCCCGGAAATTGGCCCCCCGATTCGCGCGCGCTCAATTTTCAATTAACAATCGCACTTCTCATTGTTTCAGATGAACTCCATCAAAAATGTTGCCATTGACAATTTAAAATGACCAAAAATAATTGTAGTGTACTCACAATAAAACCGTATTGATGCAAATCGAATTCGAGTTCGATTTAAAAAATTCCCAAACTTACTTCCTTAGTCACTTTGTCGGTTTGTCATTTGCCTGTTGACGCGTGGCATTCCAAGCTTTTAGTGGACCATTGTATGATTAGAGCTCCTTCAGTTGTTCTTCAGGTGATCCTCTTTTGAAGCGAGTCCGACCATCGCATTGGAGGCCTTCCTCTTGGCCGTGTTCAATTCCACGGCCGCCACTCCGTTAGAAGGCCAGTCCATCTTTCATCTGTTCTTCTAGCATCGTGTCCAGCCCAGGTCATCTTCCTCTTCGTGATGTGATTCAAATTCGCGCGCTTAGACGAACGAGAATCGAGCGCGTTGCGTATGCGTCGCGGTCGGCGTCGATTTTAAATAACAATGCGTATGAATGAAATAAACGGTAACAAATTGGTTTTTTTGTTTAGAAATTTAAATTGTGGTTTTTTTTTTAATGATTCTTTGTAGTTTTTCTTTTTCAAATATTTTTATTAGTCAACATCAAATTCAAATGTAAAATGCTTTGCTGTTTCCGGATTTCGATCAGCAATACTCAGCTCATTCGCCAAAAATTAGCCAAAATCCAACCATCGAAATTTTTCTCGAAACCCACGTACTCAAAATCGAGCACAACTCGTAAAATTATTTTTGGAATTAATGAAGTATTCAAAAAAAAACAAATCTAATCAAATTACTACGAGCGTCGAGGCCAATCGTTTTCTTGGAAATTTTGAACGTGAACGATGGTGGATAATAAATGAAATTCTCCAAAAACATGTTATTTTGTTTTTTTTTTCTTCAAGATCAATTCGGAAACTTTGAACGAATCCATCATGGTCCAAAATCGATTGCTGGGAGAATGAGAAAAGCCGTCTGCGGACTTTTCCGACGATCCAAAACCTGAGATATGATAGACTTGTCCTGAATTCATTTCAAGAAAAAAACGGTGGATGTTGATTTTTTGCTCTCAAATCTGTTCAATGCCCTTCCACTATTCATAGATTCAATTTTTCGCGGACATGAAACAACAAAAACTATAAAAGTATCATAGATTCAGGGTCTCAGCGAGAAGTACACTATCGATTTACGGCGGGCTGTCAATATTGGTGTACTGTGGCGAATGAAATTGTGCGCGTACACCATGACGCACAAGTGCACTATTAGTCATTCCAGACAGTGGGAGATCGACGGTATCAACGCATCCGAAATGACACGGCATTTCGGATTCCGTCCCATGGGCCGACCGCGCGTGTTCTCGAAACTCGCAAGAATAACAATAACAATTAAAACGCACACACCTTCCTTTTTTTCTGGTGATATCTCGTCTTATTGTCAAATTTCTCTGAAATGGATGAGTCTGACAACGAGCAGGGGGTGTGGCATAGACTACTCGATGACTACTATAAATTGAACGAGACGATCTCGTTATTCATAACCATGCGAACCGCCGTTGTGCTCCTTCTGATTCTCGAGCAAATCCATCAATCGCTCGAATTTGCGTTCGTCAATCGCACGGTATGAAGTGATCCCTTCTAGTAGCACTGCTTTATATGGGATAGTTCTAGAAATTGAGATTCTTGAATTGAGTGGTCCCATTATTAAAAATGTGTCTACCATAATCCAAATTGGAAAGATGTACTTTCCTGTTTCAATAATCAAATAATTCAAAATGTTCATAAATTCTAGCCAGTCAAAATGCTTTTGTCGACAATTTTTTACATTTTAAATTGAAAAACATTTTTTGTCATGCGCCTTTAATGCCTACGGTAATTTTCAATTTGCGTTTCAAATTTGGCCAAATCGAGTATGATTATTGTCGCCAAAAAAGACAGTGATGGTCTCGAAACGAATGACCATCGGTGTACATCGCTGTGTGAGTATCCACGAGTCCAATTCTACAGTAATCAGAATATTGCGATCTACAAGGTTCTGAAATTCTTAACAATCAATTGTATCAAAATTCAACAAATATACATTTCGATTTCTTCACTTTTAAACAGTATAAGAGAAATTTTCAGAACGCTTTATAATTAATACAATTTGAAGGCTAGTAGGCTACCGTAATCGGTCGTTGCGAAACCCAACTTATCAAAATTAATTCTTGCAAACTGTTGTAAGCTTGAAAGACGCTGACGTTCTACTTAATCGCAAAAATATGCTAACGCTCTTTCAAATCCGGCAAAAATAGACTATTGAAAAAAATTTGTCGTCAAATAAAATGCATAAGTCCGGAAAATTGCATTTTAATGTTTTTGAAAAACCCATTTTTGGTTGTTTTTTTTTCGAAATCCGCTTAAAGTAGAAATGAAAAAAACCGACCAGAAATTTAGAAAAATTTGAAACCATTTGGAACTTGTGCAATTTATTTGACGACGATACACTCAGCTATCAGCGCAATAAAATTCTGTAGAAATCATTTTTATGTATCTAGTTTTTGTTAGAGAACTGTACATAATATGCTTTTCGAAGAAATCAAAAAAAAATTCAAAAAAGAAAAGGTTTCCATTTTATCCCATTTTTGTCTTCATACACACTGACGCAATTTTGCACACATCAATTTTCTTTTAATATTAATTTCATCAAATTCTTTCTCAATTACATCTCAGATGCTGCCCTTTAACATTAATTTTTTTCTTTGATTTCTAATTAATAGAAAATTACGGTAGGTATCAAAGAGCTGCCATTTCTGCCCAAAATAGTTACTCAACTATTAATCTACGAATTCGCTACTATTTGTTTAATTCGATAAAGCGCTTTTTGTCAATTTTTGGAACATCAAAATCTATTTTCTTTTTTTGCAAATAAGAAATGACGCAAAATGAGACACTTATATTAATTCGGGGGTTTTTTCTAGCAGACTAGTAAAAAATATATTGTCTCGTTTCTTGGAGTTGAGAATGCGCCTTTAAAAAAATATTAGAAAAAAGTGCAAGAAATCAATAAAGAAGCGAAAATTGAAATTTAGAATGAAGACTAATTGAGTCAGATACTGATTTCTGAATAATAAAAAGCCCACTAGATGCACTTTTCAAATTTTCAAAAAATATCGACGAGACACTCAAATAATTAATTTTTTGATATTCAGCACGCTGACAAATTGCGCATTTCATCGGAAAATATTCAAAAGCTTTTCCCGTTGCCCACCCTTCCCACTGTGGTGAACACCACCAAGCGTGTTGGCGCCAAACGGTTCCGCCAATTCGGACCACGATGCCAGCACATGGAAAAGTGCAATGATTGCGTTTGTTGTGGAATTTGTAATACCACCGAGTTCACGTGAGCAAAAAGCCAAGTGTTTGGAATTTGATTTTTAAGCAAAAATTTTTAGCTGCCACATTGTTCATGGCGAGATCGACTATTGCCGACTCTACGAGTTTCTCACTCGAAACTCGGTTAGTCAATTTCTCGAAATAATTCAAAATGCGCAATGATTTTTTGCAGAACGTCGAAGATGTTGAGCTACCGAAAATCCACTGAGCATTGACGCAAAAATCGTTTATGTTTCTTGTTCATCGAATAAAGTTTTGATTAATTTTATTTACTGCACATCATGGAATCACAGTTTTACATTTTTTATTTTCCGTGCGTTACGGTAAACAATTCTGCATTCGTCAATACGCAAAAGGGAACGCAAACTTTTTAATTTTTGAATTATTTTGTTCTCACTCCATAATGCTATTTTTTAGTATAATTTTAATGTTTTAATGTTAAAATTTAATCGTTAAAAGATGTCTTCAATTCTCATTTCAACAATTTATATAAAAATGCAAAACTTCAGGCATTATGAGCAATCCAGAGCCGTCAACGTCGAATGCTCAAGAAAATAACGATGACACAAGTTTTTTCTAAAATTATTTGGCAATTTTTTAAATATTATTTAAAATTTAGACCAAGAAAATCCCGAAGAAGCAGCCAATGACCAATTAATCGATCCCTTTATTGATTTCGAATGCGAAGTTTGCCATTTGCAAGAAAAATGCCTATTCGGCGAGCTTAAAATCACTGATGGCTTGTGAGTATTTTTTTTTTCAAATCAGTAATGCGAGATTTATTTCAGCTATAATTCACCAGTGTATTTTATTCGAGATCCATTCGAACCTCCAGCTCGCGTTCGAACGAAAAAACCGACTCTCGACGATTTCCTAGTACTCGGAGCTCCATGCTCATTGTGCAATCGGCCGGTGTGCTTCGATAAGGTTCGATCGATCTCAATCATGAGACAATTTCGCCCCATTCAGGGTTGCTCAATTTTCTTCGGCAACAATTTCTGCGCCCTTTGCGTCGCCCGCGAACGCCGCCGATTCCCCGATCAAGTTCTTGAGGTACGACAATAACCAAAATATAATTAATATTTCATTTCAGCTTCTCAGTAAAGGTGTGGCTGCATCAAAAACAAAATAATTGATCGATATTTCGTTATAATAAAACGTTGATAAATCCATTAAGAACGAGAAAAAATAAATAAATAAGACAACAACAAAAGAACGACTATGTGGGCGAGAAATGGAATAACGAGATTTATGGACACGCACGCACACAACGACCGGTAGAGTCACAACAAATGGTAACGGATTATTCTGAATCCGAAACTCGGCGTTTGCGCTCATTCTTCGTCTCGACACCTTTCTCTTCCCATTCGCTGTCGGAGGTCGTCTGAAATCGGCGTTTGAAAAATTTTATATGCTTATGATGACACAACGAGTCCCATGCCTGATTTACCTTGACGTCTTTGCGGGCTAATTGCTTTTCAAGCAATTTCTCTCTCAGCAAATCCTCATCACTAGTTTCAGAAGGCGGCTGAAAACTTGCCATCAGACATGGGCCCCACTGTTTTTCAATTCTCTTTCCTACCTTTTTCTCATCACGCTTCCTCTCCGTGCTCCTGCTCCTTTTACGGTCCCTCTTGCGATCTCTCGAACGCGATCGGTCTCTCGATCTATCCCGTTTTCTGTCTCGCGATTTCGATCGACGTCGCCTGTCACTGTAAACCCCAACGAGAGAAATAAGGGAAGAAAGGGGACGGAACACTTACCGACTTCTCGATCGCTTGCGATCTCTGTCTCTGCTACGGCTTCTTCTTCTACGATCACGACTGCGGCTTCGCTTGCGATCACGACTCTTCGAACGTCGATCGCGTCGATCTCTTCTGGGTGATCGCGAACGCCTTCTAGGTGATGGTGAACGCCTCCTTCGCACTGGCGATCGTGAGCGACGTCTCTCGCGTTCACGATCATCGCCAGTTCGCCCTTGACGAATAGCTTCCTCAATTTCTTCCAATGCTTGAACATCAGTCTTCTGTTGAGGTTTAATAATAGCGACACGCGAGTGCGTGATTCTCAACTGCCTTCCTTGGAAATCGATTCCATTGTTTTGTAATGCAATCGGCACTGACGTCTGACTGGAAAACTCGACGTACGCGTAGGCGCAAGGCAAAGTCTGTGGTCCAGTCGCCATTCTGACGTACATTACCTGAAAAATTTTAGTTTATTTTTTTTAATTTTCACGTCCAACAAATTTCCCATTTCGTAACTATTCTCTACTAGTAATAACCAATGTTGCAAGATATGAAGGTAATCATAGCTTTTGGATTAAATGCGATTTCTCTTAGAATACCACTATTCGAAGTGAAAGTCAAAGAAGCTCAAGAGCTCGCTCAACTCCTCACAGCGTCGTTTGTCGAATCTGTTTCGATAATGAAACCGTACGGTAAAATCCTTTAATTTTGTTTATTCATCAATTTCAGGGAACCTCGAGATTAATAAAGCCTTGTTCATGTAGCGGCTCTGTAGCATTCGTGCATAACGCTTGTTTGGAGCAATGGGTCAGAACTACTTCAAATACTAGATGCACTATTTGTCAAGACGAATTCGAACTAATTCCAAAGGGCATGAAGCCGATCCTTTACCGTAATCTACCAAGGCCTTTATCCGACATGAATGAAGATATAATGGACTTTATATGCACAATTGCATGGATTGTTTACATGCTTAAATTTGCTTATGTCGGTCTTCGCTATGGATCCAATGTGATGTTAAGTATGGTTGATGAAGCTATAGGGAGTGGAACTTTACGATCACTATGGTGGTTATCATTTTGGTTTAACTTTATGTATTATGGGTGTATGACTGTTTTGATATATGAGCAATGGGTGTTGGATAACACGATTTTTAGTTTTAAAGATAGGTTTGAAAAACATTAATTTATCCTATATAATTTTGCAGTTTTTCAGATCTGACGCGTCAAAAATTCCTAGAAGCTCAATTAAAACGGGTAGCATCCTAGAAGCAACTCCAAAGCGACGTCGATTTCCCAAGACCCCCATATTTGTAGAATAAAAGTTTATACCTCTCCAACATACATGTTGAAGAAATCGAGAACAGCTTGCCCGTCGATTCCTTTTGGCAGATTTCCGACATAGACCGTCCTTCTGATTTCTTCGACTTTGGCTAGATCGGTATCGCCAGGAAGTGGTGGATATTGCGGCAGTCCCAGTTGTTCGAGCGTCGGATCGACTGTAAGCAACTGAAATATACCCATATTAACAGTGAATGAAATTTTTGTGTAGACAAAAAAAAAGATAATTTAGAATTTCGTTTGAAAAAATGCCGGCCAAACTCTTCGCATGGCGGAGGTGTGTGGTAACTGCAATAATTAATTTTGATAATTTAAATTAGGTTTAAAATCAAATTTAGTTGTTTGATATGATTGAAGTTTGACATTGATACCTGTAAATTTCAAATAAACCCCCTTTAAGCCATTCAGGGTTCTCTTTGTAAATATTAAGATGATGCACTTACCAAAGAAGTTCCATCTTCAATTTCTTGAGTTTTATTTACGACATGGGGAGGAAGCTGTCTCTGACCAGCAGTGGGAACACCACCGCTATTGAAATACGTGTCTTCATCAGGAATTGTGTCTGAAAAATAATTAATACGTTCCGATGAAATAGATTAAACGAAATTCGCTTACTTTGCAAATACGGAATGCATATTAACGCCTGATCAATTAATACCACATTTGTTAGATGCTGACCAACTTCAACACATCTTTCATCGTCATATTTTATAAAAGCAGCTTTGCTAGTTATGTTTGGGGTAATATTATTTTCTGATGGATAGATTCGTAATTCTGCGATTTTTCCAAGATAGTTGAACATATTGTATATGTGGTCCTTAGTAGCGGCAGTCGAAATATTAGCCACATGGAGAATTTTGATTTTTTCCTTTTCTTCTTCAGTCATTCTGCAATTTTACACTATGAACAAGTATTTCGGAGATATAAGAAACGTTATAAGACAAACGCAATTATATTTAAGACCGGTAAGTAAAATAGAATTATTCCGAAATTAAAAAAATAACAGCAAGGTCAAATATGGTAAAGAAAGCCAGCGTTCAAATTCGAATTTTCGAATGTGGGAAATAGTGGCAAACTGCCAAGTGCAATCGCGACGAGACCTGACGCGCACGCAGCGCGTCTGCGTCTTTTTTTTTGGGCCGCAGCGTGTCAATTTCGAATTTCTTCCATGGCTTTGCTCATTTTTTGTTATCTTTGAAATGTTTTGCAAGTTTATTTTCTGTTAATTTGTTAAATGTATTGGTTTCAATTTGAGTTATAAATATTTCAAACTTATTTTTGAAGACGGACGGGTTTTTCTTCTTATATAACATTTTTTATTTTTCGAAATCTAATGGATTTCTACTCTTGTTTTGGCGCGTGTTTTTTTTCATCATCAAGTAACTATATATATATATATCAAGTAACTAGGAATAGACTCGTCTGAACTTCCGAATTTTTTATTTTAAACTCTATAATTAATGCTTAATCTGTTATATTTCAGAAGAATAGAAAAATGGCCGATGATGGAGTTAATCCGAAGGCCTTCCCATTGGCTGACACGAACCTTTCCCAGAAGCTCATGGATCTTGTCCAACAAGCGATGAACTACAAACAACTTAGAAAAGGTGCTAACGAAGCCACCAAAACCTTGAATAGAGGTATTGCGGAGGTAAATATCCTTGTTAAGCGCCATTTATTTGAAACTTTAGGTTATCGTTATGGCTGCCGATGCTGAGCCTTTGGAAATTCTTCTTCACTTGCCTCTCTTATGTGAGGATAAAAATGTCCCATACGTTTTTGTTAGAGTAAGTGCAAAAGTAATAGTTTCTGTTTTGAATGAATTTCTTCTAGAGCAAAGCCGCTTTGGGACGTGCGTGCGGTGTCACTCGTCCGGTTATTGCCACGTCGATCATCCAGAACGAAGGATCTCAATTGAAATCTCAAATCCAAAAGATCAAGGAAGATGTCGAAAAACTTCTTATCTAAGACCATTTATTGTTTTATTTTGTTACCACTTGTTGTTACATTTTCAAATCTCATTGTTTTGTTGTGCATTGTTGTTCGTTTTGATTTTTACAATTATGAATTTGATTCATACGACTTGTTATTTATTGTTTTGCAAAATGTTATCAGCATCGCAAAGACAAGCAATAATAAAAAAAAGGAGGGCCTTTTGTGCAAAGAAACTGCGGACCGACGCAATGTTGAAATTTTTACATCATCTGTAGCGTATCAGCTCAGTTATTTTATCATGCGCCCTACAGGAACTTTGATAACTTGATAATAATAATACCCGAGCAGACTCGTTTCTCCTCGATCGATGTGAGAGAGCGCAGCTCCGCCCATTTGTGAGTGTGTATGTGTGAGGGAAACGAGGGTGGGTGGCGTTAGTAACGACGATTTTCAGCAAAACGCACGTTCATTGTATTGCAGCGATGAATTTTTCGCCGTACAAGCTCGCGTTCCTACTCGTTCTCATACCGCTGGCATATCGTTTCGTCAGCGATCGCCTCTATTCGGACCACAAGCCCGAAGTGTACGGCTACGTCGACGAGCGTTTCAAGAAAGTCGGCGACGCGTTTGCGTAAGTGTTTGATTTTATTGACTCGCGCATTTCATTTTATTCTTTGCGCCAGTGCAAACATTCAAAATCATATAGGCAAAACTTTGAAAATGGCTGGGAGTCGGAAGGTGCGGCACTCGCCGTGTTTCTCGACGGCGAGAAGGTCGTCGATGTTTACGGAGGCTACGCCGACAAACAGGCCGCCAGAAAATGGGCTTGGGTGAGACGAGGCTGCCAAAGCGTGGGGTTCATCGCAACAATCGCTTCTTGTAGAACACCATCACCGTGACGTTCTCAACGACGAAAGCTGTCGCGTCGGTCGCAATCGCCTTGTTACACCAAAACGGGAGATTGAAGTAAGTGTTCGCTTGATTCACTCAAAATGAATCGCCTTGCAGCTATGACGATCCGGTTGCCAAGTACTGGCCGGGCTTCGGAAAGCATGGACGCGATAATGTGACAATTCAAATGGCGCTCTCGCACATGGCAAGTCGCTTTATTTTCTAGGAGATATGTGGCCAACTCGGGTCCCGACACGATTTTGAGAATCTAAATACACCTCGGTAAATGTTCATGGAACAATTGCGCAAACATAATAAAACTGGTTCTCTTTGGAAATTTCAATGTTTCCTTTTTAATTATCTCATTGGTGAATTTTCGCGGGGAGAAACAACAAAAACAGAATGAATTGATTGATTTCCTCATTTTTGTTTCATTTTAAAAATTCACATCTCAATTTCATTTATTATATTGGTGAGCTATCTTTTTTTCAGGCCGGACTTGCCTACATCGATACGCCGATCACCGAGCAAATGGCGGCGGACCATGAGAAAATGCGAGAGATTCTTGAGAATCAGCCGCCAAATTGGGCGCCCGGCACCAAAACTGGGTAATTTTTCGTCGTGTTCGTCCCTCACATCGCCAATTTCAGCTATCACGCTTATACGCATGGATGGATTGTCGATCAGATCATCCGACATACCGATGAGCGCAAACGTGGCATCGGCCAGTTTTTCCGAGAAGAAATCGCTGAGAGATTCGGTATTTTCTAATTGTTTTTTTTTTGAAAATTGTTTTCTTTTTTTTTTGAATGACATTTCGTTTAGATATCGATTTTCACATCGGATTACCCCTGGAGGAGGAGTATCGAGTTGCTCGAATTACAACACCGACCCTTTTGAATCGTCTAGAAGAGATGTGGCATGATTTAAGGGTTGTCAAATACCTCAAATCGCTTTATAAGTTGATTTCGGTAAGATTTTGAAATTCAAATTTGAGCTAATTGGGTATTTCTAGGGTCATCCGTTGGCAAAAGTTGTGAAGAATCCGTCATGGCTTGAAGCCGTGAGTAGATGCACGATAAACAATCCGGATTACCATTCGTAAGCGTTATTCACAATTTAAAAGAAAAAAATTTGACCACTATTATTAGGCTTGAACAAGCGGCGGCTCTCGGAATTGGAAACGCGCGTTCGCTGGCCACATTATTCGACAAGGTATGATTGTTCCCGCGAGACCCTGAAACATTGCGTTTCACTCTTATCATTGCCTTTTTTTAAATATTGAAAGCGGAAAAGAACAAGGAAATTTGATAAGAGGGGTGCGTTTGTTGCAAATTGACGGACACCGCACCACAAATAGTCGGAAATATTTACGAGCATTGTGTTCTCATGATTTCAGGTGAATCGCGGCGAGATTCTCAACAAGGCCGTCCTCGAAACGATCAGCAAACATTATGTCAATGAGTCGGACTTTATTTTCGACGACGTCGTCGCGAAAGGCTACGGATTCTTCCATTTGCCGATTGGCCGCGCCGGAACTGCTCACGGGTTTGGCCACACCGGTCACGGCTGCCAAATGGTGATAACCGATTTGAAAAATAAATTGACGATCGCATACGTAACCAACGGACTCAAAACTGGTATCTATGATCTGTGCCGGACGTATTGGAAACTTCAGACGGCCACCTATGATGTCATTGAAGAGATGCAGAAGAATTAGAAGATTCCTTTATATGATTAGTAGAATTAACATTTAATAGTTGAGAAAATACTTATTATGCGTGTATATTCATGTCTTTTTCATAACTATCCAAACCAATTTTTGTTTTGTGTGTTTCTTTTTTGTTTACAGATTTGTAGTTTTGGCTTAGATGTTTGAAAAAAAATCCGAAAAAATTAACTTATTGTCATCCCGCCCACACCGATTTCCCATTCCAAAAGTTTTAATTGAATCCCCCAGTGATGAATTCATGTCAAGTAGAGCTTATTCTTACTGCTCACCGGAATCAAAATGAATAAATCGTTGTGAACATCTGGTCGTTCATGTTGGGTTGCCACGGCAACCGTCGAGCGTTACGCATTTGCCGATTACGGCGCGCTCGTCTTAGTACGCTGAAATGTCGATTTTCGGGAAAATTATGAGCATTCAGGATGCTATTAATCGATTACCCCAATTTGAGCATCAGGTAATTAGTTTTCAATATTAAAAAAAATAATTTACCGATACAGAAATTCAATTAAACTTTTATATATAAAGTTGTTGAAACCGAAAATAAACACATTTTCAATTATGAGCGCTAATTGTGATTTAATTGGCAGGTCAACAAACTAATTAGCGAAGAAAAATCGACGCGTGGCGAATCGCATTTGCGCGCGAGTTTCATTCGACGATGTCATGATCTCCAGAAACAGGTTGGTTAATTAATTAATTGGAATTAGAAAAATAAACATTGTCTCTAGATAAGTGAGCATGAAAAAAAGACGGAAACAATTAAAACTGATGAAGCGAACCAATTTCGAAAGAATCGAGCTATTGAGCAATTGAGAACTATGAAGGTACTGGAATTATTTAAAAAAAAAAAGCTTCTTTAAAAATAATTGCAGGATCGATTAGCTGAATTTGCACCGGAAAAAGAGAATACGTCGGGCTCGAAAATTTCGAATGAGTAAGAATTTGTCAAAAATTTGAATTGATTTATTTTTTGCCTGCGATTTAGAAATGATGAGGACGACGTGAAAGATGGCCCACCGCAACCGAAAGCTAGAACAATTGTAAAGCAGCAAAGTTCGATGTACAACGATGAGGATGATGAGTCTGATGTTGAAGCTGACAATGAGGACGACGAGGAGGTTGTATCAGTTCATCGGGAAGCAGAAATTTCTGAGGTCGACGAGCCTTCTGAACCACAGGACCCCGATAATAAAAACTTGGTGACTGGAAATGCGTTCATTGTTCTCAAAGATCTACCGCCGTCGGCCGATGGCGATCTAGCGATACGCGAAGGCGAAATTTTGAAGATACTTGAGACACGATCTGATGGCTGGTGGATGGCGGAGAACGTCAATGGCGATCGCGGAATGGTGCCGAAGACATATTTGAAGCATTTGCAAATCAGCACCCAACGAACGAAGGCGTCGAAACGGCTGGGCGTGCGCGATTCCGTTTTCCAAGCGGCCGCACTTCCCGTCGTGAACGAGACGGAGCCGGTGGCGCCGATTGACGCCACTGCGGACAATGAAACGATGGACGCGGTGGTGAGAGGAGATAGTTCGGCCACGGCCACACCAACAAGCGTTTTTCTGTTTTCAGAGCAAATGGATTGGAAAGAAGGTGGATTGCCTTGGCGACGCCCTTCGCGTCGACCATCATCTCTCCTATGCGTGCCATTTGGCTCCAAGGCTATCGCATTCGAACATCGCGTTCCATGACCTCTTCTGGAACTATCAGCACGATCAAGTGCGAAAGCGCGCAATCCGAATATCGAAAGTGCTTCGCCTGGTCCGAATCGAAGGAATGCCGTCGAATTGCACGAAGGCACTTGTGCGGATTGCTCTACTCGACGAGAGCAAAAAGCTTGGCCGTCAAATTGTGAGCAACGTGCACACGATTCAAGCGAAGGTCAAAGGGACCACATGGAATTTCGCCAATAAACAAGAGCACGTTGATAGCGGAATTGAGCTAGCCGACGCGCTCATCCGTTCGAACTACGCTCTTCCCAATGTGGTGTTGGTAATTGAAGCGTCAATGATTATAAAGGTAGTGCAAAATTCAAATTGATATTTGTTATTTTATTTTTTTATATGGATTTTTAGCAAAATTCGTCAAACTCGGGATTCATTGAGAAGAGCCTTGGCGTTCATAAAATCCCGTTGCTTGACCAAAACGGGCAACCAGCCGTCGTGAGTCGCACATACGTCGAGCATCTGCTTCTGGAGAGCATTTTTCCGCCGCGCGAACGCCAACACGAAGAGCACACTCGTCGAATATTCTTCAAAGTCATGGACGTGCCAAAAGATAAAATTCATTTTGTCGAGTTGGTTGAAGAAAAAAAACTATACTGTATAATGTTTTTGATAATTTATATAATTTTCAGTTCAATGCCTGATGTGATTATATTCAATATCGCGTACCTCCCATTTTTCTATTATTATCGCCGACGAGCTGGAACGATTTTAATCCGTGATAACATGAACGCGCTTAGTTCGGGTAGGCGAGATTCACTCTATCGAATCAACAAATGATTCAAGAAATGGTCTCGGATCCACTGCTCGCCGTATTTCCGGCGATATGCGAGCAGCACGACATTCTCGACGCGATGCTCGATTTGTGGTCGGCGAAACGAAAATCGATGGGCAAGAAGAGCGAAGTTGAGCAGACGATCGAGTTCTTTCAAATTTTCCTTCACACCGCGTTCTTCCTCTTCAAAACGTTCCCGATGCCGGATTATGATATCAACGATGAAGCGGCGATGCGAGCGCGCGCATCAGCCATCGATAGTGTGGTTGGCGCGTTGAAGCGAGGCGAATTGCGTCGTCTCATCGCCACGACGAAAGCGAGACCGGTGAATATATTTGACTACTCGATGGATTTGTTTGGATCGCACTCAATTGATTAGATTAAAAATAATTTTGTGTTTGTTTTAAAAAAATTTGTTTCGTGGATATTTATTGTGGAATTTTGAATGATTAAAACGAATTTTCTTCGCCGCTTCCTTTAGATACAGTGGTTACAGTGGTGGCCGTGGAGCTATCAGTTACAGTGGTGGCCGTGGAGCCATCAGTTACAGTGGTGGCCGTGGAGCCATCAGTTACAGTGGTGGCCGTGGAGCCATCAGTTACAGTGGTGGCCGTGGAGCCATCAGTTACAGGCTTTTCAGTTGGCTCAGTTGCGTCCGAAGCCGCCGTTCTGGCAGTAGTAAACACAGTGGTCCGAATTGTTGTCGAGAGCGGTTGCGGTGGCGAATAGCACAAATAGCTGAACGCGCTGACGTTCTTGAAGCAGTCGATCGAATTGGCTAACGCCGCCGACACCGACAAGGAGTGATTTGTCTTGTACGCCAAATCTGCAATGGCAATTTGGCGGATTTTCAGAGATTTAAAAAATTGTACAATTTGTGTCGGAATTCAATTGATCAACGGACTTCAAAGTGTCGGAAGCATTCTGATTGATTGGCTCATATTGATTATTGAATTTCTGAATTTCAAAAAATTTAGGGGGTATTTTTTTTTTGAAATCGGGCGAACCGTCTTAAAACTTGCGACATTATTGTCAACTGTTTGATTTACAGTAGCCGACAAAGCTAGCAAGTTCAAATTTATTTTATTCACCGTGAGCGAAAGCTCGTTCTCATCAATGAATTCGGCGACAATCTGCAAAAAATTATAGATATTACATTTGGCGGAGAGAATTGAAAAAATTACTCTGATAAAATGCTTTTCCTTATCTTTTTATATTTATATATTTTTTAAAATACTATTTTTACCCACATTTTTTACATACATGTACGTGTCACTTACATTTGCCGGAAATTGGAATCATTAAGTTCAAATGCAATAAAAATTACATTTTTGTATGCGCCTTTAATTTACTATAGTTTTGGGTATGCTTGATACGCAGTAATTATGTACAGTACCGCAGAAAAAGATACGAAATAATTAATTTTCTTCATAACTTTTGAACGAGTGGTCCAATTGGGGTGAATTTTTAGTGAAAGTAAAAAACACAATTTTAAAACAAATTGTAAAGTGAATTACACTATTTCGCAAAAATACGTGCTAGGGGACATTTTTTTGAAATCTGCAAAAAGTGGAAAAATCGATATGTTTTAGTTTTCCTATATTTTTTCAATATATTTTTTAGTTTTCAATACTTTGTGATCATATTGATTATTTTTAACGATGAGTCTACCAAAAGATTCTAAGACATTATCTAAAGCTGGTCGCATTGCGATTAATAGAGGCCGAGAATGTGGGATGTCGATGTTCGGGCTGGCTAAACAGTTCGCAACGAGTATTTCGATCATCTTGGCTTCAAATAATACTCAAAACCGATCAAAACCAATAGGAAGACCACCAAAACATCTCCAGCTATTGGTTATGTCATTATTAGGATGGGCAGAAAAAATCTGAGGCTGGCAAGTACCGACATCACCAGATGACTTATGCAGCATTATGGAGTTGTGACCACTTTTTTTCGGTTATTGGAACGATACAACCGATATAGGTTTGCAGTGAGACTGTTAGAAGTTGTCTCCGCCATTCTGGATTGTTTGGTCGTCGTCCGGTGAAAAATCCAATAATCCCGCCCTAATTAAGAAGGCATGATTGCGATGGGTAAAGGATCATCTCAGCTGGACAATTAAACAGTGGTCCAACATCCTATGAAGTGACGAATCAAAGTATCTGATGGTTGAAACTGGTGGTAAAACTCATGTACAACATCGATTACGGAAAATATTTCATCCCTAGTACCATGTTCCACCTGTGAATCATTAGGGGTGGAACTGTACTGGTATGGAGATGTTTTCCTTCTATCAGCGTTGGTCCTCTGCGGTGAATAGAAGGTATTATGAACAAGAATTTGTACAAATACATCAGAGAGGACCATATGCTACCATTTGGACGTTCGAAACTTGGGCCTGGTTGGATTTTTCAACAGGACAACGATCCAAAACGCTTATCACACTTGGTCAGGAATTGGATCGCGCAGCTTCGGGTGAACTCCATGGTCCTGGCCGAGCCAATCTCCCGACCCAAATCATATCGAACACCGCTGAGAAGGGTTCGAATGTTGTTTAAATGGAAAAACTGTTCAAAATTGTAGTGAAAAATTCTCACAATTAGAGCAAGCTTGACATGCCCTGCCGGCTGTGACCCTAAACCAATTAGTACCTTTCATGCCAGAAAGATGTTATCCTTCTATTGAAGCAAATGGTATGGCGACTAAGTATTAGGTCTATTAAACCTTGAAAAAAAGTTATTTGGGGTTTGACGATCTAATTTTGTTTCTACAGTCATTTGAATTTATTCGCCGATTTTCATGATTTTTTGAAAATTCGATTTTTTGCGATTTATACTTGAAAAATATTAATTTCCATAATATGAACGTGCTTTCAAACATTTAAATGTATGAAAAATAAGTGCTAAAAATTTCACCCCAATTGGACCACTCGTTCAAAAGTTATGAAGAAAATTAATTATTTCGTATCTTTTTCTGCGGTACTGTATGTTATAGGCGGGACCAAATATAAACTTTCAGTTGGAAATTCGCAAGGCTCCGCCCCCACGTCTGTCTTGGACAACATTTATTACGATCACATAAGAACGAGCACACTGAGCTTGACAGCTCATCGAAACAAAATTTCCACTGTTTACATCGACAATTGAATTATCGTCTCAAAAAAAATACGATGGTCCACAATTATTCAAGGCGCTCATTTTTTACGATGGAAAATTATGTGAGAATAATTAAAGCTCCGAATTAAAAAAAAATCTAGCAAATAATAAAAACATGCCAAAAACGCAATTTAAGCCTTAATAAACATTTTATAGTTTGTTTTTATTTTGACAGTTTTCGAAAGTTTTCACAAATTACCGATTTTCACTTAAAAGTTACAATTATTCAATTTTTGCTTCAAGAGAATTTTTTTATTTAATAAAGAAATAATCGAATGTGTGCAATTTTTCGTGCGAAGCCTTACGGACTGCGATTCTTTTTTTCAAGGAGCCTAATTTTTTTGTATGTAACCAACCATTTTCCCTAAATAATTAAAAAAGAATAACAAACACTTGAATATTTGAAAAATTCAATAAAAATTTTTAAAAAATTATTTAAAACATAATTACAAAAACGGAAATTGAAGACGCATGCAACAATTTGAATGTGAGTCTTGTAGCGACTTATTCTTAAAGTTGTTGCCGAAAAAATTGCGAATGGAAGAAACTGTGTTGATTTAAAGGCGCATGCCTGTTCAGCGGCTCACCTGTGGCACAACAAGCTGAAATGAGCAATGCGAATTGCTGCAGCCATATTTGAGCGTCGAATCGAATCCCGCGGCCGGAAGCAGCAAAAATGTTAGAAAAATGAGCTGACGCATATGGTTGCTGAAATGAAATTGTTGAAACGACGATGGCCTACAGAAAATCGAATGATGTGTGTGTGATAATGGAAGCCCTCATACGGTAGCACGAGAAGAATTTCAATTGATAACACGAGCAGGAGTCGGTTTATCAGTTCGACGGCAACACCCTTCCGAAATGATTTACAACCAATCAATTAATGATAAGGCAACTGTGTACAATTAATGAAAATTGGAAATTGGTGGCGATGGGTGGAAAAGCCTCCGCCATATCCACCAACCATTAAGAATATACACAGTCTTGGATAATTCCAGGTATTGTGGATAGTAGCTATTTGAATTTCAACATCATTCTCGATTTCATAATCGCTTCGCTTTAAAATAGCAAACATATAAATTATAGGAACAAGAAAAAATTGATTGATCCAATATCCATTGAAATATATTACTAGGGACAGCCGAGGAAGTGGGGGAGTATAGGGGAAGATAATACTACTGGTAGTCTCTTCGATGTTGATTATGGCTAATTTCATCGATAAATAGATTTTGTGCAATCTCTGGGGTCTCATTTTTCTGGGAATTTTAAAACGAAATTGATAGGTGTAAAATGAAATGTGTGCAAAATTGCGTCACTGTGTAGACAGATAAAAACGTGGAAAAAATGGAACACGGAGGTTAGAAATTTTTTAGACGAACTGAATTCAATTTTACTAAAGAAATTTTTTTAATCCATTTTTCTTATTATTTATCCTCTGAATTTGTAACAAAGGTACCGAAAAATATGGTAATTCGTTTGGAATTGAATTCGACAAAATTCGGAAATTGACCGGTGTAGATTCGAAATTCGTTGTATTCGATTGTGAAGTTATCGTGTTCCAGAGGGATATTCAATTTCGAAGTGGAAAAATAGAAAATCAGTTCAATTTTCCATTTTCCCACAAATCCAAAAAAGAATAAAAGGAACAAAAAAGAGGCAAAATTAATTCATATGTTCAATTTTCAGATTTTTCAGTTTTTTGAGAATCAGGATTATTTTTTCGTATTTTGAACCTTCGCACACTTTTTTTGCCATTATCTAATCTTTTATATATGTGCATAACTTTAAAGGGTCAATTTAGATAAAACAAAAAAGAAAACATTTAAATCTTAATTTTTTTTCGTCATTGAAATTTTCACAATTTTTCCTTTTTTGCCATGAGAAGCAGGAATTTTTAAATAATTTTTTTTTTTGAATTTTTTTCCATTCGTTTTTTTTTTCACCATTTTTAAATTCAATATTTCATTATTGAAGAAAATTGATGAAATGCATTTTTTTTAAGAGAATTCATTTAAATTAATCAAATGTGTGCAATTCGGCGTGCACGATTTTGCAGACAGCGTCGAGCTTCATCTTTCTTTTCTCCTTCATCTCTAGAATCAATCTGAAACTACTGGTCCGTCGATTCCAATTGATTTTGATTTAAACGAGTCATTCCAAATATTTCAACTATGAGCACAATGTTGCACATTCGTCACCGGGTTCATACATTCTTTGCTTCTCTCGCACTCTCTCTCTCTCTCTAAGCACCGCCCTATTCCCATGTGTCAAAGAGCAAAGTGCTCCCCCAACCCCAACCCCTCCTACCACAAATAACATCGCATGCGAGCCATGTGAATTCCATTGTCGCGCCGAGATCTTCAAAAATCGCCGAGCCGTCTTTCGGTCTCCGCGTCGCGCCGCACTATTTCGCCCCAGCGATGTCTGCTCGCTTTCGTCGAATGTTCGCGAAAACATTCATTTCGCCTCGCATTTTTTTTAGTTATCCATGTGCGCGACACGTGAACATCGCCAACCCGTCGGCCGTCACAAAATGGTTGCGGCTACTCGATTGATAAGACGATTTTCTGCAAACCACCCCCCACCGCCTTCTCCTGCTGCAATCGTTCATTTTCAATTCGATTCGGCGTCCTCCCACTATATAAATCAAACTGGTTCCACGCCAACCACAAGTTGAAAGATCATGATGCATTGTTCCGGCGGTCTTGACACAAAATTTGTTCATCTCTGCCGTCTCTTCCCTCTGTTCCACTTCTTCTCCGCTCATGAGAACTTTAAAAGTCACATGAAAAGATTGGTTTTGCATTCGCTCTTGTGATTTCTATAAATACACCGCAATTGATTATCAACATTTAGTTTGCAGTTGGAATGTCCGCTATTCCATGCACGTCGCTTTCCAATGGTGTTCAGATGCCGATGATCGGCTTAGGTATCATCATCGGAATCAAATCGATTCGAAATAATTCATTGAATTCAAGGGACCACACATTCCGGCGGCTATTATCATGACGCGGTTCTGCACGCCATCAACAAGTGCAACTATCGGCTCATCGACACCGCGAAACGGTATGGTGTTGAGAAGCAGCTCGGCATTGCAATTCAGATGTCGCAAGTCGATCGCGACGCGATGTTCATCTGCACCAAATTGTGGCCGGTGGATTGCGGCGACGGTGTGCTTGACGCGTTTCGCGCGTCGTGCGAGAAACTGCGCACCGACTATCTCGATCTCTACATGGTCCATATGCCGCAACTGCCCGAATGGGTTCGGAATCCGAAGGAGACGCGCGAGGACACGTGGCGACAAATGGAGCTCCTCTATGAGGAGGACCATGTGCGCTCGATTGGCGTCAGCAACTACAACGCCGACGATTTGGAGGAGCTCGCCGAGTACGCCAGCGTCATGCCGCATGTCAATCAAATCGAATTCCATCCGTGGTTCCATCAGCAGGACTTGAAAAATTATTGCGATTCGATGGGAATTTTGACGATGGTGACTCCCCCTCTCTCTCTCTCTCTTGCGTTTTTAATTTCTCAATTTTGCAGGGCTATTGTCCGCTGGCGAAAGGCAAATATCTGGACGACGAGCAATTGTGCAAAATCGCCAAGCGATACGGCAAAACGCCGGCGCAGGTGTGCCTCCGCTGGAGTGTTCAGCACGGTGTTCCGGCGGTGCCGAAGAGCACCGATTATCGGCGGCTCGCCGAGAACACGCAGGTATTCGATTTCGAGCTCGCCGATGATGACATGAGTGTGCTGAATGCGATGACGTCGAAAGACCACAAGGTTGGTTATCACCGGATGGGCGGGGGCAAAACGAAACGAGACACCGCACCTCATTGCATTGCAGATTGTCGACCTCTCGAATATTTGCTCAAAAATGTCGTTGCCCGACGGTTATAAGCTTCAAGGAAGGGTTTTTGGTGTGCCTGATGAGAACGAAGCGGGTAGGAATCGGGAGGACATCATTCGCACTTCAAGTTTTTCTCGTTCTGTGTGTATCTGATTTATTTCTAATTTATATCACGTTGTTATTTTGTCGATTTTGAATTTCATTAATAATTAATAATTTCACTTACAAGTTTTTTGTTGATTTTTTTTGGAGACCAAAAATGACAAAAATCAGAAACCATTGGCACGTGTTTGTGGCGCCATGTACGAAAACTGGTCAGCTGATAATATTTACACTACTATACATGGTTCACCCAGATCGGGCCGCACTTCAATCAGTTCCAAGATTGATTCGGAAGGATTAATGATTTTGCAGCAACTTCTCTCATTTTCTATTTTTAGCCGCCGGAAATTTTGTTGAGGTCTTCCATTGAGTTGTCAGTGGTCCGTGAAAAATAAAACGCTAAGCAACGCATTTTTTTTTTCATGGTTTCAATTTGACGTTTTGGGTTAATTTGAGACTCTATTTACTCTGGTAACTCAATACCAATCGGATCCGAATTGGAAAAAATTACCAATCGGATCCGAGAAATTACCAATTGCATCTGAAATAATTCAAAAATCGAATCGGATCCGAATTATCTAAACAAATCTGATCAGAACAATTTCCAATCGGATCCGAACATTTACCAATCGGATCCAAGAAATTACCAATCGGGTCCGAAAAAATATCCGTAGAAAATGCATTTTTACCGCAAATTTCACTACAACTAGAAGCGCTCGGACCATTCAGTTCTCGTTGAAAATACTCTAGCTTCTCATACAGGTTTTCCAGAATAGCGGACCAGAATTAGCACTATTTAAAAATAACAAAAAAATTTGAATTATCGCCTCGAAAAATGCGATGGTCCACAATTATGCAAGGCGTTCGTTTTTTTTGGCGATGGTAATAAATAAAATAATTGATTAAAGGCGCATAGTGTGACTGATTCAGGTAGTTTTTTTTTAATTCTGAAACACTGTATAGTCGAAGAGTACTCTGGTAACTCAAAACCAATCGGATCCAACAAAATTTGGCTCCGGAATCAACCTCATCCGACTGGTAATTCTACGGATAAGATTGGAAAATTGTCGGATCCGATTAGAATTTCTTCGAATCCGATTGGTAATTATTCGAATCCGATTCGAATTGAAATATTAAAACAAAATGGATTCGAATAATTACCAATCGGATTCGAAGAAATTCTAATCGGATCCGACAATTTTCCAATCTTATCCGTAGAATTACCAATCGGATAAGGTTGATTCAGTAGACGAATTTTGTCGGATCCCATTGGTTTTGAGTTACCAGAGTATTTAGTATAAACATTTTCTACTGTAGGATTTTTGAAATTACCTTCATCGGTGTTCCCTTTTGTTTCAGGTCGATGATTTCAGCGCGATGAATTGATTATTGTAATATGAAACGGATTTCCATGAAACTTTCAGAAAATGATTGAAAGATTGCAGAAAAGAAATAAACGGGTCTAAATAGATTCGTGGTATTTTTTTTTATAGAACTTGGACCGGCGGGGGCTGCTAATTATAGTTTCAATCGAATTTTGCCATTTTTTCCCAATACAATCGTATAAGAAAAACATTACCATTTCGACTATACAGTGTTTCAGAATTTAATAAAAACTACCTGATTCAGTCACACTATGCGCCTTTAATCAATTATTTTATTTATTACCATCGCCAAAAAAAAAACGAACGCCTTGCATAATTGTGGACCATCGCATTTTTCGAGGCGGTAATTCAAATTTTTTTGTTATTTTTAAACAGTGTTAATTCTGGTCCGCTATTCTGGAAAACCTGTATGAGAAGCTAGAGTATTTTCAACGAGAACTGAATGGTCCGAGCGCTTCTAGCTGTCCCGAAATTTGCGGTAAAAATGCCTTTGAGAATTTGTTTTGCGACACTATTTTTTTTCTCGAAACAGTTGCTCCCACAAACTTCCTGGTGTGTTTAAAGGGAGCTGTCGCTGAGAAGCTATAGCATTTTCAATGAGAAATGGTCCGAGCGCTTCTAGTTGTCGCAGCGATCGCTCTCGCTATTAACTGCGCCAGTATTTCCAGCAAAACTGACACAAAAACGAAATGCACTTTAAAAGATGACTTTAAAGCGCTTTGGTGTTTGACGGTATGATTCTCGATTTCTAAAAAATGTCTGAAATTGGTCTATTAGAAACCACCCCTACTTTTTAACCCCCACCCCTGCTATTCCACCCCGACTTTTTAACCCCGACTTTTATTTATGATACCACCCCCACTTTTTCACCCCCAATTTTTAGATTTCACCCCTACTTTTTCATTTCACCCCTACTTTTTCACACTCAAAATTTGAAGTTTCTAACAGTAATGTTTAACAGTAAAATTTTACTGTTTTTAATATTTTCAATAATTTAAGTTATCAAGAGGAGATTCGCAGGACTGATGTCTAAATTAGATTTTTCAGAAACTATGTAGCGTTCTTATGAAAGGTTGACGTTTTGACAAAAGACGAAATTTTTCTGAACAGGGTTTTCCGAGAATAGTTAATTTCTTGTTAAAATTGTCAACCTTTCATAAGAACACTACATGTTGTCGGCGTCAAACGACTGAAGGGAGGCGGAGCCTTTAAATTCGCGAAATTAATGTAGATTTAAATTAATCGTTGACTGAATATTTAATGCGCGTACGCTATAATGCAATGGACGCAATTTCGCTGCCTCGAGACGCATTGGCACATAGCCAATTATTTTTTAAATTTCGTCAAGTCGTTTGACTTCGACAATAGTTTCTGAAAAATCTAATTTAGACATCAGTCCTGCGAATCTCCTATTGATAACTTGAATTATTAAAAATATTAAAAAATTTTACTGTTAAACATTACTGTTAGAAACTTCAAATTTTGAAGTGCAGTGAAAAAGTAGGGGTGAAATCTAAAAATTGGGGGTGAAAAAGTGGGGGTGGTATCATAAATAAAAGTCGGGGTTAAAAAGTCGGGGTGGAATAGCAGGGGTGGGGGTTAAAAAGTAGGGGTGGTTTCTAATAGACCGAAATTGCATTTTCCAGAAATTTCTGGGATTTTACTATCGAGCAATAACGCTCGATTTGGGAAATCGAAATTCGGCTGAAAAGCTTGTAGCTTCATGTAACAGTATTGGTGTAAGATGATGAGCCGTAAAAATTCGGACGTTGATTTCAGGAATGCTTTAAATCTTTAAAGTGCGGCCAGCTTCCTTTTGTAGATGATGATACCATCGAGTTTTTCGAAGCATCTTGCGACTTCACGAAAAATATTACAATCGATTTGGCCGATTGCATGATGAAGGTTGGTTTGAATTTTCAGATGCTGTTATTTAAAATACTAATATTGATTATTCAGATGGGCGGGAGCAAATGTTTCGGCGAAACACTCAAGAACAGCTTTTCGGTAAAATATTTCCCTCCCGCACGTTCCTCGTTTTTTCTAGTTATATGTAGTTATTCATATTTATGCTTTTATTATAGATGATTGGTGAAAAGAGCCGCAAAAATGCGAAGGGAATGGAAGGTGCGTTCTAGATTTTTGAATTATTTAAGCGTAGATTAAAATGCAAGTCCGTAGGGTTTATGCGGCGTGATTGCACAATTTATACTTTTTTTTTAATCTGTGAAAGGAAATTATTGTAGTTGGGGCTCGCAAGCGGTCATATTAATTTTTATTTTTCATAATTTTAGAGAGTTTATTTTTTTTCTGGAGTCTTCCACGATTTCTGAAAATGATTCTGTGTGACCGCAACCAATTTGTGTTAAAATATAATTTGATAAAATTTTTTTTGCTAAAAAATCACCAGACCGCACATAACGAGTATGATTACCGTTTTTTTTTAGAAATCGGCTATAAATATGTATTTCCTTTCCTTTATTTAAATTTTTCCCATAAAAAAGCGCAACGCTGTTTTTATGATGAGCGTCTCCCCAATTACAGAAACAATATAAATAAATATATGTATGTCGTATAGAATATTTTTAGACGGGCTGAATGATGGTAGCGTTGGCAAAAATGTGCCATTGCCAGTATGCGAGGATTTCTATGGAAAGGAGGATTGTTTGAAGAAGGAAACCATCGCGATTTGCGGAACGAATGACTGGAACCAAATGAGAAGTTCGCTCATCACTCTGACCAACAAGGAGAGAATATGCGCGCCACCACCGGAAATTTAGGTCGCTCAGAAAATTTTCTTTTTCCCATTTTTTTTCATAAAGAGTCGGAAGATCAGTGCCAACGATTTGCAAAATATTCAAATATTATAAAGTTCCGAGCTCGATTATTTCAACCAATCGGTCTCATATGGTTATATAATCTAGTCTCAGATATCAGACTAATGTTTTGTGATCATTACGAAGGGAACCAGTTTATCAGTTCGAGAATCCTGCACGTGGCATCGTTCGCATCGGAAAGTTTTCGAAGAAGAAAAAAATATCAAGTGGCCGTGAAATTGAAGGCCACGCAAACTAGTCCACCACAAATTTTCTTCATCGGCGACGTCGTCGAGAATCATTGAAAAAACAACAATGTTTATCAAAGTTTATTAGCGAGATATTAAGGAATACACGTCTGGTGGGATTCTGTTCAACTCGAGATGGCTGATTTACAACTTCTTGAACGCTGGGTTCTTATCGAGATGCTCATGGAAGCACTCGCGGATCTCGTTGAAGTTCTCCGTGCAGAAGACGTAGTCGAGATAGTTGGTTGGGACACCGTCATGGGCGGCGCAGTACTCGAGGCACTTGCCTTCGACACCCTTCGACTTGCAGCACTCGGTGTGATCGTGGCGAAGCGAAGCGCAATCCCACATCTGTCCGACGGTCGGTCCGCGCTCCTGGCACGTCGAGAGGAAGTTGAGAATCTGAAATTGTTCGCTTGGAATCGCTCAATGCCAATGCGTCGATTGACTCACGTTGGCTTGCGAAATGGCGTTGAAGTCGCAGAACTTGCTGACGCATTCCTTGTCGGCGTCCTTGAGAGTGGCGCAGCACTGCTTCAGCTTCTCATTTGGGGTTTCGGCAGCGATAAGGATGACGAGTGGGGCGACGAGCAAAGCGTAGCGAAGCATTTCTAAAAAAAAGCGTCGTATCATAGCGAATCGGCAAACTTATACAAAATAAGTGACAGCTTTGTGTCTGAGACATCACTTATAAATGGCGCCGCGCGACTTCGGATCGAGGTCATGTCGATAAGGATACTGGATCTCAGTGCGCTATCTCGCCTGCCTATCACCTACATATGTATACATTTATGGTTCTTCCCATCTCGCGGCGCGCACTTTTATTGGAACACATTTGATTAATCGAGCCAACTGAATGTTTTCCGCACGATGGGTGGCGTCGATGTGTCGATGACAATCGGCGATAGGAGTTCAAGAAATTATTCAGTTGTCCTCGATGCGATTCACGATTAAAAGACCAGCGAACATCGAATTTCGACATTAAACGGATCTTGCTTACGGTAGTTGAGAATGTGTGAAGGGTGGAATGAACCGATTGCAAAATACAGTAATCATTAGGAATATTTATTCGTAACCTTTCCGATTGACTCATTTCTATTTTTTGCGTTATTTCTTCGTTAATTTTGAGTAAGTTTTCAATTAAATATAAAAATGAACGGGCTAAAACTTTTGCCCAAAAGCTATAAATATGAATCTGCGAATAAAACCCGTTTTGCTGTTTTTTTTTTACAAGTTCATTGTTAGCTTTAAAAATTACGAAAATTTTTATGCATACTTTTCCAGCAACTCAACACATTATCCACAATATTGTACATTTCGAAAGATATTTTTATCATTCTCTCTCCGTTTTGCGTAAAATTTCTTTCGAAATTGAAACCGAACGTAATTTCATTGCGCTGGACTAAAAAACGGCGGCCAGCTACATTTAAAAAAGTGCGGCCGCAAGATGTCATCATAAACTTGAAAATTTTCCATATTTTCGAAACTTTTTTTCCGAAATTGCAAAAGTTGTCGAATTTCAGTTGAAATGTCAGATATTGGAACACATCAGGACACATCTGGCGATAAAATGGAAGTCTCAAGCGAAGGGGTAAGCGGATTCGCAATTTTCGCAATTCGCACAATGTCAATTTAGGCACAAAACTATGGAATTAGTCGTGTGATACACGCGCACAAATCTGACGCAAAATCGCTAGCTCTTACCAAATCTGGTGCCATAATTTCATCGGGACGCGATGAAACAATATGTTTCTGGAATAAAAAGTAGGAAGTTATGAAATCGCGTGCAATTCTCAAAATACCATTTTTTCCATAGAGGTGGCGAGTTCACCAACACCCTGAAACTCCAACAACCAAAAGGAGTTGTAGTGAATTCACTGGCGTTCGGAGATACCGTTGATGGCTGGAGATTGTTCGCCGGTCGGAAGGACGGCACAATCGCTGCTTATGGTAGTGGTAGTCAGGAGCCGCTGCAAATATTCAAGGAGCATAGCAACAATGGTAGGATTCAATTTCGTCACTGATTTTTTTCAACAATTCTTTTCCAGTATGCTGCCTCTACTTAAACGAGAAGCTCGGAGTTCTGCTGAGCGGCTCATGGGACACATCAGTGATCATTTGGCCGATCAATGAGCTACAGAAGCCGGAATTCTCGGCTCTCAAGCTCGCCGGCCATACGTTGTCGGTTTGGGCGTTGTGCGCATTCCCGGACCGGCCGAATCATTATTTGACGGCCGGTGCTGATAAAACTATTCGATATTGGTATCGAGATGAGGAGCAGCACGTTTTTAAAGGTTACTTTTCTGTGAATTAAAAAAAACCTATGTGGAAAATTTCAAAATTGGTGTTTTCTAGGCCACGAAGATGTTGTGCGTGCATTGGCAGTCGTTTCAAACGACTATTTCCTATCAGCCGGTAACGATGGATTCATTATCTATTGGGATGTTCCTTCGAAGACGCGTATTGGTCGCTTCAAGACCAAAGCCCACGATTTTATCTACAGGTTTTCAGAAAACGCTCGAAAATGGCTGAATTCAAAGTCAATTTTTCAGTATGACCCTTTGCGATTCCCACATACTAACCACTGGCGAGGATGGGACCCTCGAGTTCTGGGAGATGGTCCATAGCGGCAATGATAACAAACATATGAAGTACGAGTAGAGAGTATGACAATTTACAAAATATTGCTCTGTTTTTGCAGAATTGTCAGCGAAACAATTATTCAGACGCCGGCGGCTTCCACGTGGGATGTCAAAGTGCTTCCATCGTCGGATATCGCGGTGTCGGCAAGGTAATTTCTAGCAAACGTGTAAAATTGAAAACGCATGGATTGTTTAGTGATGGCCGAATTTATGTTTTCTCGAAAGATCGCGAACGTCAAGCGCCGGAAGCAATACGTGAAGCATTTGACGCCGAAGTCGTCGCAAAAATCAGCAGCCAAATGGAAAGGAAGGAAGAATCTGACACCGTTGTCATCAAGGTGGCTTTGGATGATGGTCCCGCGAAACTGGATCTAATGTACAAGAAGGGAGCGGATCCAACGATTACCGCAGAAAACTTTATTCGTGAAAACGGATTGCCAGTCTCGTATCTCAATGAAGTCGTCGATTACATTTGTCAGAATATCCCTGAAGCGGCTGCCGCGCGCAACCGCTCCCTGACCAAACAGCCGATGGACATGAAAGAGCTTGATGGAAGGGTGAGAGAGTTCCAAAAAATTTACCTCATTTCCCCCGTTTCAGCGTTATGATCACATTTTCGATGTCACTTTGGAGAATGGGCAGGTTCTCAAAATGCCGTACAATAATGGTGATGATCCGGACTATGCGGCGCAAATGTTTGTCGAGAAGCACAATTTGCCGGTGAAATTTCTTGGACTAGTAGGATATTATCATTTCTCAATATGGCTAGAATTTTGTTTTTTTTTTAGCTCTCAAAATTGATTCGAGAGGAAACTCGCCCGACTGCCGATTTCTATGATCCACTTACTGGTAAGAATTTGCATTTGGATTTCCTTGGAATAAAATGGTCTATAGGATCTGGCCGCTATGTTCCGGGATCGACGAGCTCACTCGGTGGTGAGGGATTCGCTGATCCGCTGACTGGCGAGGGACGATATGTTCCAGGATCGACGTCGGCGTCTTCTGGGTATTCTGGAGATCCGTTGACCGGAAGTGGAGCGTAATCGGATCTTCATTTCAAATTTTTCTGTCTATCCTGAATGAGTTTCAGCTATCGTTCTGGAGAATCAGCTGGCGGTGCTGTACCTCTATCAATGCTTCCGATTGATAAGAAGCGACCGAGGGGACCATTGGTCCCGTTGCAAGAATTTATTTCGGTGAGTCATTGCCCAACTCGGCAATTTTTCAAGAATTCGCTTCATTTCAGTTTGGATTGTCGAATGCGAGCCAGAAGGCGATTGCGAAGCTCAAGGAGGTCAATGAACGGCAGGATCAATTCGGACTCACGCCCGACGAGATTTCGGCGCTTGAAGAGCTTCACGTATTGAAGTTGAGCGATCCGCACTCGTCGGAAACGCTCATTTCGGCTTTGGAGAAGGGTCTACAATGGCAAATTTTGGATATCGCGCCAATCCTTGACTTTTTGCGCATCGGACTGCTCCATGCGGGAATCAACAATCATTTTTGCGCGAAATCGCGAGGCGTCGAGCTCGTCGGCAAATTTGTAGCAATTCTGATATCAGATCCCGCCGATTTGGCCGTTCGCGTATTCGTGTGCAGGTAGGACGAATCCAAAAATAGCAATTGTTGATTCTCGATTCCAGATGTATCGCGAACGCGTTTAACCAACGCGCCGGACGCGCTCTTTTCGCTTCGTGTGAGCTCAGCACATTGGCCCCATTGCTGGTTGCGCAGATGTTCAGCGAGAAGGCCATCCTTCAGGTGGCGGCCGCTTCAGCGCTTGCGAACTGGGCTCTCGCTTTTCTGAATCAATCGAATGAATGTGATCAATTGGGTCCGAGAGAGGACCTGTTGCGTTTTACAATTTCGGTAGATTTTTTTTTCTCGCATAGTCACAGTAGGTTTGAAAAATTTATTGAATTTAGGGAATCGAAAATATAAGCTCGTTTGGTGGCATCTGCGAAGATGCGAGGATCTACCTCCTTCAGGCGATTGTTACCCTTATGTGGGGTAACACAAATGTAATTAAGGTTGGAACAATTCGCCTAATTCGTCACTTTTACATGATTTTTGAATTTTAGCTTGCGAAGAATAGAAATATGGCGACGATTGCGGCCCGAATCAAGGATGCTGTTGAATCTGAGAATGGGAAATGCATTGCGCGCGATATTATTGAAATGACCTATGCAATCTAAATCGGTTATGTCCAGCAGAAAAGAAGAAAGATTTTTCCTGGTTTCTTAGTTATTTGAAATTCCCGCTGAACTTTTTTTTGGTAAAACTGGTCGCTTGCAACTTCATTTTTAAAAATGTGTATTTCAATTATGTATTATTTATTTATTCGTCATCAAATGAATGTATTGCCTTTGTACGGAGGAGAATGAAATTCGTGCTTTTTGGGATTGTCTGAACCCTAGAATATCCCGAGTTGACGAGTCGCTCGGCTTCTTTTTTTTTCGATTCAGAAGATGACGACGTCGTTATTATCAATGAAGGAGAAACAGACGGAGACGGCGTATGATGGATACATTTTTAGAGTGCGTTTGTTTATTTTTTTTTGTTGATTCTTGTGGAAATCTCGAAATTTGAGTGGTAAAATTAAGGTGAAAAAAATGGGCAAATAAGTTTTTTTTTCGCTCCGTAAAATCCGATCTCTATCGTTTGTGGGTATATTTATGAACGGTCTCGCCACGATGAATACATATTTTAAAAATTGAGTTTTAGGCATTTCTAGCGTTATCGAAATCACTGAATCGAATCCACGCAAGACCATAGATAATGCTCGTAAATTTACCCGCGTGCACTGAAATCTTGGAAAATGAGGAAAATTTGTTGAAAAGCAGATGAAAAATTTTGAATACTATGAACGCATCTATTGATTTAAATTTTTTAATTTTTAAAAAATTATTTTAAAGGTTCATGCTTACAACAGAAAAATGTTTACATTCTAAACATTATGTTTATTTTTTGATAACCTAGTTTCCATCAAAATTGATATTGTCAACAAGATTGTCAGTTTGCAGTATTGTCGTGAATTGAAGAAGACGTTGAAGTCGGATTGTGTTGTCAACGCGTTCTCATCGCCATGCTGCGTTCCGGTGGCCGGTTTCAGCAAAGAGGTGATGCCGGATGAAACGAGCGCGAAGAGAAAACGGTTGGTGGCAAATTTTTTTTCGTTTTTTGTGAATTTTGAAATTAATTTTTTTTAGAATGCGCCGCCCGAGTCTCCTCAAATTGCTGGAAACACGCGAAATCGGCGGACAGAAATACTCCAACGATTTCGAGGAATTTTTCATTCGTTCGGTATATTGTTGAAGAATGCCGTGCCGATGAATGCCTGATTAATGTGTTCAGGAGCTTCGCGAATACCGAACACTAATGATTTATGAAAATATTGGTCATCGATTTGATTTCTTATACCATGAGTAAGCGATGGGGTGGGGTGGACCTCGATCTCGAATGGCTTGTTTTTTCTAGAAATGCGATTTTGGATCGAAAAGCGAAAACCGTCAAGTGCACGAATGACGCTTTGATGCCGATACGAATAGTCGAAGTTGGTAATCAGCAAATGACACAAGGGACCTACCAAATTGGGGGGGGGGGTTCAAAATGGCAAGAGCGATTAAGAAAAACATATACATATTTCTTTTATTGTCGGAAAATCTCTCCATAAAAATGATGGTCCTATTTTGCTATGCCGAATCGGATTAGAAAAATAGGACCATTTTATATTGTCGTGTGAGCTATGAGATATTATTGCATGGGTTCCAACTAATTGAGATTTTTGACAATTTGATTCCATTTGGCGAAATGGGTGTGCACAAGTTGGCCCAATTTGGCAGGTCCCAATTTGGCATTGGTCTGAAAATCTCTCGCTGAAAAATTTGCAACTTTATGATTGTAAGGATCGAGCGGAAGCAGTTATCGACTTTTTCTGCGTCAAGTGCGGACCACCGCAAACGAACTACACGGTGTTTTTGACTGGAAAACGGCGGAGATACGCGGTGGAAATTCGCGATAGTGTTGAACGTGGCGCGAAGTTTCGCGATCGCATCGAATTGCCCGTCGAGTATAAATATGGGTACGAGAGGGTCTCGAGGCGAATATTGACAATTTAAAAAAAAAAGTTCGCATCGCTTTCAGCGGATTTCGTTGGAATATCTATGGCAAATCGTGGTATTTGGTTGGCCGTCGCACCAATTTAACGATGCTTTTAATATTCGATTGCCATCCGGCTCGCCCGAAATATTGGCTGAAAATCGCGCGTAAATCGGCCGAAATGATTACGATCGAGTCGAATTTGATCAAAGTGGCCGATGAGAAATGCACTAAATTTTATGATATTGATGATTTTATCACGGAGGTCTCAATTTTTGGATTGCAAATTGATGAAACAAATTTTGCAGAAGCCGCATTATGTTCAATATGGTGAAATGAACGGAAAACGAATTATTAATGTTTATCAGTATCCAGATCAAAAATTTGAGACAATAAATGGTAAGATTGGAGTTAAATCAAAAATCAATCGGCTTCGACGAATATCGAAATCGATCCGATTAGAATTGACGAATTCGAATCTACCTAGATGCGCCTTTAAATTTGTATTTTCCATTGATTTTTTTTTCCAAGATTGGATTTCTCTTTCTGATGGCATTTAGTCGCGATTTTTTTTCAATTTTTGCGCGAATTTACTTTTGTTAAAATTTTTCTGAGTTTTTTTTTTTCACAACCCTGCATTAGAAACATTCGTAATTTTCAAAACATTTTTTGCAAGAATGGGGCGATAAAAAATAATCAAATATGTGAAATATTGCGTGTTCATCTTTACGGGCCGCGCTTACTTGAAGTTTTCCTTCCTCTAGCTTCAATTTTTTGTATACAACTGAATTATTCCAAAATTCTCACAATCCTATTTCTTTATAAACCCAATTTTAAGTCATTTTCAAACTTTCTGACTAAAAGTGATTTTTTTTGCAGTCCCTCTTCATGTGGTCTACCGATTTGAAGGAACTCCGATCATCATTGGACAAGAAGGAACGTCGGTGGAAGCGAAGCGTGTCGTCATTCTCAATATGCACAATCCTTCACTTAAAGTATTCTGAGCAATATCGAAATGCATAATTGAATAGTTGAATTTCAGCCAATTTTGGCGGGATCACCATTAGAACATGAAATGAGCCGGACGATGACAGAATTTGGTATCAATGTTGGTTGATGGAATCAAACTGAATGCGCTTTCTTCTCGTTTTGTTTAGAGATCCCATCGCGACACGAAAGACCATTTTTTGAATGTGAACACCGGGTTTTTCCAGAATCGATTCGGAATCGCGTTTCCCGAATCGCGCGGATCCATTATCGACTCTTTCATTTTCTATCATCGCCTTCACGCGATTCATTATAGATTTCGAAAATGCTCGAATTTGGATAATTATGAAATTGTCGAAATTTGGAAGGTGCTCATGTTTCCCGACATTGACAATCGCAATTTGCGTCGAAAAGAGTTGTACGATCGAAACGCGTTGAGGCAAATTGACGCCAATCAACGATGATTTGGGTGATTTTTTTGTTTTGCAGGAATTCGACGACCGACCATGAAATGCGATTGCGACGGACCCAATTTGTCGATATCACCTATCTCGGTGATTATGTTGTATGCAGATTTTCGCATTTATTATTTTTTTCCAGCCCAATAGCTGAAATTTCAGAGAATGGGTCAAATCGCGACGACTAGGCATTATTTTGTTGTCGAGGTTATCATTGACATCGCCCATATTAGCTATGATGGCTATTATACTAATGGTAAGCGGCTTCTCGATAAAAATTGAAATGCCACCGCGATTCTAGACTACTCATACGGTCAAATAGTCCGTTTTCTTTATTTTATTGATCGAAAAACTGGTGAGTTCGTTCGAATCCACTCATTCTATGTGCCGGGCCGCGGTTGGGATTCGATCACGTCTCTCTGGATCGAGAGCGATGTTTTAATTGTTGGCGAGACGAGAAAGGTGCGATTCTAGACGAGTGTGGTGGAGAATTTCGAGAATATCTTGCAATCTAGGTAACCGCGTTTGAGCTCTATGAGCCGCTTCAATTGGATGAGCCAGCCAAGAAGACTCGACGACGAGCTGGCCGGAATGAGGTGAATGGAAGTTTTTTGTGAAATTTCCACAAAAGAGTTTTTAAAAGGCTCAATCGCAACCCTTCTAGGACCCATTAAAATTTTTAATAGTGATGTTTAGGAAGAGAAGTATTCGATTGAAGTCGCTGAGGATAGAGTTGATGATCCGGACTATGAGCCTTAAACGCTTTGCCCGGCACCCTTCATTGTGTGTTTCATTGCATAAAACTAATTGATTTGATGTGAATTTGGCTAATTACGGGGGTTGTTCTGAATTGAATCTTTCATAAATGTTGAGGTCGCTTGATTTCATTCGTAGATGCATTACGCATGATTCGATGTCGGCTTTCCTCTAGATGCGACTGTTAGCCTCGCTGGTGGCATGCGTCCGGTGCCTATGGAGAGAGGCGAAAGTTTTTGCGATGGATTTGAACGTGAGGCTTCTTACGGTAAGATTTTTTGAATCTATGATGATTCGTGAACTGAAGAGACATTTCTATTGGCGTCAAGAACCGTCGTTTAATTATCAACTTTAGCCCCTCAAAGTTTGAAGAGCAGCTAATGCAAGATCTTGACGCTGCTTATGCAATGATCAACTTGCCGGATTCTCCCGAAAGCGAGGATGAAGATCCAAACGTTCGCGATTATCGGAGGTATCGAGAAGATCGGCGAGATTTTGAGAATTGAATTAATATATTCCCTATTTGTCCACTATTTTATTATACTTTGATCGCGACAGGTGTTATCAGATTTTGATGATGATAAAATGATTATGACAATTTTTGGTTTCACATTTTTTTTCATTAATTATGAAATGGTGGTTTGAAACCCTTGAATCATATCAATCAAAATGAGTTGTGTTTGATTTTTGAATTTTTAGGAGCATTTTTTATGTGATATTATATGCATAGATTGGTATTTTTTCGAAGAATGCCACAAAGGAAGACGGCAGCGATTATTGGTGAGACTTGGCGTGTTATTTTTGCCAATAAAAAAATATCTTTCAGTCATTGGCGATGAGATTCTCAAAGGGACGACGAGAGACACGAACTCGCACTTTCTCAGTAATCGACTTCATCGTTTAGGCGTGAATCTTAAAAAGGTTTTTTTTTTGCTGAAATTTTGAATGGGACAAAAATAAGCAATCCTTTTTCAAGATTTGCGTGATTGGTGATGACATTGAGGAGATTGCGCGCGAAATTCGAACCGCCAGCGCCACATACGATTATGTTATCACTAGCGGAGGTGTCGGACCAACACACGATGATAAAACCTATTTGGGTACGGCCGTATGCCAATTGCAACCATTGAATGGTCCCTATTGAGGTCTCGCGCACGCCTTCAATGATCAACTACATTTTTCGACGGAAATTCGTGACGCGGTGAATCGATTCCTGCCGAGTTATACGGCGAAGAAGCGCGCCGAATTGCTGACGAGCAACAAGCCGGTGTCGATCGATGAATCGATTGATGAGATGGTTCGATTCGCTACCGAGAAGTTGAGCACGGTAGGGCCTAGTGTGAAATTCCCATTTTTTTTGTTGGTTGGCTTCCAAAAAATTTTTCGCAGATTCCGATGACGTCGGAGTTGCTTTGGGGAAAACAGCGCGCCGACGGCACGCCGTCGACATTTCCCGTCATTCGTCTGGCCAATGTCATCGCGCTGCCAGGTGTTCCGAGATTTTGCGAAAAAGCTTTCGATGAGCTCCAGGTAGTCGATTTTCCATTTTGGAAATGTTTTTCTGTTGTCGACGGCAGACAAAAATGGAAACACATTTTTTGCATGCACCTTTAATGTATACTGTAGTTTTTTTTATGTTTGATATATTATTTGCCGAGAATGCCAATTGCTTTTGTTGAAATTTTTGTCCCTCTGAACGCTCTTGACGATATCAAAAATTTTGAGGATCAATTATTCCCGGTATCCGAACGGCATATGTTGTTCCAAAAAACGTTATACACCGATATGGACGAGTTTGAGTTTTCGACGAAATTGACGGATTTGGCGTCGAAATATGATGAGAAACATGTTCAGATTGGAAGCTATCCGGAGATCAAAAACAAGTGAGAATTTGGTTTCAATGATTTTATATAATTTTCATTTGTTTTTTCGATTTTACAAAACGAAATTGGTGATTGAATGCGAAGAAGAGGATGTGTTGAAGACGGTGTGCGAGGATATTGAGAAGATGCTTGGATCGCGAATAGTTCACTATGATGCGAAATCATGGATCAACACTGTCGAGAAGTGGAAATCGTTCAAAAATCGAGAATCGGTCGAATTTGTCGGAAAACTCGAAGAAGCTGAGCGGATTGTTGATGAGATTTTGAATAAATATCCGTAAGCGATCAGTGTTTGATGGGTCTCTTTCAAATTCGTCTCGAAATATTCAGATTGGAGCAAATTGCGCTTTCATTCAATGGGGGCAAAGATTGCACAGTGCTTCTACATCTTCTTCGGATGAAGGTTGATGAGTAGGAGAATTTTAAGGCATCTTGAAGAGAATGTTTTTTTTTTTGAAATTTTTAGAAAATATGGAGCCAATGTGCCAATTCAAGGATTTCATATAATGGTTGACGATCAGTTCACCGAAGCGACGCAGTTTATCATCGACGCCGCCAAATAGTGTGACGGCATCCGCTGAAATTGTTCGATGTTTCAATTTTCAGCTACAATATCACTGTGATTGAATTTCCGGGACCATTGAAAGTCGGTCTGGCGAATTTGAAAAAATCTCGACCGGCGATTGTTGCGGTTCTAATGGGAAGTCGCGCCACCGACCCGAACGGCAAATATATGAAGTTTTGACATTCTGGAGGATTTCCACTGAATTCCTCTGTCATTTTCAGAACACCTATTGAATGGACGGACGCCGATTGGCCAAGAGTGTTGCGGGTGTGTCCGATTCTGAATTGGTCCTATTCCGATGTTTGGCGAATGCTTCGAGAGTTGTGCATTCCGTATTGCTCGTTGTATGACAAGGTGATGTGTTGTTGCTCATCATCGCCTTCGCTGGAACATTTCTCAACACACTCGTTGTAGATCAAAGGTTTCCATTTGCAGGGATATACGTCGCTTGGCGGTCGCGACAACACAATTCGAAATCCGGCGTTGCGAATGGTGTCACCGGAAGGCGATGAATACTATTTGCCGGCTTACAAGCTGAAAAATGATGCCGAAGAGCGAAACAATCGATCATGTCTTTAATAATTTATTAATTAGGCCTCTCAACAAATTGTGATCAATCTTGCATGTACCTCTCTCTCTGTCTACTCATTCGATATCTGAATTATATGAAATAGTGATAATTGTTGAGATTTCTGGTTACCAGCGATGAATGTTGAAGGGTTCGGCACTTGCGCACGCTATTTCGGCAGACCCTTCAACTCGCCAAACAGACACCGACGCACTCGGAGATCGAGAGAGAGACATTGAATGGATGTTTGTGCTCTCGTCGCGTGTTTCGCGCAATCCTTGGTATCGCGGCGAGTTGACTTTTCGGAAGGAATTGCGGAGGGAGGATGGATTTGTGTGATCTCTCGCGCACTGTCTGTCTCCACCTTCATCCGAGAGTTTTGCTGGGTCGACTCGCACTCGAGCTTTTTGACTCGGCTTTTCCCAACCCCGTACAAAAGTTTTCGAAATGGTGAGTTTTGTTTTTTTTTTTAATTCAGTGTTTCAAAAGCAATGAAACGGTTTGGAAGAAATGATGAGTTCGCCATGAATTTCAGGCCGACGCTGTTGCTGATGCTTTGGAGCAGCTCTCCGCTGATCAAATCGAACGTAAATTGACGTTGGCTAATTCGGCGAGTAAATCGCAAATTTCAGAATTCCGCAAATATTTCAACATGTTCGATAAAGAAGGAAAGGGCTACATTCGTGCGACGCAAGTCGGACAAATTCTTCGCACCATGGGTCAGGCTTTTGAGGAGCGTGACTTGAAGCAGCTCATTAAGGAGTTCGATGCTGATGGTTGAGGGGGATTCTCAATAGGAAATTTGATTATTATGAAATTTGAAGGTTCTGGTGAGATCGAGTTCGAAGAGTTCGCTGCAATGGTTGCCAACTTTGTCGTCAACAATGAGAACGACGAGGGTCTTGAGGAGGAACTTCGCGAGGCGTTCCGTCTTTACGACAAAGAGGTTTTCGCATTGAATTTGGACCATTTTTGAAATTCATCGATTTCGTTTTTTTTTTCTAGGGAAATGGTTACATCAACGTTTCGGATCTTCGCGATATCTTGCGCGCTTTGGACGACAACGTTTCAGAGGAGGAGCTCGACGAAATGATCGCCGAAATTGATGCTGACGGTTCGGGAACTGTCGATTTCGACGAATTCATGGAGATGATGTCTGGTGAATAATTGCGCGACCAACTGGATTCATATCATCGCATCGGCGCTTGTTTCGTTTCGTCTTCTCTTGATCATTTAAAAAGTTTTGTATAAAATTTTTTCGCATTCGGTTCAATTTGCAAATCGCATAGTTAAGCTAAAGTTTCGCCAAATACTTCTCCGGTAGTGGGTGTGGCTGGTTGAGAAGCTCAGCGATCAAGTGAAACCGATCGCCGCCGAAGAAGTTTGTGGTGTTGCCATCGGTTGTGTGCACCGCAATCCACGGTGTTCCGAATGCCTAGAATACATCGAATTGGGCGAATTTGAACAGAATTGATGCGAATTACCCCTTGATCAACAGCGGTTTTCGTGTTTTCCGCTAGCTTATTCTTGATTTCCGGCGATTCCGATTTGTCAATGACTTCTTGAATGTTATTCACCCCAACCGCTTTGAGAATTTCCTCAAAATCGGCGTTTTCGAATATCTTTTCGCGGCGATACCACAAACGGAGCCACATTTCGCGAGCAGCTTTCTTCATGAGTTCTGAATCAGAATTAATGAAAAAAAAAATCGAATCAGGAATTTTTTGGACTATAAAAAATTGATTTTTGTGTTCTCACCTTCATCCTCAGCCTGTAGGACCAATAGAATTCGCAAAGCACGTCGTGTATTATACGTCAAAAGCCATTCGATAAATTTCTATAGACGCAATTTTTGAAAATACGAATTTTTGACTAAAATTTACCGGATTGGTTCTAATTGGAACATCCCAATATTTTCCCATTCGAATCGCATCTGCCACAAACATTCTGGTTTTCGCTGGAACCGAAGCCGGCGTCGAATTACCGGACTCTTTCATAACAGCGGCGACGAAAAATGGAATGTACTTTACTGTCACTCCACTCCATTGCTTCTCAATTTGATGAAGAGCCTGGTCAAACCGAATCTGTGGATTTCCAGAAGAATAGAACCTACTTCAAATCCGATATAAGCAAAAGGGGAGACAACATCGAAATAATAATCAATTCGTGGCAGCGACGACATTGTTGGTCTCGCAACGATACTGGAATAACGTGGCCTTTTTATATGATAAGGGGACAGTGTAGTTCCGATCAAGAAATCACCACGTGTAGACGAAAATGGTCAAACATCATCTGGAATAAAGTCTAGTTTTAAAAAAATGAATGTTTTGATCTATAAAGATCAAAAAGTGATCCATTACGTTATGAGAAAAAATGTTTCTTTCTTCGTGATCGGTTTTTTTGTCTACAAAAAATAGATAGATTAATTTTTAGACATTTTTTTTGAATTTTTCTTCATCTCCATTTTTTTTATGAACGTGAAACAAATAATTCCACATCAATTAATCATTTCTTGCGTTTTCTAGAGTATTCTATAGGCAACTTCCATGACGCAACACGATCATAAATCAGACAGATTGCGGCGTCATTGTAAATCTTGCAGATATAAGGCCCCCATCAATCTGCAGTCCAAATATTTTCTTTCATTCGTTATCTCATTTTTTGCCATTTTTAATGCAAGTTTGATAAGACCATTTTAGTAGGCTATTAATTGCATTTCACCAAAATTGCAATTCTCCTGAAAAAAATGAGTGTAAGTTTAAAACCTCCGTCCATTTGTCTGACGTTGAAAATTGTAAAATAGGTCGATAACTTATTTCCAGCAATTTTCAGACCGAAAAAATGTCAGCGAAAAGTGCGGCTCACCTGATCAAACGAGTCCTCATGGTCCCTCCAAAGCATTTCACCGTTGAGGTATGAGAAAATTGTTTCAATTTGGGGGACTCATTTTCTTCAAAATTCCAGTACAACATCAATCCATGGATGGGCGGTGTCGTCGACAAGGCAAAAGCGCAACAACAATGGGAAAGTCTCAAGAACGCGATCGAAAAGCAAGGAGTTCAAGTAAGCTACCAAATTTTCATCTGCAAGTTTGAATCTGAAAATTTCAAGGTTTTGACAATGGACCAAACGAAAGGCCTTCCGGATCAAGTTTTTGTGTGCAACAGCGGTCTTGTCTACAACAATAAAGTCTATTTGTCCCGATTCCGGCATAAGGAGCGATCTGGAGAGCAACCGCATTATTTGGAATGGTTCAAAAAGAACAATTTTGAGATTCACGGAGACGGCTATGAGGAGGTATGCGCCTTCAAATCGCGATTTTTTTGTATGACCCCTTTTTTGCAGACGTTTGAAGGAGGAGGCGATGCGGTATTCAGCGATCCGAAAACCCTCTGGGCGGGCTATGGAGAGCGAAGCTCCAAATCGGTATTTTTTTAAAATATGAATGATGTTACCGTGGAAGGATTTAAATGGTCCTTTTAAAAATTGTGGTCTTTTACATTATGACGGTTTATTTAAACAAACCTCGCGGCAAATTTCCAAGGCGGCAATTTAAAAATATTCAAACCGGAACATTTAATTTCCATTTTTGCAGGTTTACGAGAAAGTGAAAGCCCTAGGCGATTTTGATATCGTCCTTTGCGATATGGTTCTTCCAAACTTTTACCATTTGGACACCTGCTTCGCGCCGATTGACGAGACCGCTGCCTTGTATTATCCGCCAGCATTCTCGGATCGAACTCAGAAAGAGGTTGTTTAGAATATTAACGCACTTATTCAAATACTTGATCATATAGATTCTCCGACGCCTTCCAAAATCCATTGCCGTCACAGAAGCGGAAGCCAACGCGTTCGTGTGCAATGCGATTACGATTCGCGACTGTGTGATTTCGCCGATCGGTGTCTCGCAAGAAACCAAGAATGCTTTGAAGAACCTCGGCAAAACGGTTGAAGAGGTCGACATGAGCGAATTTATGAAGAGCGGCGGTGCTTGTCAATGTTTGGTTCTTAGATTGTAATTCTCATATGTTTTCTTGTTTGAATTTTTGTGATTCGGGTTGTTGTTGGAAAATCAATTCGAAATTTATGATTGTGCTTGCTTCAAATTAATTGCTGACGCTTTGTGAGCATATTCAGAAAATCTGTGATCAAATGTGCAGTGCAAAAATTGAATGTCACCCCAAATGCGACGGAGATTGGAAGCGCCGGCAGCGGTTTGCCGACAATCGCCAATAGAATAATGGTGACAATAAGGCCAACAATTATCGCCAAATACGAGGCGAGTACGGTATTCCAGTCGTCGAATTCGGTCGATTTTCCGATGAGCACCGAATAGAAGATGAAATCACCGAGACCCATTTTGACTTCTGGAAAATAAAAAAAACCGAAATTGTTGGGAAAAAGAACTGAATACCGTCTCGTTCGCTTCGGTAATTCTGCGCGCCTTGGGTGTTCGACGGCGTCGCCATACAATTATAAATAACACCCGCTGAAGAATGAAACAATTGCTAGAAATTATTAGAAGCTTGTTACATGTGTATAACAACGCTGGGAATAAGGGTTCGTCTCGCTCGTTGGCAGTCTCGACGAGAAACCGAAGTGGTCCCTAAAAATAATTTATCAATGATTGAGAGTTCAGTGGCTTACATATGGCGAGAGAACCGCAAAAATGTCCCAAATCGACATTCCGATCAGCAGCATCCATGCCGTCCAATCCGGCAAATTTTTAAGAATGCTTAAAGCTGTCAATCCTGATAATACTATTAAATAAGCTTGTTGTCCTTTTAATGGGCCTTTGTAATGGATAAATATAACGCCCAATGCGGTAAAATTTGAAACAATAATGAAAACTGTGATAATTGAAGGACTAATATTGAAAAACACGCATATTTCTCTGGAAAATTCAATAGTTGAACATATAAGAAGGAAAAACTAACTTTATTCGAACCAATCCTAACCCGAATAGTAAAATAACTGTTCCTGAGACGATCCAGACATTTAATACCTTAAAAATTGCTTGATTTCTCTTCTGCATATTTATATTTACCTTATAGAACTCAAATTTATACAAAATTACAAGACATGTTGTACTTGTGATAACAGCTGCGAGAAGAAGTGCAGTTACAGAAATTGAAATAGCTATATTTGAAACGGTTGGATTAGTTGGTAGAACTACGTGCTTTAAAATTCTAAAAATCAATGACAGAGTTTGAGAATTGGAATGCAAGCCAACTCGAGATTAATTTTTTCCTGGTGTACAGCGTAGAAGTCGTTCATATGCATTCCGAGAACAACGAGCAACATACATATTGAAACGGGCGTGATAAGTTTTACTAGCGATCCAGCACCTCGATTAATTTCCTCTGTGAATATGTTCATCTAATTAATCTGAAAAATTCGCAAATATTTTGCTAAATTTGCCAAAGAAATGAAAACAACATTATATAAGTGGAAAATAAACATTGAAGTTCTAAATTAAACGTCGAGTGTATACACATGACGTAATCTTGCAGACATTTTTGTAATTTATTTTCAAGCAATTTTGCGCATCGAAATAATGGAAATTTGAAGAATTCAACTTTTTGCATTCAATTTAAGCAGAAAAATCGAAAAGTTAATCCGTGCGGGCGGCACTTAAACCTTTGTTTTATTGCTTGCTAATCACATGACGAAAAATACGGCGACGTGATAATATTATTCCTTGTTCAAAATGCGACATGAGTGTCCGACGTAGCCCCGGGCAACCGTTTTCGCTGATATAAACATGCATCAAACTAATCCGCATTTCGGCTAATTTGCGTCGGTTGAATAACTCGCGTTTTTCTCAATGCGCAATTGTTTTTTTTGCTCATGCTCAATTAAATACCGACAAAATTAATTAATTAATTTTTAATTGCAGACAATCTCATTTGCACCAACGAGATGAGGCGATTCCGTTAGACGGAAATTTGTCCGGATGTCGTATGAGTGGCGATGTGCCACCCGACGTGCTCGCAATTCTCGAAAATCAGAAGAAGCAGCAGTGGAAAATTGGTACCGTCAGTCTGCCCGAGTTCCCTGTTCTTCCAGCGATCGCCTCGAAATCATCGGTGTCGGCGCCTTTAAACACCAAACCATATAATGGTATTAATTAATTGGATGATTAGATTCATTAATTTTTGTTCTGTAAGAAATGCGAAGTCGGCCAACAACCACCACCGCCAGCCGTCCACCAACTCAAACTATTGGATTCGCGCCATTGCCGCCAATTAGGAAAAAAGAAGAAAATGAGAATCACGATTATTGTAGGAAATATTTATTGATCGATTGATATTTTTCAAAAATTAGATATTCGGGAAAGTTTTGAAGAAAAAGAAGAAGAAAATGGAACAGAGATATCCCACTCATCGACTCATTCAATGATTCTAGAATCCGAGCACGAAGAAGAAGCTGAAGAGTATGAGCTCGCCAAACTACCCACAACATTTTCAGGTCCCTCTGCCCAATTTCAAAACTACAAAAAGAAAACGAATTTGTATTTTAGAGCTTCGCGAATTTCAGCTAGAGCTTGATCGGATCACATTTGACCAACTTGAAGTCATCGTCCAGAATTGCAGGTGATTATTAAAAAAAATAGAAAAGTTTAGACGCAAATGACATTTAGTTGTTGCATTTTTTCACAAATAATCGATTTGTCAACTAAAATCTTACGTCACAAATTGCTAAATTTGGTTTTTTGAAGAAAATTTGAAGAAATTTATATATAAAAGAGAAATCAAAAATAATAAAGAGTGTGCAATATTGCGTACTCACCTTCACGGATCACTCTGTTTCTTCATTCATTTTTTTCAGCAAATTCCCATGTATCAGCTTTTTTTTGAGTTTTTCATGGCGTTATTTCTAACACCATATAATTATAGAATAATCGATGAGAAGAATAGTGGGGTGCTAGGCACCGAGGCGATAATGAGCGCCGTTGAGCAATCTCTCGAATTGGACGTAAGCATCTGTAAATCACAATTTTCTAATTAGCAAATAAAAATATTCAGCCGCAAATCAACGAGACGTGGAATTTCCTACTGAAATGGATCGCTCCGGAAAATGAGAGAATCGATTATTTCACGCTGTTTCGAATTCTGAGCGATGACAAACAATCAAGAGAAGCATTGTAATATTTTCAATTTTAAAATTAATATATTCTGCAATTAGTGAATAACAAACGATGGGATTCTTTAAACACTGGGAATTTCGAAAAACTTGGTTTCACAAATTTTTACACTATCAGTACGACACTCCAGTATACATCACCCTCAATTTAGCGTATCGAGTCTTGAGCCAGTGATGCGCTAAAAATAAATTTCGATTTTTTTAAACAAAAATGCTCGAAGAATAAGAAAAGCGAAAAATGCTTATTATACGTTGCGTACCAATGCACCGAATCTCACGACAACTTGCACCGTTACTATAGAAAATGTCGAAATTCGTAGTGACTTTGATGATTTTTGTCAGAATTTGTTTTGTTTAATTTTTCCTGAGAAATTATTCGAAAATGTTTCGTCGAAAAAGAAAAAAAGAGCCATCGTGCGACTTTTGTTTCCTCTGAATTTATATACATAGACACTTTTTGGTTTGGGATAACCGGCGGAAGATTTTTGGGCATTCAGGGTGACAAATTCAATTAGTTGCTAAATTGAGGGCGGTGTATAATTGGAGTGTCGTACCGCGAAAGCTCCAATCAGAGTTGGACGGAATTCCGCATTCCGCGGTTTCAAAATATTCATTTCGCTCAACTCTGCTCCCGATGCTTAAGCCGAAACCAATCGTAATTTTCGAATCGCTGATTTTTAATTTTCTTCCAGAATTCATTTATCGGAATTTTTGATTAGCGATGAGAACGGAAGTGTGATAAGCAATCTGCCAAGTCGTCCGACATCATCGCAAGAGCATCGCGAGAAGGGAAGAGCTCAGGTGAAGCTCATTTCCCTTTTTTTAGGAAAATTGCGGAAATTGGAAAAAAAACGAATTATTTCAGCTCATGATCGATCTGGAAGTGATTCTCGCTGAAAAACCGGACGTCGACCTTGAAAGATTCAAAACAGCCACCGATAAGAAGGTTTGATTTCTGCGAAAAATCGTCAAATCTCTTTATTCAAGTTCATCGAAATCGACGAATTCCGAATGATATTGCAAATTTACAATTTGGAAGAGCCAATGAAGCATGTGATTGATCGGACCATTGAATGCTTCTTGACGCACGACAAACTTTTCTGGTAAGCGTTTTTCGAAATTGTCTCGAATTTGATTTTGTTTTCGGGTTCCAGCTTCTCGGCCTTCATCGGATGTCTCAATCAAATCCATCCCGAGGTGATCCGGCGGCGATCGTTGCGACCCGCCGGAAATCCATTGTGGATGCTGAAACCGCTTCCAAACATCTCGAAAGAAATTCCAGAAGACAATGAGGACAATCTTCTTCTCACTTCGCGACAATCAATATTTTCCGACGACGATTTAGAGGGAAAATTATGAGAATTTAATCAAATTTGCCACGTGTCATTGTGTGTGTGTTGTGAGTTTTTCTTTCTAGGAATTATTTGGTTTATTTCACTGATTTCCTATGTACATTATTATACACAATAAAGACCCGTTTTTTTGAAAGCTATTATTCGTTAGCAACTTCATCGACGGCTTCTGGAGTCTTTTCGATGGCTTCCTCGACTTCATGAAGATGATCGTAGTGATGAAGTGACTGAGAAGCAGCTGCATGCTTCAGAGACCGTCCGCAAAAAATTATGCTGATAATGGAAGCAGCGACTGTAAACGGATACATTTTTAGTGGTATTTTTTTAACAATTCACATTTCTCGAAATCATGATTGAATATTCAAATTGGTTTACTTTTTACTTCAAGACGGGCGGAAATTTCTAGACAATTCCCCACCTAAATATGAAAATTTTTGAAAATTGAGAAGCTATTTTTTTAAATGGCAGACAATAAAGTAGTCAAGTGGACATTTTGAAGAAATCTCACAATTTGTGAGTCGCAAACTCGACATTTTTTAGCAAAAAAAATGTGATTGGCGTCGACTTCGATGTACACTTGCGGACCGTGGTGATCGGTGTTTGCGGACTTGCAATGTTTGACGCAATTATTGTTTTCTTTTTATTTTCAATTTTTTCCCATAAATTTATATGTTAATTTCTGATGCTGAAAAGTGAAAGCTAATCTTTTTTTCAAATTTATGAAAAGTTTCACGTATTTTAAAACAAGATACATTTTCTTTTCGCGCTAATAAATTCAATTTTTTAAGCATTCTTTTTCAGCGGCTCACCTTCAATCAAAGAAATGATGACTATATTGGAATGAACCCACTGTTGAGCTTTTGTGCATTCATCACGCTTCATACATATCTCGTTCAGCTGAGAAAAAAAGAATGTGAAATGAGAAATTAAAAATGAGCTCACGAATAATCCATTTTTGACGAATAAATAGACGGCAGCGGTGAGTGAAATAAGCGAGTAGACTAGAAGAATTTTCAGAGCCAAACGGTCAAGTCTTCTGAAAATTTCGAGAATCCCTCGATGGAACGAAGAAAATATGAAGAAACCTGGCCGTAATGAAGCTCAGAATTGCGCAAATTATAAAAATGAAGGCGAATGAAATGATCACAGCGTTTCGAGAGAGATAATTCGAAGCCACATCGATCATCTGAATTCGGTCATTCGTGTTTTTTTTTTCTTTTTTTGCTCTTTGAAAATTTCTCAACATACCAGCAGCGAGATTCCGCTGAAAATGTGCGCGAAAGCCAACAGATGGCCGCAATTATAGCAAATCGCGCGTTGTGCCAAAATTCGCTCCACTGAAATGATATTGTCGATGAGAATCGTGCAAAAATCAAATCGTCGACTCACTATTCGCCTCGAGTTGCTTGAAATTGTGCTCGCTTTGCTTCGTGGCCATATTGGAATTCTTGAAAAAAAAAACGACAATCTGGTAATGATCAAGACGAGAAAAGAGAAAAAGGCGGCGATTTGAGAGAAGGGAGCACAAAAAAAATCATTGGCCTGGTCGTGTTTTGTGTAAAAAATTTGTGTCGGCGTCAGTGCTCGAAGTTTGTTAACAAGACTTTTGCAAGTTTCCGAGAATATTTGACGTGTATTGTAGCACATTTCTCAGTGAACGAACGAAATTTCGAAAATTTGAATTTCGCGCGATAATTTTTTGATCCCTTCAAAAATAATAACCAAAATACGCGAAATTGATTGCAAAAGTGTGTTTAACATTTTGATAGTTTAATTAAATCAAATTTTATGCGCATTTTTTAAAAGAAAAATTTTGTTGTGCACAAAAATGTTGAGGAAAATAGTCCGTGAAGGTCTGCACGCAAAATTGCACACATTGATTTATTTCAAATAATTTCTCTTAAAATTGCAATTTTTTCGAATTTTTCTGAACAATCAAATAAAAATCAATGGTGTAATTTGAAAAATTGGCGCGCAACTCAAAAAAATACCTCGTCTGGATTAACTTTTCTTCATATTTTTTCAACAAACATCATAAATCTGAATTAAATTTCCGAAAACGAACGAAAAGCCGTAAAAATTGAGAGAACCAATAAGAAATTGGTCGATTTCCAAAAATAGACCGCCGAATTCGACGCCGCCCTCATCAAATAAAATAATTGACGTGATTTGACTGGCCGGAAATCGTCGTCGTTATCATCATCGAAACGATAAAAATAGCGAAACGATGGAAATTATTCAGGTTAATAGTCAAATGAGACCTCACGTCATAGTCAAAACCAAGGCGGTGAGATAAAACATCAGAGATCGTTCTTTCATTTTTCTCGACGGAGCAATTCGAAAAAAATGTTTTTTTGACGCAATGGTTTTTATTCAAAATTTACACCAAAATTTACCGGAATTCAATATTAATAATAATATTTCTATTAGTAATTGATAAAGGGGGAAAAAAATAATTTTTCCCATAAGGCAAGTTATTATTAATCGTTCGACGATCGATTTCAAAAAATTTGAAGGCAAGGCTTTCTATACAACAACGGAATAGTAATAATAATTCTAAAGTGGATTGTGCATGAGCTCTCGCCGAATCTCACTTCCGCGCGGCGGAATCGATCGATCCAGCAGGCCGAGCTCGCAAATGCATCGATATTGGTCGGGGATCTCGAGAAGCGATTGAACCGCCAACTTGACGTCGCCCTCTTCGACGCTTGTCGATTTCTTGACAATCTGTAAGACGTATGAATCGAGGCGATGAATTGATTCTCAAGAGACCTCATGGAATTCAACGAAATGGAAGTTATCCCAAGGCCTTTTTGGTAGAGACTCATCAAACACCTGAAATTCGACAAAAAATCGTCTTCTAGAAGTCACCCGGGCGCTTCTTACTCGCATCATATCCCATGGACCATCGCCCACACCGACAACGATAATCGATAGTGGATGTTGGCAGGCTTGCACGATGGCTCGACGAGTGGCTCGCTCATTCGTCACTTGTCCATCAGCGATTATCACAAGGATATGATACTAAATTTGTTGGTTTTGATTTTCTACCGATTCTATCCGATCGATTCAATCGTCTTACATCTCTAGACTTCTGGCAGATCTCCATCGCCTGGTAGATGAGCGGCGCGAAATTCGTCGGGCCGCTCAGCGCCACCTTCGGCGTCACATTGTTGTAGACGCTGAGCACCTCGTCGAGATCGCGACAATCGCCGTGCGCGCTCAAATTGAACACACTCCAATCGCCGGTCGTCGCGTCGCCGAACCCGTACACACCGATGTGTCCGGTGCCGGCGAACGGCGCCAGCGTGCGGCCAAGAATGCTGATGACCTGCTGATAGGGATTCTTGACGTTCGGATGGATTGTGTGCAGACTGCGTCCGCCAAACGATTCTTCGCCTTGGTATTTGTTGCTGGCGGTGTAGTCAATTCCTGTGGATGCAATGTCGTCAGACGCGCTGCGTTTCGCGTGCGGTCATCGTTTTTTTTTTTTTCAATATAACTGTTCAGGTTTCCCAAATTTTTCGAAAAAAAAAATTCCTAAAAATCGTTATGCATATTGCAGAAAAAAAATTCAAAACGTCGGCCACGGCCACGCATTTTGAAGCCAGTAACAATTCTTCATATTTTATTGGTTTTACATCAAGTTTGTCTTAGGATTAAAGGCGCATAGGATACAATTTTATGATTCTGCGCATCAATTCAATAAAAACCGTGGAAATGGGGGCTTGGAAAAAACATGGCCGTGGCCGAGTTTTCAAATTTTCTTTTCTGCAATCTGCATTGCGATTTTTATCATTTTCCTTTTTAGCTTTTTGAAAATCAACATGGTACCATCAAATCTGAGGGACCAACTTGTATCACTTAATTTTATAAAAAACATTTTTGCTTTCAAAAAACCGCGCGCGAGCCGCAACGCGTCTGACGACATTCGTCGGGAAGCAGACATTTAAAGTCAAAATTTCAGCGGTCTCACCAAAAATGAGATTAGTCGTTTCAAGACCCGCACGCTTCATAGCTTCCGACAATGAGTCCAAACTAGTGATCGTTAGAAGAATCTCCTGCATCGAAGTGACACCGAGCACGGAGAGAAGCGATGATTGCTTCCGGAGCTGAATCGATGTCAATTCATTGAAAATATCGGGAAATAAAAAAAATGCGATTCTCACATGTCGATATGGATATCCATCGCTGCTCACCGCACTTCCCGACCTTCCCGTCGATCCAATCGACGAGTTGCTGTGCGCTCGATTGCCAAACGCCGGCAAAATTTGCGGCGCCTACATGATCAAACACGATTATTGATGATTGTTGGAGGAGGGCTTCTTCACTAACAACGCAACGATAGTTTTCAACAGAAAACTATTTGACAGAAAAAAAAAACAAACAACAGGTACAATTCTTGAACGACAATTTCGAATTTCTCCTCACTATCGGCACGTTTTTTTTGTCAGTGGAGACCCACCAAAAAAGGTCCGATGAATGAGAAAAACAATCGAAAAGAGCCAACACCAAAAGCATGGTTAAAATAGAGGAAATATATAGTATATATATATATATAAATATCTCACCCGGCCAATCGGCTTCAGTAGCGAATCATTCGATTGCTCAATCTACAAATAACGAATTACGTCGAATTCAATTGTTACCCATATATGTAGATATAATAACTATTATTGGGTGAGTATAAGAAGGTGAGGCGACAGAAAAGCTTGCACACGAGGGATAGAGACGGAGAAGAACGCCGGTTAACACAGAATGCCGAGAATCAGAGCGCGCTGATTACCTACCTGATTGCTCTGCCGCTTCAGTGTCGCTTCTCGTTGAAGTTCTGAAATCGCATTGGTGTTTGTTTTTCGCCATTCGATTACCAGCGAGTTGAGCGTCCGAATCGGCAGCGACTCGATCGAAATAGTCAATGATGTTCTCGCTCGTCTCGCTCATCTGATCCGGCGGAATTTCGACCGATTGAATCTCGGGTGCATATGTCATATCGTCGTGCTCCTCGGTTTCCATTCGGTCGAACACCTGGAACAATTGGCAACGCCAGATTCAGAAGGGTCATGTAATTGAAAATTGATTACATCGTTGGTTTTGACTTGTCGACTAGTGGCTTCAGCGCCCATCGAATGCGCTGGTTTACTCTAAATCATTAATTGCTCTATAATGGTCCCTTCATATAATTGCCCACCTTTCTATGTGCCGATGGTCCTCCGTGCTCGCTGTTCAACATGTCTTCCTCAATCACAACATTGTAGGGCTCCGGAATGAATCCATCTCCTTGCTGCTGCTGCTGCTGCTGCCTTGATTCCTGACTCGCCTGGAATTCGACGACGTCAATGCGATCGCTCAAAACAAGCGCACCTGTTGAATCGGCACATTCAACACCTTATTGATCGGAACATTCAAGACACCCATCGGCGATTGCGCGACCTGCGTCGGCGGAATCGACGCCACGCCCGGAATGTCGAGCCCAAAATCATACTCCTGACAGAGCTCTTGAAGTTGCGCGGCCTCGGTGGGACTGATGCGTCGCGGTTCGGCCGCTTTCGGCGGATAATCGTAAATCGGCTCCGAGATTTTCACATAGTCGTCGGAATCGGCGGTGGCGCGTCGCTGATCGCGTTGAACGCCAAGCGTCTGATGCGATTGCGGCGGACCATCGACACTCTAAAATCGAGCATCACTTCAAGAGCATTGGGGGGGGGCGACAAACCTCGTGAGCATTAAAATCGCTAATATCATAATCTGTGAGCTGTGAGTCGCGAATGCTGAAAGAGGAAGAAAAAATTGAATTTTTAGAACTTTATTTTTTATTTTCCTTTTCGGTGAAATTCAACATCAATCATTTTGTGGTTGGTGCTTGATAGTCATCGTCATTTTCATTATGCTCAAACAAACATTGCCAAATGTCAAAACGCATTAAAGTGACGATTAAGACCTTATCGTTTCGGCATACGCCACAAATAAAGACCGATTTCAGCCGCCCAACATTATTGTTATTTTTTTTTGGCCACCCGACATGCACAAATCATATAAAAATAACACATGCAAATATTATCATTTTGTACATAATGACGAATCGCGTTTTATGGCAATATGCTGATTCGTACGATTGGCCTAATGTTTTGGTAAAAAAAAAAGAAAATTTTGAAAAAATATTTTTTTTATTTTTGAAAAATCGGTAATTTCAACAGATTTTTGAACTTCTATTTTTTTTTACAATAAATTTGCATTTTTTAAAAATTGAAATTTTATTTTTCGCTCGACGCGAATTCAAAAAATTGTTGCGCTCTTTGTTCTTCAAATTAAAATCCTTAAAAAGGAGAAGGATTGGTTGTGAATTGAAATGTGTGCAATACTGCGTCAGCGTGTTGACAGACAAAAAGAGAACTCGACGAATTGAATGGTTTTTTTTTTCAAGTTTCAACAATTTTCCTGAAGTATTAGCCCGCGTTTACCTTAAAGGAACATTCCAACTATTTCAGAAAAAATAAATCAAAAAATACCTATTTGCATAAAATGAGTCATTTATTTCAAACGAAATCTTCAATATTTGCCCATTCATTTTTTTTCACATGCGCCATTCGCCTTCCACAATATCAAATTTGATAGATATAGTTTTCCAGGCGCCCGACATTCTTCGAGGAATGCGCAACCTTCTATTATTTCTATTCATTCTGCCAACAACCAACTGTTGGAATTTCGATAGGCGCAACTATCAAACGCAGCTCAGCGAATTCGATGGTCCCGACAGCATACCGGAGAAATATGTGTTGATTACGACGAGCGTTGAAGATTATTCGTACGACGGATGCGACTATACGATTACGGTGTCCAACTACGCGCCATCAATTTTTCTAGTTCTTGTCAACAATAAAGGGTAATCGTCAGAAAATATTTTTTTCCTTTCATTGCATTTCAAAAACTCAATTTTATTGACGATTTTCCCTATTTCTCTCGTGCCGCTGCGCATCGTACTCTCTCGCATTGTGGGAGTCTTCCACGCATAGGACACTGCGCCTTTAGACCGCGCTACTGTAATTAGTTTCGCAAATTTTTTTGACGAATGAAATTTGATTGCAAACATCTGCGGACATTTTCCGGAGCGATGGCGGCAATTCAAATTTTTCATCAACGCTAAAAAAAGATACTTGCGCAAAAATGCACAATTTCAGCTGCCCAGCCAATATTTGCTCGGGAACCCTGAATTACAGGGTGTCATTTAAGTTCCCGCACAACTTTGAAGACGTATATTTCTGAAACTAAAAGTCCAAATCAAACGAGACTCGAAATATTTTTTATCTATAGTATAACAAATATTTATCTATTAACTCTTTTCGATTCGGCCTTCTTTCGGAGCTATGACTTCACGAAGACGCTTTGGGTAGGATTCGACTGTGGTACGCAGGTATTCGATGGAAAGATTGTCCCATTCCGCCAGTAATGTCTTCTTCAGAGTCTCTACATTTTAGTGGGGTTTTGCGTTGACCTTCTCCTGCAAGACCCCATCACGGAAAAGTCAAGCGGGTTCAGGTCTGGGGAGCAATCAGGCTATTCGGATGACTTGATGAAGTCGGGAAAATGGGTCTGGCACCACTCCACAGTAGTTTTGGCAGTGTGGGCGAGTGCTCCGTCCCGCTGAAAGACCCATTTCTGCCCACCGAAATGCGTTTGGGTCCAGGGCATCACATGCTTCTCCAAAATGTCCCGAACGTAGACTTCTTTGTTCACTTTCACCCCCCTGATCCACGAAAACCAGGGGGCACTTCCCTGTTGAGCAGATGGCACCGAAAACCATCACACTGGCAGGATGCGAGGCTCGATGAATTGTTCTGCCTTTCCCAGAAGCTTGCTGGGATGTCTGGGAAAGTACTCAATAGTTTTATGAGTTGAATGCCGCCTCCACAGTGAACAGCTTCTCGTCGGAGAAGACAGTGACGAGGTGTTGTCCAGACCGCGTGCGAGCAAGAAGTCGTTTTGCTTTTTCGAAGCGTCTCTGCTTGTTGACGGCCGATAGAATTGCCGCTTTTTGGACACGATATGGAGTCAGTACAAGCTTCGTTTTGACGATTTGTTCCATAGCGAAGATGCTCATTCCCATGTCTGACGCCATCTTTCTCATGCTCCTGTGGGGGTTTCGCCTGATCCTCGATTTGACGGCGTTGATCTTCTGAGGAGTGGTTACTGAGACGAGTCTTCCTTGTCTGGGAAGGTCACTGGTCGTATTTAGCTCCTTGAATCGTTTGATGGTGTCGTAAACCGTTCTACGAAGCACACCGACCCGTTGAATGATGTCTCTCGGGCTCACATTTTGCTTATGAAGTTCGATAATGGAAGCGCGATGGATGTTAGCCTTCGCCATTTCTCGGAAACACATCCGAATGTGGTGAAACTTGGAAAGTAAGTAAAATATACCTTATTTAACAAAAATAAGTTGTATTGGTGCACGAAAAGTGCAACAGCCAAGCTCTTCATGGTGTCAAACTTTTGTGCGGGAACTTAAATGACACCCTGTACATGCAATTCGCCAACATCACCATATATCGTGAAGGCTATGTAATTGAGATAATTATTGAAAATTGCAAACGAAGCGCTTATTTCAAGGTCTTGGATATTATGGACGTCCAATGCTACACTCCGACGAAAATCTATAGTCTACAATGTGAGCCCAAAGAATGGTCGGACTCTTGTGTTCAGTCAACCAAACAATTTTCGCAATTCAATTCGCCGTCGATCAAGGATACGGTTTGCATATGTCAGAACAGCATCGCCCAATGTAGTCCGTCGACGAAATCTTCGAAATGGTATATTCGATTTCTATGTGCTCCTTTAATTACCGTATCCAAAAAGAGATTGTCGAGCTCCTCAATTGGAATTAATTGATAGCCGATTTTTTAGGAACAGATTTTAAATGTCTTCAAAAATTGAGAAATTTAATTTTTTCTCCTTTTAAAGCATTTCGGGCTCGGTAAATTGGTGGCAACCAACACCACGGACGCCAACATCGCCAACATCGATGCCATCAAAATCGACTACTTCTATTGCACCATTTTCTACGCCAATCATCGCTAGCACCCAGAAAGCCACGACTTCTCGCCCTACTATGTCTTCCACCACCAATTCACCAACGACACCCTCAAATGGGTTTCCGAGTTTGCAGGAGCTTAGCAATGTAAGTCAGCCATGCTCACGAGTACCGTAACTATTTTCAAGAGCACTGTAACTCTGGCCAACGTCACTCGCGTCCTCAACGAGACCCTCTATTATTCGCAGAGCGGCGAGAATCTCGACTCGACGCAAATCTCGGAGATCATGGCGATTCTCGAAAAATCGTCGTCACTCGACGGCATCCGCGAGCAGGTGCGCTCTCGATTGCGTCTCGACGCGATTCCCCCCCCCGCCCCCGCGCACGAATTCATCCAACCAATTTTAGAGTTGTAGGACTCGCGAATGATTCTGCAAAACGTCGACAACTGCTTGCTCGCCAATCAATCGCAACTATTCGGTGCGGTGACAAGTACGTCGATCGGATCGTCCAAATATGGGGAGGGGAATATGTGTTGAATTCAGAACAACCAATGTGTTGAGAAACATGGTTCAGAATACCTACGATGATCGAATCGACTATTTGAAAGGTGTGAATCTTGGATTCTCAGCAAAGAAAATTAATTGCTCGGTAACAATCTGAATCCAAACTCAACTCTCATGAAAATCTAGAATCTAACCACCGATGACGGCCTTCTCGATTTGACGACCTACTTTGAATTGATCAACGCGACCACAACGATCAGCAATCAGAATGCCATTAGTGTTCCGCTTTCAGACATATGCGAATCGCAAAAAATCAGCCATCTCTATTTTTCCATCTATCGTGATCAAAAGCTGTTCATTGGGAAGCAAGCCTATCGCGTCTACGATCCAACCAACAATTATCCATCAATCTATTCAACGTCTTCAAATGTTGGAAGGCATAGAAGAAGTGCCGACGACGATGATATTAATAGTTGAGATTTTGGAAAGCCATTTTTTCCATGATATCGCCAATGTTTCAGTTCTACCACCGCCCGATCGCTGCCAATCGCAAATCATCGTGGCCAACGGCAAACCGGTGATGAGCGCGACAATTCTCAACGACGGCGAGACGGTGAGCAGCGTCGAGAAGCACGACGCGCTGGAGCCGCCCGTCATGGCGAATCTACAATTCAACATTGATGATGTGAGCACGCCGAGCCTCGCCGATCATCCGATGCGTTTTGTAGATGCCGCCGCCGTTGCACGGCGAATTCAAGGTGACGTGGTGGGATGTCGGCCGACAGGTCTGGTCATTGGATAGACCGTGCAAAATTCGAAGCATCAAGAATGGCATTGTTAGCGCGCAATGTCAGCATCTTACCGATTTCGCGATTATCGTGGTAAGACCCAATCAAAGAAAATAGTGGAAGGAAAAAAAATGGGAAGCAATTTTTTTCTGTGCCGCCTTTATGGCGAGTTTCTTCTGCGCCATCAAGAAAAAAATGGACTTTCATTATTTTTCGCTGCAAGACCTTGCGAACCGCAACGCGTCTGGCGACATTGGCAATTTTCAAATTTGTCCGCTGCTTAACAAATCAATAGCAACAAAAAGCAATTCAGTCGGGCTCTCTCGATGATCGCATTATCTGCGATTCGGCGCTCTACACAACTGGCTACATTGTCAATATTATTTCAATAGTGAGCCTAATGTTTCTCACTGTTCTCAGCGGTTTGGTCTAGTGAGTTTAGATCGGGTCGAGTTCGAAAAATCACAAATCGAAATATATCATTCAGTGTCAATACAATGTCGACGGCGAAAATTCTATTCTACCTACGAGGCCAGATATCGAGAAAAGGCGATCTCGTCGCATTCTTCTACTATTTCATGCTTCTCCTATTCTACATTATGTTTGTGTTCTTTTCCGACGCCCATGTTGTCGGCAACACGACGGGATGCGTCATCGTCGCCGCAATGATGTACTTCTTTCTCATCAGGTACTTATTGTCGAAGCTGGGTAGATTTACGAGGGTGCACTTTTCGAAATGTTCTCGCCACGTGTGAATTTCTTCGAGACCAAAAGAAAGACGCATCACCGTAAATCTACTCGACCATCTATTCAATTTTCAGCTCGATAATGCTCAATCTTCTTCAAGGCATCCGAATAATTTATAAGTTCATTAGTGGAAAAACGCAGATATTCTTCGAAGCTCTGATTGCACCGCCGTCAGCGTTGACAATCGGAATAGGTATTTGTTAAGAGAAAAAAAATCCAATAAACTGATTACAATACATACAGTGCGCGTCATAATGATACGCCATCCCACGAAATTTCGTAGTTTCGAGAAAACAATATAAATTGATGACAAAACAATTATGTACATTTTTGAGTTCAGGACCATTGAAAACCTATATGAGCGTATTTCCAGGAGTGCCCGTTGATCCATATCCGCACAGTCCAAGAAAATTGGATTTGGAAATTGCAAAAAAGGATATGGATCAACGGATCTCATGAAAAGACGCACAAATAGGTTTTCAATGGTTCTGACTTCGAAAATGAAATTGTCTTGTCAACAATTTATGGTTTTTCGAAACTACGAAATTTCTGGGGGGTGGCGTATGACGCGCACTGTATATAATTAAAATTCCAGTGTTTCCATTCATTCTAACATTTCTCATCGCGATATTCGCTTCGGATTTCTTCAAACGAAACGACTCATTCTGTTGGGTTCGACCGGATTATCTAACCTACGCCATCGTCGTCCCAATAACGATTTTGCTCATCAGCGCGCTCATTTGCACAATTTTCTCGGCGTACAAATTATTTTGGAGCCCAAAGAAGAAGCTCGGCGTCACAAAGGTATTGCCGACAAACGGTCTTGATTTTCATCGTTCGATCGCTTCATTTTTGCCAGGCGAATTATCACGACGCCGATTTTTGGACAAAAATCGTCGGTCTGATTGTGATGCAATTCACCTTGGGAGTTCCATGGGTATGACGCGCCATTTCATTTTTTTACGACCTTATTTGCACTTTTTGACAATCGACGAAAAAAAAGACCAAAGAATTTTGACGATTTTAGATCGTCCAATATTTTACACTTCAATGGCCGACAACATCCGCATGGCACTACAGTTTCACAATAATTCTCGGATCGCAAGGCACCATCCTTCTAATTGTCTTCTTTTATCGAAGGCAAAGATTAATCATCGAGTCTAGAAGGTCTAGCGCTAAAGTCGAAATGATGAATGAAGACAATCGATCAGTGAAAAGCTATGTGAATAGTTAATTATTTAAATATGAAATTATATGTTATAATGACGAAGAAACGGGTATATACTGATTTAATGAACAATTTCCCTTTATCATTTTCCGATTCTTATCACCAACTCGCAACCCCGTTATTAGATTAGAGGTCTTCCGGCTCAAAGACCTATTGCTTCGAATAAAAAATACGCGCCATCGTGTTTGTCGAGTCAAGAATTCGCCGCATACCTTGTCTCGTCAATTTTCATATGCAAATTATCGCAGGTGTGTGTATACGAGCATTTGTGTGTGTTTAGCGTTATCATCATCGCCTATTTTCAGCTTTTCAATTGGCTTATGCCGCAATCGGTCGACGGCCGGTTTCTCATGTTGCTGCGCATTCTGGCGATTTTGATTTCGTCGCGATTCGTCGCCGCTCACACGCTCAATTACTCGTTTTCGCTTCAAGAGACCGACATGTCCGATTTTCTCAAAACCTATTCGATTGCCGTCAAAATATCGATCGAGTTTCGCGATGACGGCAACGCGCTTTTTACGACGTCCGTCTCCAATTCGTCTCAAACGCATTTCACATTGTATGCGAACGGACAAAAGTGGGGAAGAAATTCGCGATTTTTTTCGCTGGAAAATAAAATCTGAAAATGATTTCAGCTGCGGGATTATCATCGACCATTGCAGATTTTTAATTGGAAACGGACAAACTTTCAAAATTCAAATAAACAAAATTGATATGGTAAGAAATTCAAGCGGAAAATCCGCTTCAACGAAATTACGATAAACCGAAGTCGGTGTACAAGTGGAGTGTCGTTTAAACCTTTTTTCATTTCATTAGAAAATTTGCAATTTTTTCAAGGTTTCGAACTTTTTAACATTCACCAATCATGGATCAGAATCAAATCTCGAAGTCTCACTGGTAGGCTGCCGCCAAAACCTGGCACCATTGAATTGCGTTGCTAGTGGCCAGTACTCGTCCGATACGCAGCACAACGATTACAAAGATTCGCTGTGCTTTTGCTGTCACGCTTATTTAACATGCAGCACCTCGGCAGGTTCAGACCATTGGTTTGTTGAATAATTTGAAAAATTCGGAAAATTTTGAAAAATTTCAGTGTCAGCTCGAACCCGTGGTGGAATTATAATACAATCACTTCTACGACAACAACGATTAAAACTACGACGAAGAGACCCACATCAACAAGCACGACTCAACTGACTACATCGAAAACTACGAAAGAGCCGACGACTACTAGAAAATCATCGACGAGCACGGAAGCGGCGAGCACGAGCTCAACAAGGTTCCTTATCGATTATTATTATTTTTTATATTATTATAACTATTATAGTGTGCAAACGAGTACAACAACATCGGAATTACCGGCAACCGTCGATCCAAACTCAATTCCAACGCTGAAAAATTTGAGCGATGTAATAATCAATTAATTAAGCCCCGATTATGTCGATTCTTATCATGGATTACAGAGCGGCGTCGGAATCAATAACGTTTCGACGGTTCTCAATGACACGCTTTGGTATTCGCAGCAAGGCGCCGATTTGGATTCGACGCAAGTCGGCGAGATCGCCATCATTTTGAACAATTGCGCCAATTTGCGAGGACTCAGCGCTGAGGTGAGATCGACGAGGTATGAGATCGGAAAACGGGGTTCGTCGATATTATCTCAATGATGAACTCTGATTTGAGCCGAAGAATGATTATAATTTAACGTTTTTATCAATCGATTTTCGGAATCTCATTTCATAGTTTTCAGAATTCGATTGGAATCCTAAAGAATCTTGACAATGTGCTACTGGTCGACGACGAGACAATGAGAATGAGCGGCAGCTCATCGGACATGTAGCGCACGGAATCTCAACGACTGCAATCATCTATATAAATTCTAGGATGTTGGGAATGCTGCCAACAATGGTGGATAACACAAAAGATGAGCAAATCAATTATCTTGATGGACAGAATCTCGGATTCACTGCAAAGAAAATTGATTGTTCGAAACGAGTCCAAGATGAGGGACTTCTAGATTTAGGCAACAATTTCGAAATTATAAACTCAACTGTTTCAAATACACGAAATTCGATTGTAGTGCCACTAAAGGACCTATGCGCTACACAAGAATGTGAGATTTATAAGCAGCATTTTAACGTTTCCCCGGTTTTACAGTAAGTCATGTGTACTTCACAATATATCGAAAGACGTCAGTATTCGTTGGACCTCAAGTATACAGGCCATATGGTCCGAAACCTAAACCGCTAGCGTTTTCTGAAGGCGGTCCATCTTTGAGGTACTCCAAAAGGAGTGATGAAGTTCTTACATCATCTACAACTCCGAATCCGAATGATTTGATTCCGCCGTCGCCGTGTAATCGACAAGTGGCACTTCCTGAGGCGCCGGTGATGACAGCGACATTATTGAACAATGGGCGGAGGGTTAGTCGAGCGACTACCGCCGACGCGCCGATGGCAATTCTACGATTCAACATCAGCGATATCATCAAACCATTGCACGGCAATTTCAAGGTGACCTGGTGGGACATCGGAAGGCAAAAGTGGGCCACCGAGCGGAATTGCGAGATCATTTCCGAAAACGATGGAATCCTCGAAGCCAAATGCCTTCATCTAACCGATTTCGCGATAATTGTGGTATAATTAAGAAGCCTCAAGCCTAATTTGAGCTCACTAATTAATTTCTTATTAGGATGCCCTCCTAAACGATCCGAATGTCTGTGACACCGCGCTAATAGATCTCGGCTATGCTGTCAATTCCTTCTCGATCGCTTCACTAATATTTCTCACCGGTCTCAGCATTACCTCCTTGTATGTTCAAAATTTTAGCGAAACACTTGAAATTCGGGAAATTCAGCATCGAATCATTGCCGAAGACACGCTTTTACGATTATTTTCGCGGCTCGTCTTACATTCGTCGGGACTTTCTTGCGCTTGCCTACCATCTCGATCTCCTCCTATTCTACATTTTCTTCACAATTTTCGCGAATCAATCAGTTTCGGGTGAGATGTGCACATTGATGGCCTCAATAATGTACGCATTGCTATTATGGTAAGATTTAATTGTTCGAAGTTCGGCTATACAAAAATTTTGTAGCTCATTATTCCTCACCATGTTCCAAGGACTTCGAAATGTCATCTCATTCGTCCCACAATCCAAACTACCCTATTTCAACATGATCATGTCATTACCAATCGTCATTTTTGTTAGCATAAGTAAGACGACGCGATCATCTTAATTAGATCTTATTTTTCGGCGATTACAGTCATCCCTTTCACATTATCCGTCATCCTCTTAGTCTTCACAACATTCTTCGATCGTCAAGACTGCTTCTGTTGGGTTCGACCAGACAATGTGATCGTTGGGATCATTGTTCCCGTCTCATTGCTCATTCTAAACGCGATAGGATGCACTAGCTATATTGTCTATAAGGTCTTCTTTGGAATGCGTCGGAAATTCAGTGCGGCTGTAAGTCATCACACCAAACAGTTTCTAGGGAAAATTTCTTGAATGCAGGGAAATCATCACTACGATCCTCATATACTTTCAAAAGTGGTCTCAATCCTGATTATGCAAGTCTCTTTAGGACTACCATGGGTACTTCCGAGCCTCTCACATAATTATAATAATGAGAGATTCCAGATTCTTCAATTCTTCACCCTCTACTCACCATACACCACATTATGGCATTATCTGTTCACCATTGTGATGGGCTCACAAGGCACAATGCTTCTTCTAATCTTCCTATACAGAACATATCGAAGTCGGCAGTACACTTCGAGCAGGAGGAGGACCAGCGAACGGGCCAAGCCAGGAAAATTTCAGAAAAACTTGACAACTGAGGAAACTCTATCCGACAGTACTGACAGCGATTTGAAAACGTATTAAGAGGGGATACGAAAAATAAGAGAATATTAAATATTAAAAGCGGGTAATATAATAAAGAATGATCACTTATCAGTTCAAAATGTTGCTTCGAAAATCGCGCCTCCGCTTTTTGCCGGGCAATTAAATCAAACTCTTTTTTTTTCGCGGTTCACTGCCGGTCTCTCTCTCTATTTGTTTCTCGTCGTTATCAATTATTTTCTCGGCATCAATCCCAATTCAAAATTGGTTTTTGCATGCGACACTTGCTTCCAATATGCGCTTCGTTGCTTCTCGCCGATCTCGCTCATTCACTAACGTATTCGTTTTCATTTGAAGACGATGATCAATCGAATTTCCTATCGACGTATTCGCTGACGGCCCAAATCATTATTTATTTTCATAATGATGGAAGCGCTCGGTTTACGACGACCGTCGCCAATCCCTATCCGCTTCATTTCTCGTTATATGCAAACGGGAGAAAGTATGACAAAATGGAAGAGGGACACAATTTAAGCATTTGAGATCTTTCATTTCAGCTGTGGGATTGTCATTGATCAATGCAGTTTTTTAATTGGAATCGGCGAAAATATGAAAATCGAGATTAAAAAAGCGAATATGGTGAGTCAAATGGGACGTTTTTTCTGGAACACTAAATTTTCTAGACAAAAGTTTTTGCAATAGTTGGCTTCTGAAAAAAATAGCCTACCGGGCTCAATTTATTTTTTGCACTATGCGCCTTTAATTCCGCTACTGAATTGTGTCTACCTATAATTTTCATTAAAGTTTCCTTATAGATAATCGAAAATCAAAAACTATTGAAAATTTGAGAACAACGGCCTTATATTTGTGGTTATTACGAATATTAGAAGAGTTTTCAAATTTTGATAGGGTAATTAAAGGCGCACGCAGCCTCGCAGCGACCGATTCGGGTAGACGCTTTTTTTTAATAGAGACTTAACCTCGCTATCAGTTTATTTTAAGACGATTTACGCAATAATCATGGCGGTCGTAAAAAATGGAGTCTTGTCGGTGCATTGACAGCCGATTTTTCAAAAATTCTCCTTGAACGCATTCCAAAAACGAAATAATATTCCCAAAAGTTCGGACCCCCGTGAATATCGAAATTTTCTACATAATTGGACCATAATTTACTGATATTGGACACAATTTTGGGTTTCACCCTCTTTTTTAAAACCCATATTTGACATGGTCTCTTGGAATCTGCTAAAAAAAAATAAACTGAGTGTATGGCGGGAAATCGCGCGACGGCAAGAAATCGTCAGAAATGGTCTCGCGACGACGAGACGCGTGCTGTGTACTCCACACGGATCAGTCATTATTTAACGTAAGTATCCCATCGCGTAAATCGACACTTATGTCGCAAGACCCAAATTTACAGTAGAGTGCGCCATCCGCACTAGACAATATTATAATTTTTTTTTAATATTATGGACGTCGCGCGACTGTGAAAAATTGGCAAAATGTCAAAAAAAGAGGTCTCGATGCACGGTGTGCTCCTTTAACCTATCATTATACATTGGCTCGTAAATCGACACGTTTAGTTTTGCGCCAAGACCAATACCATTGCGTTTTTGGCATTTAGCCAATTTACCGATGTCGCGCGACGATTACAATACATTAATAAATAAATTTCAGGTTTCCGATGTGGTCAATTTTGTAAACTACGGCTCCGAATCAAACCTCCAACTCGCGTTGGTTGGCTGTTCCCAGTATCCGACGATTACCTGTATTTCTGGTGAGCAGTATTCAACAGATAGCCGTGGCAAAGTTTTCAAAGACACTTTGTGCTTCTGCAGCAAACAAATTTCATCTTGCACAAAGTCAACGCCGACAGATGATTGGTATAATGAGAAGGGGTTGAAAATTCAAATCGAATCATCCTTTTAATTAAGTATAAATACAATTCCATGGTGGACTTTTACTGATGCAAGTTCTACGACCAAATTGCCAACGACTATAGGTTCAACGATCACAACGACGCATGCAAAGACGATATCACGTCAGGCAATAACAACATCTACGAGCACGAGCTCAACAAGGTTCCTGATCGATTGTAAATTTATTATTATTATTATTATAGTGTGCAAACAATCTCTCTATCAACAAGCACGACTCAACTGACTACATCGACAACTACGAAAAAGCCGCCGACTACTGGAACACCATCGACGAGCACGAAAGCGGCAAGCACGAGCTCAACAAGGTTCCTGATCGAATATGATTTATTATTATTATTATTATAACTATTATAGTGTACAAACAAGTACAACAACATCGGAATTACCGGCAACCGTCGATCCAAACTCAATTCCAACGCTGAAAAATTTGAGCGATGTAATAATCAATTAATTAAGACCCGATTATGTCGATTCTTATCATGGATTACAGAGCGGCGTCGGAATCAATAACGTTTCGACGGTTCTCAATGACACGCTTTGGTATTCGCAGCAAGGCGCCGATTTGGATTCGACGCAAGTCGGCGAGATCGCCATCATTTTGAACAATTGCGCCAATTTGCGAGGACTCAGCGCTGAGGTGAGATCGACGAGGTATGAGATCGGAAAACGGGGTTCGTCGATATTATCTCAGTGATGAACTCTGATTTGAGCTGAAGAATGATAATAAATCAACGTTTTTATTAATCGATTTTCGGAATCTCATTTCATAGTTTTCAGAATTCGATTGGAATCCTGAAGAATCTTGACAATGTGCTACTGGTCGACGACGAGACAATGAGAATGAGCGGCAGCTCATCGGACATGTAGCGCACGGAATCTCAACGCTTGCAATCATCTATATATATTCTAGGATGTTGGGAATGCTGCCAACGATGGTGGATAACACAAAAGATGAGCAAATCAATTATCTTGATGGACAGAATCTCGGATTCACTGCGAAGAAAATTGATTGCTCGAAACGAGTCCAAGATGAGGGATTATTGGACGTTGGAAACGTATTCGAGATTATTAATTCAACTGATAAAACCTCAAAAAACTCGATAATGATTCCTTTGAGTGATCTTTGCTCGACAGAGACAGGTAGATTTGTAGGATTTCCATGATGACAGAAAGACACATTTCAGTGAGTCACGTCTATTTCACCATATACCGAAAATCGACATTATTCGTCGGACCACAAATTTATCGACCGTATAAGCCGAAATCGAAGACAATCGCGGAATCCGATCAAATTCGCTCATTTTTAAGCGTCATACGAAGAGATGAGGTTGGCACGACAACTCCGAATCCGAATGATCTGATTCCGCCGTCGCCGTGCAATCGACAAGTGGCACTTCCCGAGGCGCCGGTGATGACAGCGACATTATTGAACAATGGGCGGAGGGTTAGTCGAGCGACTACCGCCGACGCGCCGATGGCAATTCTACGATTCAACATCAGCGATATCATCAAACCATTGCACGGCAATTTCAAGGTGACCTGGTGGGACATCGGAAGGCAAAAGTGGGCCACCGAGCGGAATTGCGAGATCATTTCCGAAAACGATGGAATCCTCGAAGCCAAATGCCTTCATCTAACCGATTTCGCGATAATTGTGGTATAATTAAGAAGCCTCAAGCCTAATTTGAGCTCACTAATTTATTTCTATTCAGGATGCCCTTCTAAACGATCCGAATGTCTGCAACACCGCGCTAATAGTTCTAGGCTATGCCGTGAATTGTTTCTCGATCGTTTCCCTAGTATTCCTAACGGGTCTCAGTATCACATCACTGTAAGTCAGAATCATATACACAATACTCTGTTTTTTTTTTGCTTTTTAGGAATAAAGCTCTTTCGAAAACGAGCTTCTACAACAATTATATTCGAGCTTCAACCTATTCTCGACGCGATTACATCACATTAGCGTTTCGCTTGGATCTCCTCCTATTCTACATTTTGTTTACAATTTTCGCGAATCAATCGGTTTCGGGTGACATGTGCACAATGATGGCCTCAATAATGTATATGATGCTACTATGGTAAAAAATTGTTCGTTCTATCAAAATAATGACTAAAATTATAGCTCATTATTCTTGACCATGTTTCAAGGAATTCGGAACGCGCTCACCTTCGGCAATCAATCGCGCAACTCTTATTATAACATGATTACATCACTTCCGGTAGTGCTCTTTCTGAGTGTGGGTGAGATTCATTTGCAAAATTCGCCTTCCTCTGAACTCCCTCCATCTTATTCAGTCGTCCCATTCACCCTCTCAACAACACTGCTCGTCTTCACAACATTCTTCGATCGTCAAGACTGCTTCTGTTGGGTTCGACCGGACTATATAGTCGTTGGGATCATTGTTCCCGTCTCATTGCTCATTCTGAACTCAATAGGATGCACTAGCTATATTGTCTATAAGGTCTTCTTTGGAATGCGAAGGCGACTAAGCACTTCAGTAAGTCAATTTGCAAGAAAAAAATTGGGCAATAGAAATTGAAATTCAGGGAAATCACCATCATGATCCTCATATAATTTCAAAAGTGGTCTCAATCCTGATTATGCAAGTATCTTTAGGACTACCATGGGTACTTCAGAGCCTCTCGCATAATTATAACAATGAGAGATTCCAGATTCTTCAATTCCTCACCCTCTACTCACCATACACCACATTATGGCATTATCTGTTCACCATTGTGATGGGCTCACAAGGCACAATGCTTCTTCTAATATTCGCCTATAAGACTTATCAATCTCGTCAATGCTGCGCAATTCGCGATGCGACACCGCCGCCAAATTTTCAAAATGGAAATCGACTTTCAGATACTAGTACTGATAGCGATTTAAGATCTTACTGAATTTCTAGTAACGAAAAGAGCATGCCAAAACGGGTTATTATTATTAGTTGTTAATAAATATCTAGATGCATCTCAAACATACTTGCTCATTTTCAAATTTCCTTCAGGACGCGCTGCAAGCGGCGTCAATGGTCTAAAATAGCTCAAAGTCTTAAAATGTGTTGCCGACTTACTGTAATTGAGCTTCACCGCTGCGACTCTCATACGAAATGTGCGAAGCTGGCGCAAACATGTCGTACGCTTTTTGCGATGTCGACAAATCGGTGTTCGATTCACCGCCGGCCTGAATTGGGGGTGGTTGAAAATCAAAATTCGGAATTTTTTAATTTATATTTTTCTCCTCAATTCGCCTACCTCATGATCCATAAGCTTCTTGAGTCGCTCAGATTCGAGAAGCGCCTTCTCGGCCTCCCAATCCTGCATCGCTTTCTCGTCTTGCTCGCTGAGCCGCTTCTCTCTCGCCAACTTCCTACCAAGCGATCCATGCGGCGACACCGGCTGGAACGCCGACGGCGCCGTGCCGTGCCGCTGCTGCTCATAAATGTCCCTGGCGGTGTGCTGCGGCACCGGCGGTCTGTCGTTTTGCCGCTGCTGCTGTTGCTGCTCATAGTACTGTTGGGCGGCGTTGCGAAGGTGTGGCGGCACATGTTCGAAATTGAGCGCCGGCTCCGAGGCGATTTGCTCGAATTGCGTCGAGTCTTGCGAACGCGGCGACAAGTCCATCGTCTTCGTCTCGCGCAAATGACTATCAACCGCGCTCATCGTGTTATGGAATGTGTCGGGCGTCGCGCTAATCGGAGTTCTGCAATGAAACGAAAAATGAGCGAATGGAACATTTGCTCCGATACCCAGTGGTGATGTCAAGCTCAAGACTCGGGAACTTGCTGAACACCTTCTCCGATAGCGGCGATCGTTTCGCGTCTGTGTTGCTCTGAAGGTACTGATCAGCTTCACGCAATAGCTGCTCGGCGTCACTCGGAAGTTCTTGCTGAAAATCAGAATTGTTGCTTCTCATTTTTTTTTCGCTCTTCCCCTACCAATTGGTGTTTGACATTCTGAATGGCCTCGTTGCCATCAAGATGTACCGCTGTTTGAGGTGCTTCATCATTCTTCTTCTCGGCCGTCGCCTCCTCTTTGCTCGCCGGCCCATTTTTGTGCTCGTCGAGTAGTTTGAAGAAGTAATAGGCGAACGCGATCGCGGCGGCGGTGAGCAGATAGCGGGTGAACGGCGAGAACACCATGAAGTGCTCCGATTCCGGACATTCTTCCCATTCGTCTGGGTCATAACCCAGACGCTCGTCGAATACCATCACCTGCGAATAAGGAATGATTGCGCCTTTGAAGGGGTCTCGCATGGAAGGCATTTAATGGGGGTAGATTGAGTTAAAAAATGTGAAGGGACTATCGTAATGTCGTCAGAAGCGTCGCGGTCCGCGCGCGCCAATTTTTTAAAATTTCGTTTTTTTCGAAATTTATTATATAAATGCAAGTTTTGGGAAGATATTGAGCCACTTTTAAATAAACCAAATTGAAAAATAATATTGCGAAAAATTCAAGACTTATATTTTTTGAAGCTGGGCATAACAAAAAAATTAATGTTAAATGAAATTCTAATAACAAGAAAAATTTTTTTGAGAAAATAGCACAAAGTCTCACAGCGAGAAAAATTCTGAGACTATAAGATGTTTCGCATTTTGAGAATTTTTCAACAAAACAGAAAAAAAAGAAGAAGAAGGAATGATGGGGGGAATTGTGTGGGAACGCACACGCATCCTTCCTGTGTGCATTTCTCGACACAAATCGCGAACGGATAGAAGACAGCGTTTCGCGAATATCGACGACAAGCAGATGGCCGAAATAAAGAAAGAGATAAAAAACAAACAAACAACAACAACAATATTTAAAAAAATAAAAGAAACGAAAAAATAATAACATCGATCGATACCACAATGAAGTCGGTGAGGGGTTGGCTGTAGTGGATAACACACAAGTTGCCTTGTTTTCGGCACAAAGAAATGTAATCGAGACACGGCTTGCTCCCCTCCGCCAAATTGTTTGATTTATGTTTGTTCAATAGTTAACAAAATGATTAATGGCAAAAATTTCTTGATGGATCGTCTAAATCGGATCACACCATCGATGATTTCTACTATTTACTCTCAGCCCATTTTTTTTGGTAGATTTTTAATTTTTTGACAGAATCATTTAAACAATGTTGGAGGGGAAAAAAACAAATAGAAAATATCGAAAAACTGCGAGAATTACCTTCACATTTGTTTATACCAAAAATATCGAAAATCCCCTCAAATTCTACTGGGCAATTAAATAATTAAGAATGCAATAGAAATCAAATTATCAGCGAGGTTTCCAAAAAAAATTAAATAAAATAAATCAATATGATGATCTCAAGGAAACTCGCGAGTTTTCATCTCGCAAACTTTCGACTTCTCCAACGCCGACGTTTCTCTATCTATCTGCTCATCCGTGAGCGTGAATGTAGTACACAGCGACCTGGGAGAAATCCGCAACCGACGGCTAAATAGTAGGACGAGCGGCGGAGAAGGCCGACAGTTGTTGGAGGGGGCTCGCATCGACTGATTCCGAGCGAGTGGGAGCCGCAGGAGGATGAATGAACAAAAAAAAACACGGATCGACGCGAGCATGAACAATGGCATTGGCAATGAGCATGAGAGTCGACGCTGGCGATCAACGATTCATTATTTCCAACGAGGCGCTCTTCGATGATTTGTTATAATGAATATCTGTAATTGGTGTCAACGAAGCCACCCCCGTGTTGGAGGGCCTCTTCGATCGATATGAGTCGAGGGTGTGTCCTGCGTATTCCGGAACTAATCAATGGCAGGGAGTCATAATATTTGGATCCTCGTCTTTTTAAAAATCGAAACAAGTGAATTTCGAATTGTGTGCGGAAATTCAGAAGATTAAACTAGTGCATGATAGAAAATAATTCAACTATACGCAATGTAAGCGCGATTCAGGCGTACGCAGTGTGGCGTCAATTCAGATGCTTGCGTATGCATGCACTACAGTACAGTAAAGGCAATAGCAATGAAAAAAAAATTTAAAAAAATTAATTTTTTTCGTTGGAATGCGTCAAAAAATTTACGCGATATATCGTAATTCTCCGCTATCTATTTTTAAAGGCGCACGTGAAAAGTTGCGCGGGTCACGTCGCGAAGTCGGTATTGTAATTTTTTAATGGCTGTTTTTTTCGAATTTTTAATTTTTTTTTTGTTTGACGTTTAAAACGTTTTTCTTTGGAAATCTGTAAAAGTATTTTGCTTAATCAACATAAAAAATTCATCAGAAGCGTCATCGATCGACGTCTGCATGAAATCAGCACAAAAATCACTATTTCACATAATAATTGGTATCTAAATGACGAAAAATAGACTTATATTGCGGAATTAGGTGTAATTATACCAATAATTAGTTTTTTTTTGCCTCGTTCTTCCATCCGTTATACATTTCCTCTTCAAAGTTTTCGAAAAATACGAAAAAATAGCACACAAAATGAAAAATAAAAATTACAGTACCCACTTCGCGACGTGACCTGCGCAACTTTTCGCATGCGCCTTTAAAAATAAATAGCTGAGAATTACGATATATCGCGTCAATTTTTTGGAATTTTCGACGTGCGTGCATAGGGAATTCAAATGAAAAAAAAATTGATTTATTTTTATTTTTTCATTGCATGAATAGGTCCGTAATTTTTAAATTTTACGTCAGATTACAAATTAGTGTTTCCAAAAAAACGAATACCAGAATTATTCACCACAAGACTCAACAAATTTTGGAGATTTACGGGGCGAGCTTTTCATGAAGGTTTCGCCACGAAATCCAACTTTGTTATTGTCGGCGTCAAACGAGTGAAGGGAGGCGGAGCCTTCAAATTCGCAAAATCGATGTAGATTTAAATTAAACGTTGACTGAATATTTAATGCGCGTACACTATAATGCAATGTACGCAATCTCGCTGCCTCGAGGCGCATTGGCAAATAGCCAATAAATTTTTAAATTTCGATTCCGACAATATTTTCTCATAAAATCTTTGTTTCTTTCTTGATCAAATTCTTTGAATTTCGAAGGTTATAAAAATTAAAAATTATCTAAATTATCCAATTAATGCAGCCTGCAAATCTAGCCCCTATTCATCAGTCGCCAGACTTTAAAAAAAATGCCAAAATGTTTTTTGGACTCGAAAATGAATGACATACGCCGATTAAGTGAGGTGTCTCGTGCGAGAGCCGAATCTGGTAGCCACTTTTTTCGGTAGCCGTTAAAACATAGAGCTGGCGCCGATCGAATTTTTGAAAATGTGTCGTTTTTAAAGAAATTCAAAATTTCAATGTTTTCAAATTCGCACGATTGCGGAAAATTGGAAAAATGTCAGAAAACAATCGCTGTGATTTTGGCATAAAAATAAAGTTGTAGAATTACTGGCCAAAGTATAAGGATATGTTACCTCTCATTTTTTCTATTGTGCGACGCTGGCAATATTTGGGCTCCACTAACTCAAAGCCAATCGATTCCGACAAAATTCGGCTCCTGAACTGTAGATGTCTGTTGAATGCTAGAAATCCTGAAGACAACAAATTGAAAAGAAAAAATGCATTTTTCAAACTAGACGCGTGAAGAAACTTCTTTTTTCGACGAGGGAAATCATCAATGTTCGAAAAAACATCGCAACATCTTCCAATCTGAAATAAAAATTGCCAATTTTGGAAATGAGCGAATATTGTGTCACTGTTTTTTTTCAAGTTAACATTGATCCTTGGGCTGGCATTTCTTTGCCGGTACGAGTATTTGAGCAAATTATCTGAAATAATTATAATTTATTCGAGAAAATCGATCTAATTCAAACTCATTGGTCTATAAATCTAAATTCCTTTCGGCGGGGGATTAAATGAGAGCGATTGTGTCATTGCGCGCTCGGCCATGGAAACTCGGCCACCACCATGGTGTGCAATAACACATCTAGGATTTTTCAATGATTAACACAACAACAATCATTTATCGACCTGAAATTTAAAATTGATCAGTTGCAAACTTTGGTGAAAAAAATGTCACTGTTTCGAGAAGCTGGTATTGATATTGCTCACTGTTTCCAGAGCCCTAGTTGTCGTTCATGGCCAGTAGCGTCGTACAGCTCCATTTTTATGAAAATTAAATAATTAATAGAGAATTATTAATCCCCAAATCTTTCTTTGTAATGTCTATAATTTATGGATTTATGCTATTTAATTTCAATATTGGATTTTGAGTTTAAAAAATAAAAGAAAAGTTTTGCCAATTTGGCGGTCCCATCAACAAACATCCCGACGCCACTCCACCATAGGCGCCTAGACTTCCCCAGGCATTTCCCTCCTGGGTCGGACCCTTAGGGTCACCGATGCGGGGTGTTGGTCCGCGTCTCGTGGCAAGAGAAGCGCGGCACCCGTGCGGGCTCTCTCAAATCCGACTCAACGAATGTTCGCGAGACACGCTCACAGCGGGTTCGAGAAATTCGTTGTGGGACAGTGAAGGTCACAATTTTAAAAAAATTTTCTCAAAATAAAGTATGTAAAAAAAAGGTGAAAACATACACGGCGATTCGCCGGCAAATTGGTAGAATGCCCAAACCAATCGTATGAGCTCGTATTGAGCAGTGTGTCTACCCGGGACGAAGTTTCCCGGGAATTTCCGGGTTCCCGGGAAATTCCCGGGAAAATTTTCCCGGGACCCGGGACTCATTGAAACTTAATTTCCCGGGATCCCGGGATCCCGAGATACCGGGATCCCGGGTAGTTGCGGGACGAAACCGGGACGAGACCCGGGATTGGAGTCCCGGGATTTCCCGGATAAACCCGGGAAACGAAATTCCCGGGATCCCGGGAAATCCTGTCCCGGGTAGATACACTGGTATTGAGTCTGCAAATAGAATTTGGAGAATATTGCTGAACATAAATAATGATAACTTTAAACGAAGACATTTCTAAAAACTAAAAAGAAAAAAGAATTTCCACTGTTTAAATTCGAATATGAATTATCGCAACTCAAGTGCGGCCTAGAAAAATTGGTAATTTAAAAAAAAATATCTTAGGCTCGCTTAAACGCGACATTCTTAGATTTTTACGAATTAGTGACTTTTCTTTTGATTTCTGGTTTTTGAAATCGTAAAAACTCAAAATATATAAGTATTCATTTTTTTCTAAATACTTAATTAAATTAATTAATCCATCAAGTGTGGCCGTGGCCGAACCTAATTTTTGAATACTTTTTTCTAGGCCTCACATGAGTTGCGGCGAGCTGGGCTCGAAAAAATTTTCAAATAAAATTTTTTTATTCATTTAAAGTGTTTGAATTAATTACCTACCATCAATTTGCAAATGATTTTGTTGTTTTTTTTTCAGAATGTAACCAAGCATCAGCGAAAAAACTAATATTCACACGTTCGAACCTTCCAAAGCTTTGAAATAGCCGGAAAAATACAATGAAATATGGAACACGTCAGTTTTATTTTATTTTATTCTATCTCCGTTTTATTTATTTTGAGGTTGAGAAATAATTTTTCACGTTTATAATAGTTTTCGACCACAAAAATTTTTTTCAAAAAATATTTTAGATATTTTCAGGAAGCCAAGTTGAACAATAATGCAAGACAACTCCCGATTCTGATTTTAAGTTTCTTCGTGCTCTCGAAGTTTTTCCTCATCGATTTTCTCATTTTAATTCCATTCAGCAATATTTTCAGATCTTAATCCAGAAAATATTTGTCCTTCACAAAAAAGCGGATTCGATAAAATTTGCACTTCGGTGAATTACTTTTTTTGCGTTTGCCGAAGAACACTGTTCGGTGCTGATTTGATTGATAAAACTACAGACAGGATACATTCAAATCATCAAAACATTGGCGAACTAAAAATACATTTATTTAGGGATAAATAGTACAATTCAACATAAAATGCGTCTAGAAATATGAGGAAGGTGGTTAGAAATACAGATTTCTGGAACTTCTAGAAACTGTTTAACACATAAGTTAATGTAATTATATTCATTTTGTGTTTAAGCCTCCGGTTTGGCCTTCTCTGTGACAGCTGGATTCACGTTTATCGGGATGCTCGTCCCCTCCTTCTTGGCAATTCTCGGCGCCTCGATCGATAATCGGCCATCGTTCGAGAGATTCGAGACGATCGCTGATGTGTCGACGTCATCCGGAAGGAGCACAACACGCGAGAATGATCGATGCGAGAAGCCATTCTCATTCTCGATCTTCTGATTGCCCTCAATCTTGAGTTGTCGGCCGTTCACATCGATTTTGAGCTCGTCCGGCTTGAACTCCGAGACGGCCAGATTTACAGTGAACTTGTCATTGTCATACTTGAAGACCTGAAACGCCCAAATTTGGAATTGATTGAGGCGAATGCTCGAAGGTTACCTCGTTCTGCGCGGCGGCCGATGCTCCATGAAATACCATTGGCTCGAAATGACGCTGCATGGCGATCATGTCGCGCATCATTTCGCGCATCGCGGAGAGCATTGGTCGTGGTCCGAAGAATGGATAAAGCGACATTGTTTCGTATCAATTAACTGTTGAGCATCAACCTTCATGCTCGTCCTTTTATACCAAATTACCAGTTTTTCGCGAAAATTCCGGAACGCGCTCGCTATTCCTCGCAATCTCTCGCCTCACCCTTTTTCGTCTGCGTCTCTCTCCCCGCGCACTCTATCATGTTCTCTAACCGTCGCGAACCTCCGCTGTCGCGTTTTTGAATTCCACGGCCAGCAGTGATTACTTCGCAATTTTTGTAGAAATTGAGCTGATTTTTTGCACATTTTTTCTGCCGGCCATGTTTTTGCGAATATAAATTAGGAGAGTTGCCGGTTTTAAGCATTCCAGCGCATCGTTCCCTGGAATATTTGTTAGTAGGTTAAATTTAAAAAATATTTTAATATCCTTTCAGTGTCTTTCACAAGCATCTTTTTTAAAATGCGATAGCGCTTAGAAATTCGCCGAAAATCCCTCACCAACTTCGATAGGCATTCTTCAAACCGTTTGAAGGTTATTTGAAAACTATCGGCACTCTCGAACTCCCAAATGCGACCAATCTTCTGATGCGCGCGCCCGCACGCGTACATTGCCAATGTTTCGTGGTTTTCGCCGATTTACAACTTGCGTCATCTCGAAAATCGCCGACAACAGTTTGCTAGTAATCAACTTATCAGTCAACAACTCAATTTGAGAACCAAAAAAATGGGCAAAACAAATCCAAGAAATCATGTGAGACCGAATTTGGCAAAAGATTTTGTGTATGGTTTGGTCTTGCAGAATCGATGGGTGGTAGGAGATGATCAGAACAGAACAACTCGCTAGTAATCAGAAATCAAAACGAGTTCGACGAACACTGATTTCGATCAGACGTCACCCAGAATGGTTCATTCTAGAATGCCAGCTTCTGACCTTGAACCATCTTTGGTCAAGACACAACAAATTACAATTTTTAATAGATTTATCGATAATCCAAACATCAATGAATTAATATTAAATGCAAAACTACTGAATTTCGCTTGTATATACAATACACTGCAAAAACAATATTTACATTGAGGCGACCTTGTTTAAGCCTCGGCGTCGTCCTTAAAGAAGCGACGCATTTTGACGAAATTCTGTAAATATATTTTTTTTGAGATGACGTCGTCAACGCTATAAAGGAGGTATGGGTTCTACCTTTGGAGTGGTGGTGAAGCGGAAACAAGTTTGAGCCGGAATCAGAATGAGATCGCCGTATTCGCAAAGAATTCGAACCCAGATGCCATTCTGAAATGATTTTTCGTCCGTCAATCACACAACAAAAACCCGTGCCTTGTCCTCGACGTCGTAATACGCCGAACCCTCAATGATCATTCGCGCCTGCTCTTCGGGTATCGACGACTCCTCGAACAGCTCTTCAATTTTGTCGTCGAAATTGGCGGTGGTCTCCTTGTCGAGTGTGAAAATGTCCTCCTTCTTGAATTTGTGCTCAAGCTTCAACGTGGTGAGTCGTTTGGCGAGCGCCACCTGGTCGAGCGTGTCGAGCTTCCAATAGAGCGTTCCGGTGCGACGGCTCAACTCATCCGGCGTGATCATTTTCGGCGGGAACACGTGGTGCGGCAATCGCGGATCGCCGCATGGATACGGTTCCATTTGCCATATCTGCACCATCTGTAACACGAGTGCGAAATGATAAAGTAGTAAGTTGTTGAATGAGGCGGTGAAGTGGCACGAGTTGTGGGGGGGGGGAGGGGGTTTGGCGCGACCTTGTCGGCGGGGTCTCGCCACGCCCCATTCAAGCTTCCGCAATAATAAAATATCACAAGAACAATGCTCATTATACAGCAGTAAAAAAATAAAAGAAGTACAAAACACCTGCGGGCGCGTCTGTTTATGATCGAAACCTGTTGCGCAATCATTCTCGAATTCGCCATCTTATCATTCGAGAAGGCGTTGAGATGATCGCGGTCAGTCTCGACGAATGGCGAGGAAGTCGGCAGAATAACTCTCTTCTTATACCATCGCACACATTCAAACCTGCTTTAAACAAAAGAAGGCTGATAAAAATGTTACAGTAAAAGCTTTATACAGACACACACACATACAACATTGGTGGGGAGGAGGGCGCGAGTAGACATACAAATTCGCCTTTTGTGGTCCTACTGAAATTTTTTTTTACTGCTTCTTAAATACAGGTTGTCGGCGTCGTCGTCAAAACAACTACCGTAGGTTGGCGTCGAAAAACAAGCGAGGCGAAATAACCAAATTAAATGGTTATATGATGTTCACCTCAACTTTCGATGGATTCCCGCCGGTTTTATATTCATCGCGAATTGGCTGAAATTAATAATTTCAAGTGTTTTTTTTTTTTTGGTTTTTGCCATCGGTCACAGTTTTTCACAAAATTAGGAGCTAATTTTCAATTGGGTCCCTTTTTTTGAATGTTCTTTTTTCATTGAAAACAATTTGGTGCATACGTCTAGACGCAAATCTGCACACATTTTGACTCTCAATTTGGGGAACCAATCTTTCCGAAAAAATCAAAGCAAAAGCTTATTGAAGAGGTTTAAAGACGCATATGGGAAAACCACTATTCAAAACGGCAGAAAAGTTTGATTCGCAGGTTATCTGGAGTACGGTACGCGAATTGCCACGATTCAAATCGAATTTTTTTTTTGAAAGAATGGCACAATTTGAATCTGTCTGCATTCACAACGGCGCAAATTTGCACACATTTCTTTTTTGGTCAAATTTCAGTTCCTCAATGGGAAAGAAGCGTTTGAACAATTTGGACTGCGGAAATGAATCGGATCGTCCTCCACGCGTCCAGTTCTCTTCACTTCATCATCGACTTGCCCCCATCCGGACAATCATTTTCTCGAATCTCTCAACTGCCAAATGCAGTTTGTCTTTCAATTTTCAGTTTCACACTTACTTTAAACACAACCGCAAATTAACAACGCAGCCTTGGACGTTCGTTTTCATTCAACTACAAGTTACACATTGCTTTCCAAAATTCAGAATCACATATACATATACAAACTTTTTTTGTTATTCATTTTTTTCGGGCAAGATCAGATTGATCAGTCCTCACATATCAAGTGTAACAAATATTCGTCCACAACGGGATCGCTGCAAATCAATTCTCGGAACCATCTTGATAGTGGGCTTCCCATCAATGATCAGCGGCACCATCGAAATTTGAAAGTTCATCGATGAATCCGATAAGAGGCGCCGAAAAATGCATTTGGCACGCAGCCGGCTCATGATAAGCATTTTATGGAATGAACATGACGCTGGAATTTTGTGCATCATGGGAATCTTGATCTGCGATCGATCAAGACGAGAAAAAAATTGAAATGACCACGTGAAATGTGGGGAACGGTTTTCGCCATATTCGGCGAATTTTCAACATTCGATTTCTAGTCATTTTGAGAGGAGAAAATAAAAGTCAATTCGAACTTCTCGAGATTTCTTCATTTTTACTATTCCCCCAATTCTCTCATCGCATATCAATCTATTCGTTGGTGTGACCTTGAAAACCATTCAAAATCGAAATGATCGCCAAATCTTGGAAGTTCATCGATAAATTGTAGGGGCCTCCGATAAGGAAAATTATCGAGTTTGGCACGCATAAATTGTATATAAATACCACTGAGCGCTGCTCATCCCAAATTGGCTCCAATCTATGAAGTGTTTTGAGAGTGGGGTGGGGTGGGGGGTCGAACGGTTTTTCTCTCGCGCGTTTGTGTCGATTTCTCTACCCACATTCCAATTCCATCAAATTTCCTATGTATATATTTTTTTTCAAAATAGTTCTATGCGTCGGGTGCATTCCAACCCCCATACTGTTTGTTTATTTATTTATTATTCATTTGCTTAACATATGACACGACGGGGTGAACAAAATAGATTATTCATAATTTTTTTTTTCAGTCGCTATCAAAATGCGCGCTTCACTAGCGCTATTCCTTGTTGGCGTTTCGACGGCCGCGCCGTACGCGTGCGGCCCAGAATCGATATGCATCTCTCCGAGTACGAACGAGACTGTCCAGTTTCGGCGAAACGGCGCTCATCTGGAAGTGTCGTACAATGTTCGAGAGCTTCGAATTTATCAAGAAAAGGTTTGACTTGATTTGAAATGTGCACATTTCCACCTGCTGCGGACAATTTTATAATTCTGTAGCAAAAAAGAAAATTAGGAACGATTGTTTACCGCAATTAGCTGAAGGAAAAGTGCAATTATGTGTGACACAAGTTCACATCGTAAAATGAAGAATTCGTTTTCAGAACACCAAAATTCAAACCAACCTTGAATGCAATCCGGGGGAGAGTTGCACCGCAAGCGTGCCATTGGATCGCTACAATCCTTCGATTCCATTGATGATCCGCTCCGGCTCGAATGAGCCCGTCTCGTTGAACTTGGAGACGTTGAGCGGCGCCAGCGGGCTCACCAAACAGCAGAGGAGGCAATTCTCGAAAGCGCACGCGATTCTAATGCTTCTTGGCTGGCTTTTCTTTGTTCCGACGGGCTTTCTGTTCGCAAGAATGGGTCGCGATTTGTTCAAAGAGCAAACCTTGTTCGGCTCGGCGGTCTGGTTCCAAATTCATCGCGCCGCGAACTTTGTCGGCGTCGTTTGCATTTTGACATCGATTCTATGCATTTTCATTTCGCAACAGTGGACCTGGAAGGGATCGTTCTCCGGCGCGAAATACTGGACAGCAGTTCACACAGACCTCGGCATCATCTCAACAGTGCTCGCGGTTGCGCAGCCGCTCAACAGCCTTCTGCGATGCGGACCGACGCATTCAAGACGAGTCTACTTCAATTGGATTCATAGATGCATTGGAATTGTCTCGTTCACACTAGCACGTACGTCACATACCTTAAAAAATAATTTTCGAATTAATTTCAACCAACTCTCCTTTAGTTACCGCAATTATAATTGCCGCAGTTCAATTCAAAAAAATCTGGAACGAGCCGCTTTTGGAGGTTGTGCTAACGTGTCTTCCAGTGGCATTCTGCATTGCCGGGTCCATCGGATTCGTTTGGCTGGAAAACACTAAATTCAGGGCGAAAGGCAGTTTCGAGGTAAGGATTGGTGTCGGATTATAGTAGAGGGATAGGAACTGCATGATCTGCATGAAATTTTCAACAAAATTTAAAATAGTGAGAAAAAAACTATAAAAATTTGACAATTTTCAAATCGCTAATTGAAAAAAAAAATATGATTATCGTCAAATAAAATGCGCGTCCGCAATTGCGTACGTGCATTTTATTTGCCGCCAAACAGCAATTTTTCCGATTTAAACCTCGAAATCTGACAATTTCCTATTGTAATATTATTAGTGGTGCTAGTTTGCTAACTTTTAAACCGCTTTGGGACCGCTAATCTCTTAAATAAGCCCAATATCTACAGGAAGACAGTGTGAGACTGCTAAATTCTTCAGAATACGACGATAATGCAAAACCTGTGAAAACACAAGTTGCGGGACAAAAAAATGTTTTAAAAAATTGCTTGAATTTTTTCAGCCGCATCTTCTCCGAATTCCCGTCATTTTCCTATCAGTTGGAATTTTTTTCACATGCGCTGTCGCCCTGTCACTGCTAGTCGTCAATGGATACAAGAATGTCTAAATTATTATTTTGCTATTTATAATTTCAATTATTGCTCAGGTTTTGTCATATCGTCTATTTATTCAATTTATTTATTTTGTGTATATTTACGGATAATATGGTTTTTTTTTCGGAATAATTTTTCAGAATTAAATAAAAAAATTCTGTGCATTTTCGCGTAATATTGAGCACGGACTATGCTACAGTAACGCGAAAAAATCAATTATAAAAAATCATTTCCAGTGAATATATTTTCTTCCGTAATGTGAAACCGGAATTCCTCGCAATTCGCCCATAGATTAGGGACCTCTGAAATATTTTCTTTCCAGGATTACAATGACATCAATTCCATATTCAGTTGCTTTTTCTTCCCTCAAATGCATTTTGAATCCATTTATTCAAATCAGCCACGGTTAAATTTTGCGTTTTTTACGGTAGTGCCTCGTCGTGGTACAAAAGCGATGCGCGTCGTTTTTGTCGGCTTCGTAATGAGCTTTGTGGTCCCTCTTGTAATTACACGCTTCTGGAAATCAATAAGCTCATCTCAATTATGTCATTCGTTTGGTTCACCCGCATATATTTTTGAGTTGTTTTCGGTCTTCTGGTAGTCGTCGTATAAGGAGTAGGAGTCAATCTCACCTCAAACGTCATACCATTCGAGCTTTCGATATTCCCTTTTCTCTCGATTCCTTTTTTGGCGCCTCTTAAATAAATGGAAATGTTTTTTTTCGGGGTCATTAGACTCACTGCTCTTTAACTTGACCTTTCGAATTTTCAGCCTTTGGAAGAGCGGAGAAACAGATCGGCTGGAATTACAGAAATCATTGATCAATGGTAAGGAAGGTTACCAGAATGGCTGCCAGCGCGACGAAGTAAAGAAGAAGAAGACGCATTGCGAATTTTGACGAATTATATTGCTGGGGACCCGACTTTTATAGGGGACCCAAAAACCATAATCGAATTAAATTTGATAATTTGATTAAATTTTGATTCGATTTTTTTGACGAAATAATGCAACGTGGCAATTCCAAATGTAGTTATGTGAGGAATTTGAGCAATCTGACAATGGGATTCGACTATTAAAAAAAATATTTAAAAATTGGGCATATAATTTGTTTAAAAAAATAAAAAAATAAATAAATATGCAAAAAATGTTTCATTGAATGGCCGTATTGTGATAGTTAGTCCACGCAATTGAAATTCTAGGCCACGTTTTTTTATTTGTACAGAAAACCAGAAAAGTAATCGAAATGTACAATCAAACTGGGCAACATCCATCTCATTTTCAATATATTTAAAAAAATTTCAGAAAATTCAATATTGCTTTTTCGGGTTCCGATCAACTCTGATCCACAAAATTTTCCCACCTTCATTCTTAATCATTTTTTGTTTTGAGGAAATTTTTCAGACGGTTATTATTTGTACCTACTTTTTCCTGCAAAAAGAAAACAATTCGAATTTTTGGATCATTCTCTTTTGTAAAAATGTGATTATTCATTTTTTTCTTAAAGTCAATTAATATGGTTTTATCTAGAGGCTCTAGTTGTTAAAAACTGGCACCAAATTCAACAATTCCATTTCCGCACATTTTAAAAATATTTTTTTCTCTAAAAATCGATAAAGACAATATTTTCTATTTTTAGACCATCGCAAAAGCATGATTGATTAAATCATCGATTATGATTCGATTAGGGTTTTCAGGCCCCCCTATAAAAGAGCCTCCCCAAACCATATTGGATCGCAATTTGCAATGCGTCTTCTACTTCTCTTCTGCGTTTTCGCCGCCGCCGTTTTCGTGAGTTTTCGACACCATTGACATCATCGCCAATTCCATTCATTTTCAGTCATTTTGCTCGGCAACCAAATTCTACGATTCGAAATTTGACTACAATATGATGAATCAATGGTAAACAAAAATAGGCGATTCATGTGCTCATCGGATTATTTAAAGGCTGCGTCGGCGGTATAACATCGAGCGAAAAGGGAATGGCGGAAGCAAGAGCGATGGCGGTTATGGTGGCGGTGGCTATGGGCGAACGGATGCTCCGAGAACGGAAGCAACCACGCGATTCGAATGGACGACACGGGACAATCGAGGAAGTGGCGGAGGAAGTGGAGGAGGATGGGGATGATATAACACCGGCAGTCCATTCGATTTCCGCACTGTTGATTATGGCTAATTTTTTTTGTTAATAAATTATTTCTTGAAACAAAATGGAACAAGGTTTTCAAAAGTGTCAATCATCATCATCAGATATCGCAAAAGGCTTCTTTCATTGCTTCAGACTCTCGTTAGGATTCTGATAGTAGTCGACTAAGGTATTCTTCACGCAAATCTAGCCTCTCGCCAAAAATCAATGAATTTTACATACGATTCCCGATAAGTTGTTTTTTGCGTGATCCGCCATTTTTAGACCCCTGCGATTTTTGCTCTCATAAAATATCGTGAGACCAAAGAAGCCTGACCGGAATATTTTCAACTTCTACAATTATTTTCACAAAAAATTTTTCTCAATAAAAAATTTAATACGGTTCCAGAAATGTTTGCAGAAAACAGGATTGTCAATTTTGCGGCCCCTTTTTTGAATTTTCGCGCCACAACCTTGCGGACGTAAACAACGGAGTGTCGTAGACGCCCTCGTTTTATTTCTACTCATTTTTTTAAATTTCATCGTCAAAATCAAGTGTTGAAAGGCAATTTTTTTTTGATCAAGCTAAATTTATGCACCAGACTGTAGTAGAATTGGATTAGAATTTGCTGAGAAGCTATATGAAATCGACAAAACTTCCGCAATAATTGGGTTCAATTGTCCATATAGTTCGAGTAAAATGAATTTGGTTATGAAATTCGCATTTCAAAATGTGGCCTTTTTAAGTAGATTTTTATAAAGCCGGCCGGCGCGGCTCCGGATTTGACAAGCCTGCGTTGTAAGATTTTAATGCGGAATGCGGACCGGAATAAAAACAATTTTTTTTGAAATATCCTGAAGTAAAGTTTGTCCCCTGGGCTGAAACCACCCTTTTAAGGAAGCATTTAGATCTTACAATTTAATTTCGCGTCATTCTTTATAAAGTAACGGTTTTGTTTTATTTTCAGGCCATCGAGAAAAAAAAACACGCTTGATGACCTCATCGATTAGGGTTTTTAAATGGTTTTTCTACATTTGGAATTGCCACGTTGCATTATTTCGTAAAAAAAATCGAATCAAAATTTAATCAAATTATCAAATTTAATTCGATTATGGTTTTTGGGTCCCCTATAAAAGTCGGGTCCCCAGCAATATAATTCGTCAAAATTCGCAATGCGTCTTCTTCTTCTTTACTTCGTCGCGCTGGCAGCCATTCTGGTAACCTTCCTTACCATTGATCAATGATTTCTGTAATTTCAGCCCTTCTTATCGGCTCTTCCGACTGCTGACACTTCGAGGGTTCAAGTTCAGGAAGTGTAAGTCTAATAATTAAAAAAAAAAGCATGGACATTTATTTAAGAGGTGTCAAAAAAGGAATCGATAGAAAAGGGAATAAAGTTTCAAGTTCGAGTAGTGGGGTCGTTCGTGACCCTAACAACACCTACCCTTACGGTATGATGCTTGTGACGACGACGACGACTACGAGACGCCCGAATACAACCAAAAAGTATAACAAGCCGATTCGGGTGAGCAATTATTTATATCATTATTAAAATGAGTGTCTTGGTTTCCAGAAGCGTGTTATTACAAAATCCACAAGATTAGCACGAGGCCAACAAAACCGACGCATCACTACTGATAAAAGAACTAAATCAGGCAGTGATTGATTTGAATAAATTCATTCAAAATGGAAAATTGAATGTGTGAGTAAGGGCTTCTACAAGCTGCCGCTGACCCTCGTCATTCTGAGCTTCGAATTTCTTTGAGAGACCCTATTAGCATCCAGGGACTCTGCAGACGTGCACCCGTACCCCACCAACCAGAGCTGAAATCTTGTGAAACCAAAAATTATGAAACTCAAAGAAGTGTTAAAGATATGTATTTATTTCAGATTTAAACAAAAAAAAACATTTTCAAATTAATATGGTTCCAAATAGAAGAGCAAACCGTCGATTCGGATCCACGCGTACTTTTGCGGGAATCTCGACGAACGCGTGATGAAGTTCGATCCTTCGCGTATCAAATTGTATTCGACGTCCTCGAAGACGTTGTGCGTTTCATCGCTCGTCACTCGCAGACGAATGATGCCGTCGCGCGTTTTCTCGCCGTAGCCGATGAAGATCATCTCGTTCATTGATCCGTAGTCGACAATCGCGTTGTGGGTGTAGCGCGAGAGCGTCTCGCAAAATTTGAACATGGACGCGGTGCCGAACTCGTATTTCGTTCCGAACAGTCGCAACGATCGGAACGGCTTCGTCTCGCCGTTAAACTTCTGAACACGATCTGATCGTTTGATTGGTTTGAGATGGGAATAACTTACATCGCACTTTAGGATCACCTCGAGCGCCCTCACGTCCATTGTGTAGCCGTAGCCATTCTTCTCCGGATAGAAGAATTCCAATTTTTCGATGGCTGCCATCGACGCAACGATATCCGCGATTCGGACCATCGTCTTCTCTTGATGCGCGAGTCGCAGTACACTCAATCCGCGCGACTTCTTCACCAGCGTCCGAACGCCGTCCATCACGAATTGTCCGCAGAACATGATGTTGACGGATCGCACGAACCTCCACCAGCATCCCGGAAGGTTGAAGGCGAAGAACTCGAACATTGCCTCGCCGCCAGTCTCAACCTAAACCCATCAAACTGAGCACCAGAATTGTCGATGGTTTGACCTACCAGAATGTCCATTGTATGGATATTGATATGCTTGAGCAATTTGTAAAGCGACTGCTCGTCCACAGTAAACACTGCCTTGCATTTCTCGCAATCCGGCATTCGAATATCAATTCGAATTCGATTCTCGGAGATGACGACGTAGGCTGGAGGGTAGATCTCGCAAACATCCTCTCCCTCAAAACAATCCAGCGAATAATACATTCGCTCGATATCACCATCCTTTTCAACGGGTCTGCAAAATTCAAAATAATCCAATAGTTGGGGCCAATTGATTTCTGGAACCTTTCGCAGTTGTCCAATGCATTGGTGAATGAGTTGAACATCATTGTGCTCTCGCTGCAGTCTCGAATCGAGCATTCATCAGAGATGCAGTCGATTTTCTTTTGAGCAAACGCGCCGAGTTGTTCAAGGCTTTCAAGATCGGCTGAAACGAACCAAAAACATTAAATTGTTCGATTTTCGAAAACCGAAATCATTTTCCACAAATTAGAAACTTCTTCAATTTTTTGCCATTTCTAGACACGTTTAGCTCATATTTTTGGGCACACGCTAAAGGAAATGTTTGAAATTTTTTCAGAATTTCTTCGCAAAAAAACCATCGCCAACTATTTAGCAGAACTCGGCTAAAATTGAAGACGACGTTCGAATCTTCAATTTTTGACGGGCTTTTGAATATTTTAGGAATTTCCCACATTAAATATTGGCTTGCAAACATTTTCCGAATTTTTTTAACACCTGTATTCAGATAATTTCTCTGTTCAGGTAGTGGTTTTTTAATGCAATTCCGCTAAATAAATGAATAAATTTAAAAAAAAGTCAATTTCTAGATTTTTAGGAAATATAGCTAAAGGTATTGGAATGAATTTTAGAATAATGAAACTTTCGTACCTGGTATATTCTTGGCTCTGCCGCATTGTTGACAATGGTCGAATTTGAAGCTCCATTTGTTGTTGTTCAGCGACATTGCAGCACGAATGAGTTGTAGACGATATGACACCAGACTGATCGGAATGGCGAACTATTGCACCAATTGGGAGGGTGGAGCCCATTTTTTTAGTTGTCACCTAATAAATGAGAGATAGTGCGCGAAACGATGAGTGCTCGAGAGCAGCGAGCCTAGAAAAGGGGCCAAGCAGCCTTTGGGAATCTTGGGCGATTGCTGCTGACGGGGGTTGAAAGGAACACACACAAACACATATGTGACAAATGGATATGGCAAAATCAATTGATTCTTGTGTGAGCCTAGAGATTTGTGTGAAAAATCACAGAATAGAAATGTTAATATGTAGTGATATTCGGATCGGAAGTCTCGATTACGGAATACTGGATGCCATCGAATCCCGTCCACGCCGCCATAACTATAAGATATATAATTATTAAGGACGCGATAATTGTTTCTTCAAATTGACTTCCACGGCTCGGCAATCGTGAAACAGCCCCGACTAACATGTCGATGAGGTCCCCAAAGGATGGAAAATTGCATTTAAGATCCATCCACACTTTTTTCACTTTCAGTTTTTTTTTTGAGATCGAGAGCTCGCAAACGGATTATTAGATTCAAATTGAATAATCAAAATTTTTAGAATTTCGAATATCATAATTTGGGAATTTCGACATAGACTTTTTGACAAACTTCTAATGCAACGAAATATTCTAAAAATGACGTTTAGTTATTTTATAAAAAAATGAATAATTATTTAGTAACGTTTTCATACATTAGAAAGCTGGCCATAATTCTATCTAAAACCACATTTTCAGCCATTTTTGAATTTTCAGTTTTCTTCATTAATGACTATTGTAATGTATAAGACGCCTCTAGCATGTCATAAATTTTTGCAAAATTGCTCAAAAACATGGTCAGACCTTCTGGCAACAAGAACCTTTCAAAAAAAAATCCAAAAAGCCATCGTCCGAGGAAGAAGAAACGGAACGACTGTCAAGTACCTGGCGCAACAATTTCAGTGCTCGATATCTGCTGTTTATAAAGAATACACTGAAACGTTATTTTCCTAATGTAACGCTTCAAAATCATTTCACACTTCAAGAAAAAAAATTTTATGGGTGCCCACCACGGAAGACCGGTTTCTACCTCGAGAAACATGAATCGTAACATTGTTTGCGCCTGAAGAGAAGATCCTCACCGGACGTCAACTGACATTCAGAATGTTGTAACTACTTCAAACGAATCTGCATCATCTCAGAGAACAATCAGAAGACGGCTGTAACAAAATGGGATCCATGGACGACGTCCGGTGAAGAAACCATTCTTCAACGCCAAAAGCCGATTGGCTCGTGTGAGGTGGGCCACAGAGAATTTGAACTCGGGACACCTGGAGTGGGCCAAACACTTTTGGTCCAATAAAAGCAAGTTCAATCTGGATACGTTTTCCAACGGGATAACGATCCAAATCACTTCTCCCTTCATCATAAATCGGCTCGATGGTCGTCGTATTGATGTTTTAGAGTGGCTGAGCCAGTCTCCAGACATTAATCCAATCGAACACATGTGGGAAGAGCTAGAGAGACGTCTTTCTGGAGTTCGTTCCACAAATCCGGTTCAAAAATTTGACCAATTCGAAGTGGTGGTGAAGTTCATCCCGATCAGTGTTTTTGAGGCTCTTCTAGATTTAATTGCAAGAAGATGTCAAGCTGTTATTGACTCAAAAGGCTGCGCAACAAAGTATTAATCAGCTTCAAATAATTTTTTGGGTTTATAATACCGGTATGAGCAATAAAATGATTAAAATTAAGTGCTGCCTCATTTTTGAATTTTTTCAATTTTCAATAAAATTTCAATTTTTTACTTTCTTTTCGAAATTTAAAAAAGTGGATTGGTGAATTGCAAAATATATAGTAAAATTAGAAGAAAAACGAAAAAAATATTTTTTTGTCTTGTTTTATCTTTTCGCATTGCCATGTAATCAATAATTACTGGGTCCCCCCAAAATTAGTAGCACTACTACGAGAGCATGTAACTCAAAAACGAAAAGCCAGTATTAAATGAGATTTAACGGATTTTTCTTACAATATATAAGAGAACTGTCTTCTATTTTTGTTCTATATTGTTCAAATACCACTCTTCTCGGCGATGGCCCTTTAATTGATCTTCATGACCAAAATCTAATCAAGAATGAAATTCGCTTTTTTTTTTCAGACCGTTCTCACTCACAAGGGAAGTCATTAGAATTTTTTGTAATTTTGCACACGTAAACTAGAAGATCTATTGAGTGTGTTCACAAAATTCCAGCATGCACTGGGGGGGGGGGTATGGCCGTCTGAAAATTCAAGGTGTTTTTTCCATTGTCAACCATTTGGGCAAGGGGTCAGGCAAATTAAATAAAATATTTTAAGAATCAAATATTCAATAATAAATTCAAACCAATTATGAGAAATTCGAAATTCTATTGATACTTTCTAAAACTTCTTGAGAATTGCTAAACTTTTTTTTATCTTATAAGATTTTCTAAATTCATTGAGAAACTAACGTGTCTCTATAATATTTTAGAATTTTCTCAATCAACTTTAGAAATTATTATAAGATTTTAGAATTTATTGAGATAATTTAGAATTTGTTCAATAAATTTTTAGAAAATCAATTAAGATTTTGGATGATTTTAAAAATATTTTTTGAACACCCGATATTTATTTTCAGAATTTAATTTTATCGTATGCAATGAGGATATACAGTTTTTTGAATACGATTACGAAGTCCGATTATCAGAATAATTTCAAAAACGCCGATTTATTCAATAAAGTTTTTCGAAAGAATCCGGTCGATCGACTATGAATTGACACATGAATCCGCCAATCTCCAAACTGCTGCATTAAATATTTACTATTGATGATTATGTCACTTTTATTTGGGTTTTCAAAAAATTTCAGAAAGTCGTGCTGTAAATAAAGTTTCCATGTGGGCAACCGCCGGCCACGGCGTTCACACTAGTGGGATTTACATGAAAAAAAGATTTGTCTCAATGGAGCGCACTTGCAGCTTAGCGCTATTCCGGTGCATAAATTCAACAAATTAAATTTGTGAAATAAATTAGAAATGTTCTCTAAATGGAGCGTTTTTTCAATAAGAACGATTAGTTTTTATATTTCTTCGGGTGGATCATATTCACCGCATGTTATGGTCTAATTAGTTATAAATTAAATAAGTTATTTTAATTTATATAGGATTTTTTTTAAACATAACATTTTTAAATGATAAAACCATCAATTAAACGAAAGAAATACTACACAATCGAATTATGATATAAAAATTGATGATATGTAGCAGATGAATTCAATGCGAGTAGATAAAGACGCGAGAGAGATTGAATTCGGAAAAAGAGGATATAAGGACATTTGGAAAATTGCAAAACTAATAGGGAAAAAATACACTTATCAATTTGGAAACAAATGGATAATCAACAAATACATTTAACAAGATTCTCTTTACCGATTTCATTAGGCAGCTTGAAAAGATGTATTTGTTGCTATACAACACAAATAGCTAAAAAAAGGCATTTTTGGGCTGAGGACGTCTTTCCATTGGTCTTTTGAAGTAATTCGGAAGTTTAAAAAATCGCGAAAAGCGAATTGTCCGTGATATCGTTTCATCACTCCGCCAGCTTTTGATTTTCGAGATGGAGTGCTTATCTGAATTCAATAAATGAATTCAATGCGAGTAGATAAAGACGCGAGAGAGATAAATAGAAAAAAAAGAAGCTGAAAACGGTAAATTAACGTAAGAACTAACGAAATTAAAAAAAAAAACAACAAAAAATTATAGAGAATCTCTTGCAACTTCTCCGCCGAAATGACACACTATTTACATTTAAAATTTGCAAAAAAAATAAAAATAAACAACTATGAAATGTTTTTCCAAGTGTTACCAAACATAACCGTATAACTCAAACCATATAATATAATAATAAATGATATTAACAAAAGAGAGAGTGAAAAAACAGAGAAAAGAAATGTGAATATTTCTACAGTTCAATCTTTAAAAAACTACGGACCTCTGAATACTTATCCGATTGAATTATAGTTAAGCTTTTTCGATAGAAAAAAGCCTTGCGAAAAACGTGGTCGGTGCACTTTTTTGTTAAAATTTGAGAAAAATTCAAAAAACTTGAAAAATGAGCCAAAACCTGGCGATTTTTAAAAAATTCGTCTGCGCGACAAAGACGCCAACAATCGATCACTGACACAGTTTGAGTTTTCATTTCAGGTAAATCCCACTAGTGTGAACGCCGTGCGGCGGTCTTGGCGATGGCCGAGAAAAAATTAGGTCAGAATAACACGTCCGCGAAAAAAATTCGTTTAGCATTGAGTTTTTTTTTTGAATAATCATCAGTGAAACGTTATGTGAGCGTGTTTTCTTCCACCTTAAAAGCATTTAAATACGCAATTCTCAGGAACTCACTAAGTAAGTTCGCCCGTGTGGAACCCCCAGCTGTAAAAACGGTGAGGAATATAGTTGAATCGCCAATGAGACGGTAATTGAGAGAGTGTGTGATTTTGAGAGACGGAGACATTCATACAGCACGATTTACTGAAAGATTTCTGCAGAATTCCTTGTGAAGGAGCGGGTTATCCCAAACCAAAAAGGATTCGCTCTGTTCTGATTTACGAGGCTTGCGTCTATTGCGATGGTCTTGACACACGTGAACTGGGGATTCCGTGTAAGACCTGAGCAAAACACGCATCCCCGTAAATCTACAATCGTAAAATTGATTTCTTACTGTACAGAATGCAGCAGTTTGTTTTTCGTAAGGATTACGCGATTTCCGCTTGTTTGTGGTGTATAACTATAATCCCATAATGATTTGCAGAAGCTCATTACTGGATCGGGTCTGGGAAATTCACTATTCCGAAAAAACCCATTAATACTGCGTCGAACACCGAGAAAATAATTCCAGCCGTCTTTGGCGATCGCTGAAAATTAATATTTGGGCAAGTTCGATTCAAGCAGAATTATTAAAAGAAGAAATGATATGTAGTAGAAATGCTTACAGCCGAGCATTTTTACTTCCTCTATACTTGTAGGTTCGCTTAACTTTGCGGATAGATCTTTGCAATGGCTACATGTATTTGTTCCAATACCTCTTTTGCAATTCCCGCTTGATGAAAAATAATCATACCACCGTTGATAAGCCTTAAAAATCCAAATTATGTATTATTGACGGCGTCAAAAGACTGAAGGGTGACGGGGCCTTCAATTTCGCGAAATCAGTGTAGATTTAAATTAATCGTGTGAATATCATTAATAGACCTACCTTATGACATTTCATATAACTTCCTTTGATAAATGGAAAGAAATCACTACGACAATAGCCGTTTCCATCGAAACTGTAGTACTCTTTAAATTGATTAAATCGTCTCGATTTCTCGAAAATTCTTACCTGACTGGCAATACATTGGAGATCGTTGGCCGAAAGGAGCTGATGTTAATTGCCAATTTCTGTATTGAAGGGATTTTAGAATTTTCTAGGGATTTCAGTAATCACCCTTCGTCCGTTATCATTAATTTCGATGCCGTCAAATTCCTTCTCACATTATAGATCTCTTCCTTCTCGAATTCATCACAGAGACGGGTTGAATTGGTGGTGTCTTTGATTCCCGTGTGAACATATTTGGTCTGCGAGAAATAATTCGAAGAAATTGAGAGTTTCAACGAATGATCCTCGTTGAATCTAATGAACTGATGACGTCCGAAATCAGAAAATGAATCCATCAATTTCTAAATATTCTATTCATCTGAAGCTATTAATCAACATACTTTGCACACTCTGTCCTCTTCCGGGGTTATTCCACTCAGATAATTCGAACTTCTGAGATTGTCGTATAAACTAAATTTCTCAATTTCGAATTACCCATATTTTCCAAACGTCGGATACACTTGATTATTCGGTAGTGAATATTCTTCAAAGAATATTTCAGAAAACTTTCCAACGTCTCCATGAACAGCTGAAATCGAACTGGTTTTGACTCGAATTCCAGCAAAAATGAACCAGAATATGATTCTTTGTATGATATTTCGCATATAAATAAAATATTGTCGTCTTTGATATCAATTGGTTTGATATAACCAAATTTCCCAATGAACTGCTCCCTCAAATCGAAATATTCATCGTCATCTCGTAGATCATCAGATTTATGAATATTTTCAGCATAAATTCCCTCATAATTTGTGAGAAAATCCATCCAAATTGAAGCCGATGGTCTGAATATTCTCTCAATAATTCCAATCATATCAATTCTGTCGAGTTTCGCCAATTTGAAATTCGATCCACACGTTTTGTTGATTCCATTATAATTTGTTGCATTTTCAGACATTAAATAACATTTGTCATCAATTTGAAGATAATTTCGCGGACAAGTATAATAATGATCTAATTATTTACTTAAATAGTGTAATTAAATCAAATCCAAACCGAAATCACATTCGATGATATACTCATCAATTATTCTTGCAGCTTTCACCCTATATGGCACAAGTCGTCTACAAGCCTCGACTGGCCCAATCTGCCGTTTTTTATTTATTTTTATTAAACTAGAATGGTTTTTGATCAAATACGTACAAATTCATTGGCTGCAAACTGGATCTTTGCATTTTTACAAGACACTCCAGTTCCATAAAACTGTAATCAATTTCAGAATTTCAATTTAAAAACCACCAACGATATCAGTTCGATTTGTGCTTTTTCCTCCAATTTGTCTACATAAAATATGAAAAAGCGAATCATCAAAATCGTAATATTTTTCTGCTTCGGTTTCTAATATAAATACAATGTAAATTTGAATTAGAATTCCTGAAATATCTTTAAATTTATTCATGAATTATTCACGTTCTTCAAATCATTTCAGAATCGAATTTTTCAATTTTTTGTTTTTCATTAAAAGTTGATCGATTTCAAATATGAAATTTAAAGAAATTATCCAATGAAAGAAAATTCTCGTGATGAGACCCAAAAACAAAAATTGAAATGCTTACCTATCTTTGCAAATGCAATCATAGAGTTTTAACGTAGAAATTAACCAAATTTCATTTTAAGATTTGCAAAATACACGTATTATTTGATAATTGGCGAATGGTTTATTCAATTTGGACAATAATTTTTTAATTTAAATATTTCGAATAAGATTAAACTTTAATTGTTGTTTTTTTTTTCATTATTTAGAGAAACATGTTGTTAAATTATTATTGGAAAAATTGATTAGCGAAAGCATAAGAAAAGTGTTGTCATGACCACGCCCACTATTAAAAGAGGGAAATGTTTCTGAAAGTTTCCCCAATTCAACGTCAAATTTTTATGGTATTTTTCGGTATTTTTTGTTTAAAAGTATATTTTGAATGATATTGGAATGAGGTAATGGAAACGTTGTGATTCTTTTAGGAGGAACTAACTCCCAAATCGAAATAGATTTGATTTGAAAATCGTGTATTGAATATGCAAATGGAATTCAAGACATTCGCCTGCTCAATGTGCACATTTTGGGTAGTCAACATTGTGGAATGTGTTTAAATAACTTGTCTTTCAGAATTTGTAATGCAGTTATGCGTTTTGTTGGCATTTTGCTCAAAATCTCATCGTCGACTTAATTTCATGGCGGTGACGAAGAATTTTTGATTGCACTTGCAAATGTCACTCGGGTAGTTCTGAAATTGCACTCGACAATTTTTTTTTCAAACGGAGCGGACTTTGGAATTTTCGAGGCGTTTGAAAAAATTCGAAATTTCAAAACGCTCTTAACGAAGACTCAAAATTCGCTCTAAATAGTTTTTTTCTCTTACGAGAATCATGGCGGCTATTCTAATTATGAATCAATCAAACCCTTTAATACGACAATATTTAAAAAAAAGTATTCTTTGAACGAATTGTTATCAATTAAACAAAAAGATTGCATTTTAAAGAGGCTGATTTTAAGACCAAAAATCTGAAATTTGCTCACCCGATAACCATATTTGCTGATAACAACGAAATAGTATTGAAATCGGTGAGAAGCTCTCTTTTTGATATAGTTAACCAACCATTCGGCTCGAACATTCGATTGGCATTCGTCCAAAACTACCTGTTGAGTAGGAAACTAGTTTTTTTTCGATATTCTATTCGGATATTATTACACAATCTACATATATAATAGTTTATATATTATATACATACACATTGATTAAATTTCAGGTATAAATGGGCAAATACGAACTGGTTCCGGAATGGCTGGTTAGGAAATCGATGATTGGGTGAGATATCAATTTATTTTTTTTAATGAAACTCCTAACAAAAGCCTTCTTGTAAACTGATGAGATGTAACGGCCAATTTGGAGATATCATTGAATTACACCAAACATAGTGATGTTCAGTGATTAGAGATTTATGGAACAAAACATATGTGAAATCTTGAAGTGACCGCAGAAAATTCAAAGATTCACAGATTTTTTTTTTCATTCATAATCCCAGCTCGCATTTATTTTTATTATCGTCTTCTCAATTATTTTGTTCGAGCTTGGTTGAATTCAAACTCAAAATTTCATTTTGCATTATTTGAACATTTTCAATTTTAATTTTTTTCTTTTATAAAGAAACCATCCAATCAGGAAATTCTTTGCAAAAAAAAAATAAATATAATAAATGGAAAAGGAAGTTGAATTGGCGCTGAAACAGCGTTACTAGAAGACTTTCCATATGTTTTGCAGCTTCTTCGAAAATAGATTTAAATTTTTGGTTTTGCGTTCGCCGTGTAGCGCGTTTCCTGACAAAAAAGGCGAGTATCAGAATTTTGCCGTTGTAAGACATTGGTGCGTTGCGGTTTGTGTGCGAACAGTCCAAAAATGGTAGCGCGAGAAAATGCGTGAAAACACCGTGACGTGATATCACAGAAAAAATCGGGAAAAAAAACACAATTCATTCGAACATTTTTTTCGTTGGATTTTTTATTTCGTTGGCCTAATTGAAATTAATTCAAAGCGTTTTCTTCAATTTTTGCGGGGATTTCTTCAAAATCGGCAAATTATGTTTGAAAACAAACCCAAACGCAAACTGAAAATGTTGTTCATCGAAATATAGAACAATAAATGTGTAAACTCGTTTTACACTGTTGTTTTGTTCATTCTAACAATGAATATATGTTGAATTTGACCTCGAGATGTTAATGAGAGAGAGAGAGAGAGAGAAAGAATCAGTGACAGTTGTCTCATTCTCTCCTTAAATTTTTTTCCAGCCAACAATACAAGCGTACACAAAACCTGTTATTTACAGTGCGCTGGTGGCATTCGGGGCGTGGTTTGGTGCGGCATGCTTCACCGATTTTGTTGCGATCGGCATTGAAACGATGCGACTCGATAATCTCGTCGGCAGTGTGGCTCCCGGATTCGAAAAAGTTGAAAAGGTGTTCAGGTGAGATTTTGAATGTTAAAAAAATTATCTTAAGGGTCCTTTGACGGATATCAGTGGTGTATAGGTACACTGAAGTGGTTCGTATCTGTTGAAATTTGTATAGAGTGTGCAATTAAAGCACCGATGTGAATTTTCCCAAGTGAGGAATCGATTTTACCTGTAATTTGAATATTCCGCTAATTTATTATCAAATGTCATCATTTTCAAAAAAAAAAACGCGGGAAACATTTGAAATCCATAAGCGAAGACTTCTTTTAACCTGATGTTAACCGTTTTTCCGATTTTCTCCCAAAATTTTTTCTTTGATTATTTAAATATGGCACCAAAACTTTGTACTGAACTTTTCCCGCCTAATTTGAATATTTTTATTTTGATATAAAAAAAGAAGCTTTAATTTTGTTATTCATGCCAATCTGAAAAACGTGTGTATTCTGAAAAGAATGAGAAAAGAACGAGAAAAAAATTTTTGCGCCCTACCGTTTTTTTGACAGGCCAAATCGCGTTTCTTTAATTGAATTTCCCCTTACAATTGGCATACATAGTTCAATTTACTCGACTTTCACTGCTTTCATTTCTTAGGACATTGAATAACAAATTGGGAATGTTTTTATTGGGATTATTCACTTTTTTGCTTTTCGATTCAAACTGTACAAATGGCAAACATTTGCATTCAAGTTGGCCGCTGAAATCTAAAACAAGTGTTTATACACATAAACCAATCGTATCTATGAGACGCTTTTGGAAATTGAAGGTAGACCCCCGCAAAAACGGGAGAAAATGAACAAGTGTAATAAAGGAGAAGGGCATTTTGAAGAGCGCGGCATGCATGGAAAGAAACTGGACACTAATATTTAGCTGAAAGTGAAATTATGCGTACATCCATATATATATATATATATATATATATATATATATATATATATATATATATATATATATATATATATATATATAGAATAGAATTTGTAAATATACTTTAGAGAGGAAGTGGAACGAGACGACCAATGGTTGGATAGAGTTTAGCGCGATTCGCGTTGGCTAGCGTGCGGGACTGAAGTTTTTGTGGGTTTCAGAAAAAATTTCGCTGATGGATGGGAACGCGAAGGTGCCGCTGTCACCGTGTACCACAAGGGTCGGCTGATCGTTGATCTTCAAGGCGGCTATGCTGATCGATCGTCTGGACGAAAATGGACGCCGGAAACGAGAACTGTGGTTTTCAGTACCACAAAGGTGACAAACAAATATTATTTTAAATTTTTGTTTGAGCAAAAATCGAAAAATTTGATTTCAAGGCGGTTGGGGCGGTCTGCGTCGCGATGCTCGTCGATCGCGGATATCTCTCATACGACGACAAAATGAGCAAGTATTGGCCGGAGTTTGCGCAAAACGGCAAAGAGAACATCACAATTGATTGGCTCATGTCGCATCGAGCCGGCCTCGCCGCTCTCGATGATCCGATCACGATCGAAGACGCGCAAGACTTTGAGAGGATGAGCGAAGTGATCGCGAAACAGAAGCCGAATTGGGAGCCGGGAACCAAAAGCGGGTGAGTCTTCCTTTCAATCCGAGATCGTTGATGTTTGTTTTTAAATTCTATAATCATCGAAAAAAAAGAAACGAGTACCTTGAACTATTGTGGACCATCGCACTTTTTCGGGTTTCAAGGTTCGTGAGACTTCGGCTACCCTACTACGGAATAACCTACGAATCAAATTCAAAATAAATTTTCGAAAGGAGCTCGTTGTCTTTTTTTTGGCGACAAAAAAATGTTTATGATTTCCGAAAAATTATAAAGCGTCTACAAGTCTGAGCTATTATTTTGTTGTTGAAAATCATCGACTATTTTGTAGATATCACGCCATCACTTATGGTTGGATTGTCGATCAGATCGTTCGCCGAACTGATCCCAAAGCAAGATCTGTCGGAGTTTTCTTCAAAGAGGAGGTCGCTGACAAATTCGGAATCGACTTCCACATTGGACTTCCGCCGAGCGAAGAGCACACCGTCTCGCGACTCTCGATGCCCAACAATTTGCATTTGTGTCGTGAGATTATCTACGATCCGAGGTTCGATCATCCATCGGCACCGTTTTGCCAATTGATCTATTGCGTTCTTATAGAGTTCTCATCGTGCTTGCTGTCTTCAATCTCCGGCCGCCAAACTCGTTGGCGCGCAAAATCGCCGCGAATCCGACATGGTTCAAATTGGAGCAGGATGTGAACACCTTCAACAATCCGGCACTTCACGCGATCGAGCAAGTCGCCGCACTCGGCATCACCAAATCGCGCGATCTCGCCAAATTGTTCAGTCTCGTCCAACAGGGAAAATTGTTCTCGAAGGATCTCCTCGATCGCTTCAAGACGCCGCAAGTTCAAGGAATCGATGAGGTCGTGATGACACCGCTGCCGAAAGGTCACGGCTTCCTCTATGAACGCCATCCGATGGGAGGTGTAAGTGATTGGCTTCGAATTTTGGGAAATCGAAATTGCAATTCAGAATCGCTGGCTCGTCGGTCATCCGGGATACGGTGGAAGTACGGTAATGATGGATCTCGACGAGGAGGTACGATCTCTAGAAGCGAAATTATAAGCCACAACTGAAATTTCAGATCACAATTGCATATGTTTCCAATGGATTGAAAACTGGAATGGGCGAATTGACACGAACATATCGTCATTTGCGTGATGCCGTCTTCGAAAGTCTTGAGAAGCTCAAAAAATCGGGATCGGTCGCCATCGAATCGCTTGTTGCACCCATCGAAATCGCCTAAATCGAGTTTCATTCAAAAATTTTCAAAACGGGTCCCCGCTATAATTCAGGCCTTTTTTCTGTATAGTCGTTTCATAGTCGTTCGAATTGTATATAATTGTCGTTATTTTCTTTGTTTATAAATTAGCAATAACCGGTAGAAAACCAAAATCCAAGAGGGAAATCGAGAAAACAATAAATAGAGGAACCGATTCTTGCAATTTCAGAGCGAAATTTGTTGACCGATATATAAGCGGACTCGGGAATTGCAAGAGTGGATGCGAAGAAATGAAAATTGAGAGAGAATTACGAAATGTGATTAGAATTAACACTAATATACTTATTCAATCCTCCATATCATCTTCGTCAAGCTTGGCGTTCGCCCATTCTTCAGCGGCAGCGACGACATCATCAGGAACCGACTGAAATCGGTGGATTGAGGTTGATTAGCAATTAATTGTGCAATTTACCTCAAATTTGCCGTTTGTGTGCTCACCAACCCATCCCATTTCGATTTGAATGTCTTTATCTTTGTTCTCATCTCGAATTGCAATAATGATCCGGGCAGCTTCTTTCACAAGATCCTGAACGCTGAGCTGCTCGATTTTGAGCTTCTCGATTTCAGACTTGGCCGCTTGACGATGCTTTCCCACTGACCAGGCTTTGTATTCGTAATTGAGGCCAGACGGCTCGACGAGGAACAAACGGCCACCGTCCTTTTTGTCCCAAGAGGCAAAGAATGCGGCGGCTCCGTACGGTCGGGAAATTCCAAGAGTGAAGATATGAACGTATTCGGCAACGCTGTTCGCCACCTTCTGCACAGGCATTGGCTCGCGGTAGTCTTTCAACCATTTCATTGCTTCTCCGTACGCATAATTCTAAAAATACAAGACTAATGTGCAAAGGATTTGAGCAACTCTCAAACTTTGAGTGAGAATCCATCTGGATAAACGCCAGCGATTCCCATGCCGACATTCTCGTTGACATTGAACATTCTTGGGTTGGCATTCTAAAAAATGACACATTTCACCAAAAATTTGAATATTTCGCAAAATATCACATCTGTGTAGAGTTTTGAAGTGATGACTTTGTCAACAGCCATGACTACGCCATTTTTTCCGCGAATCGCAATCATCGTTCCACCATTATCAACAGCTTTTTGAGCATATTCAACTAAAATTAGTGGAATCTATTAAAAGATTATTGTTGTCATCGGGTACCTTGGAAAATTCTTCCGTCAGGGGAGAATGTTGAGGCGGCAAGATCGTAGCCAGTTCCAATTGAGCTCATATCTTTAAAAATAAATGTAATAATGTTATGAGATGGCAAATTGGAGATTGTCTTCGGAGTAAGATATTTAAAGCATGATAATTTCATAATTAATCATGTTCAGAAAAATAGAAAGTGAAAAAGCTGCAAAGAGTACAGAAATGAAGGAAAGAAACGAGCAGAAATTCAAAATGATGATTTAAATGTAAATCGACAACGAGAGAGACAAAAGTGCGAGGTCTCGCACCGAAAATAAAAAGAGTGTGTCAATCAAGGAGACGCAGACACAATCGTGCGCCTTTGACGAAATATTTCATTTTTCGACCATTTTTCCGTTCTTTTTTTTCCGCTTTTATGAGAAAGCGGGTAATTTTCTTTTTTTCTAGATTTACAATAGAATCGTTTTATTTTTTATATTAAAACATGAATTTTAGGACAATGGTAAAAACAGAGGAGAGGAAAAAGAAGTTCCACGGAAAAAAGAAAGTAAAAAATGTATTGGAGAAAAAGGCAAAGGGTTTAAAATTAAACAAAATGGACAGGAGGAAGATTGTAAAGGTTTTTGAATATTAAATTGTGTCTCATTTTGCATTATTTATTATTTTATAGGTTGAAGAGAAAGCAGCTTTAAAAAATAAAGTGGAGAAGGCTGTGAAAGAAGAACTTGAGCGTCTTAAAAAATCATCTGGCTCGGTTTTTGATAATGATGGCAGTCGGGATTCAGTGTGTTCGGAATCATCATTTGGAAGCCAGCCAGCTCCAAAAAGATCGTCGAAAAATGTTTCTTTTTCTGGAACTTTAGAGCACACTAAAGTTTTTGATAAACGCGTCAAAGATCTTCAATTTAAACCATCAGATGCTTCTCCGGGTCGAGGAATTTTAAAAACTCCCACATCGGCGAAGAAAGTGAAGGTGCTTCTTTTGTGAAATAGGCTGTTTTTCAACATTTTCTCATTTTAGAAGTCCGTTACTGTTGCTCCTGAAGCCGAAAACGGAAAAGAGATGGGTCCACCAAAAAAGAGGGTAAAATTATCGGAGAAAGTTGCCGTCACAACAGAGCCCGCCGATGAAGAAAATACCGAACCTCAAGCTAAAAGTACTGAAGTCAATGATGAACCAGTTTTCAAAAAGAAACGATCAATTCAGGTAATTAATTCAGTTTTGTTTTCTTCAGAAAACTCCTCCTGATTTAATTGTTTAGGTGACAAAATCGGTGAAAGAAAAATTGCTAACAATGGATCGCAAAGAAAGAAAGGCTTTCCTCAAAGAGCTCAAAATGAAGAAGAAGCCTGAAGCAGCTCGTGCTGAAAAGTGTAAACAATTATGGGAAAAAATTCGAAGTTCAAAAACTCCGACTGCTGAGAAAGACCAAGCTGTTCATGAGTTAGTCGGACTCGTTAAAGGGCATGCGGCAAAGTTGATCTACGCTCATGACACCAGTCGGGTTATTGAGTGTCTTGTCTCGACGGAAAGAGAAGGAATCATCAATATGCGTAAGCTCTAAAGCGTTTTATGCAACTTTTTCATATTTCTTTTTTCAGTGTTTGACGAATTGACGCCGGAAATTGTGAGAATGTCTAAAAACGTCTACTCAAAATTCTTTGTCAAAAAAATGTTGAAAAATGGCAACAAACATCAAAGAGAAACTATCATCAACGCCTTCAGAGGACATGCTCCAACACTTTTGAGAATTCTTCATGCTGCCGAGGTTCTTGAATATGCTTACAACGATTTTGCCAATGCGCATCAGCGTTTCAACATTATCTCTGAGTTTTATGGAAAAGAATTCATTTTGTTCAGGGTAAATTTTGAGTTTTAATGATTGATTTTAATTTTGCTTTCTAGCCTGACACCATCAAAAGCTTGTCGCAAATTATTAGCGAGGAGCCCTCAAAGAAGCAAGTCATCCTAAAACATCTAGAGGAGACTATTGAAGCTGTTAGTGGAAAGTAAGCCATTAAAAATTTAAATTCTTTTATTTTATTATTATTTTTTTATAGGGAAACTGTTCGTCTTTCAATCGTCCATAAGCTCATGCTCGACTTTTTTGAGAATTGTGACGAAGAGAAGAGAACTAATATGCTTGATTCGTTAAAGTATAAGATTCCTGAATTCATTCACACTCCAGATGGTGCTCGTCTTGCCATGAAACTCGTGTGGTTTGCCCCGGTGAAAGAGAGAAAGGTTTGAAATTTATTTTTTATCGATAAAATTCCAATTTTGGTTCAGCTTATCGTCAAAAATTTCAAAGATCTTTCTGTTAAAGCTGCTATGGAACATTACGGTCATCGTGTGCTTCTCTCGATTTTCGATACCGTTGATGACACTGTCCTCGTTAACAAGTTTATAATTTCGGAACTCTCCAATGATATTAAGCGATTGGTTGAAGACGAATGGGGTGAGAAGGTTCTTCATTATTTGGTTCATCCGCGAGATGGGCGAGGTATCGATAAGGCTGAAATTGCCTTCCTTCAAGAGGTATTCATTGAATTGAACTTGAGTTATTGATTGGATCTTTTTAGGGTGATAAGAATGCGCACTCGAAAAAGTCGAAGGAAGATCGCTATGCTCAGCTCTATGCAGGAATCACGGAATCTCTTTATGCTTATCTTGCTGCTAATTTAGAAGAATTGATTTTTGAGAAGAATAAATCGAAATTTGTTGCGGCGTGCCTTGAAACCACTTGTAAGTTACCAATTTCATTGAGTAATTCGTTTTACGCACGAAATTTTCAGCCAAATTCGATTTATTCGATCGCAAAGTGCCATCGGAAGCTCGGAAAGAATGCAATAAGGCGTTCGTCGAAATTGCCAAAAAAGTTTGAGTTCCCATAAATAGTACCAAATTTAAGTTATTTTTTTTTAGGATTTCATTCCAATGGACCAAGAAGGATTCCATATTATTGAGCACAACAGCGGCCATTTCGTTTTGATGGCTGTTATGCGGTGTGATACGGATCTCCCAGAAGATGAAAGGCTATCGAAAGCGCTTGTTGATGGACTTTCGAAGCAACAACTTGGATCGTGGATTTCGTGCAACAAGGTTGGTTTTGGACGACTACTGTAGTTTACTAATAATAGAGATCTGTTGGTGGCTACTGGCGATTTTCTTCAAATTGGCTCATATAATCCAAAAAAAATTCCTATCGACAAGTTTTGTTCGCTACTTAAAGAGGTTACTAGAAGTCTGAAAATTGAAGGTTATATGAACCAATTTAAAGAAGAATTTCCAATTGTCTCCTAAATGACCTTCCTTGTAAGACTTGACTGCGAAAAAAAGTTAGTCGATGCGAGACCATAGCTGTACGTAAATCTATCCGCATACATTACTATAACATATTGAATGAATGAATGAATGAAGGATTCGATTGTGGTTTTTGTCAATTTTGAATGGTCGGCGTCTCCAGACTATGAAAAATAGGCTAGATGTCAAAAATTAGATTGAGGTCTTGTCTTGATGCTGTGCACCTTTAAAAAATCATTTTTCAGTCACTAAATATTCGAAGCCTTTCCCATAATAATTTTTTGAATTTTCACAATACTCCTCCTTTTAGGGTTGTCATGTTCTTCTGAAAATGCTCCAAGTCAGCTCTCAATCGACCGCTGAAAAGCTAAAAGGAGCGATTAATCGTAAGCATTTGGAGGGATATACCTCAAAAGGGGCGATTCTTCTAAAAGCCGAGATTGATGGAAAGAATAAACAATAGGAAATTGATATGATTGTTTTGTTATTGTTGCCTTTTGTTTTACTTCTGTTGTTGATGTTCACACCACCCAAACAAACTGGTAGAGTTTTATATACCTTGATTTTTTTTTCTCAATTCACACCACAATCACGTTTACAATATAATAATTTTTATTTGTTAATCTTGTTGTTATCATTCGGCGTTTCTTTTTGTTGTGGAATTTGTTGTTGATAAAGAAAAAAACCGTTTTGAATGAAATGCGCGTCATTTCGTAAATTGTTTTGAGCATCAAACTTGAATCGAAATTTTTGAGACATGAGCACCAGTGAGAACGTTCAGTTTGAAGTAACGCGCACATTTTTTTGGTTTTTTCATTCAAAGGTCCAATAAAGGAGAATCGTGGGGAAGCGTCTGACGATGAGCACGTCATCAAGATAACCGTGTCCAGTGTAATGCAGGGCGTCAAAAAGGTGGGCGAAATGCAAATCGATGAACAGTCGGTTTACTAGTAGGTGGTGGTTGCGGTGCGCGAGAAGTGCTCGGTGCAAACGCTGAAGTTGGCGATCGAGATGGCCACCGAGGTTGCCGTCGACAAACAAATTCTGCTCTACAAGGGCAATGAGCTCAAGTGACGCGTCGAACATCGGCGACGCACGACGGCATTTGTCGTTTTTGCAGGGAGAACAACGCGACGATCGCCGATTACGGCATCAAATCGGACGCCGAGATCACGATGAACGTGAAAATGAGCACGGGATTGTTCACGAAGCCGACGGCGACCGACATGATATTTCTGGTGCCGGCGATATTGCCCGACAATCAAGACCAATTGCGCAAAACGATCAAAACAATGAATAGTGTGAGTCGAAAGCCGAAGAAGATGAGCGGCGTCGATGAGAACGCGAAAATCTGGACGCCCGAGAAGCAGCTCGAAGCCGAATTGACGAGGAATCGAATGAAGACGTTGTTGCGACGCAAAAAGGGACCCAATCATTTGTCGAGCACGCCGGTTGAGACGCCGGAAACGCCAAGCGCTCAGTAAGCTTCAATTTGCTATTCTTGATTGCATCGGCGATTCTAGATATTCGCCGGTGTCGACGCCGCCGCCGGAGGCCGCGCATGCCTCCGGCAGCAGCTCGAATGTTAGCGCGGACGCTGAGCGCGTCATCACCGACAAGGAGCTCAAGGTTTGACGCGGTTTTTCTTTTTGTCGCCATTTTTCAGCTCTTCTTCGATCCTCCCGAATCCTATGAGGAATATAAGCGAAATCGTCGGATATTGTATTTGCCGCCGAAAAATGAGGTGAGAATTCGTGGAATCGCCTGATTCATTTTCTAATACCTTAGCAAGAGCTTCTCAACTATAACAAGAAGTTCGCCGAGGATCGAAAAACGAAATGCAATGTAAAATATGGGCTTGCGGAATTCTTGAACTCGACGCCTTCAATTTTCAGGCGTGCTTCAAAAAGTTGTCGGCCGCACAACAGACGATGGTGTGCAAATGTCGGCGCATCTTCTGCGATGCTCATCGCTTGCCGGCTCAACATTTGTGCAAAATCGATTATAAGCAGGATGGACGATTCAAACTGAAAAAGGTGGATATCGAAAGAAAACATGCAGCAAAAAAAAACATTGATGTTTCAGGATTCATCAAAAGTTGGAAGCGGCGGAGCGCGAAAAGCGAAATTCTCAAATTCGACGTCGGAAAAATCAAAGAAAACGGGATATTATGATATGTAGAGGATTTGAATGAATCATTCACATATCATCGAAGCTGTCATAATCTGATTCCTCGATTTCAATCTTCTCATCGACATAGTCTTTGCCATTTTGGTTTTCAGCGAATTTCTGCTCAATTTCGTCCCTCTTCCGCTTTTTTGAAGTCAGCTTCTTGAAAAATGCGGTGTTTCCCTGAATTCTCATGGATTGAGTCTCAATTCGTATTTTTTCTGCAAACGATTGATACCAAATTCTCCATCTGATGACAAATTGAGTCTCGTCCCGATTTCCACGATATATTAAACGGTCGCGCTAAATAGCACGATATATTGTTTGGGTCCATGCAGGGGCTGATGAAAGCCAAATATGGGATTGTTCTGAACAACGCGAATTAAGGAAGTAATGCGTTCAGCATCCTACAAGGCGACATATTGGGCGTCACCGATTCTCGGCAATCTCCGGAGCTCATCTTTGGAGTTGTCGATCTCCTTTGTCAGGTCCGAAGATAGTGGTCCGTTCAGTGAACGGAATCCGGATGTGTTGATTCCATAGTTGTAGAACATCACATGACGAGCAGCCACCTGTATAATTTCAGAAATTAATTGCAGACGCCCGGTTTTGGCTTTCACCTGCGCGACGTACTCATCAGGAAGTCTTTGTTTGACTGTCCAATTCGAAGTCATATTTTCACATTCCGAGAAGCACGCCGACACTTTTCGGAGCGCTTCGAGATTCTGCTGAAATTTCGGCTCGTGCTCATGAAGAAACGCGAGAATCTGAGACCAAGGATTGGTTTTTTCAAAGCCCAAAATTTGTGAACCTTTTCACTTGGCATGCTTGACATTTGAATGATATCATTCACGTCGTGTTCGAGAGGCTTCCTTTCGTTCGTGTCAACCATCAGCATCTGACTTTCAGCGCGTTTCTTGCGTTTCGCCGTTTTCGGAAGCTGCGAATCTTCAGGACTAATACGATGCGCGTAGAGAATCCGGCCAAGCATGTGGAACATGTCTTCCTTATTCGCTTTGCCATTCGACAGAATTTCGACGCTCTGCCGCTTTCGCGAATACTTGCTGGAGGCGACGACGCTTGACGAAGTGCCGACGAGATTCATTTGGAGGATGTTCATGGCGATTCGGAGATCATTATTAGCTTCATGCTCAATTGCTTCAAGCTTGGTTTTCGATAGCTAGATAAATTTTTGAATTTAAAAAAATCGAATCTATATTCGAAATTCTACCGGTAAAAATAGGAGTTCAGCAGCTCTTTGAATCGCCTTTTTCAGATATGTGGTCGCGACAGAATTGAATTTCATGATTTCGATATTATTTGACTGAAAGCATTAGCATTATTTAGAAAAAAAATTATCCCGAAAAGCTACCATAACAAAAGTGTTCGTAAAAAGGCGACGATGGTTGAGGTGCCAACACGAATCGACATCGCTGAGGCAGAATATAACAGGGATGTGGAGATTCTGAAGGGCTTCTGATACCGTCTGACGAAATCCTAGAATATCACTGGAAGGTTTGATTTACCGGTGGAGTACTGCGAGTACTGGTTACTTGTAGGCTTCGTCTGGGAGATTTGTGATCACTAGAAGGATCTTCCTTCGCGGATTGAATCGGGCTCCGGATTGGCTAAGAAATTTGCCAAGAGATTCTAGACCATCCTAGAATTTGAAAATGATGAGATTTTTGATGAATTCTCAAAAATGTTACATTTTCTGGGGTCAGATTTTCGTCATATAGGGTTTCCGGCTCATAATCGACAAGCTCAATATTCAGTTCCTTCGACAGAACTTCAAGAGACGTCGATTTGCCAGAACCACTTGGTCCGGTTAGCAGAAGACACTTTGGGTAAGATTTTCCGCGATTTAAGCAATTATCGGTCAGCCAGGTTTTTAGCTGAAATTAATTTTCAAATTACAATTCTAAGTTTCTCAATTGAACCTCGGCAAGCTTCTTTGAGTGTATTGCTAATTCACTACTTTTAGCAGGCCTGCACTCATCACTAAACAAATTTGACGCTTTTTTAGGTCTTACCATTCTGAAAATTTTTATTGAATTGTTAGTCTATAGAAATATTATCAGAGCTTTACGAAGTGCATTTATCAGATACTAATTTAGAATTTAAAATTGTAAAAATATTTTCCATTTAGTTATTTATCCATTTCTCAGTTTAGTCGAACATCACTGATAAAAAACGAAAACTGATAAGTAAAAAATTAAAAATTTGAATGTTCGTGAATATCGTCAAGCGAAGAACATTGACGCAATTATAGAGCTGCTGGCGCATTTCGAGTACGTTCAGTCGGAAATAAGTACATTTTGTTTTTCTTTTTTTCCTCGCCACGGTTGCTCGCCGAGCCTTTTGTTTGGTGTTGCAACTGATCAAAAATTAGGCGACTATCAGAAATATGATTATAATTTCGTAATTTTACTTTATTTCTACAAAAATTGATTAAATTTTTCTTTTGTAACGCTGATGTAATTTGATATCCATTATAAGAAGTTGTAGGTAATGTCGGATGCCGGTGCAGCAGCTTTAGCTGCTCACGATCACGAGCTTGCGTTGGATGAAGCAGCACAAAAGGCACCGAAACCGTCAGCGGACACCAAATCATCTCCAGAAACGCATGTCAAAGTAATTGATCCGGTTGACCGATACACTGCGTTGGCTGTTCGCGTAAGTAAATTGAAAAGTGAAGCAAGAAAAAAATTGAAGAAATATCGATTTTAGGGCGCAATTGTTGGTGTTGGTCTCGCTGGCGTGGTTATATTCTTGAGGAACTCAAGAGTGGTGCGAAACGAGGGAAAACTCTAGTCTCTCAATGTAAAATAATTACAGTTCCATAAATTCCAACATGTGAGCCAAATTCCCAAAGATTTCGTTCGTAAAGAGCTTGAGCTGAAGGGAAGAGTTCGAGAAGTTTTGCCAAATGGAGAGTTGAAGGTTGAGCATGAGCCAATCATGAAGATTCCGTTCATTCCACGACGAAAGAGTCCTAATGTAAGTCAAATATTTTCTTTAAAAAAAATTTAAATATTTTTAGGCTGGTCTTTTGCATTTACGATTGGCTGGAATTGATTTGTCAAAGTCTGGCCAACAATTTTTGGCGAAGGACTTGCGACTTACCAACAAACCGGTAACTTTCACAGTTATCAAGGTACTTGTTGCAATTTTTAGCCAATTGAAATTCAAAAATTTAGGGTACTGAAGGAAATCCAGACTGTGTAGATGCTGATGTCACCGTCAAGACGGTATGCTTTTAAAAATTTAAATTTTCAAAGTCATTTTTCCCGATTTCAGAACGCGTTTAGCCGTAAAAACTTGAATATCGAAGTTGTACGCAAGGGATACGCTCGCGTTCCTAGCCCTGATCAGCATAAACATCTTAAAGACCTTCAATCGATTCCAGCGTATTCTAGACTAGTTAGTCGTCTTCTAATGAGCGAGAAGGTAAAATAAATGGTCTACGTTCAAAAATGAATTTCGCAATTTTAAGATTGCTGATCGTCGAGGTGTCGGAGTTTGGGAGCGTGATACCTGGGTCGAATCGGTTCAATCCTATCCAACTCAACTGTCTGGAATAATCCGATCCGCCGCAATCACAAAAGCAGTGGTATGTTGGGATTCTTGATTCATTAAAAAAAAAAGAAGACGACGGCCGCAACATTTTTACGAGGTGGACTTTTCAAGCGCCATTGATCAATGCGTATATCGGCGAATAGGGAGGATTTAGTGTAGCAGGAAATTGAAATTTCGAATTTTCTAAGGATTATTAATATTACGATTTGCTTTTTTTTTGGCGTAAATCAAATTTGGTCTGTAGGATTTGGAGTACCGTACTAGCGATAACCTGCGAATCAAACTCACAGATATTTACGTGTTGCAGTAACGAGGGAACCTGTTTTTTCTTGTGATTTTATTCGATTTTGAGAGCCCGATAAACCATAGAAATTGCATTTTAATACGCCGATTATTACAAAGTGCAGACACCCTTTATTGTTATTCATCGTCATTGTTTATAGGTTTTGCTGTTCAACGTGACCAAAGACGTGATCCTTTATGGTGTGAAATTGACCCAGCAAACGTACCACGTGGCATTGTACTTGATCGGCTACATCGCTAGCGGCTATCGTAAATTCGCGACGGGCGTCGACCGGCTCACCGATAAATACAATCGTGTGCGTCAAAGGATCGGAAAGTAGACTTGAGAATCGATGCTAGCGAATCACTTAGGCCCTACCAAAACCAATCCCTCAGTTTACGTTTCAAATCCCCGAGTTGTACATTTTTTTAAAAGAATAATTATATAGAAATCTTCTGCCATCCATTAATCATAGAAGGGAATATGCAACAATTCTACTTGTTATTGTTTTGCTGTTAAATTTCGTTCGTTTTTCGCCTCAAAATTTTTGTGCTTCTATTTCTTTTTTTGATATTATCCCATTTAAGCGTTTTGTTTTGTTATATAATTCCCTTTTTCTAGTAGGATCGACGTGTATTATCCGAGTGTGTAAAGCGAAACAATAAATATAATTAGGCGTATTCGCAGCGGAAGCTTAATGCTAATCGATTGGGTCATATTCAAGGCGCTCCTTATCAGCGAGAGACGCGGTCAATAATATATTTTCAAAAATGCTCAAAACTGGTTTTTTATCAGTTGTCTCGTCGACCTTTTTTTGGTGTATAGCGATAACTATTCCATTTTTTTTCGCGTCTACATATAGTTAAAATCGCTTTTTTTCTCTCAATTATTTTCGCGAAAAGTCCGCAAATTGTCGTCGTTGTGCATTGCGGAATACATGAAATCTTGCTAAAATCGAGAAGTGGCGAAATGTGGGAAAGCGTGTTTTCTTAGCAAAGCGACACATTTGACAAGCATTCTGATTTATTAGGTATCGTGGCAGCTGGTACCCAAAATACGCGACCCTCATTTGATTTGTCGTTTCTAATTTTCATATGTGTGTTCTTCCCGAAAAAAACGCGTTGTGAGACCCAGACTAGTAAAAACACTGGCTGGAAGTTGTCATTTTTGATCTAGATTCATTATTATTTGAATTTCGCGCCAATTTTGGCCCGATGAAAAATGGTCAGTGAAGATTAAATTTGACCGAAATTCGACCCCTCCCTGTGTGCCATATCAATGTCAATTCAAATTTTATGATCGACATGAGTCGCATGGATGAAGTCATTAAATGGAACCGTATTCCCACACCACTAAGAGTGCACCGTCGGATGGATGGGGCATCGTAAAGGACAATGCCATTAACGAATCATCGTCGTGTGCGTCGGTCGGTCGTCGACACGACGAAACACAGCAGGTTTCAAATCGTGCCATTTTCGCGCCCGAAAAAATATCGCCGCCGCCGCCGCGCCATCTGTTTTGGTTTCGCCAACCGGCCCCGCCCTTTTCGTCGTCCTTGCCCAGTGTTGGGCCGGCCGGGTGAGCGCAGCATTTGGCAAAAATTGGTGACGAAACCAAATCGCCCAATTTTTTCGAATCTTGTCAATTTCGTTTAGGGACCGGTTTCGCGGCGGTTCTAGCCTATCGCCATGGAGGAGGAGAATCCCGACGATTCGGTGGGAGAGAAAGGAGATTCTCCTTGTTCTTCTTCTTCTTCAGCTTTTGCGCTGCGCCGCATTGTTCGGTCCAGCTTCTTTTTCCGAACCCTCTTGAACGTCTATGCTATTTCTAAATCATCTCTTCGGTTCTTTTTTTTCGCATCGCTTGTATCATTTTTAGGCTTGCGCGCGCGCACGCGTGCACATTGACTAAAACTCTCAACGACCTTTAGAGAAGACAAAGGATGAGTAAAGGTGTGGACAACCTACAGTAGGCCTGAGACCCCCCCCCCCTTCTTTAAAAGGCAAGACAGCACATTACACTATTCGAAATCCAGCTTGAAGTTCACTTTCTTCGGTTCCCCCATAGAAAGAAATGTTGCCAATCGTCCGAACTTGAATACCTTGGAAATTCCAGAATGAAAAAAAAAGTGGCCCTCTCATTGATTATTCTCGATGTCCCCCCCCCCCAATTTCACGCAAAAGTTGCCAAATTGTTTTAATTTAATCAGAATAACTAGTTTCGCGTACGATTTTTTAAGCGTTGTGTCATTTCTTGTCCGGAATATTCGAGAATCGGCGATAATTGACGAAGACGAACACAATGGCAGCAATACTACTTATCCTCTTTATTATATGCATAGCATTGCGTTGTTTGTTTATTTGTTTGTTTGTTCGATGATGACGACGATGCAATCGTCTAGATCGCCAAATCTTGATTCGACGTGCCTCCTAAATATTGAAAATTCAAATTCAGTCATTATAAGGTAACTTTGTTCAAAATTGTTGAAATATTTTTTTTCAACATCGAATTTAAGCCGTTAAATTACATATTCACCAATTTTCAGATCGATATCTGAAATATTAACCGTTTTTTGAGGCCACTTCTCTTTCATGAACGGTCAGAAATTGAAAATAGTAGATTGATTTGATAGCGATTTTCCGAAACTTCACTAAAGTGCCACAGCAACACTCAACAATTAATTTTTTTTTTCAAATCTCGTTGCTTCAATTCGTTGTTCGAAACGAATAATACAGACAGTTCTTCCTCGTTTTGAGGCGAAATATACACGGGTTTACGTAGCAAGTTTCTCCGCCTCCTGCTCTCCATTTCTCTCTCGCTTTTTCGGGCTAGATAGCCGCTTGTTCTTCGACGGCTTCATCTCGCACAGCCATGATTACGTCGTCGTCGTCGTCGTCTGGTTGGGAAACAACTCACCTTGTCCGCGTACTATTGCGTCCGAGAAGAGGGGGGGGGGGAGACGCGTTTGACTGGTTCGCATCTTCCATGACGATTACTGGAAATATTGGCATGGATCAAGTAAAGGGAGGATTGGCTTCTCGCGAGAATTGGATGCCAGACGACATTCAAGAATCATTATATTTTCCAATTGCTTAACATGACGATGATTTTCTCACGATAAAATGCGAAATGATGCATTCAAAAAACACTATTATTTTATTCCTACTAGTTTGATCTGTTGTTTTGATTCGGGTGAATAAGTTTCAAACTAGACACTCACCTAATAATCTCCCTGGCCGACAATCCCACTAGACGTAATTTGCCATTCATCTTTCATTTGCCTCGTGTTGATCCGAATCAATCTGCCAATGCTTGTTATCTAGATTTGAAATTACAAGCGACGACTATTGATGCCGAAAAAGTGCTTTCGGCGTCATCCCCCATCATCCTCGTCGTCTTCATTTGATTCAATTGCTTCTTGCAGCTTTCCGGTCTGCCATTCACCATATTTGGCTGTGGGAGTGTGTTTTTATTGTTGTTGTTGTTTTTTTAAACGTTTATTGAAGCCTCACTTTTTTTCTACAGCGCCATCGAATGACGCTTATTTGTACACGCAATTCACTGATCCTAATCGAAATTTTATACCCAAGTGTTTCTGGGAACGCGTTTTAGTGAAAGTTTATATCGGTGTTTTCATGAGGACATTTGGAGAAGATGAAGCTTAGGCAGGCGGCAAGAATTAGTGCGAAAAAACACCGTTGAGCGATAAAATTTGCCGTTTTCAACTAATTTGCTTCGGCAATTGGTTCCAGTGGAAATTTTGTCAAGCAATAATGTGTAAACTTCTCGATTTCCTTCAGCCGATGTTCTGAAAACAGAAAAATTTCAGCCCAAAGTCTGAAAAATGCAAAAATCATTCGCGCAAATTCGAAAATCACCGAGAAACATGCAGTCTGGAACATACAGTAAATTTTCTTGTCGAGACCATGTCCCCAAAACAATCACTGCGTCCTCAAAATATTTTGAATTTCGTTTCAGTTTTTCAGAATTTTTCCGACCTGGATCGTTTTCGATTTGAAATTTCAAACGCCCGCCAATTTTGTTCAAATCAATTGAGAACTAAAATCTCAAAATCATTGATTTCATTCGAATTTTTATTAAAAATTGCCCAATGAAAAAATGTGTTCTTAATATGGTACAAAATAAATGTCATTCATCCTTGAAGGCTATAATAACCAGTTTGCAGATATTTATAGACATGTGTTATCATAATAATTTCAATAATAATTTACACTTTAATTGTTTTTTGATCTATTCGGCGTTGAGCCGAGTTGAATTAAACGCGCGAATTTCGGCGCCTCGCCTCCCACCGCTTCGCTCGTCCAACTTTTTTGCTCGTTTAGTTTATTCGAATTCGCACTTTTTTCCTCAATCGTATCACTTTCATCATAAACAATTCGACACCAAGCCACACACATACACACACGCGCTCCACCAAACGATCTGTGCGTGTGACTAACCGATTTCTCATACCAATCGCAACTTTTGCTTTTATCCCCCTTGCTTCCATCAATGGCATGAATCACATCTCTCCCTCTCATGGTTTGTCGATGTTCTTTTCTCATTCCTTGGTTGGCATACAGGCGCTGCCCAAACATCGGCCCATTTTACAAAGTTGCGCCTTTCAAGTTTCCCATCTGATTCCGCTATCCTTTCACCGGTGGCGACACCGGTTGGCCAGTCGAGCGATTTGTCAGATCAGCTGTTTGGCGCGACGCAGAGAGCCGTTTCATATTTTTGGTTGGCGCTCTGAGAGACGGGGGCTTTAACAAAACTCACGGGTTGACCATCATATGTCACAAGCCCAATCATGTGTTTTTTTTTTTGAATCTCTCTCTTCATCTTTCATTGATGGTCCCTCCCAACCCAAGACAAAAATAGCCATTAGCATTTTTTTTTCAAAAATTCGGAAACTGTAATTAATGTTTCATATGTCGAAAAAACAAAAAATATAAAAATTATATTTATTCACTTAAAAATAGGGGAAGAAACATTCCGTGTTTAGCAAATTGGGTCTCGATGTGAAAAACTACTGTAGTTTTTATAAGTTTCAAGTTGGACTCCCCCTTTTTTTCTATTCTCAATTCTTTCCATTCATTTAATGATTTTTTCGTTCCTCAAATAAACATTGAAACGTTTTCCTTTTTAAATCCTCATATTGGTTGGATAAACGTGTTCAAATCCATTTACTGGTGACCTTCTATGAACCTTTAAATCCCCAATTTATCCGCCACTGTTCAATTTGAAACGGATCAAACTTTGGTGTTTTATTGCTTGTGCTGATGTTTTTTTTTATTATTTTTTTGTATTTTCGCGTGAATTTTCACCGTCATTTTTCCCTTTCATTTCTAATTATTTACAGGCGAACACTTTGAATTAATCGGGCGCGGTTTTGAGGAAGTGTTTCAACGTCGTCTATACTCGGTGTGCCGCCTCGTAGCTTTCTCGCGCATTTTTCAACTTATATATAGATATATATATACTCACCCCCTTCTACACACACGCAATATTCTACTAATCTCATCATTTTAATCAAACATGGTTCTTGACGTTAGCGAAGTGAAAGGAACGACGAGCGAGTAAGTTTTGATGACGCTGTCTATTTTTTTCCCATTCGTCATAGTGCTCAATAAATCTCTTAACTAATGTACTAGCCAATTGGCAAGTTCATTTAAAAGATTTTTGTATTATTTATATGAAAGTGAAAAAAAAGAAGTGGCGAAAAGAAAAAGTCGTTCGTTTATCTCTCACGGGGAACGCTTCAATTTCTTATCAACCCATTTGCTAGTGTCTCATAAATTATTTTTTCGCGCATTTGCGACGAGTTTTTTTTATCAACAATAGCAAAAGTCGAAGCGAGATTATGTTAAAGTGTCTTGATCTCATTCGTCGTTTTATTCCATGTTCAATTTGTTGCCCATTTTCAGAAAGCTCAACCAGAAGGCTGTTCACGTCTCGCCAAATCAGGACAAGCGTCCGCCATCATCGTTGTCTACTGGTTCGTCGGACAGCGGCGTTTATTCATCGGGTGCGCTAGTTTCGTCTCATAGCAGCCAGCCGACTGAACCATCGTCGGGATTGCAGACGAGCCCTCCAAGTCCATCAACTCAGGTGGGGATCAAGACGGAAATTTAAAAAAAAAGTGGTTGGAAACTATTCAATGTTAATTGCAGATTAATTCATTGTTGTATCAGACTGCCAGCTTGATTGCTGTGAACGAGCAGCTGCGCAAGGAATTGGCTGAGTAATTGATACTCTCGATTGTCTTTAATTTATCTATTTCAATTTTAGGAAGAATGATCTTAGCTTCAAGGGTGTTCCAGCGACGACGCCTGAGCAAATTCCGCCATTGCTTCCAGCGGCGCCACTGAATACTCCGATCAACACGTATACCGATTTGTGGATGATGCTCTAGAAGCTTATTCGATTTTTTTTCAGTCGTGCTCCACGTGAACGCCGTGTCCCAAAGCCGGAGTCCTACAAGACTGTTATCTGTCAAGCTTGGCTTGAATCCAAGACTTGCTCGTTCGCCGAGAATTGCCGTTTTGCGCACGGTGAAGAGGAATTGCGTCCATCGAAGTAAGTCGATGAGCACGTTTTCAATATGCATTTCACTTGAATGTATTAGTTGCAGGTTGGAGCCGTGCCAAAACAAGAAGTACAAGACGAAATTGTGCGATAAGTACACGACGACGGGATTGTGTCCATACGGAAAGAGATGTTTGTTCATTCATCCCGACCACGGGCCCAACGCCTACATTCGTCCGGATAAGCTGTTCGAGGTCTCGCAGCGTCATGCGTTGGCTGATCTTCGCGATCAGATGGAGAGCCAAATTCTTAGCGGCAATCGGATCACCGTGCCGCCACCACCGCCACCGCCATCATCGTCGCGTCTTCTTGGCCGTCCGGTGACGCCAACAGAGCCGATCGCGAAGCCACCGCAATCGGTTCCGCTTGGTCCGACGCCGATGCGTGGCCCGAGATTCTCGACGAACGGTCGTTCGATTTTCGAAGGAATTCGCCCGCCATCGAGCTGGCCACTCGAGCCATCCTCATTTTTCGACAATGAAATTCCTTCGGGCAATAAGATGTCTAGCCGTCCGGTTAGTCCATTTGAATCGATGCTGATGGGGTCCAATATGATGACCATGATGGGTAGACAGTTTTGAAAATGTCTCAACAATTGAAATATGTCGTTTTCAGGTAAGAACTCGACACCCGGAGGAGTTTCGGGATACGTTTCCGGTGGTTCTACGCCATATCGCGATCTTGAAGCGTCTCCATTCTCGCCGATGCCAACGTTTCTGAATCGCGCTCACCGCGAGGAGGACTCGTTCTCGATGGGACCCGGCGCTTTCGATCATTTAGCCGAAGATATGGCGAAACATTTGGAGCTGTGGTGATGCTGATCCAGTGCTTTTCGATTTTTTGTTGAATGAGGTTCCCGCATCCTGTGAAACAATTTTTCTGGCCCTTCCCCCCTCATCCCGTTCAACTCTTTATGACTTTACTAATATATTTCTCCTCCGCGTCTTCCATTTTGTTAAAACGACTATTAACCCGTTTTGTGGAATAATTGTGATACTAAATGGCAGGTTGACTGACTAAACTGTTATAAACCTTAATTGCTTTCCAATAATTGGAATAATACTGATCCCGTCTTTCTATCTGTATTTATTGCTCAACGAAAAAATGAAACGCGCGTATACGAAAACAATTGTGCGTTTTTTTTTTCAAAGAAAAAATCAACCAGTTTGCCACCGCCTTTCGTTTTCCACCACTATTTCGTCCTAAACGATCGCCCGTTTAATTAATAATTGTAATAAAATGACCCCCAATCAACATATTCGTGTTAAATGGTCCCCAGCCCCCGATCAATTAACTAACCCCCACTCCCCAGCCACCCTTCCCTCATTCCAAGATTTTTGTTGCCTATATGTTGTGTCGAATGGATAATATATTGGCTATATTGATATATTCTGGCATTTTCTCGCTGGGCGTTTTGTTCTTCTTTTTTGCCAAAGCTCCCGTGAAATGAATTTGCCCTAAACTAACCAAGCCCCACCCCAGAAACAACCTGCGTCTTGCTTATAAATTTCTATTGAATGAAGCTAATTTTTGTGATCGAGACGTTTTATTTAGCCATTATCGGTTGCCGATTACTCGAATCCATACATAGAAAACCAAATGGTTAGTGAGACGATTGTGGAAGAAAACAAAATAGTTATTATCATATACGAAAAATGATGCCAATGTAGATCACAAATACAGTAGAAATGGTCTTGAGAAGAAAACAAGAGAAGAACAACAAATTGGAAAAGACATACATAGATATATCGGTTTAAATTGGGAAACCCGTGGTTTATGTCCATGCCGAACGCTTAACGTGAGACAATTGAACCGAATGAGCTGAGTCGTAGGTGGCCTCGGGCTCGACGCCAAGATGAGATTGGTAGCTGAAAATGTTGAATGTCGGATTATTGAGTGTGTTGCTAGAATTACCGCATAAGGGATCGTTGCATAAAATCGGAAATGTTGACGGGCGGCCGCATCGAGCCCATCAGTTGGGTTACGGTAGCGACTGCCTTGAATTTCATCGATTAATAGTTGTCAAAGTCTGTAGAGTTGGGTCCCGCCACATGAGTGTCGATTTACGCGCTGGGATATTTGCGACGCGTTTGTTAGATGGAGAACATTTTGCCAATTTGACAGAAATGTTTGAACGCGCAAAATGTCACGAATGGTCTTGAGCGGAATTTCTGGTTTTTTTTGGGAAGTTTTGTTTTTTTTTCGAGTTTCTCGCTGATATTTGAAAATTGCGTCTCACAGATTCCTAAATTCAAAAATGTTTTTTTTTCATCGATTAGAATTTTTTTTCGAAATTTCGTTAAAAGCTGCAAAAATTTGAACCAAAGATCAGAATTGAATTGCAGCGGAGAAAAAACAAATTGATCCGGTCTAGTTTTTATCTCATGATTTTTCGTTGCCAATTTTCAATTGCGCTCAGTTCTCCTCTCGAGACGCGTCTTGTGTACTCCACACGGAGAACACGAAACAATGATGTATGTATGTGGCGAGACCCATTTCAGGACAAGAGATCTCACCTTCCATCTGGAGATGCGCTCTTTGTGCATCAGATAGGCGGCGCAAAATGTTGGAGCACTGAAAACAGTAGCAAAGTACATGTGAGGTTTTGTGCACTATTTTTTTTCCACAATTTTTTTGCAGCTGCTCAAAGCAGCCGATTTTCGAACTTCCGCCTACCGATTTCGTCCGCGTGTACTACACACCAGCACGTTTTTGTTGGCTCGACGGCCGCGCTCGACGAGCTCGATGAACTGATCGAACAGCGTTTGCATATTGGTTTTGTTCTAAAAAAGTGAATTTAAAAAATGGAAAGAATTGAAAAAGTTTGGTGCGATTTTGCGTCGCGATGAATGCACCGATGTTTTTGCGCCGAAAAAAATTGGTCTTTGATGTTTGGATTCGGCGCACTTTCACCACCCGCATAATCGAATTTGAAACAGATTTGATTTTGGCGATATCAATCAGCTGGCTCACAAAATTGCCGCCACTAACCGCGATGCACTTCTGCTCAGTCTCGGGCACGTCCATCGAGACGAAATAGCGAAAATGGTTGAGTTGTCTCGGGCACAGGCAAGGGCAATCGAAACCGCGCGCTTGACGCCTGAAAACAATTGGAAATCAATCTAATTGGGGGAATTGAGATTTGAAACCGATTCTGATGAATGTGCTCTGTGGATTCGTCGACAATCTCGCAAACGAATTCAATGTTCAATCGGCACAATAGCGACATGTTTGTGGCGGCGTCGTTGCCCGCCGCGTAGACGGTATCATCGATCTGCAATTTCAATGTGCGGCAATCGCTTTTCGGAATTGGGCGGCCGCGAATTTTTCGGCCACGGCACATTTCACGTCGGCCATTATTTCGAAATTTAAAACTTATTATCTAAATTTCTTTTAGAATATTTCGTGGACGGAATAAATGGAGTACAAAAATAATCGATGCGCCTTTAATACCTTCCAAACGATTTCGTTCAAATAGAGAAGTCGTGTGGTCGGCTCAATATTATTGCGACGCGAGCCGTCGTCAGGCGGTTTGTCGTCGGGCTGTTTGCCGGTTTTTCGCGGCGAGAGCTCCAGCGCCGAGTCGTTGGATTCGTGCGAGCTCACCGATTGCGAGTCCTGGAAAAAAAAATAAGAAGTTTGCTCTGCGTTTGAAGCGCGCTGAATCGACGACGTACGCGAGCGGGAGCGACTTTGATGAAGCGCGGCACGGTGGAGGTGGTGTCGATGGACGACGGTGAGAGGACGGACGTCATCGACACCACCGACATGCTGCGAGTCGGCGGATACGAGCCGTCGCTGTCTGAAAGCCGAACAATCGGAATAGAAGAAGAGGAGCTGGACGAGATGTCGACATACCAACGTTGTCATTGTTTTTGCACAATAAAGTGGCGAATGATTTCTTGTTGAGAATCGCGTGGATCTGCGAATTGTCGAGACCCGGTGTGCTACCGGCTCGCGATCTCACCGTCTGCCTAAAATTGAGCATATTGGGAATTGGGAGAGAGAGAAGCTTCTTCTGCTTCTTACGGTCTCGTGCTCGAACGCGAACTCGGCGGTGACACTTTGCGGCAGCTCATTGCTGAAAATGGGATCATTTGATCGCGACGGTTCGGAAAAAAGGCATAAAAGGTGAATATTTAATCTCGCCGGCGTTGATTTTAATTGGCGGTTTCGAGACGCGACTATTTTGTCGAGTTCCCATAAATAGCCCTTATCAGAATCTCGTACGCCGAATGATTAGTCATTCAAAAATTTTTCATTGATGTCCATGAGAAGGCCCGAAAGTCAAGATTTTGCATAATAAAGTTCATTTCTCAAACACAAAAGAAAATTCAATGTCGGCAAACGCGTTGCGGTTCGCGTGCGTGAGCCGCAACGCGTCTCAACTAAAAGGTCTCGCAGCGACAAATTCTGCTAGCAGATTTTTTCTTTAGGAAACGTACTATAGAGGTCATTCTTAGGCTGAAATTTTAAAGAGAGAAAATTGGAAAATTTTCACAAATCTGACAGAGTCCTGTTTAAAGGCGCATGCTAGTGAGCTTCGAAAAAATTCATTTTGAAATTCAATGTTCGATTATGTGGAGAAAATGAAAATTCCGCAATTTTCATTGTTGATTTTTTTAAAAGCCATGAATTGACCAAAAAAATGATGGCCATATTATTAATGAGCATGATGCGCCTTTAAACGGGTCTCATGGGGAAGATTGATATATCTACAAAAAAATGGCGAAAAACAAATAAGCAAATAAAAAAGCTCAAAAATTTCCAGACAGAATGATTAGTCAGTGCGAGGAAAACAAGCTTCATCTTAATTATTGTATTCCACACGGACCTAATTTGGGAAAAGAATAAAGCGGAAAAAATAATTGATCAAAATGACACGAATTCATCAGGCGACGAGATTTTGATTTGAAAAAAAGAAGCAACGAATTGCGAAATAAAAAAGCGTCAACGGATTTTCCGGAATCTCGCAATTTCCAGCGAGCGGCGAATCTCGAAAACAGCCTTTTTCGCACTACTAATTAACTATATATGTTGTGGCATATAATTAAATAGGAATATTCCTCCCGTCAGTTCTATATTTAAATAAATATGGCGGTTTAGGCAATAAATAGATGACGTAAATGAAGAATTTCACGGTTGAAACAAAAAAAACAAAAAAGGAATACATGTGTGCAAAAAATTGATAATAAACAGACATTTTTGAAACATGCTGCTCGTTGAGCAAAAATCTACTTTATGTGCATTGAAAATAATCGATGTAGTCTATTGTGGCGCACTTTTTCCGCCAATTTTGATCTACATTTTAAATTGGTCCTACGTCATCACGCGTGAACTCACGCGAATACTCTTTAATTATTTCGAGTGTTGCCATAGAAACTGATGAATCAATTGTCCGCAGATGGGGATGGATGGAATGTTTTAATAAAATATCAAGTGCGGTTGTCTACAAATTCAGCTTTTGACTATTTTTTTTCTCTGTCACAGTTTTTTTCAAGAATTTGGCGTCGTTTCGCAAAATCACAAAAACAGAAATAATTTGTCGAGAATGTCTGTGAAATGCCGCCGGCGTGTTCACGGACTTTGTTCTCCTATATTTGAATTAGCCGCCACAAGACCCATGCTCTCATGTTCCGCGTAATGCGCCTTTAATCGAATTACTTCCAAAAACATTTCGATTGAATAGAATTTCTTTAAAGTTTGTGTTGAAATTTCCAAATATTCAAAATTTAGGGGAAAAAGGCGACGAGATTTTCTCAAATTTTATCATATTTTTGTTGGATACGGTAATTTAAGAAGCACGCGAGCCGCTGAATGCCGACGATGGCGAAAAAGAAAAATCAAAATTTGAATAACGACCTTATAGGTGATGGTGTTGAAAGCTTTTTGATAAGAGCATGACTAAAAAAAATTGAGTGGTGGTAGTTCGCTGAAATGATCGGGCAATCAGCCGGCACACATACATACACACACACACATATACGCATATACACCACCAACCCTCTCGCCGAGCAACACACCGCCCTCTACATGTCGCTGCGAGGCCAATAGTTCTTCGCTACCAATTTTTCGCTCCGCTACCGGTTTTTCACTACCACATTTTCGCTACCGAAAAAATAGTTTTTTCACTACCGTTTTTCACTACCGTTTTTCACTACCGTTTTTCACTACCGATTTTTCACTACCGTTTTTCACTACCGTTTTTCACTGCCGATTTTTCACTACCGATTTTTAACCACTGTTTTTTCACTGCCGATTTTTAAATTTCTCAATTTCAAAAAAAAGAACAATTTACACAAATAAAAGGGTATTCATCGAAAAAAGGGGTGGAGAGGAAATATAATATAGAATAAAAAAGGGGCCAAACAGCATAACTAAAAAAAATATTAAAACGGGGAGAACGATCGGCGCCTTCGTTTATTTCGTTGTGGACGTCTAAAAAGACTACTCTGTGTCGATTCAACTTCTCTGAAGACATATTGACATTTGTTATATTTACGTCGGTTTATTATTACCCATATTCTTCGTATGATGTACTTTCCAAAGACTCCACGCTCTCTTCATTTCTCGTACTTGTTAAAATTGGTTCGAAATCATTACTTATTGACGAATCGTCAAAGATCGTAATACTAAAAATATCAATAAATACAATTATATGAAGTAAAAACATACTTAGAAATCGACTGAAGTTGTCTTACTCCATTCATTTTGCTCAGCGCACTCCTCTTTCTAGGACAAGATTTTTTTCCAGTTTTTGCAGTGCGTGATGCCTTAATCATTCTTCTTTCAGATAATTCGAGGCATTTCGACTGCAGTAAATCGAACTTAAGGGCTCTTTCTTCCTTTTCCATTGATATTAAAACAAAAAAACTGAAATTATAAGGATTTACTTTAGAAGATTACTGAAAACAACATACATATGCTCACAAATCTTAGGAAGTTTCGCTTGGCAATTCTTTTTGCAACATTCGAAAAAGAATCAGAACATTTAACTTCAGATATTTCACTAAAAAGAGTTTGAATATAATTGAATAACTAAAAGAAACGTAAAACCCACGTTTCACTTTTTATAAAATAACCACATTCTATAGAATACAATTCGAGTTTTCTAGCAGCTAGCTCTAATTCGTAAAGATGTTTCGGTGGATTTGCTGTAATCAAACGTAAATAAAATTCATAGAAAAATTATTTTTCTTACATTGCTGAAAATAGGGAGGTATGGCAACAGTTGACCGTTCTTGGAACCCCAATTCCTTAAGCCTGGTCCGTTTTTCACTTTCCGAAAGAAAATTGAATTCGTCTTTTCGAGAATACACAATCAATTGATCTTCGGCCAAAACAGCTTGGTATAGATGATCTACATCATCTGAATTACTTTTTTTGAGGTTTTGCTAAAATTGCATGTTAGAAACCTCCAAAAACTTTAATAAGCTTTAATGCAAGTTGGTCAGCCCTCATCGAATTAGGGATTTCATGGCGTAATCGGCTGTTTAAATTTTCGATTAGATTTGTGGATACGAACGGCTGCCACCATCCAGATTTCAAGCGCGTTAACAGCCCGTTTTCACGAAAAAGGCTCTGACCTTCAGTTGATAGCCTAAACCAGTTCAAAATTTACGCGATGGTGTAAACTTGACGCAAAATTGCAGTTATTTAAGCAGCTTTTATTACCATTAAAAAACTGGGCACTGGCCAAGTGGGGCTAAAGCCGATGTGAATGAACAAAAAATGTACTTTCCAGTCAAGGGGCGTCAAGTATGACATCTATATGTAGTAGATATTCTTTTTATATGTAGTAGTATATTTGAGTAATTCTAGAAGCCGCGTTATTTTTCGGAAAAAAGACTAAATATATCAAATTATGTTTTGTTGTAAATATCATAATTTTTTATGTAACATAATTTAAAATAGAATATTTTTGCTTCTTTACCATTTAAGAGCACCGGAATCGCTTATCATTGACGTGAGTTTTGCGAGTTTGGAATTGAATTCAATTTCGGTTACTGCGCCTAGCAATCCACATTTAATCCTCGAAGGTGATGTCTGAAATATAATGTTGATTGATTTGCCAGGTATTGTGGAAAAATGACGAATGTGAAAAACTTCAGCGATATCCTAAGCATTTCGTGCGTACACCGAGTCGCTACAGTAATTTTAGAATCTTAGTTACAATAATCTCAAATGAAAATTATTTAATCAATTATTATATATTTTTTAAATTTCTTTCGCTGTTTTCTTGGCGAGTTTATGGTTTTATGTATATTATTGTGTTGAAAAAATGTAATAGTAATCATTTTTGTATATTATTCAAAGTTAATTGTTTTAAATAAAAATAAACTATCAATAATTAATTAAATCATTTTTAGTTGAGGTTACTGTAGATAAGATCTAAAAAAAAATTGCTACCAATTATTTTATCCGAGGTAACATAAATTTGATTATTAAAACCACGTACCTCACCAAAAACCATTCTGGTCAGTCGAGCGCGAGTTGTTTTATCCGTTGTGGACATCGAATTTTCAAAATTAGCCATGCGATGCAAATCACAACGCAGACGTTGTGAATTACGAAAAAGTGGGATTGTCTATAAAAACGAAGTTAAACAATCAAAAACAAAAAGTTTATAGTTTTTTGTGGGTGCGAGTTAATTGTTTGCTTATTTTTAAAAATTTCGCTCTAAGATAAAAATGGTAAACGCGTTTGATCATTCAAATTAATGAAAGGTTTCATTCAAACCTTGTAATATTCCTCAAAGGATTTTTCACCGTCCGTGATGAATCCAGGCACAACGCGGTCATTTTTGAAACCTTGCTTCTGCAGGTATTCGTTCACATGGTTTGCGTGAAACTTGTGGCATTCCATAGTCTTTTTCGAGTGCAACAAATAGCTAATGACAATAGTTCTCGGTTTTTTTTGATTTTTCGACCTGTAATAGTTTAAAATTGTAATAGAACAATAATCTTCAATGAAACTCACTTGAATATCTTTACTGTGGTGCACATTAAAGTGACATACAACTCGCTCAATCCGAATGTTGTATCCAGCTGAGTGACACCACTGAACAAAAATCCATCATCGTTTGAAACTTTCCATTGTTCTGAAAGGACAAATTTATATTTTAAATATTTCAACTAATCGAATACCTAATAGTGATTGGATATGTTCCTTTTTATTATTTTCGTTTATGTCTTCGAACAATCTCAGGTGAGATTCGTACTCGTTAGTAGTCGGTAAACAGTTTAAGACAATCCGAAAGGGTTCATCAAGAATAACCGACAAACAATCTACCATTCCACCGTTACCTGCAAAAGTATTTTCTTTTTGTCATTACGAAACGAAAATCTTACACTCAAATACGCTGTACTTTGCATTCGGAACGTTTCTCGCTATTTTTCCTAATTCGGATGTGGTGGCAATAGCTTTGACGCCTCGATTGCAGCCAATCGATTCAGGTACGTGTTTCCTTTGGTTCCTCACCTTAAACATGCAGGTTTCAACTTATTTAAGATTTAAAATGTGTTTATACCTGCTCAAGCGAGAACTTGAAGCCTTTTTTATGTAGAATTTCATATGCACTCTTTACAGACCTCCCAATCAGTTCGCTTCGAACGATATCAACTTCTGAGGCTAAAAAAAATATAATATATCTAACAAAAAGAAAAAAAAATAATAACCTGTCATCCTATGAATATCAAAATCCAAGCTAATTCGTTCTTCATCGCGGTGATAGTCGACGATAACAAAAGTCGAATCGTCCATATAAACTACCTGCAAATATTTTATTTTTATATTGATAACTAAAGCGAGAGAAATTTGCATACAGTTTTTCTGAAACTCGCAGTGGACGGCGATCTGCACTGGATTGTTCCATAAACACGTCCATTTTCATTCCATTGCCGATACTTCGGAGCGATTTTTTTTCTCCTAAACGGCAAGCGATTATGACGAATGAAACAAATTTCAACCTTGAACTTGTCTAAACCATTTTAAGCCGTCGTATGTTAACGGTTTTCCATTATAGCTACTTTTATCTACAACAAAGCATTTTCTGCCTTTCCAATCCCCTCTGATTTCCTTAGCAACGTCGTCAATCGTTAATAGTGTTCTAAAAGTCCAAATAGTGAGAAAAAAACTCTGACGAACTTGTCTAAACCATTTTAAGCCGTCGTATGTTAACGGTTTTCCATTATAGCTACTTTTATCTACAACAAAGCATTTTCTGCCTTTCCAATCCCCTCTGATTTCCTTAGCAACGTCGTCAATCGTTAATAGTGTTCTAAAAGTCCAAATAGTGAGAAAAAAACTCTGACGAAATACCTCTCAGAGGATTCAAGCTTCTCTATTCCGTTCCAAATGGAAATTAAGTCTCTTTTGGTTGACTTCGAAGATATATCGCTTGAAATAAACGCCATTCTGAAAAATGTACTTTTTTTTAAAATTAAGTATAATGTTTAATGCAGGTAAAATCTGAAACTAAATCCATAAAAAATAAATTTAGGCCAAAAAATATTTTCGAAATGTCAAAAAATAAGCAATCCGCAAACACTGCACGACGAATGTATTCGCAATAATAATTGCACCGGTTACCGTACTCCGCGCAGCGATTTTTTTTTATTTTCGTATTCTATTTTTATCCTACAACCATTGTTTTTAATGTTTTGCTTACTTTTCTTCTTTTCTATATTATTTTTTGATTAAAAGTTATTTTTTAAAATTATATATTAAGCAAAAACTAATATGAAAGTGTTTTTTATCGAGAATTTGGGCAAAAATCAGGAATCGAAATTAAAAAATATATATTTGCTGTTACTGAATTTTTTATCGCTGTTTCACTTTTGATTTGTGTTTCTATTATTTCGTACTTGTGTTATTTATTCAAAAATAATTTTTCAGATATAGTCGACGTCCGGCGGCTGGTAGATTTACGGGAATGCGTCTTTCGAAATGGTCTCGCAATCATTTTCTATCAACTTTTAGCAATTAGATAAAACTGAAAAGAAATAATTTTTTAATAACGTTAGAAGTGGGTTCGTGACAAGTAGATTAATAGTTTGAAAGCTTTGCAGCTTCTACAATTTTTGAAAGTTCCCGATAATAACTATGAATGAGTCGCAGAGATAATACGACAAACCGCGCACGAACTTGGATAAATTATCTACTTCATAGGATTTCATCACAAATTTTAAATAATACCAGCTAATCGAGGTGTATATATAAAGAAAACATAATATAGTTTCTTAAGAATTTTTAAAGATCTTTTGAAGACAGAAGCCATCAGGTTAATTTAAAAATTGAATGATTTTTTGCCCTTTTTTGTTCTATATTATATTTCCTCTCCACCCCTTTTTTCGATGAATACCCTTTTATTTGTGTAAATTGTTCTTTTTTTGAAATTGAGAAATTTAAAAATCGGCAGTGAAAAAACAGTGGTTAAAAATCGGTAGTGAAAAATCGGCAGTGAAAAATCGGTAGTGAAAAATCGGTAGTGAAAAACGGTAGTGAAAAATCGGTAGTGAAAAACGGTAGTGAAAAACGGTAGTGAAAAAACTATTTTTTCGGTAGCGAAAATGTGGTAGTGAAAAACCGGTAGCGGAGCGAAAAATTGGTAGCGAAGAACTATTGGCCCGCTGCGAGCCGCAAAACTCGCAAATTATTATTATCAGAGACTTGGTTCTATTCTCTATGTAATTTTTTTTTCGGTTTGCCGTCGCCTTCTTCGATGTTCTGCTTCTCGGCCGATTCTCGTCGCCACTGGCAACACCCAATAAACGACCGACCAGTTGGCTGAAATCGGCCTGAAATAAACGGTGCGCTTACGATTTGGAATGCGACGGCGGGTTGTCGATGCTCGCGCGAAACTCCATCGAGACACTGTACTTTATTTTTTTTTTTTGGCCGCCACTTCATTGAATGTGATGGGAATTTCGAGGCGGCGCGTGGGAATTTTTCCAGACCTCCAGCTTCATCTCGCTAATCGCACGTCAGCTGAAGTTTCGTTGGTCAAAATTTAACCTGCTCTCGAATTCAACATGATATGCAAAAACAAAGCGTTTTCATAATTTCCGCCACAAATTGGATTATAACCAAAAAAATTTTTGCTTTTTTTTTGTTTTCAAATAATTGATTTTGAATAAAAATTCTCAAACTACTCGCAATTTATTCTAATATACATTATTAGCCAATAATTCCTCCAGTTTAGAAGACGAACAACTGCTTCTTGTCGAATTTCTCTTGGGCGTCGGTCAACGCGATTTGGTGCGCCTCAATTTTGCGTTTTTCGAATCGCTGCTTCACCATTTCTCCAGCTTTCATCCATTGGCTCAAGTCGTTGTACATTTCCAGACGTTTCTAGAATTTTCTTTCATTTTCTACATCGAATTTCGATTCTTCTCACTTCTGGCGATGATTGATTCTCGTACCATTTTGAAACCCAAAAACCGTGAAGTTTGATATTTTTGAAAATCAGAGGCCCGGTTGGAACTTGAACCGGCTGCTTGCTCATTCCGCCATATGTCACCATACTGCCGCCATGGTCGAGAACACTGGCGAGGAACAGTGAGCTTTTGCCGCCAACACAGTTTAGAGCTAATCGGACACCTGGGAATTTTTTCTTTCGCCTGTAACAATTTTGAATCATCTTCGAAATTTATGAATGCTATTTACGAGAAGAGCTCCTCTTCGGTGATGACATCATTCGCGCCAAGACTCTTCAAATCTGTGACGAGCTCTTCAAGGTTTTCGCGCTTTCGGACAACATTTACTGTTTTGAAGCCAAGAATTCGACAAATCTTCAATAAATTTCCATAATGCTATCATTTTTTTCCATGATTATTACTTGAATAACTTGCCTTCCAACCGCCGAGTTTGCGCCGTTTTGAATCACAGTGTCTCCAGGCTTCAAGTTGATAAAATCTTTCAACATTCGATATGCAGTTGGCGGATTGACCTGATGGTTTTCTTTAAATTTTCACATATTTCTAATTCCGCTTTACTTGAAACACTGCAGAATACTCCATCGGAAGCGTATTATCAATTGGGAACACAAGTTTGCTGTTGTGCACTCCGAACTCTCTCCAAGTTCCCAGACCTGAGAGATTCGGAATTACGTGATCACCGACTTTGACGTTTGTTACACTTGATCCAACCTAATGAATCATTACACAATTGATAATTATTTTAATTATTGGTTAAAGACCTTCTCCACACGTCCATATCCCTCGTTTCCGCCGACAGCTGGCAACTTGGGTTTTACCGGATAAACGCCTTGAATTTGATTGATATCAGCTGGATTAATTGGAGCCGCAATCCATTTCACAAGAACTTCATCAGCGTTCAATTTTTCCGGAATTTCCGCAGTTTGAAGGCTAATAGCCTTCAAAATTATTTTTAAATTTATTTTTCAAAATTTGTATTCTTCACCTCTGATGGGTTGCCATATGTTTCATACACTAATTGGCGAGTGGACATCGCACGGCAAAGTGTCTGATTTAATTGGAAGCCTTTTCGAATCATCTGAAATCTGGAAAATTAATAAATTTAAATGCTTCCACAAAAATTGAAAAATATTTAAGCTAAATTGCGGGCGATCGTGTAAAAAGTGGAAGATCGTTGGAAAAGTTCAAAATTTATCAGCTACTGTATCCGAGGAAATAGGACAATGTGATTACAGATAAACATTATAATTGACGACAAAAATATTACATTGATTGCCAATATTTACATCCAAATATTTTTTTACTAAAAAAGTCATTGCGCAACCAAATTTTGAATGAAAATTAAAAAAATCGTGAAGTTTTGAAAATTTTAAACATGCGTGACAGCTAACCTATTTGAAATAGGTTATAAAATTTTTCGTTTTATAAAATAGTTATTTTTATTTCTTTTAATTATGATTTCACAATTTGTACAAGATCATCGTCTTATATAGTCATGTTTTTAAGTATAGCATTTAGAATAAACGTAGTCTTCAAATAATTTTTGCTTTCCATTCATTTGAAAGCCATTTGCATTCGAGGCAATGAATAGAGTCAAAATAGTACATTTCTCGTTCTTTGAGCATTTCGTGCGAGTAAATAACCGCAATTTGGGCTTGTCTATCTCACTGATTTCTCATCCAATTCCGTTTCGCGTTGTTCAAGATAAAAGAGGAACCCGCTTTTAGAAAGTTCAGACGACTCTCCACCTATCAACGCCTTTTGCGAGTTTCGCTATCAAATCTGTTCGACATGTTTCAATGCTAAGCAAAAACCCTATCAAATGTTTACGCTACTTGAAACGGCGACCTTCACGGACGCGCGTCGAACATTTGTGTAAAATATGAGACATTCTAAGACGGCGCTCGTCGCGCCGTTGTTGACGACACGAAAAAACCAAGAAAACCGATCATAAAAAATCGGACGATGCCCATCTCACTCTCTCTCTCTCTTTCGGTTTCGCAATTTTTTCTGGTTCGTCCGTTTGTGCCATATGAACGAAATCCAAACCAAATGGTGTCCCGTAAACTTGTCGATGGACGAAGGGACGACAAAAACTCGCAAGTTTTGTGGCGTTTGGCAAAAAGCGCACACACTATTTCAATGTGTGGCGTGATAAACAACGCCCGTCGTGCGTACAACTCTCAGTGGCACAACGCTCTATGTCACGGCACGTCGTGGGGGTCGCTCGTTTGTTCGCCAGGTTTCAACTTCGTTTTGATTGTGTCTATCAGTTTCGGAAGTCGGCGGTTTCAAAGCTTCAATGCTTTACGCCAGGTTCGAGGTTTCTCTTGTAATAATGGTTTATGACTGTCGCAAAGCCATTTCTTCACAAAATGCCAAATTTATCATTCTCAAATTCCTTAGCAAAATTGATAAGGCGGCAATCGTGTCGAATGGCTTCATGCCAGCTCGCGACTCACTCAAGATTGATGATTTTCAATAGGGGTAAAAAAAGTGCCTTTTCCCATTTTTTTTTTACAATAACTTCTACTTCCTCCAAATCTCCCCTCCTCTCAGAAACCCATCATTTATATTAGAGTTTCGGTTGCCTTCAATCAAATTGATTTTAATCAAATATTGAATTGAGCACGGGAAATTGAAATTGCTGTTTGCTCAAGAGACCGACCATCGAAAGGATGGGCAGACACTTTTTATTTTGCGGTCTTTCCATTTCGAAACATGGTCGTGTTGTCCTTTACAAGATTTTGACGTCTGCCTCTCGCCAAAACAAAAAAAAATCATTAGCCTTCGATTGACGAGATCAACTAAACAACAATATCGGAAATTCGAGTCTAAAGTTTCGCCCCAGAGAAATTCGACACCCTCAATTACTTGTGATCATCAATCTTCACGCCGATTGAATTTCTCGTTCCACACACCGCACACGAATGCAACAAAATGCGACCACCCCCGTTGTCAATATCGCAGGCGTGGTGTTGTTTTTTTGATGTGTTCGAAGCCACTATTAATATAATTGAAAGAATACGGATCGCAGCAAAAAAACGTGATTCACCTGTTCATATTGTGCTCAAACAATCGCTGTACTACTATGGATGGGGAACTGCTAGTGTACAAATACGAACTTCAATTCTTTTTTTTTTGCGTTGTCCGCCCGATTTGTGTCCGTTGTCCGACTACAACAATGGGCGTAACTTTGCGACGTACCGCCCGCGTGCGTACGTTTCGACAATTTATATATAGGTTTTGACGATTTGTCCATCATTTATCCGTTGTTTTCTGTCTCTTTCTCGCTCGCTCTCTCGACTGACCATTTCGCGCGGTTAATTGCGAATTCCGACGGACGGGTATATTAGTTTCAAACATATATACATGTATATATTCGAATCGCCTTTTCGTTTGTTTGTATTTCCCACGATTTGCATGTCGACGCGTTCGCGGTTTGAAATGGCGCCGCGGCATCCCTGTCTTTGATGATACCAAAATCGGCACCTTTTTTGTTTCGCGTTCGCTTTGTTTACGAGTTTGTTTGTGTGGAGGCAACCCGTTCCGACCAAGCGCTGTTGATTCTATGGATTTCGATTCTTGGTTTTTTTTCGAAAGGTTGTCACATTTCTTTTTTTTTTTGATGAGAGAATCCACAACGTTCTGGTCGTTTTCCTAGAAATTCGCCATCAAATAGATCTTGTGGGTAGTTTTATGGGATTCGCTGTAGAAGCCAGCGCGGGAGATCAAAATGTTATAAAAAAGAAAAGAAATTGAAAAAAAAAAGTTCAAAAAACAATTTTTTTGCATCAATCCATTTTCTCTCGCGTCAACTCGAATTCATTTGTCGAATTCGTTTATTTTATTTTTCTTGTGATGTGATAGTGCTCACTTAAAATTGACAAGATCTGAAGGCCAAAAATCAGTGAGCGCATCAAGGCAAACCGCCACGCCTCATTTGCTACAATAAGACCTTGATGTCTTGTTTTTGCGACAACCAACGCATCGACGACATCAGCCCCTACTCAAAAATTAACGCCCATTCCATTTTTGCCATTTTTTTGGTTCTCGGTTGACACGGCTCCAAAAAAATCCTTCATTTCGGTGAAGCATGTTGTTGGAATATATTTGATATTTTTAAAAAATCGCCACCAAAAAACCTGCCTTGTTTACAAAATCGGCCTTCTTCTTCTCGTTCTTTCTTCTCAATTTATATATGTTTTATTGTTGTCGACGCCTTTTCGTTATCGTTTTGCGCCCTGCGCGCGCGCGCGCGTCTTCATGTAACACAAATTGGTGATTGTTTCAGGTGTCAAACTAGCCAACCGCCGAATTCGCATTCAACATCATCATGTCGACCGAAGAAATCAAGTCTTACGTGAGTTCGAGTTTTCGAAATTTCATACATGCCCAATGAAATTGAACTTTTATGGACAATCGCACGACAAATATTTGTTTAATAACTTTGATCGAGAAGGAGTGAAAATGTGATTTCGTTTTCTTCTTCGAATGACTCACCGCGGCGCTCAAGAGCGTTGTTATTGTGATATATCGAACATATATGTGTTCTCGCTCTCTCCCACACTCGTACTTCGTCTTTTTTTTTTGTTTCATCAAAAAAAAGAAGAAGAATTGAGTCATTCGATTTTCTTTCTTCTGGGTGGTTGTTGATGGTTGATGAAATTGTTTCATCAGCAAAAAAAAACGGATATTTGTGACTTCCACTCGAACGTTCTTTAGCAAAGGTCATTCAATCGAGTTGCGAGCGGAATTTTTTTTTGGGTGGGGGGGGGGGTTGGGGGGTTACGATAGAAATGAAATGGATCATGGATGAAATTCGACGCTTTATTCTTTTTTTAGAATAAATTTCAGAGGGGTTCGCTAGAGAGCCCAACCAATCCCCCCTACTTCCCCTCCTCACCACAACAACAAATTTTGTGCACTTTTGCCGAGCCCTTTCTGCTCAATTGGTGGTTTTGGGGCGCGAACGAGGAAATGAGCTTCTCAGCCCTCCCCCCTTTCCCCCTCTATTGGTTTCCGTTTGACAATGTTCGTTCTTGGTGCGGCGCGGCTTCAATGAATCATCGTCTATCGATAAGACACCGACGACAACAACAACAATATTGCGCTCCGTCCTTCTTTTTTCTGCCACCAACGGAAAGACGAAAAAAAAAACTGATGGCGATATGCGGCGGCCCGCTGCCGCCGCGCACGCGACACTCTTTTTGTGGGGCGGCGTCGGCGGTCTCTTGTCAAGAATAAGGAAGGCGAGGCAGTCAGACGGTGTTTAGGCGCGCACTCTAGGCTTCAGCTCCACGCATACTATTCGAAATTTGTTTGTGGTTGTTGTCACTTCGGCACTCCACGATTGGCAGTATGTCTCGTTGCGTGTGTGTGTGCGCGCGCGCGCGCCCGCCCCACCCACCCATCGCCCTCAAAATGCAGGCGACGGCGTCGAGCCGAATGGGCGGGCCGGCCGGCAGAATGCATTATTGCTGAACTGTTTACTGCGTGTGTTTCAATAGTTTTCGATTTCGCACTTTTGTTGGCCTTCTATCGTGTTTCGCCACTCGAACCCACATTTCTCCGTTGCGTTTTTATAGGGATCATCATGTCGTCGACGGTGGCCTCCTACACGCGCTGGTACGAGAGCCAGAAGGTTTCTGTTTTGGTTTTCCCGTCTTTTTTTTGTTGTTATTCTACAAAGATGAGAAGATTGGATAAATTTGGTTTTGTCTCGGCGTTGCCGTCTCGTTTTTTCCGCTTCGGCCCGAATTTTTTTGGTTTCGCGCAAGCAGTAGCAGTTTGAGTCGTCGATTTGGAGCCGCTAATGCTCACGTTTTTGAATTTGGTGAAATGGCACATGGATGAGTTCGATAATTGGGTTTGTTGGGCGAAAATTCTAGTTTGTGTGATCCGATGATCATCGATGAAATATATCGACCAAAACTATTACGACAACTCCCAACCAATTCTCTATGTTCAATTTTTTTTCAATATGATTATTATTATTATTTCAGCCAGTCCCATACCGTAGCGTTCTTCAAGAGAAGTTCGAGCCGGGACAAACCTTGATCGTCAAGGGCTCGACGATCGATGAGTCGCAGCGTTTCACGATCAACTTGCACAGCAAGACGGCCGATTTTTCCGGCAACGACGTGCCGCTTCACATCTCGGTGCGTTTCGATGAGGGAAAGATCGTCCTCAACTCGATGGCGAATGGCGAGTGGGGAAAGGAAGAGCGCAAGTCGAACCCGATCAAGAAGGGAGACTCGTTCGACATCCGCGTTCGCGCTCATGACGACCACTTCCAGGTATCATTCGATTTCGCTTCGTCGAAATACCCGTTCGCATTTTGTAGATCATCGTCGACCATAAGGAGTTCAAGGACTATGAGCATCGTCTTCCGCTCTCGTCGATCTCGCACTTGTCGATCGATGGCGACTTGTACTTGAACCATGTTCACTGGGGAGGAAAGTACTACGTAAGACTGACTAGTAGGATTTATTGAATGTGTCGTTTACATTTCTAGCCAGTTCCATACGAGACCGGGCTCCTCAACGGATTCCCAGTCGGCAAGACGCTTTTGATCTTCGGAACCGTTGAGAAGAAGGGCAAGCGTTTCCACATCAACTTGCTCCGCAAGAACGGCGACATCGCGCTCCACTTCAATCCGCGTTTCGACGAGAAGGTGATTGGCGCGGATTTTAAGCGAATCGGTTTATCTTGAAATTTTCAGCACGTCATCCGCAACAATTTGGCCGATAAGGCTTGGGGAAATGAGGAGCGCGAAGGCAAATTGCCGTTTGAGAAGGGCGTTGGATTCGACTTGGCGATTACCAACGAGGAGTACGCGTTCCAATTCTTCGTCAACGGCGAGCGTTGGGGAACTTTCGCTCATCGCGCTGATCCGAACGACATCGCTGGACTCCAGATCGCCGGCGACATCGAGCTCACCGGAATCCAGATTCAATAAGCATGCTCAGCAGCTTTTGCCGATAATGTTATTAATTTCTAATTTCCAACATCAACACACAACATAAAAACGTTTATTTTTCTTCTTCCCACTTTAAATAATACTGCCCTCTCATTATCTATCATTTAAATTCTTCTTTGTTTCAGAAACGCTTAGTTTCCTCCACAAATGCAACATTTTTGTATCGCAATTTCAATATCTTCTCTTTCGTTCTTTTTTAAAGTAATAAAGTTTTGTTTGGGAAATTGTTGTGAAAACGCATAAAACAACAAAATGAGTAATGAAGAGTGGACTAGAAAATTTGCGGCCGCGCGTGGTTGTATATGTAGTCCACACGGAGAAGTGTAACTCATTTTTTTAATTTCTTTACTTTTTTGACGAATTTATAAATGATTTTGATTAAAGGTATTTATTTTTTAAAGCGCAAACGCTGTGGATTCACATGTATGAAATTTTAATGGTTCCATTAAAAATTTGAAGTGTACAAAATGAAAAAAAAGAAATCGGAAAACGGATTTATATAAAATCTGACGACACGATCAAAGGAATTTCAGATGAGCGTGGATACGTCGACGCGCCTTCTTCAACTTGATGGTCTACTAGAGTCGAAAAATCGCACAATTCGACATGAAGCAGCGTTGGCTTTCGGGAAATTCTCAATATTCGATGAAAACGTTCAAAAAGTATTCGAATTAATAATTTTGTTGAATCGAGTCAAATCAATTTTTTTGCAAGATTTTTAATAAGCACTTGACATCACAATCCTGGGACGCGCGAGTTGCTGCTGGAAAAGCGCTGCACAGTATTCTCGAGAATATGAAAAATGGAATGGAGCCGGCGAAAGTGGGGGCAATTTTTATTTTAAAAAATCACTTTTTTCTTTTGAATTTATAGAAACCAAAGCTTGAACCAACGGAAATGTTTGAAGAGTTGAAGAAGCTTGATGTACAGCATGTTCTGAACACCTTTAAGCCATTGCTTGGGTATAATTTCGACATTTGCTTTTTTTTCAAATTTTTTTCTCTTTAGCGACTCTGAAATTCAAGAAGCGAATAATGAGCCGTCCAGGAATAATAATAAAAAGCAACGCGAGCTTCTTGATCAACATTTAGAATATAATCATCTCACCGGTATCACATCAGTAAGATTTCTCAAAAGCAAATTTCGAAATTCGAATTTTCTTTTTCAGAAAAAGTTTCTTAGCGATGATGAGCTCATGGAAACGTGCTCGAGCAGCAAATCAGTGGAGAATACCGATAGTCAGGAATTATCGAAAATTGTGAAGAAGATCGATATCGAGGAAGGCGCCGGCCAATCGGAGGAGTTTGACGAGACCGAACGGAAGAAGAAGCTTTGGAGAATCTTAAGAGGGTTATTAATTCTCTCTGGTGTTAGCGTAATCTTTAAATTTCAGCTTCATCGATCAGGTGACCGATCAGCGATGGCATGCGCGGCACGGAAGCGCGATTGCCGTCTGCCAAATCGCGACGTGCGCGTTCACGCAGCTATCAAGTGATCTGATTGATTCTTGTCTTTATTTATACCTTCATGTACTCATTCTTGACAAGTTCAATGACTTCATCTCAGGTATCATTGATTGGATTGAAAATTAATTCGCAATTGTCAAAATTTCCAGGGAGGAACGCAACGGCACCGGTTCGCGAGCAATGCGCTCAAGCTTTAGTGCACCTGATGAGGAATATCGACGTTTCGCGGAAGGATGTCGTCCTTCAGATAATGGTCCAAATGATGAACACACCCGGCGAGCAGGTAAAACCAAGTCCGAATTCGAATTCGACAATCATTTTCAGAATTGGAACGTTCGCCAAAGTGGGCTTCTCGTGATGAAATATTATTTCGCGATTGCAAAATCCGACGGCGAACGTGCGACATTTGACAAGTGCTTTGAATTGGTTATTCAATCGCTAAACGACACCGTCGACGATGTGAGACGCCCAATTTTTTTGTTGTTGTTTGGAAATGTTGAAAATAATAATTTTTTCCACAGGTGACGGGTTGCGCTGTCAAAACGCTTTCCTCGATTTTATCCAACGAATATGTCTCGAAAGAAGACGCTTCGAAATTAGTTAGCCGCGTCATGTATCACGTTTGGAGGCTTCTGCTCATCGAGTCAACAAAAGAGCAATTGCGAGCTGGTCTCGATGCTCTTTGCATCGATCTCATTGAAATTGTCGAGTTGTGGCTTAATTGGAACGCCGAGTCGAGTATTACAAGGTGAAACGCCAACATTTTGGTTTATTTATGAAATTTGTAAAAAGAAAACCATTTTCAGGGAGAATCTCCTTGTGATCTGCTCGATGCTTGATGTCAGTTTTCCGCAGCGTTGCGAGAAGATCATCCGATTACTTGATCTCGACCTCTCGCGTGGCGACTCGGGGAAACTTCAAGCGCAAGACGTGTTCTCGATTGTCAAACAGCTCTATCGCATCTTATTATTCTCACCGCCTGCCGATTCATTGGCATTTGTCGAAATGACATTTTTAACATTTCAGAAGCTTTATAAGGCTTATGAGTAATCGAATTTCGACAAACGTCCAATTATAATTTTCATTTTTAGACCTCAATTAATTGCCGCCGGCGAGATATGTAAAACGATCGGCGTTTGGACGGGTTGTTTGCTTTTTGACCATCGAAGTCCCATGATTGGTAGGCATCGGAATTCGAAAGAGAACGCGTCGAAATTGCGATTTCAGACGTGTTCGAATATTGCGTCGACGGAATATCGAGCGTCAAAGAATCGCCGTGTGAACGAATGTGCTCCGAGGAGATGCGATTCCTCTCAGAAAAGTTGAAATTTTCAGTCTATTAAAAAAAAAATTCAATTCATTGTGCTTCTAGGGAGAAGGATCGAACCTACCTGGTTCGAAAGATCTTGTGCGCGAAATTTTTGGCGATCATACTTGAATCATTGTTCGAATCTGATGCTGACATGAATGGCCAAAAAGTGTAAGAATTTCAGACGGGGTATCGAAATTCGGACGGCATTTTTTCCAGAAGCACTGCAATTCAATTAGTCTTCATACCATACTTTCAATCGACTAGCATCATGCATAATCTCGGCGCTGCCGTTGTCGTCAATGAATGGTCGGCGCTCTATCGAGCAACGATCAATACGAAAAATGCCGGATTGGAGCCGCCAATGACGATTGTGCAACTTGCGGATAACGTGCTGAAAGGTGTGTTCGGTTCGGCGAAACATTACGACGAGATGTCGAACACGGTGAACATGCTGACGAAAGATTGCAATGATTTCATTGAATATTGCGCGATTCGCGGATTCGATCGCTCGAAAATTGATGTGATGGCGGCGGATTCGATCGAGGAGATCAGCCGAATCGCCTACACGACGTCGCGCGAGTTTCTGAAGACGGAAAAGCAGAAGGAATCGCTCGATGGTCGTTATGGGATTCTGACGAGGACGATTGAAAGCGTCAAAATTGCTGTTCGCACGAATGCCAAGTAGGATTGCCTTTTATGGGGGTTCTTTTGAGCATGCAATTTAATAAGTCAATTTTAGTCGTATAAGCGCATTATTAGCATCGGCGTTGTTTTATTTTGGAAATGCTCCGGAAAAGCTCACCCCGCAGGTAATAGAAGGTCGGTTTCAAAAAATTCTCAATAAGATTCTTCGAGATTCGACCACTCGTTGAAACAATGCAGATGGAGGAGAACGACGCGATCGCGGCGGAGATATTTCGCGGCTCGGTGCCGCTTCTCGTCATGTACAGTTGGCCGAGAAACCCGCGGCCCTACGTGAAGGTGCTCGCGAAAGCGATCGAGGCGTTCGCGAGTTGCTCCCATCGGATACCGAAGCCGAACACGATCGCCAATCGCTATTGCGTCGTGAGCCTTCAACGATTGACGGGAAACGATGTCGACGATGATGAGAGCGGCGAGGCGTCGTCGGACGCGTCGACGCCGCGAATTGCGCCGAGCAGTCGCAACGCCGAGCTCATTTTATTGGTTTGTGAACAATTTCGAAGTGAAGTATTTCTCGACGCGTTTGTTCTTCCAGATACTTTGCCAATTTTCAACTGTTCAACTACCCGAATTTTATGCGAATTTCGATCTGAATGAGAATGTCGATGAATTGGTAGATTCTTCTTCTTTTTTCTCCATCCCACATCGATATTTGATTTTCACAGGTTCTTCTACATCGCCTCGAACTTCATGAATGCCTTTGGAGTCGCGTCGGCTCGCGGCTATCCGACGAATCGACGAACAAAATATTTGAGCTGTTGGCTTCGCACGATCCGGCGCTTCGATTTGCCGCCGCCAAAGCGATTGAGACGTTCACGAAGTCGCAGTGCGGCGATACGATATCGCGAGTTTATGAGCGTCTGACGACGATGGCGTCAAATTTGTTGAACGACTTCGAGCGTCTCGGCGCCGTCGAGGCCTACTTGCGATTGTCGTGCATGGACGCGGCGTTTCTCAATGGTCTCGCGACGCTTCTGTGCCCGATCGTGTTTCGTTTGCTCACCGATAAATGCGAGATTGTTCGCGATGCGGCCGGCGAGGCGTTTCGCCGATTGGTGCCATTGGTGACGGTCGAGGATCCGAATTTCGTGATACCCGATTTGTGCGATGCGCTGAAACGCCGAAAACTCGAGAACACGAACTTCATTCATGTGTTGAGCTCGCCGAGCGCACTGCCGCGAATTGAAGTGGCCCAGATAAAAGGTGGTCTCGATGGCAAAATGCTCAGAGAGTACCAGCTCGAGGGCATCACGTGGATGAGGTTCCTTCGTCATTATGGGCTCAATGGGATTCTTGCGGATGACATGGGATTGGGCAAAACGCTTCAAACGATGTGCGCGATCGCAATGTCGCTGGATTACGGTATTCAATTTTTGGTTTTTTTTTTGTTTTTCGTTTTTTGAAAACTTGTGTTATTCGTCAACATTCATCAGACAATCTTGATAAAAAATCGAAGTGCTCGCTGATTGTGTGCCCACGAACGCTGGTCGATCATTGGTGTCTCGAATGGAAACGATATTTTCCGAATCGTACGCCGGCGCAGAAGCATGTTGGTAAGAGTATTGCGGCGGATGTTTGTGTGGTGGCCTATGAAGACCTCAAATCGAATCAACTTATACAGTAAGACAATCATTCATTCATTCTTTTTCTTTTCGGAATGTGGATTGAATGGAATACTAGGCGCTTTTCAGAAAGCGCGTTTGGAACTATGTGGTTCTCGACGAAGGCCACATAATGAGGAACACGAAAACGCAGATCTGGCGAAGTGCGAATTCGTTGTTGTGCAAAAGTCGTTTGATATTGTCGGGAACGCCGATTCAGAACTCGTAATGACATCAATTCGCTGTCGATGTATTTCTTTTTCAATTTTCAGACCCGCCGACCTTTGGGCGCTATTCTCGTGGCTAATGCCCGGCTATTTGGGCACCGAGAAGCAGTTTCGTGCGCAATTTTTGCGAAAAATTTTAAAGTGCCGAAACGCGAAAGCGACCGAGGCCGATCTGAAAGCGGGCTCGAGCGCACTATCGCAATTGCACCGCCTCATTTTGCCGTTCGTTTTGCGACGAATGAAGGGAGATGTAACAATTGTGCGCGATTCGCTGGTTTTCACAATTGTCGTATTACAGGTTCTCAAAGAGCTTCCCGACAAGAATGTGCAGGATTACGAGTGTGAGCTAAGCGATGATCAGAAGGACATCTATCGATTCGTTGTCGATTGTTGCACGTCGAACTCGGATGACATCGCGTCGGGACGCGGCATCTCGGCGCTTCACACGCTCATCACACTTCGAAAACTCGTCGATCATCCGATATTGAGCTACGAAACGTTGTGTCAACTGAACGCCCCTCAAGACATTCTTGAGAAGGGCCAGAATGCGCGATCGGGCAAATTGGAGGGGCTCGGTCAGCTTCTCGTCGAGTGCGGAATTTGTCGGCAACAACAAGACGGCGACGAGACGGATGAGATCGCGATCGCTTCGGACGCGTCGGTTTCGCATCGCGCGTTGATCTTTTGCCAATGGAAATCGTCGGCGAAATTGGTATCGCAGAAATTGAGCAGGTATTCTTCAGAGGGGGGTTTCCGATTTCGACGATGAATCCGAGATTTTAGCGGAGAATTCGGCTCGAAAGTGTCGCATTTGGTGCTCGATGGCGATGTGGCGGCGGCGGATCGAATGCGATTGGTGAATCGGTTCAATGAAGACAAAACGATCGATGTTCTGGTGCTCACCACTCACGTATGTTCACATTTTCATTGGTGGCACATTCATGATTGAAATGCTGCAGATTGGCGGCGTTGGTTTGAATTTGACTGGAGCCGACACGGTGATTTTCCTCGACCACGATTGGAATCCGATGAAGGATCTGCAGGCGATTGATAGGTTTCACAGTTTTCGTGTCGAAAATCCAATGACCTTCTGTTAAAACCTTCTAGGGCTCATCGTCTTGGACAAACTAGGAAGGTTAATGTGTATCGATTGATCACCCAGGGGACCATTGAAGAAAAGGTGATGAGTTTGGCCAAGTTCAAATTGAATACGGCGCAGGTTATTTTGGCGATAATTCTGCTGATTTCAATAATTCGATCGTAATTGATAGGCGTTAATTAGCGATGATAATACGTCGTTGCAATCGATGCAGACGACGGAATTGATGGAAATGTTCACTCTTGACGGCGATGAGAAGAAGGCGGCGGAGCCGGCGAGGAAGCGGAAGAAGTTTGCAGCATTGTGTTGTTGCGTTTTGATTTTCGAAAATTTAGAATGAGCTCGGGAGCTTCGCAAGCCGCTAGCGGCGGCGGCGGCGGATTGCCGGCGCATGAATGGAATCTTGCCGAAATGTGGGATGAAAGTCAATATGACGATTTTCAAGTGTCCAAATTCCTTAAATCGGCATAATAATTAATTTATATATACATAGTTGTGGACGGGCATTTGAATTGCCGCCTTTGAGTCTCGTATGGCTTAATGTTTTATGAGTTGTTTAAAACATATGCCAAATGGCGGTTCATTTTATTTTGAGGGACCAATTGATTGAAAAATTGAAAAAATTTTTAAATATCGTCCGTCCACTGACAATACTCATTTTTCGTTTTGTTTTTTTTCTAAACTTCAATTTCTACTTCGTTTCATGTTTATCAGACCAACTATGGGTTGTTGTTTTTTTTGTTCGTCCTTTTACTCTTGTATAATGTGTACCATAGAAAAATTTCTTCATGCATTTCACATTTTATGAATTTTGCTTGTCTATAAATTTATCGGTGCGTTATTCTCATTGCTCGTCGTTTCGGTTGATTGTCTCGACGATTTGAATATTTGAAATTAATTTTTCTTGAAGTAAAGAGAAATGAAATTTTAGAGAGATGTCCAACGCGGAGCCATCGACGTCTTTGCGGAAAATTGAGGAAGAGATTCTCGGTTGGTTTTTGAGACGTTCAATTTTGTTGGAAAAATTCTCGACGAGCCACAATTTTTTGGTAGTTTTTGAGCGAAATAAAATAAACCTTGAAAATAGTTTTGTTTTCAATCGAAATATAATATAAATTAATCCGTTTCAAAGAGTGCGAGAAAAAAAAGAATCGAATACGATTCTAAAGTTGAAAATGAGAAATAAATCAATAGATTTCAGATTTTTTAAAAATCGAATTTTCATTTTTTTTGCATTCCAATCAGGTTAATTTATATTTCATTTTTCTTCGAATCCGATTGATTTTCATTAACCTGATCTTGATTCGATGGGGGCCGAATGCTTAATAAAGGTCCAACCAATATCCACTGAATGTTGCTTTTGAAAAAAATTTAAGGGGGGCCCGAATTTTTTTTTGCGAAAATTTCCAGAAAATGTAATATTTACGCCCAGTTTTTTTTGGATTTTGTGGCTCCTTAAATTTGACTTTATCGGTTACAATTCAAATGGACCCCACTTTCCATGATGATTTCGAGGAACTTCCTTGTTCATCAAGAAATTCTGTAATCTAGAATGACTTTATTATTTTTTGCGAGTCGTAGACGAGAATTAATTAAAGCATTTCTTTTTTTTTTCATTTCGCAGCTGATGAAAAATTCGCGCCACTCGCGAAATTGGCGCAAACCTGCTCGACGGATGCGCTTGCCGATCACCTTATCGGGGCTGTTGATTGGAAGGAGGTCGAGGAAGTGATGCCCAAATTTCTCAAGGTTCGACCTCGACCCACAAACGATTTTTTATTTCGTTTTGTATAATGGAAATTTTTTTCGGTAAAGCTGAAAACAGTGGACGATGTGAAACAGCTTCTAATCGAGCAGATGGATGGGATGTCGTCGAAGCGACTTGTTGCTGTTTTGAATGGTCCGATTCCATTCGTTGATTTTTGCCTCTTCTTGATTTCGCATTGTTATTGTAGGCAGCAATACGGAGGAGTCGTCGAGCTCCGAGGAAGACGAGGCGAATGAGGTTGAGGAAGCGGTTTGTGCGACAAAAGAAGCCACACCAGTGGTCGATGAGAAAAACGCGGAAAAACAAGGCGAGGATCGAAGCGACGAGGCAGCCGCTGACGATGACGACGACGACGACGACCATGAGCAGAAGCTAAACGAGGAGCTGAACGGCATTTTGGATTGACGCGTATTCTTTTGTTAAAATATTTTCCTCATTCTCTTTTCTATTTTTTTCCAGCTCCTTTTTTCTTTTTTCTTCGGCGACCCCCCAACATTCATAAATAATGGGTATTGTTCGGTGGGAGTCCAAACGCACCATTTACAGCGAGCGGATTCTTGGAAGATTGACGCCGATGCGCAATTTTTTTTCCTAGTTGTTGAATCTGATGAGAAAACTCAATTATTAATCTTGTTTCGTGGAAAATATTGCGGGTTTGCAAAGTGGCGGAGAAACAAATTCGAATTTGATTAAACTGGGAGTTCTTCGGTCTCTCTCTGTTTTACGGACCCCCCCCCCCGCTTACCGCCTATATTTAGCGCAGCGCCACATTAAATTGGTCCCGACACTCAATTATATGACGTGTGAGAGGTGTCGTATCGCGATAATCATTAGTACCGGGAATGACTAAGGATTTCGTCGAAGAGATGATCCATCGAGTTTAATCGGATTTTGGGGAATTGCAAAAATGCTGTTGGAATAGTGAAATTTGAAAAAAAAAATCACTATTTGGTCTGGAAATATTGGACCACTGGACCTTGGCTAAACACATTCTCAAATTTCCACTTTTATTGGATCGCCATTTACGCACGCCAGTGTTCATGGACCACTATTTGGAAACTCGTCCACACATGCGACCCCCCTCCTTTAAAAAGAAACCCAGTTCTGAAATAAAACAAGTTTGGGTGTTATTCGATTAATAATTTTTTTCTTTGTTTTTCGCAGCACAACCCACAACAGTTTTGTTTTTTTTTTTTTTCAAATCGCCGCTGAAAATGTCAAAATTTGAAATAAATTGGCGAATGGTGTATTTTGGCGACAACCTTTCTGCCTTTTTTTTTGGTGGTCCACTCGTATGAGGTTCTCCAAAGAATTTGAGCTGCGGCGATTCGATTTGAAAAAGCAATTACGAATGGAGATTAGAGCGACAGTAGAAAAAATCTCGTTCAATTTGGTTCCTTGCGAGACCATGTGGGCGGAATTGTGAGTGTGTGCGGCTTATTTAAATTAGAAGAAGGTGTCTGATGTTACCTAAAAATAGGCTGTTGATTGAATGAATATTCATTTCGTTTTTATTCGCTAGAAATAAATGATAGTCGCTTTTTTTTATTTGGAAGTGTCGTCCTTTGGGGAAAATGAATGTCGCAATGATTAATTCATGAATATTACAAGTCGTGGAACTTCATCAGCTACTCGTAAATTATGAATCAACAATGCGGAAAATTTCCAATTTTTCCTATAATATTACACGATGGTCCAATTGGAAAAGAATTCCTGGAAAATTTTGCGGAAAAAAAATATTGAAAATCCAAAAAAAAAGACAGGATCATTGCCGTGCGATAATGCGCTATCGTGTTTGCGTACACGCTGGATACCGTAACCGCAAAAATAAATTGAGTGTGTGCTTCCATCAACCTTCATAGAAAATTGTGATCTTCGAAGTGTATCTCGCCGTGTTTTAATTTGATCATTTCTCCAACTAGAAAACTGCGGGGAAAAAATTTAATTGAAGTTGCGCGTTTGCTCATCCGTCGCCAATTCCCAATATAAGCTCCACCCACATCCATCTATCATTCCAAATTGAAAATAAAAAAACGACAACGACATGTTCATTTAGCGTAAAATCTTCATCGTTTTTTTTTTGTTTTTGCCGACATTATCTGTATCTCTTCCAAACGCTTTCTTTTTTTTGCTGTGACGCCGACGCCGCCCATCATCATGAATATTTGGTGTCGTCGTTGGCGCCAAGTTTTTCTGTGAAAACATAAACGGCTTTGTTTTTTTTTCTCTTTTCTTTTTTTCCATTCTCCTTCCTAAAAAATGTGTGATTTTTAGTATTAAATTGTCGATTTGACTTCCATGTGCCACGTGGCAATTCGGTGTCGATGCGGGGACGCAGTTTTAAAGGCTCAATCTGCAAAAAGGTCCCACAACGAATTGGACCATTGACCAAAGCCCATTATTTCCCGGGGCAAGCCGGATACCGGCAACAAATCAATTCGGCTTCCGTTTTAATGGGAGGGAAACCCCATCATTTTTTATTACGAGAACCCATAATCCCAATCGAGCGAACACCTTTATTCGGTTTTTTTGTGGTCCCCCTCTCACTCGATATAATTGAGCCCTTCGATATTTTGCAGCTTCAGCATCCGGATTCGACAAATCCGCGCCACGAAAAAGAAAAAAAACCGAAAGAAGATAGCGGATTATCTAATGTATAAAAAAAAGTGTTAAGCCTTGATGCACAAAAATAGCAATTTTTGTCGCTATTGTTGTGTTGGGATGGAAGAGGAAATGGCGTGGCGGGACCCAAAACAAGAAGGATAATATTTTTTTACTATATGCATATGTATATTTTTTCTCAATTTTAAATGAAAAACGATAGCGGCAATATTCAATTTGCCGTTTCATATTTTCAGCGCGGCCGGCAAAATTAAATTCGCCGTTATCGGCCGGGGGGCACAAAAAACAACGACATATCGTTAATCATTCGGGAATATCCTAAACATTCCTTATATGGTATAACGGGGGGAGGAAGAAGAAGCTCAAAATGCATTTTGGAGGAGCAATGCATTTCATATTTGAATGGACTTTTTTTTGAAGACGAGAAAAAATAATAAGGACGAATTTCAGAAGCCGACGAGAAATTTCCAGTTGATGGCCCCCCCTCCCCTTTAAAATGTCTCCCGACACGAAATCGCTAATTCGCTTTTTGCAACCGCCCTCCCCCTCAACGTAAATCGCGATGATGTGAAGCCGTAGATCAAAACATGTTTCATGTGCGCCTTTAAATCAAAACAAAAAACCCCCCGCCCCGCCGTCCAAACAATCATCATTTAATTTACGTCAACTCATATCCATATAAGTAATTGTGAGTCCCTACTCGAACATTTTCAGCTGCCACCCCCCCCCTTTTGAGTCGGGCTTAATGTTTGACACTTGAAATTGGTTTTGCCGCCCAAATTTGCATTTTCGAATCAATCGCCAACGAAACAATGGCAGTTGGTGGGTGGTGGTTGACGACGACAATGAGCCGCCCGAGAAGAAAAAAAAACATACGGTAGTATTTTATGGGGCTTTGTGCTGCACGAAGCCTACGGTATGCATAAGAGGGCTTCGCACGTAGGTGGTGTCACCCGGAAGGGGCTTCTCTACGAAGCCTCAAAATTGTCACAATCGCGCACTATTGTGGAGTTGGGTGGGTCTCGCAACATGGGGATTTTTACGAAACGTCTCATCGCCTCGAGACCATTTCTGAAATATAATTGTCGGCGTCAAACGACTGAAAGGAGGCGGGGCATTCAAATTCGCGAAATCAGTGTAGATTTAAATTTTTCGTTGACTGAATATTAAATGCGCGTACGCTTAAATACAAGGTACGCAATTTCACGTGCTTCGCACTGCTTTGAGACGCATTGGCACATTGCCAATAATTTTTTTAATTTTCGTCAAGTCGTTTGATTCCGACAATATGCGCCTTTAATCGCTTCTTTGAAACATTGCTTTGAACTCTTGAAATGACCGAAAAAGCGTTCGCCGTTTTTCCGTGTTTCACAACGCGCGTCTCATCCGCTCGAGACCATTTCTGATTTCGACAGTACCCGTAGGAAAGGCTTCACCTGCACCTCATATTTCATTTATAAACGCTCCGATTTGTTGTGCACTTAAGTCATACCAGAATATTTTATTATTTCAATATTAGCGCGCCATAGATGACGTTCGCGAAGCGCCGCCGCACGCCCACCAACCAAACAAAAATCCGAAACGAGCGCGCGGTGACGTCGTCTCGCCGACTCCGCCCCACTCGAAAACCATCTGCATCGCATTCACTCCCCCCGAATTTGTTTCGTTTTCGTTTGTCAGTACACCGAGACGCCAAATCGCACCGGAAGAATCGTATTAGAGCAAGTCGTTTATGAGGAAGTTTACCATTTGCTTTATTTTTGACACAAATTGGCTGCCCCCCTTTTTTTCCTTGTTGAAATATTCTAGACGAGTGAGATTCTTGAACTCTTGAAACGGAAGAAAAAACAATTTGATTGATTTCTTGTCTAGATTGTTGAAAGCACGATCCCATGTGAATTGACGGAACCCAGCCTCCATTGATTTTTGGTTCTCTCTATGCAAAATTATTGAAATGCTTGCTTGTTCGGCCACCTACGTACTCATTTTCGATATTCCTTCTTTTTTTTTGCGTCGATTCGCAAAAACTTGGTAATTCCAAATCACTAAATTATGCGCATAATTGGCCGAGTAATGTATTCGAGTTTCTTCGAGACTCGACGACGACGAATGGAGAAAAAAGAAAAAGCGCAATTTGTCGCGAAATTATATGTGCAGCGACACGGCGTGGCTCCGATATGGTTGAATAGCGTTGGTGTACTTTGCCAAATAACGGAAAATTCGATTATAATCGAGGAAAAAAAATCGAATCGTATTCCACCCAGTTGGTGCACTTTTTGCCAAATTTTTGCCGCTTGAATTCAAGCAGTTATTTGCTGCCAACACCATTGAACGATTCGATTTCTTAAGCCGAATCATCTAAAAAAAAAAAATCGAATATATTTTTAATCCGTTTTTAGGCGGAAATGCAAACTAAACTGAATTTAAACGAAATTATTCGAAAATTCGAAATGAAATAACGCTTGTGCAATAATGCGTCGGTGAACTGCACGCATTATGTGCTACAGTAACATTCTTCAAAAAATATGACCCAAAAATTTGTTTTTCGAAAAGAAAAGTTTCACTGCCTCGAAAAACAAGCAAAAAAACAATCTCATTATTATTTTTATTATTATTATTCGCGATTTTTGTTTTTGAAAATCTAATAACGACCGAACCAATAGGTTTCGGTCAATTTTTTCCCCCAGATTTTTTAATTTCGACTGGAACCACCCAGCTAGACATCGAATCAGGTGCAATTTTCCGCAAACATCAAATTTATATATTTGGAATGCAAAAAAGGCAAAACCGATCATCTTGATCAATTTGAGGCTTTAATTCTAAATCGCTCATTTTTTGGTTGCAAAGTCGGCGTCTGGCGACTTGGGTAGATTTACGAGTGCGTCTTTCAAAAAAGGTCTCGCCACGTTTTGGCTGTTCTCACGTGAATTGCTCATTTTTTGCGATGAGTTCTTAAAAAACGAGGCTTTTAAATCAAAAATGGGCAGTTTGTCGGCGCGAGACCACCGCGAATCGATCGCCGAACGCCGACAATAATTGAATTTTGAATTCGTTTTTGTCTCAAAATCAATTTCGTGTCGAGATCAGGCGCGATGCCCTCCCCCACTATGCAAAACGTCATCTCGCCACAAGTGGGAGATGAGGGCGTGTCCTCGAGGCCACGCCCATTCCGCCCGGCGAGCCTTCCTTCCATTCTTTCAATCGTTGCTCGCGCGCGGGCGCGCGTGAAAAAAAAAAACATTTTCGAGCAATTTGTGCTGCTGAAAAATAGCAATTTGTCAATTTTTGTTTTCTGCGACCCCCCCCCCTGCAATAAAAAATTGCTTGTTCGTCATCTCACCGTCAAATGGCTGAGCGTCATCGTCAATCATTGTGTGGATGAATGAGAAGACACAAAAACGTTTTTTTTGAAACTATGAATTCTCATTTGTTCTTTGTATTTTCGTTCTCCATGCCCCCGCCCGCCCCCACACGGAATGGCCGGAAGAAATTAATTAACACTTCCACTTTAGCTTCCTCCTCATGTCACTCGCATCCCACACCTTTATGCAAGTCGTTTCGGCGCGCTGCAAACTCAAATGAATAAAACATTGGCGAAAATGCCATTTTGTATTTTTTTTTTCATATATAACCCTATCGTTTCTGATCTACCGCTTCGCTTCACTGACAATTTGAGAGAATTCAGGTAATCATCGGTTTGGTTCGCCCAACAAAACGCACACACATAAAAGAAAGCAATGAACTTCTCGATCGAGTTGAGCTCACTCATCGCCGTCTTCGCGCTTCTCGTCCACATCTCATCGGCCGCTGTCGTGCCGGCAGGTTGGCGGGAACGCAAAAATAGCTGATCAATGCCTCGTTTCTTTTTTTTTCTTGTAGACTATTCGCCGTACGCGCGTGACGTCGCCGAGATGCCGCCGCCGCCGTCGTCGTTCGTCGTCGACGGCGAACCGATGCCGCCGGTGAAACGCGCGCAAACGTTCGTCCGATTCGGCAAACGCGCGCAGACCTTCGTGCGGTTCGGCAAACGCGGACAGACGTTCGTGAGGTTCGTTCGACGATGAATCGATGATATAATGCGCCTTTAAAAACAATTGGATTCATTTCATCATGCGCCATTAATAATCCGCTTTGAAGATGCTACCCCTCATGTTGAAGAAATGCCATGCGCCTTTAAAGAAATGCAATTATTCTTCAATTCTAGTATGCGATTAGAAGAGGCTACCCTATGAAATGGCATGCGCCTTTAAAAATGGATTGCGCCTTTAATCGTCCCTTTAAAGCATTGCTTATAAGCCGCCAAAATGAAAAGCATTTTTTTTTTCTTCATAACTTTATCGAATTTTCAGATTCGGAAGAAGCGCTCCGATCAGTGAAGAATAACCACGCCCCCAATCGCCATTTAAATTTGACCCCCCCCCAATCTCTCTTTTTTCCCGGCGATTTTGTACCCCCCAAAAATTTACCGTCTCAAAATCGCCGACAAACTCATCCCACACGCCCCAATCAACAAAAAATTAACCAAATAGGCCACAGTTTGTTTTTTTCGAAGCTTTTCCCCCCTTCACCACCACCACCACCACCATCATCTGTCGTCCACACCATCAGTTTCCCATTTTTTTGAAAATACAATAAAGTCGAACTTGTGAATTCGATGTCACTTAGTCACTTAGTCGGTTCGTCCTTCGCCTGTTGAGGCGCGAACCACAGCTTTCCAAGCTTTTCGGTCCTTGGCTTGGGTGGACCAGGGGGTGATAACGGCTCCATCAGCTGTTCTTGTAGGGATCTCCTTCCGAAGCTAGTCAGACCATTTCATGACTACCAAAAAAAGGGGAGTTTTATTATTAACAACAAAGCATGAGATCGTGATGAGTTCGAACAAGACTAGAAGACTACCGTGATGATAAAAAAATAATAATAAAGAAGAACGCCAAGATTAAAGTGAAATATGAGTCGATGAAAAAAAAATAGAATTGTTTTGGCGGATTGAATATGGTATGGTTCCATGCAAATTTTGGAAGAAAACTGAAAAAAAAATTGGTGAAAACTATTTTTGTTGCGAAATCTGCATAGGACCATTTCAACGTCTCCGATAAACGTGAGGGCTGCGAGCATCTTATGGACCATCCTATTATTTTTCGGGTAGGCGGTAATTCAAATTTGTGGAAATTCGGGTTACGTACAACAGAAAATCTCAAAATTCTTGTTTTTGACCTCTCTCTCAGTCAGCCAAAAAGAACATCGCAAAACTTCTTAATTTCTACAGTAACGGGATCGTTTTCGTTGTGAGAACCCTTTAAAGTCTCTTCTTGTTTTTTTGAGTTACCGTAATAAACACGAGGTTCAAAAATGTTGGACTTTTAGCGGTCGGGTGAAGACTATAAAACCCGAAACAACAAAAATGTTCACATTTTCATGAGAATTGTCAAAATTGAGCCAATTTCCCACACCATTGCTCATTTTTTTTTCTCGCACAACCCCTCCGATTGATCGTCAATGCTGGCAAAGGTTGTCAAAAAAAAATAATAATAAAAACAATTTTCGGATTCCTAGATTATCACAAAAATCGGGAACATTGAATTCAAGTAGATTCTAGACGTCGGTGACGGTTGGCGTATGCGTGATCACCAGCGGACCATCTTCAGCGAGCGGCATCGCCGGCGGAAGGGCGACGATCGATGACGGCGGAAGTGCGGCCTGCAATAATTCGATCAATCGCATTTTTTTTTCAAGGAATTTATTGTTCGATGAAACATTTTCATGATTTCTACTCGCTTAAAGAGTTCAAGCGAAATCATGCATGTTTAAAGGTTTCGTCTGCAGTTTGCACCTGCGAAACGAAAATCTCCACATTCGACATTTTTTGAATGAAACAAAAAAACCGAAAATGGAAAATTCGGCAATTTTTCGGTTGAATCAGAAAACGTTGATGAAATTCAATTAAGACAATTTTAGATGTGTGGAAACGCAAAAACCACAAAAAAAAAACAATCCCTCAATTTTTTCCCCAGCGCTTTTCTTTTTGCAATTCCTTTTCGACCAATAATTAATGCACATCGAATTTGGTAGGTTTTCTTGAAGCGTTCAAGAAAAATTTACGGCTTCGTCTACAATTTTTCTCGAAACCATTAAACCAAAAAAACAACCTCCAAAGTTCTTTTTGAATATTACTACCAAATTTCCATTTCCGGTCACACGCTCAACAAAAAAAAAAGACTTTTCCGAATAACTGCACACCAATCCAATTCGGGAGTCGATTATTTTCGAGCTCAAAGTAACAATATCAATATATTACAATTGGTTGAAAATGTGCGTCTCGAATCGTTCTTTGAGCGCATCGCCAATCAAGCCTATTATTCATTTGAATGAACGCATTGACAACACACGATGATGATGATGATATGATGCGCGATTTACCTGCGAGCAGCACGGCTTTCGCGGCGGTGGGGGCGGCTTGTGATTCTGGCTCGATTTCAGCGTCGCCGACGGCGTTTCGGATTCGTTCGACTGGTTCTGCGATTTGCCGCGAGCCAACGAGCGATCGACTCGATCGATATCCTTCTCAGTGCTGCTTCTGAAACTGAGTTCCAGCCCATTTCTTTCATTATTCTGCCAATCCCCCGTTCAATTACCTCATCATTTTTTCATGATTCCTTCTGGTGAGCGTCGCCTGCGGCGTGATGTCTCCCAACTCGCCAGCAACACTAACCAACGGTGTTGCGACGCCTCCAGGCGGTGCATACGAAGCTTAACAAAAAAATTCGATTCTCAATTTCGCACGACAACTTACTGCTAGGACTCTGAATGTCGGCGGTTGACGCAATCGACGATCGCACCGAGATGTTGTCCGAGAGAACCGCACGACATCGACATTTCGGGCACGTCTGATCGGTTCGCTGCATGAGATATGTGTGAAGGCATCTTTCGTGAAAGATATGTGAACACCGAAGCGCTTGGAGGCTCTCGTCATTCAGGCCATATCTGAAATCTTCTCCAAATTCTCGGCTTTCGTTTTTTCGATAACGCTACCGTTGTCCGCAGAAATTGCAAAACAATTGCATTTCCTGGGTGAGGCGACTGGCAGCTCGTCTCGCGGTCTCCTCACTGTCATCGTCATTCAACTGGGAATAAAGCTCGGCGAGCCTTAGATGGCATTTCAGAACCACGTGCTGGAATACAATAATTTGTTATATACAAAGTTTTCAAAGGGCTTCTCTACTTTGCATCCGATTTGATTCGCAATTTCGATGCACTTCTTGTTGAGCTGAATTGCCTGACATTCACACTGCCCAGTGTAATGGGATCGACTTTCAGATGCACTTTTGGCCATTGAGGAAAGCACGAGAACCTGAACATCCAACTCAGATTTCAGTTGAGCGTAATTAGAAATATTACCTCGCCCATGCGATCATTTGCGGCGCGCATCACTCGATAAGCGTCTTCATATCTGGCCCAGGACTTCTGAAAAAAAAACGATGCACAATCGATTTCATTTTTCACTTTCATTTGTGCCTACCGTAATCGTCTCTTTCGCTTCACTCTCGCCGAGTTCGCGATAAATGTCGGCCAAACTGCACATGCATCGCGCATGAATCGCCCGATTTCCTGTTTCGGTTGCAAGTTGAGAAGCTTCCTGAAAACACGAGCGACCTCACCACCGCGTTTCATAGATCGGACATTGAGAAGAATGGTGCTGTTTTCGTCTTTTTTTAATACAAGGTTACCGGGCATGCCAAATATGCGAGTATTGGAAATTGCTAGAAAATTGCACACGAACTTGTTCGAAACGCGAGAGGGAGGGGGGCATATAATTCTAGAGAACTAATTAAATTCATTTTCATAAAAAAAAAGTAAACTTGGCTTGGAAAGAAGCTAGAAGTCAACAAATTTTAACCGAAAAACGCAACAATTAAAAAATGTGTAAATTTGCGTTACGGTGTCCACGAACGACTTTGCGGCACATTTGACGCCAAACATTTTTTTTTTCAAATTTATGTTCCTTTCTTATACTTTTACCATAATTGCGGAAATATCAAAGATCTCAGTTTAAATATTTGATTGAACAAAATGGATTGACGATTTGTCGATTATTTCAAAAGTTTTCACGCAAAAATGCACCTCTTGCAAAAACTGTGGTGTGCATTTAATTGTAAGCTAGATCAAATTTTTGGCAGCAAAATTTAAAAAATAAAAACTCTTACATCGCAAGCTTCTTTCGCATCAACCAAGCTTCCTTTCATTCGCAGAGCGACGGACAAATGATACAAAATCAAGCATCGATATTTGGCGTGCACATCGTCGACCGTAACCGATTGCACAATCGCGAGCGCGTTTCGCAAAAATATCAAAGCTTTGGTGATGTCCCTAAAAATAAATTCGCAAATTTTGAAAATTGTGATTTAGAAACCACCTTAATAAAGTAAATAATGATCCTAATCCCACGCAAATCTGCAATTCCAGCAATCGATCGCTCGTCTCATTCGCCACATTCATTGCAGACTCGAAGCTTTCAAGGCACTGTTGAAATTGCGACATTCCCAGATAAGCCAAAGCAATCGCTAAAATCGAATCGTAAATTATTTTTTGGTTGCTGGAAACATGAATGGGAAATTACTCAGATGCGCGTAGCCAGGCGTTCTCGGATCCATCGACGGATGCTCGAGCGACGCTTTCCCATACTGCAACGCTTTCGTGAAATCGGCGAGTCGCTCATAAGCTTTGGCGAGATTCAGAAACGCCTCGCACTTCATCGCCGAATCGTTTTCATCGGTGGCGAGCTGCATTTGCGCCAACGCGTACGACAACATCCCCTCGTATCCGCCCTGATCGCAAAGCGCCTGCGCCAAATAGCCGAGTGTGATGAAGCGGTCCTCCGTGTTGCTATAAATAACAAAAAAAAAAACGTTTCGAAACGACTTGCAGAATCACTTTAATCGATTCAACGATTGCCTCCATTTGTTGATCGCCTGCGCATAGTGCCGCTGATGATAGAGTTTGACGCCGGCCTGCATTTGTTGCTTCGCTTGCCGCTGTCCCATTGGTCGACGTTTTCCGATGCTAATTGAGATGATGGAGCGATGCACAAAAACACCCATTGACCTGTGAATTCGTAATGCTCAAATCGGGTTCTGGTTGGCTACATTGTAGCCACAATAACTTATTTTAATCACTTTAAAAAAATGTACTGCAGTTTATTTTTCGCGTTTTCCCATGCGCGATGTGATTCTCAGAAAGCTCACCTTTGACGGGACGGCAACAAATCATTCACACAGGTGATACCTTTGCTTAGGCTTGGATGTCGTAAAGGGAAAACAAAGAAAGAAAAAACGATTCCTACGACGATTTTGGAATGGACTTGTGTGTTGAATTTATCGCATCTGAAAACACGGAATCTGATCAACGAGGCGGGTAAATATGAAAAAAAAAATAAACAAGGGAAACGAGTGAAACACGACGAGTTTTGAGAAGAGAGGGTCGGAAAGGGGGGGAGGGCTCAATTCTGATCCCGTCGTTTTTATAAAGATGGCGTTTTGAGATAGAAATACGTATGTATGCGGCGGCGAATTGGAAGACGACGGGGATCATATTTGACGGACCACTAGCGCAAATAATTGCGCACTGCGAATGGGGGCATTAAAACTCGATATTTAATTCTTGACAAGGATTTGCACAAATGGAATCGCTAGAAATTTTAAAAGGAATTTATGGACCCTTTTATTCATGCAAATCAGCTAGGAATCTTGATGGGACCCCCTTAATGAGAGAGCGATCGCTGAGACCCAAAATTCGCTCTAATCTTTTTTTTTTGTGACAATAAAAAACCGGCGGGTGCACAAAATTGCGGCGAAAATGGTGGAATTCAATCTGCTGTCAATTTGTGTGCTCTAAGTAATTCGAATTCCCGGCGGACCATCGAAATTACTCGGAACCCATTCGGATTTGTCGTCTTCCTCTATTTTTTTTTTCAACTCCTCGTGCAACGATTTGGCCGAATTTTGTGCCTGTCCGTCGAGACGGCTTGATTGATGATCAATTTTACCTGTGAGACGACGAAAGTGACAGCGTCAATGTGAAACCAAAAAAAAATATGATAGAGAGTCAGTAGTGGGGAAAGCGAACAGCAAAAAAAAAAGAGATATTAAATCAATGTTGTTCATTTTTGCTAAAAAAAAAGCAAAAAAAAATCAAATAAAAAGAGAGAATTTGGGTAATTGTGTGCGTTCACCGAGACGCCGAATCGCACAGAAAATTTTAAATGCGCCGACCGAGAGTATCGATTGAAAACACTTCAAATTTCTTGTGCAATAATAATAGTTGGCTCATTAAAAAGTTCGCCCGAAGCGAGGAATTCACGAAATTTTATGCCAAAAAGAAAATCACGAACAATTTTATGTCGGCGTTTCCCGTAATTTTTGCATCATTCGTCAAGGAAAAGCCTCATAAAAAATCAGAAGTAATTCGATATAGGAAAAAATCGCGAAGAAGAATCGACGTAGTTCAATTTTTTTTAATGATCGCGATGAGATAAAAGATTGGCGGGCACAAAAAAAAGAGCAAAGAATGAATTGTTACACAATTTTCTCACACTTCGGCTTGCAGCGAATCGTCGTCGCGTCGATTCCTTCCGAAGCAAGTTGGAATCGACGTTTTAACAATTAAAGAGAACCGAACAGCTCGTTGTGAGCACAACTCTAATGAGTGACACGAGCCGAGTTGGCAACAATTTGCGTTGGAGAGCAACGAGTCGAAGAAACAAAACAACATTTTTTTTTTCTTCCAACCCGACGTCAGGCTTTTCCTCAAAAAAATTGATAGCCAACAGAAAATTGGAAGAGCCAAAAATTGCCGATTTTTTTCTAAAGTCGGTTTCACAAGAAAAAAAACGTATCGAGCTTTGCAGCAAAAAATTCCGGCAACCGTATTTTTTTGGGGGGAAACTCACACATATTTTCTATGCCACTGCTTCGCACCAACTAAAACCATCTGCGGACACCATTCCGGGTTTAATAATCAAATTCGAGCGAGGTGAGAAGAGCAATAAAAACAAATTTGTGCTAGGACCAGACCAGAGGAGAAGCTCGAACGAAACACACACAAAAAACATACACATTGGTATAGTGGATAGGAGAAGCTGAATGCTCTCTCTCTCTCTCCCTCAGTCACGAGCACTCACACATACACATTGGTCCCAACGTTTCCATCTCTCCTTTCTTTCGTCTTCTACTTTTTTTTGCGCGCCCGGCGCCTCTTCGTTTTTATTTCGATCTTGGCTGCTTGGTTGGTTGAGAAGGCGAAGACGAAGCAAAAAAAAGAGCCACTCTCGGGATCGGTGATGCACCGCTTTTTTGCATTTTCAGGAACACGAGTCCGGTTTTCCGCTGATTAGCTCAAATACCTATTGGGAAATTCTGTTTCGTTCGATTCAAATCGATATTGATTCCCAGCCCGATTGTGAGATTGTCGTTTTGGATCTCGCATGGAATTGCTTGACTTTTTTTTGGACAAAAGGTGGCAATTAAGGATGAAACTGTATGCGCCTTTAACGAACAAATTTTGTAGTGTGCCAGTTTTTGAATAAAAAAGTCTAACAATTGGCTAAAAGAATAATTGCCAAAAACCAAAACGAAATATTTCACACAAAAAAACGAAAATGGTCCGAAACTACATATATGTACAACAAGTGGACGCCATTAAGCAATTATTTAAAACAATGACTAAACACCAAAAAAGCCCACGCGCAGCGGGCGGTTGATGTTTGATGCGAACCAAGCAGCCTTCTGTATTTCAACAAAAACTGGGAAGACGACGAAAAAAAATGTAAAGATTCAATGGCGTCGACGAGTGCCGTCGACGCCTTCAATAGGCGGCAGAGAGTAGCCAAATTCAATTTTTCGACTGCTATATATCGGGGAGGGGGGGGGGGGCCGCGCGAGCGCGCAAGCACGCCCACTCGTGAATGGCAAAGAATCTTCGCAAATTGATACAAGACCTGAATACACAAAAAGCTCGACGTCGCGGCAAATGTGTAATGGCTCATCGAGTTTCAAGCCCCCACCCTCAGATATCTGATATCGAACGCTCTATATTATTTCAAAAATTCATCATTTCGCGGTCAATTTGACATTGAGCGGTACGCCGGTCACTTTGCACGTCTTGAATGTCGCCAGAATGTTGTTTGCGTCGCCGGTGAACTGAAAGCAATAATTTGAAGCGCAATAAAATTGGAATCATTGAACCTCGGTGTTGACAACGGATATCTTGTCATCCTTATTCGGCGCCGCTTTACGAGTGACAGCGATGTCAACGGTTTTTCCAGGCTCAATGGCTCCAAATACAGGATTGACTCTGAAAATTAACAAATTTTCTATCATGAAAAAATCGACGAAAACTCAAATTTTGAACGCGGCCACGGCCACGTCGCAATTTTCAAGTAAAACAGAGAAAAAACCACTTACAAAAAGATGTTATTGTCCGATGTTTTGCACTTGAACATAACCTTCTTGTCAAAATTGTTCTTAAGAGTGAGTTTGCGCTGTGAATCAGCTTTAACATCAAATTCAAGGACGTTAGGGGTTGGCTCGACTGAAAATATATACATGCAATCCAAAAAAGGAATCTTCAACTATCTTACGATAAGGTTTGACTCCTCCATCATCCTTCTTCTCCTCTTTCTTCTCCTCCTTCTTTTCCTCCTTCTTTTCCTCACTCTTTTCCTTCTTCTCCTCCTTCTTCTCTTCCTTCTTCTCCTCCTTCTTCTCCTCCTTCTTCTCTTCCTTCTTCTCTTCCTCCTTCTTCTCCTCTTTCTTCTCTTCCTCCTTCTTCTCATCCTCCTTCTTCTCCTCGTCGTCCTTCTTCTCCTCGTCGTCCTTCTTCTCATCCTTCTTGCTCTTCTCCTTCTTGTCGCTCTTCTTGCTCGTCTCCTTCTTCTCCTCGCTCTTCTCCTTCTTCTCATCCTTCTTCTCCTCATCCTTCTTCTCATCCTCCTTCTTCTCCTCGGTCTTCTCCTTCTTCTCCTCATCCTTCTTCTCATCCTCCTTCTTCTCTTCCGTCTTCTCCTTCTTGCTCTTCTTCGAATTCGTGCCGCCCATTTTCGATTGTCCGCCAGTTGCCGCGCCCATCTTCGAGCCCTCCTGAAAACAATCGCCATTTTCTCTCAAGATTCCACTTTCAAACCCATCATACCCCTGTCTTCGGCGCTCCCATCGCCGATGCTCCACCAGTGGCTCCGCTCTTTTCCGCCTTCTTCTTGCCTTTGCACAACGTCAACACAATGGCGACGAGCGCCCAGTGCGCGAAAATCCCAAGAATCGTTGACAGTTGCATCACGATATGCTCCAAATTAATCAGTTTTCAATCAGACAAAATCAACCGACTGTTTCGCTAGAAATGAGCCACGCCGAAATGGCACTCACCTTTCCCACACAGCAATGCAATCAAACGTGATCAATTGACCGTCGAAAAATTTTCAAACTAATCGATTAGTCATGCCATTTCACGCGTTGATTTAAAATTGCGTCGCCATTACAATAAACAGCTTGTTTCTAAAACCGATTCGAAAAACAAACGAACGAAACGCGAGAAAAAACGCGATAGTTAAAAAGAAACAAATTCGAACCACAGACAGACAATTAAATAGACGAAAACATTGTAATAAAATTAATTTTCAACTGCATTATCCGAAAAACCAAAAAAATCGAAAAATATTTGCTTAAACGCAGTGTGAAAAGCTTAGCAATTCAAATTCACTAAACTGTGAAAATGCGCGTCAACTCTGGCGTGTGTGTATACACCGATTGTGTACCGTACACAATGAAAATAATGGATGCAATAAATGTGATTATTATTTTTAAACAAAATCATTCCGCGGAACAACTATTTATTTCGCAATCAGCTTCAAATTCAACGGACCACCAGTGCATTTAACGGCTTTGAATGTCTTCGCCAAGTCTTTCTCATCACCAACCATCTGAAAAAGAAACCATTATATTGAAAATTCACTCCTCAAAAAATTTTGAATGAACCTCCGAGTTCACAATTGACATCTTGTCTTCCTTGGCGGGCGCTTCCTTTCGGGTAATCGTGACCTCGGCCGTCTTATCAACATCCAAAGTGGCAAACACCGGATGAACCCTGAAGCCAAATCAAGTCCTGTTGAAACTAACTAAAAAAGTCGCACGTGTAAATATTGTTGTCGGACATTTTCAGCTTGAACATGATCTTCTTTGTATGCACATTTTTAAGTGTGACGGTCTTTGTGCATTTCGCCTTCGCTTCAAACTCAATCGTATCAGCCGGTTTTGTTTCAATATGAGGCTTCTTATCATCCTTCTTCTCATCTTTCTTCTCATCTTTCTTTTCATCCTTCTTCTCTTCCTTCTTATCCTCCTTCTTCTCGTCGTCCTTTTTCTCATCATCCTTCTTCTCGTCTTTTTCATCAGTTTTTTCCTTCTTCTCTTCATCCTTCTTCTCATCATCTTTCTTTTCATCGTCTTTCTTCTCCTCGGTCTTTTCCTTCTTCTCCTCATCCTTCTTTTCCTCTTCCTTCTTCTCATCCTTCTTCTCATCCTTCTTTTCCTCTTTCTTGTCATCTTTCTTGTCCTCTGACGGCGCCGCGCCCATTTTTGACGCTCCAGTAGCGGCACCCATTTTAGAGCCCTAAAAATTTCACATGGTGCTGTGAAAAATAATTTTATAAAAATTTTTGCAAAACAATTCTCCCCGGCCGGGAATTGAACCCGGGTCTCGCATGTGACAGACGCGGATACTCACCACTATACTACCGAGGACAGGTTTGAAGGCTAGTAAGATGGGGTATATGTGACGACGAAACTCATGCTGTCTGTCGTCTCTAAAAAATACACACCGTTGCGTTCCCTCCTTTCGCTCCTTTCTTTCCGCAGCCAACAACAAGTAGAACTGCAGAGAGCAGCATATTGCCAACAACCAAAATCCATGCCAGTGAATCTATCATTTTTCGTGAGTCCAAAACTTATATAGACTCGAGGAATGCCCGTCGATTAATGAACTAAAATGAGGGTAATTGTTCACGTTTTACGAACAAAAAAAATAACCTGAAAGCAACACAACCTCGTTGACTTGCTTTTTCGTATTACTTCAAACTGATAAATATCATTAAAATATGAACTTTTTTGACCTTGATATTTGAATTCGAGGTCACGGTAAAAAAAAAACAAAAAAATTTAAAAATTTCTTCCGTTGCGGGGAATCGAACCCCGGCCTTATGGGTGAGAGCCATAAATCCTAAGCACTAGACCACAACGGAGATGATAGCACATGAGGCACCGGCCTATAAGTCTCGTGCCCAGGCCGTCTCGGCCGCCGCAAGCGAGAGAATCGCGACGCAAAAAGATTAGGCGTGTCCTGCATAGTGCAAAAGATAGTGTACAGCGAAACCCGCAAAGTGTCGGTGCCGGCCGCAATATATGTGACAGCATTGCGCTTCGTCGTCCTACCTTACTCGAAAACCCATCGATGAAGACCAAATAAATGACGAATCCTAAGTCCTTTGCGGATATGAGGCATTTGTCTGAGAGGGCCGAGTATAACAAAAGACCATTTTTGAAGTTGATTTATTTCGGAATCTCATGTAGACTTAAAGCTTGCGTTGTTGTCGCTTCGGCTAGAAATTTCGGTGGTCCGAGTTTTCACGTCGGTTTCATTTTTCAAAAACCTTCAATATTTTAAGCAAATCGAGCGATTGAAAATGGTTTACCGCAATATCCTCGAAAACGTTTGTGAATGCCGACCGCTCAACACCGTATGATGATTGGCGCCATGAACAACCGACGGCGGCACCGGATTCTTCAATTTCTCATACAGCGCCAATCCGTGCGACAACGGGACCACCTCGTCCATATCGCCATGACAAATAAGCACTTTCGCGTCAATACTTCCAATTTTGTCATAACTTCAAAAAGAGAAGCCTAAAATTTGCACTGGCGCGCCCAAAATCAACCTTTTAAACGAGTCCGCCCAACACGTCTCCGGTTTTGCGGGTTTCGACGAGACGAGCCGCAATCCGCTGGTGAACGGGGCGACGAGCACCACTCCAGAGAGTCCTACAACGAAAACAATCCGAGAGCCGATTGGAATTTTGGCGACCTTCCGGATTCGTGCACGCCAAATCAATCGCCGCCGTCGTTCCAATACTGTAGCCCATGAGCACAATTTTCTTGTTGGGCTGCGCTCGCCGAATGTGCTGATAGACGGCGCGCACGTCGGCGTACACGTTCTTCTCGCCCTCTCTTCCCGACGAGTAGCCGTAGCCGGAATAATCGAACGCGTAAACGTCCATCTCGAAAATGTTGGCGTAGTTCGTCAGATTCATAATGTGCGGCTGCAAGAATCCGCCAATGTCCGACGAGTTGGGCTGACAGAACAGAATGACTTGATCGGCGAGCGTCGAGCACGTCGACGGCTCATAGGGAATGCATCGCACGCACACGAGATGATTGTGTTGCGACGTCTCGACGCTGAACACCTGAAAATGATGGGAGGCGTGTGGTGTCGGCGTCGTCTCGCTGAATCGCCCCTCACCTCAACCGACTTCGCATCGGGAATATAATCCATTTGAGTCGACAAATTGCGAATGATTAGTTGAATTTCTTGTCCTTTCGCCTAGAAAAAAAATCGAATTTCTTGATGTACAATAGAGCGCACTTGCATCGTGAAAAACAAAAATATTTATTTGTCAATTTTTAGCATTTTTCTTCAATGATTGGTTTGTAAACTCACTAAATATATAATCAAGCAAGTGTGGCCGTGGCCGTGGCCGAACCCAATTTTTAAGGCCAATTTTTCTAGGCCACGCTGCGGCGAGCCATAATGAAAAGTTTATCGAATAAAAATTGGAATTTTTTCAAAAAAAAGTGCAAGTGCGCTCTATTGAGATTTTCTACAAATTTTCATTATAGACAGTTCCAAATGGCTGATTTTTTGCGGGTTTTAATCGACAAAAATTGAAAGGTTTTTTCTCTGTGATATTTTTGCTAAAAATCAAAAGATTTTTGAGCAAAAATCTACTTTTCGTTTTTTTTTGTTGTTAAATCAGTAATCTACATGTGGAGTTTTGGCAGATTTCAACAAAAAAAAAGTTCTGGAATATCACAAAGAAAACTGTCGAAATTGGTTTTACATAATTTCCCTTCGTGTGTTTTTACGTCTCAGTGTTAGCACACAATGTTTCTTTTTTTCAAAATAAATCAATCAAAAGCCCAAAGCAAACCTCGGCGATATTTTTGAGGATTCGTTCGGGTTGCGACTTGAGCTCGATATGATAGGTCAAACCCTGAAATCGGCAAGTTTAAATTGGCACAAAAATAGAAAGGCGACCTTGGGCGGCGGATGGAATGCGAGTTTTCTGGTGATATGCGACGGCATCGGTGGACACGCGATGTAGCACACCATTCCGCAGGCGCGAAGCACTCCGAACAACACGTCGCAGCATCCTGGCGCACGATTGTCTGGCCGCTGTGAGAAACAATTAAAAATTGAATGATGGCGATCAAAAATTATTTTTCCAGGGCACAAGAAAATCTCCTTTTTTTGAAATTTTTTTTTCAAAAAAAAAAGTCCAAAAACATTTTTGTGAACCAAATTCCGCAAAAAAATGAACAAGAATTATTTTTCATCTAATATTTTTGATGTCGATTCGTCATGCGCCTTTAAAATCCATAGTAATTATTTCTTACAAAACCGCATTTATACGATTAATAGGAGTGAAATTTAAATAATTTGTTTTGCCGAAACAAATGAATATTCAAAATATGGGCGGTCCGTAAAAGTGGGCACGCAAAATTGCACACATTCAATTATTTTCAACGAATTTTCAATTCAAATGCAATTTTTTCAAACGATTTTCGTAGAAAATCGATCATCAAAAAATATTTCACATAATTTCCAATTTCTTTAAAGGCGCATAGTGTACTGGCCAGTTTATTGAACAATATGCGTCTTCATATAGAAATTGAAAAAAAAAATTATATTATAGTCAACGTCCGGCGGGTAGATTTACGGGGTGCGCCTTTAAAAATAGTCTCGCCACGGTTCAACTCTCAATTCTTTCTTTTTTTGAAGATTTTTCGATTTTTTGAATTTTCAAAGTTGTTCGTTTAAAAAGTTGATCCGCGCGAGACCCAGAGAAAGAAAGACGCATCCCCCCTCCCCGTAAATCCACACGACGCCGTCAAAATCTGAAAATGAGAATATTGAACCTGTTCAACAGTTTGCATTGAAAACGAGCCACGAGGCGACGGAAAGTAGAAAATGAATTGAAATTGAAAAAATAATTGGGATTCACGCGACAAAACTCATTCGAATTATTAAATGATCGCAATTTTTATGGGCGCGGCGTGATCGATCTCCGCTTCAAGACCATTTTTTGTGAGGATGTGTGCCTTCAATATTTTTTGAAATTTTTGCCAAGGCTTCAAAAAATATTGCCTGCGAATAAAATACTCGCTTTTAGGAGATTTTCAGATAGTCCTAATCCATTTGTTCGAACCATGCAAGGGACCATCATAATCGTTCTCGTAATCCGCAAAAATGGCAGGTTCGTGAAGCGCGGACCACAACATTCTAGGCTACGGCTCTGTCAGCTGTTCTTGTGATGATCCTTCCAAAGCCTACCATAATCATTCGCTTCAAGACCCATAAAAAATATTGCTTGAGAATTTCACATAATAGCAATTGGTTTTCGGCGATTTCCAGATAGGCCAAATCCATTTGTTTGAACCAGGGACCATCATAATCGTTCTCCTAATCCCCGAAAAATTCAAATTGCAATTTCTGCCAAAAAATTGCTAGAGACTTTCAGATTGTAAAATAATTATTTTGAGGTTTTCAGATATGCTTGACAGAATGGTATAGCTCTTGACAAAGGGACCATCGAATCTAGGCGTGGTTCTCATAATCCAACCCCCGTCTTCCAAAAGAAATATGAGCGCGTCGTTTGTTCGTCGTTCGCATAATTCCGTCACTCGTTTTCCCCACATAAAACCATGACGATTCCATTCATTCGCCTCATTTTCTTTTCGGTTTCACCTCCCATCCCACCCTTCGCCAAATTTTTGGTGGTGCACAATCACCATTGTCGTTTTTGTCGCGTACGCCAGAGTTTGGCACGTTTCCCAATGTTTCTTTTCGAGTAGCGAAACGACAAAAAAAAAACAACGCGGAAATTAAAAACAGGAAAACGTTTCAAAGTGCCAACCACGCGCATTAATTGCGCAAAACTATTCCGCGTTTTTTCTTCTTCTTACCGTAGTCCCACAAGATTACGGTAGTGTTCCAACTGATCTCTGAATTATGCCGAGAGCTCACAAATGGTCCATAGCTTCTAGGTGGTATTCTAGATTGAGCTTCAAACATTCAAAGTTGATTTAATGGTTTGCATGCTCCTTTAAACTAGAAATTAAAAATGGAAATGTTTAAAGGCGCATAAAGGGTACAGTAACCTTTTGGAATTTTTTTTGTGAGAATAAAAATTAATTTCTTGAAATTTTGACTATATCTCTAAAAATCACATAAATTCACAAAAATGTAATTTTCTTTAAAGGCGCATGGTTCATTTTACGCTATGCGCCTTTAAAACGTGGCTTCGAATTGATTGACGTCAATTCAAAATTTGATCAGGTTCGTTTTAAAGGCGCACGAAGCGCGAAGCTGAAAAACCCAGAAATGCCAATTTCCCAGACAGCTGAAAATCGGGCCCGATTGACCTTTGCCGCTGGTTTTTTTTTAAATAAACTATCGTTTTCTCAGGATTCGAATTTTCATTTTTTTGTCGTCGTTCATTTTTTGACCCCCCCCCCCCCCCTCAAAAAAAAATTCGAACATGTGGCGTGTGATTTGAGGATCGAAACATTTATACCAATATTCCGAATTCTCTAATGGTCCGTAATTTCTTTCCCCTAGAGCATTCAAATTGTTGGGAGGGGACCTTTAAGCTCCGCCCACAAGCTTAATCTTCTTAGCCCCCCACTCAAAATGCGTCAGACATGTCCGGGTTCGAAAAATTTCGGCGTCGCCAATCAACGAATTCCCCGCACCGCTCTAACCGAAAATGCTGATTAGTCTCGTTTGGCTTCGGATAGCCGCTGGGGACCATCGAGAAATTTGGAACATTTGGCACGTCACAGATAAACGGCGGCATAGGCACAATGGAAGCATAATGGAACGGCTGTGGATATCATAGGAATCTTATATGCAAGTTATATGGAAGCATAATGGAAGCATTTTTTTGCGGAACCGCGTGTTTCGTATATGGAATGAGCCGTATGCCTTCCATATGGGAAAATAAGAAAACAATTTGATTGCTGTATTCAAAATTTATTTCATATTAACACATTTATTTAATTTAAAATAAAAAAAAACAACAATGAAATGAATTTCAATTAAGATATAATCAAACCATTAGTTACTGGCAACTGCCGAACTATTCGAATCATTGTCAGTACTGACATCGAGCGGGACGCTGTAATAAGTAGATTATAATGGGCCTATTAATTTGAAAAACTTGTAAACCATTGTTACGTAAACTAAATTTTTCGAGAAAATACAATCAGTTTTTTTACATCAATAATTTTCTTAAAAATAAAAATAATTTATTTTTATTGCATTTTTGGAAACCCTTTAGTGCACAAAATAAAAAGTGAATTGGCGGAAGAAAGAACAACTCCAAAATTTGAAGCAAAAAGGCATTTTGGTTAAAATTTCAAAGACATATGAATACTCACATCTGAGGGTTGCTGGTAGAATCAAGCAGCTTCCTTAATTGCGCCGCGAGCGCTTCCGGCGCTACACCAAATTTCCTTTGAAGTCGTTGGCGCATTCTATCGCTTAATCAAATAAATAAATTAATAGTCATAGTTCAAAATCTTACAGAAGATTATCCATGACTTCTCGAACCATGCGTAATGCTTTCGCTTTGAAGTCATTTGTCGGTTGTTGCCCAAAGCCATGGATAAGAGCATCTGTAATATAGATATTTGCAATAAAGTATAGGATCTTTATATAGTCGGCGTCTGGCGACTTCTGTACTAGAGCCCCACTTAAAAAGATAAATGCCACTGAATGATATTGGTACGAAGGCTGTACGGCAATCGGAAATTTCGGCGATTCGGCTAATGGCAAATTACCGATCGAAATTTTCTTCGGCAATTTGAAAAACCGGCAATTTCGGCAATCGGCAATTCCATTGCCGCACAGCCCTGATTGGAACCAAATAATCAACAAGCTTTAAACTTAGGAAGTACTTTATAAAGACTTCATTGCGCATATTTTTCTAATTGAAACCATTTCTGGAGTCGAACAGGCCAATTTTTGATGATAACAACTTACAAATTGGGCGTACGAAGGTTTAGGAATTGGCGTTGATTTTGTTGTTTGTGAGGACTGTGGAGAAAAATTTTTTTTGCTGAGTTGGCGAGTAAATTGGACTATCTGGATCTGAAGTGTCGAGCGAATTTGGTTCCATGTTAGGGACTTCTGGTTCTTTGTTATTGACTTCTAGAGCAGTTTCAGTTATATCTGACAACACTCTCGATCTTGTCTTCATCTGTAAAAAATTTCAAAACATTATGTTTTATTAAAAGAAAAAAGCGAGCGATAATAAAAAATATGTTAAAGTAAATAAAAATAAAACGGATTCGATGAGAAATTAAACACAATTCGATTGAGAAAATATTTAAATTCGATTTTAAAAGTGTCGGAAACGATTTGAAAACATCGTATCGATTTTAAAATTTTCGAATGCTATCAATTTATTTTTGGTTTCGATTTTGATGATAAATATGAAAATTTTTCCTTTATTTTTTAAAAACATTTTTCCTTTAATTTTGAAAAAAATTCTTTAATTATTGACAAAAAAAAAACACAAAAAAATCTTGAAAATTCATTGAGAAAAAGCAAAAGGACAAAAATTTTGAAAACGAATTTCGAAAATGTGAGGCGTGGCCGCATTGTGCAAAGCGGCGCACGGTTTTGCAATGCTGCGGCACGCCTCTTCTACGCGCGTCTGCTACCAGTTTGGAGCAAATTGTGAGTAGTTTGCGATGCCAATTTCGGAAAAACCGGCAAAAATATATTAATACGACTAAATTGTAGTTGGCAATCTTTAAACAAAGTAAGGAACAGTTGACTGAATTAACATAAATCTGAGTAACATAAGTCATTAAATGGTAGAAGCTAAATTTCGTATGTTGTGTATCATGTAATTTTCAAATTTTCATTGTTTATATGATAGCATAAGTTTTTTGTATTGATTTTTCTAGAAATTGTCTTGGTCTGCCGTCCAGACGCCAATTGTATAATGTGTAATGATATATGATTATTTTATCCATATTCCATCCATATTTGTTCCACGGCTCGCAAACACCGGAAGCATATTCATCCCGTTTTCATTCCATCCATATTCGTCCCATAATTCTTCCACAGCCACTAAGAATTACATTATGCTTCCTATATGGAAGCATTATGCTTCCGTTCCACAGATTTCCCACAATGCTTCCATTATGCTTGCGTCGCGCTTAATCAGTGGTTGTGCATCATTTTGTTTTTGTTGTGTAAAGTGCACGACACCGAGGGGGGGGGGGAGAAGCTCGACGGCGAACGTGTCCTAATCGAATGTCACACCCGATTATTATTATTATTATTTTCCATCTGCGGACATTCTAACTTCATTTTTTTTTGCTAGTTGCATCGCGAAAAAAATTGTGTTTTTTTTGGCCCCAGATTAAATCCAACGGACCATCGAGCCCTAAGGGACCATTCTGAAAATCGGCAGTGTTTTGACAATTTTTCTCCTTGTTTTGGGCTTGAACAAAATATTTCTCGAGAAGAAGGAAAAAAAATAGGAAACTGATTTGATGTGTGTTTTTCTTGTTTCCCTCAGCTTCTCCTAAAATGGAAACTTTTGAAATTCGCTCCAACGAAAACATAGATTGTCTGCGTCTCTCCTCTCGTAATGCTCTCTCCAATTCTCTCTGCCCTCTCTCTCCATAACTCACACTATTTCGCGCAGCTCGCCTATCAGGGTTTAAAGGCGCACCTAGGCGATATCTCGCAGCGAATTTAATATCCATTGGTTCAGTATGGTCCCACCACGACATGTAGATTTACGGAACCGCACTTTTTCGAAGTTTTAACACAATTTAATGAAAAATTAAATTGAATTAAAAAAAAAAACAAAAGAAGTTGAATTTTGAATTGCTCTCCGAGGAGCTGTTTGACCTTTTCCAAAAACGAATTTCCCACTTTTTTTAGTCGTTGGTGGCGTATCGAATTTCCGGACAAAATTTTGGCATAAAACGAAGGAAGAAAAGGTTCAAAATCTACCAAATTTCGGCAATTATTCAAATTCGCTAGACGGCGCGAAATTTGAATTTCGCCTCGGGAATTTTAATGAAACATTTGAGACGCGCTGAAAATGGTCCCGGCTCGTGTCGAATGCTCATCAATCATAGGAAAATTCCAATTTATTTATTAATTTTTCCATGTTGTCCATTTATGGAAACTTTCGTCGAATTCCCCCATTCTCGTCTTCTTTTCATAATTGTATCGAACCCTTGAATTTTGCTCAAAGTGATTCGAAACTCGAAATATAATTTTGATGCTGCCGACAATTTTTGGTCGGCATCGAATTGAGTCGAAATTGTTTCAAGATTGACGAGTTTGCTCAATCGTGGCGAGACCTTCACGACAATCTTTTGGAGCCTTTAATCTACCCCCAAAAAAAATGGAATTTCGATCAGACTACACAGAAAAGCGGCAACGTTATGATGAGCCCAATTTTGGCTCGTGTTTTTTTTTTCGTTTCCTCGTCGAGCCGATGCCGACGACTATTTCTTTTGGTCGAGCAAACGCTGTGAGCAGTTGACCATGAAGGAAGAAGGCGTCGGCGACTTCCGATTATTCTATATTTATATTCCGGAAATTGTTGTGATTTCTTTCGCCTTGTGACCAATGCGCCTTTAAACCCAATTATTTCATAGCCATCCAATTTTTAATGTCCCTTTAAAGGCTTCGAGACCAAGACCTACCAAATATGTATATAAATAATGAGGCGAGAAATTCGAGAATGGTTTTGAGTTTCACCACACCCAACTCGTCTATTCGTTTCAGACAAAAAAAAAAGAGGTGAAGTTTGGTTTTTTCATTTTCTATTGAGAACGGCCCATTCAATTCTTTGAACTTTGCCATCAGTTGAAGCGTAAAAAATTGGGATCAACATTTTCTAGAGATTTTCGATTTCCCCAAAAGTTCAACGTCCATTTTTGGAGTTTCGCATGACTCGTGCGAATCGCAAAAAATGTATCATCGAATGTCGGAATTGGCACGCGTTGCCAAATGTTTTTTTTGTTGAATTCGAAAATAAGGTTTCCGAAATGCATTATTCACATAATATTTGGTTTTGAGCTCTTCGGTCCTTATGATTTCATGATTCAATCTAAAATTAAATATAGTTCATTAATTTTTAAGCGATTCTCAACAAAATATCCAAAAATAAATGAAATTGTCAAAAAGAAAGACATGGAAATTTGAATTTTGATTTCAACACAAAGGTGGCCGCGGACTAACTTTTTCCACGGCCACCAATGGCAGCCGTCCGTTTGAGCGCAATGATTCGAAACCTGCAAATTCGTTGCGAGACCTATAAAGTTCAAGAATTATGACATGCATCAAAAAAAGTTTCCCACATTTTCTGTTTTCGGCTGCTTGACATTTTTTCGCCAATCCCCCCACGTGGCCCTGAGCTTCTATTTAAACGTGGATGGCCTCAAATAAGGAATGAGGCCAATATAACGTTCTAAAAATATTCTTTGAGTGTCCGCAACGACACATTCACCCTGAGCTCTTAAAAAAAACGAACTGCATTGTAGGGACCATCAAAAAAATTTTTTTGGAAATTCCTAAAATCTCAATTTTTTTTGTTTTTTTTTTTTGCTTGCGATTTTTTTGTTGTTTTTTCTGTTAAAAAAAATGCTCCTCTGAAAAAAAAACGTGGTACGAGATCATTGAGAAATAGTGTGCACGAGTGAGAGAGAGAGAGAGAGAGAGAGAGAGAGAGAGACGAAGGCGTCGATTCTCAAAAATTCGAGAATGCCAATTAAAGAATGGAACAAACCAAATCATGGGTTGCTCATTTTTTTCTCGCCGAATCGTCTAAAACAAATTTTTGGGCGAATTGAGAGAAATGAGGGCACGAAATTTCTAATAAGCTCGAGGTCATGGTCCGTCGGAAAAAACAAAAAAAAAATTCTCGATTCGCCGCCTCCGAAACAATAATTTGGCTCAAATGACCAAAAAAAAAGAATCTTCTTCATATTTTTAGTGTTACTGTAGTAGTTTTAAAGGCGCAGCACTCATCAAATTCACATTTTTTCGTTTAAAGGCGCACACCCTATCGCTTACAAAAAAAAGGAGTCATTGCTCACAAAATTCCAACGCCTGAAAATTCTTCGAGCGAATCCTTCCAGAAAAGAAAATTAGTGCGCAATTTTAAAGGCGCATAGGCCCAACGGACAAGAATCTAGGAAAACACAACGAAATATTTCTCGTGTGGCTCATGACTCTTTCCAATTAGTCGAGACTTGCGCTGTGTGTTTTTGTGGGCAGCAATTTTTTTTCTTTTTTTTTTTTGGCTGCTTGCCTCCTTCTTTTCAAGCCCTCCGGAAAATTTCAAGAATTATCCGTTTTCTCATTCTTTATGCGTCGCTGACCGCGTTGGGGGGAAAATTTTTTTTTTCGGGAATTTTTTATTCTATATGATAGCTCGTCCTCATCCCCCCACCCGTATTCTATACGTGCCGATTACCAAACATGGAAGACGCTCGCGGACCCGGTTAATCCGATAAAGTACACCGCAATTTTGCCGATGTTCCATTTCTCTCGGCCTCTCGTTTTAAGGAGCCAATTTATTGCGAGCCTTGTTTAAAGGGAGGCGAGTGGGCGGGGCGTGGAATCGTTGATTCAAATTCGCCATCACTTCCCCCCCCCCGTTATTTAATTCGATGTTTTGTGAGGCGCTCTCTTTTTTTTTTTGGAAATTTTGCTGTCTGAGGTTCACCGAGACGCCAAAATGCACAATATTGTTTTTTTCTTTTTTTTTTTTTGAGGGGGTGACACTCCTTTAAACAATTAGACGAATGCCCTCCATTTAGAATATAATTGAAGTCGCCCAATTAATATGTATGAGCAAACTGTCACACAGCGCAATGCGCCTTTAAACCTTCACGCCCATTTTTAGAAGTTCCCATGGTGTTGTTGTTTGTTTCATGGGAATGAATGCGAATGAAGAATTCACGTGACAAATGGCACAAGAACAAGTTTTGTCCTTCCAAAGAGACCCCCCCCTTATTTTTCCGTCTCGGGTTACGGTAACAATAGTTCAAAAAAAACTGCATAGGAGACTCGTGGAAATTGGTGAAATTCGAGTTCGAATTTCAAAAAAAACACCAAAATTGGTGTGTTATGCCATTTTGCTCTCTTTGTTCAACGCAGGTAAATAATCATCGTCCCGCAAAAATGTCGGCAGCAACATTTTCCCCCAAAAAACCGAATCGTGTTATTATTCTGTTTTTGGTGGTGTTTGGAAAAAAAAATAAATTTGTGTGGGGCGCATTTTTTTGGTTGTTTACCCCCTCTCAAAAAAAAATAATAATAAAACTTGGCATTTTTCTTCGCTCGCTGATTGGCTTTTGATTCGGGATACCTTTGGAGTGGTGAAAAGCGAAAAAAAAATTGAAAAAGGCATCCTTTTAATTTTGTTGAGTCATAATTACAATGCTCGCTTTTCATCTCCTTTTGCCAAATTTCAGCTGCCGACAATTTTCCGGGTTTCACACTACACTGATTTTATCAAAAAAAAAAAAAAGAATTCAACATTTCTCCTCTATAATTATGACCACCATTTCCTTATAAGGAGCCGCCCACATCGTTGAGCCCAACTCGAATTCCTATTTCAAACAATGATGGGATTGTTGTCGTCGATTCGCGGCAAGAAGGAGAAAGAGGTGCCGGTGATCGCGTCGGGCATCGGCTCCGCGCAAATCGCGCCGATCACGCCGAAAACGAAGAAGCTGGTGATTCACGAGTGGCCCAAGTAACGACAATTCGAATTTTCCAACTTCGATAATTGTTTCAGATTGCTATCGCAATCGCCCGATTTGTTCCAGGAGATTTGGTTGAAATCGGCGACGCGGAGCACGTCGATCAAGGTGGCTTTTTTGGTGTTGTTTTTGAAAAGGGATTTTTTGCCCATCATCACAGATTGGTGTTATACGCCAACGTCTAGAAGTCTGAAAATTTTTAATCTGTCTAGCTTTTGACTAAATCGTTTGGACACTCTTACCTTTTGAATGCGCGCTTTCATATCCAGAGTTTATGACAACGGCCTGGCGAGTGGCGATGGGTGAGAGGAAAGTCGCTGCGTCTAGCAAATTTTTGATGCGGGTTCGACCCCGCCCAACTTTAAACTTTTTTGCAATTATTTTTTTAATCCAATCGAATTACATTTTTAACTTTTATTGTGAATCTCCAACAAAAAATAGCTCAATAGTTTGAAAAAATGATAAAACTAGGTTGAATGATCCCAAAAAATACGCGGTTTCAGCAAGCATTTGGCATGTCCGACAACGAGAATCCCACAAACAACGCGGCGTTTCTGGGTCTCGCCACGACCATTCAAGCCTACTTTCATAAGCTGGTATGAGAAATTGTGAAAAGGCAATCGTCGATTTTTGTGGCTCACGTTCAGATCGTCACTTATGAGCTCAACGATGAGCTTGTGCGCGACTCGTGCGTTCAATTGGGCGCCCGCCACGTGGATTTCACGTCGCGCGTCTTCCACTCGCACTTTTGGGACATTTTTCTCGTGTGCATGGCCGAGAAAATCGATGAGACGCTGTCGGCTTATATGTCGGACGAGGACAAAAAGAACGAGCTGATCATCGCTTATCAGAGGCACTAATTAATCGAGCAATTAATTCATTAATCGATTTTGCCTTCATAGAGTCATCAACGCGATTGTTCATCAAATGCGCGCCGGCTATTCGGACCGAAGAAAACAACAAATGGGCGGAGTCAAGGCGGCCAACAACGATTTTTAAGAATTCGTCAAAAAATTTTTTTTTGAATTTGTGATTTCCATTTTATAAATATATTTCTTCGCCATTCTTTTTTGCGTCACTCAAATTTTTAAATTATAAACATTCTAATATGAAAATAAAAATAAAAAAACGAGGATTTTCGAAAAATTAAAGGCGCACGAGAATTTCAGAAAAATGACATGTGTGCAATTTTGCGTACACGTGTACCTCCGAGCTGCGCGGAATTGAGTGGTCCGTTCAAAATCATCTCCTCATGTCTCATTGTTGGGCCGACAATTGTCTGCTCGTTGATCAAGGGACCACAGACACCAATAAATCATCAAAAGAGAAGAGACCCCCCCCCTTCCCATCGAGGCTTTCGACACCTACTCATTTATTGTTGCCTCAAAAATCGTTTTAAACGGCAAAAATTATAGATTTTACATTTTTGCCATCCTCGAACTACATAAATCGCTTGCTGCGGACAATTTGTTGGGAAAATGTCCCGCGAGACGTCCGCAGCATTCAATTCATATTGGAAATAGTGAAATTCAACAGAAATGAGTCATTCTCTTAATTGGCCCATTTTAATTATTTTTTTTTGAAAATCGTGACTCAAATTAAATTTGCTTTATTATTTGATTAGGTTTGATCTCAAAATTTGTTGATCTTTCATTTTCTGTGTATTCACCGAGACGCATCAATGCACACATTATAAAACGCGATCAGTCTTTATGTTTTACACTTTTTCAAGAAATTAGGTCGTACGATGCATTTTTTGTGGCGAAAAAAACCGTTTTGTGCATACACCGAGACGCAAAATTGCACACATTAAAAAAACTGGAATTTGTGATTTTTTTCCAACAAAGATCCGATTGTATCACGCGGAGAGTATTGCATACACCGAGACGCAAAATTGCACAAATTTTTTGAAAAAAAGTTAGAATTTGTGATTTTTTCAAAAAAAAAAAAAAAAGCCCCGATTACTGTAGTCATTGTCTCGAAAAAATGTAGTGCATACACCGAGACGCAAAATTGCACAAATTTTTTGAAAAAAAGTTAGAATTTGTGATTTTTTCCAAAAAAAAAAAGCCCCGATTACTGTAGTCATTGTCTCGAAAAAATGTAGTGCAAACACCGAGACGCAAAATTGCACAAATTTTTTGAAAAAAAGTTAGAATTTGTGATTTTTGTCCAAAAAAAGAAGTCCCGATTACTGTAGACATTGTCTCGAAAAAATGTAGTGTAAACACCGAGACGCAAAATTGCACAAATTTTTCTGAAAAAAGTTGGAATTTGTGGTTTTTTCAACAAAAAAAGTCCCCAATTACTGTAGACATTGTCTCGAAAAAATGTAGTGTAAACACCGAGACGCAAAATTGCACAAATTTTTCTGAAAAAAAGTTGGAATTTGTGGTTTTTTCAACAAAAAAAGTCCCCGATTACTGTAGACATTGTCTCAAAAAAAATGTAGTGTAAACACCGAGACGCGAAATTGCACAAATTTTCCAAAATGAATAAAAAGAAAACTGATTTATAATCAGCGAATCAAGCCGAGTGTCTCTCTCTCTCTCAGTCTTTTCGATGATTTCCCGCCGCCAAAAAAATGTTTTTTTTTCATCCCCTCCCCCCGTTTTTCGCTTCCTTCCTTCATCTTTTACTTTACAACAATTGAACTCTGAGTTATATGTATGTATGCGAGTGTGTTTTTGTGTCGTTCTCATCCTTCTTCATACCTCGTTCAAGAGAACCCCGTTGCCCAAATTTCAGGTGCCATCGAAAATACGCAACCCGAAAAATTGTCCGCAGATGGGAATTGAGAAGACCAGCAAAAAAAAAAACAACAAAAACAACATCCACATTTTATTATATGTATTTCGTCGTTATGATGGCCGAATGCTCTCCAGCTCTCCTCGTTGTGCTCCATCCGACGAATACGAAAAGAAATATTGCTTCAGCGGATCGTGTTACCTTCATGATCCGCTTATTCAGTCAGTCTTTGCCCCCCGAGGCCGATTCAATTCTTGCTCTTTCGTCGAGTTCAAATGAACGTCGCCGATTTCGCTCATCCGATTTCTTTGCTGCCGACAATTTTCGTCAATCTCTCTTCCACTCAAAATTTCCCAATGAATGTTTCATGTTGTTCCTCTTCTTCCACACATTTTTTTTCGCACTTTACCGATGATAAAATACTATTGATTTTTGTGGGAAGATAATGGTGGCGAGAGAAATCATTTTCAGGACGGCAAATAGGCGGTGATCGCGAGCTGATCGCGGCCAACGATGAAAGGTAATTTTCGATTTGCCAACATTCTTCCATATGCGCCTTTAAATTTTCAACTAATTTTCTATACCTGTAGGACCCGAACAACATTCTCTAAATTATTCCAAAGCGCCTTTAAATTTTAGAATAATGGAAATTCACTGTAAGACCCAAAGACCTTTCATATGATATCATATGCGCCTTTAAATTCCATGCTAATCACCTGTAGCTGTAGGACCCAAACAACCTTCTATAGGTTGTTTCTATGCGCCTTTAAATAGTAGGAAAATGGAATTTCGCTGTAAGACCCCAAGACCTTTTATATGATATCATATGCGCCTTTAAATTCCATGCTAATGACTTATAGCTGTAGGACCCAAACAACCTTCTATTGGTTATTCCTATGCACTTTTAAATTCCAAGATAACGGAAATTCACTGTAAGACCCAGTGACCTTCTATATTATAACATACGCGCCTTTAAATTTCAGATTTATAATCTTTTTTGTAAGACCCAAAAAAACATCTGAATGGTACTGTATGCGCCTTCAATTTTCTAGGAAATAATTACTCCTTTAAAAACGTACATGCGCCTTTAAGTCCAGTCCAGCCCATCGCGATAAGACCCAACAAAGACGTTCTACGATAAACCCGATTTCCTCTTGAAATTCCGATCCTAATAGACGATCGCTGCAAGACCCAAAAGCAAGCGATCTATAAGGCATCCCATCATGCGCCTTGAAAATTTCGCACATTCTTTGTTTTCATGATGCCATTAAGCTGCGGTGTCGGTCGGCCGGCAGCAAATGAGTTTTTAAAAGAAAGCAAAACGAGAAAAAAAATAAATAATGACATGACGCTAACCAATTTCCGCATGTCGTAAATCTCGCGCGAATAATCCGTTCAAGACCCATGAGGCATCGGCAAGAAATGCAAGAAAAATTAAAAAATAAACCAACAATCTTCAGAATCCGTGTCGTCGCCGATTCTTCTCGACGACCACAAGGCGTCGTTCTACGTCGAATCCGAAGCGGAGATGCTCGCCGACGGTGAGTCAGGCGTCTGAAAAAAAAGAAAGTCTTAAACTCTAATGGTAGATCAAAATCAAAAAATGGGGCCTTCGCGGTTTTTCTTCAAAAAACCGCTCGCGAGACCGCAACGCGTCCAACGACATTGAATAGCCGCTTTCATTTATTATATTTTTTGCTCTCTTTCTTGAAGGGTGTGCCATTGTTTTTGAGATACTATAGATATTTTTTTGAGGCTCCATCGGCGGCCGCGGCGGCCGCGCGCCGAGCACTTTCCACTCAAATATTTTCTCTCTTAAGTACTACTTTATCGAGACACTCGAGTGTAATTTTTGTGCGCAGTGGCGTCGTTTTGTTCGAAAATTGAGCAATATGAAAAAAAATAGCAGTTTCGATTGTTTTTAATTGTCCATTTTATTAATTATGCTCCTTTAAAGGGGGACCTACCTGATTTGTGAAACCCCCTTTAAATATTCTATTATTGTGGCGACAAAATTCACGTCGTCGAGAGGAACACAAACATTTTTTTTTGGTTACGCGCCTTTAAACTTTTTTTTGTACTTCCCAAAAAAAATCAAATTGAATGCGCCTTTAACAAACACAAACCCCAATTTCACACTTGAGCACACCGGCCACACTGAGCCGGGGCGAATCGAAATCGATGTGTACCGTGTTCAGTCGTCGGTGAGCAGCAGGCTTCAAGTGGTCTGGCTCGGAAGTGAAGGCCTTCTCGATTAATATTTGCCATCGAGGCGCGATCATCCGCCTTCTTGAATCAATCGCATTTCGTTTTTATGCGATGATGGTGCACGCCGACGCAAAAATGCACTAAAAATTGTGCGCAATTTTGTACACCGCGACGCCAAAATGCACAACGCGTATTTATAGCAACCTTGGTGTTTTTGTCAATCAATCAATCAATCAATCAAAAAAAAAAACAAAAATAAGACCGTGTGAAAACAAAACAATCGATTTCTGGTGTTTGTGCAAGTTTTCTGTGTGCATCATTGATTGATTCTCAATTTTGATGTTCTTCTTTTTTTTTTGTTGTTTTTTGCACATGTTTCTGCTCATCCGTAATTGTTTTTCTCAATCTTTGCCGCTCGAAATTTTCCAGCCAATTTGAGATTCTCGTTGAAATTCTCTATCAATTGTCAAAAATTCGATTTGAAAAATTTTTTCTCATTTTTGAGTAATTGTGGACCATCGCAATTTTTTTTATCGAGGCGCTTATTCAACTCCATGTGCCTTTAAAATTGCTTCTATGGAATTAAGGGTCCATTTGGAAAATGATTTTTTGATGGTTCTTCTTTTTTCTGTGACATGTGCGTCGCGGTGTTTGCACCAATCTTCGCGTGCTACCATTGATATCAATTTTTCGCAGCGTTGAGTGCTCATAAATCAAGAATAGCGTCGAAAGAATAATAGAAATTACAAAAATTGGTGAAAGTCCGCAAACACCGTTGAGTTATTTCGCACTTCTTGGAAATTTTTTGAGAATTGGCTGGTATCTTTAACCGGTTCGAATCCTCGTGGGACTCATTTTAAGCAATTTCAGTGATATCATTTTCATTGAAATTTCCCTAAAAGAAATATTGATATATTTTAATTTAAAGGGGCACGCGAAATATTGCGCGGAGTCACGTCCCTATTTTGCTATTGTATTTTAAAAATTATTATATTTTACAATTTTTTAAAATCGGTTGAGTATCGTCAGTTCAAATGCATTGGATTTGACGGCAACCTGGTTTTTTGGCAAACAAAAAAAGCGAGCCCTTCTTTTTTCAATAGCAACCCCCTTTAAGAAATTGGGAGACCAATACAGGATTTTGGTTCCAAGATAATTATAACCCTACTATTTATTTAATTGAGTTAATCAAAGCAATGACGAATAATAAATATACCTGAGCCAATCCCCAAGGGACCCAACTGATCGAATCGGGATTCTTCATAATTTTGTTATATTTCAAAAATTCTTATTAAAAACTATAAAATTATTCTAAATGCGAATACCGTTATTAAAGGCGCATACAGAAACTTTATTTTTTTAGGAAGATAGTATTGAAATTTCAAAAATCCTTCTAGTTTTCAATTTTTCAATATATATCGAATTTTTACGAAGTGCAACTTTATTTTTTTAATATTTAAATTTAAAAAAAACAAACTTCTTATATATTTATTTTGAAATATCTTAAACCTTCTTGACTGACTCATAAAATTGCGTCTATATTTCAATTTGTTCCTCTCATAATCGCCAAAGCATCGAATTTCAAATTGTTTGCATTTCGCATCTCACTTGCTCAATAATATTGTTTCTTTAAAACCCAATTGTTGCCAAAATCGCACGATTGTCCAAATTGTTCGCCGATCGGAATTGTCATCAATCATCGTTCGATCGCAATTCTCGTGTTGTGCAAAGTTTCTCATTTTTTTTTCACCATCCACCATAAATCACGGCGATTCTGCCATTTGGGGTGCAACTCTCAATTATCCGCACAATTTTCAGATTCCTGCTACGATCCTTTGATGGCGGCGTCGGTGTCAATTCGTGTACGAAACACCGATGGCGACGATTTCGTCGTATCGCCGACAGACGTTGTTGAGAGTGTGAATGAGGTGATTCCGAGCAATAACAGAAAAAAAATAATACTTGAGCTCATTTGAGATCGCTTCGAGGCAAAGTAGCCGTCGTGCATCGACGGCGACCTCATCATTCCGCCGTAGTCGAGCTTCTTCGGCGTTTTTCAACGAAAACGGCGAACCTCTCGAGCACCCATCCGGCTCAATCGTTCGGGTAGGTGAAATAGCGAATGTGCACATAGATGGTCCCTCCATTTAATCTCCTTTAGCCACCTAGAAAAATAAAAAGTGTCGATCAGATATTTCTGAATTTCTTTAGGCCGTCGAAGGTATGTGAATGTTGTTTGCCGTATCGTATCGTTGTTTGAATTGATGTGTCCCTTGCCTTCTTCTTCTTTTTCTGGCAAAGAAATTTCAATTTGCGAATTTTTGCAGGCTCGCAAATCAAAAAGCGTTCGCGATGCGGAACCAGGATTGCGCTCAATGCTGTACGGACTTTCTCAGAAGCAGTAAGTCTGAAAATATGCAAATTAACAAAAAAAAACAGGTGTATTTGAAACAAAACTCAATAAAAATGGGAGTAAAAATAATCGAGAGCCATCCTAAAAAAAAAGTTGTGCAGGTACACCGTTACGCGAACTTACACATTTGCGCACCGTACCCACCAGATGCAAAAAAAACTAATTTGTTTCAAAATTTCCAGGGAGAAAGAGGAAGCTGAAGCGAAAAAGCTGGCAAAGAAGCTAATCAGTAAGTTCATATTTTATTTGAGCACACGTTTTGACTTCAAAAAAACACTCATGTCGTCAGCAGAGACAATCCAAAGTGATCATTCGATTCTTTTCAACGTGACAATTTGCAAACAAATATTGGAAAACATAACTGTATGACGATGATTGTTAAGTGTTGAGCTTGATTTTTGACCGAAAGCGCTAGAAGAAAAAACAGTGCTGATTGTTGACACGTGTAATAATCACGTAAAAGTGGGGGATGGGGTGGTATCGCTTTCCGCCGTCTCTTCCTCGTCGTTCCCCCCGTTGTTCGCTGGTTTCTTGTTCTTGCTCATTTTTGTCTCGAGCACACGAATCACGGGGTGGAAGAGCCCACTTGAGGACAGCACGTCCACAACCACATCCATCCTCGAAGAGCAACGCGCGTCGCTTCATTATCATCATGCGCGAACACAAATCGAGAAAACTTCTACGATTGCACATCGGTGTGCTCGACGCGATCTCGAAATGGCTTCATCGAAACGTCAATGAGATGGCCGCGTCGCGAACGACGCGCGAGCTCGTCCGAATCGTTGATCATGGTAATACTCTATTGCTTGTTGTTTCCCAGCGGGACCCCCACCCAAAAAAAAGTAATAATCATCAAGAAGAAGCGAGTTGTTTTAATTGTTTCCCTGACGTCACACCGGCAGCAATTTGGCAGCCAACTCGCAGTTCATCTCATAATTTCATAATTTCAAGCCTCATTATGTATGTCATTCCAAAAATACAAACTTTTGACGTACATATGTCTCAATCAATTTTTAAAATACATACATCACATCCCCCTTGGGCATTTAGTACTAATACGTAGTAGTAGTTTGTTGGCACCAAATTTGGGCTGGGCTGGGGGGGAGAGGAAATTCGAATTGTCGCCCATTTAATCAGACGACCCGTCGTCTTAATGCACTCTCCGCGCGTTGATCATCTTTGATCGTTTTGAAAAAAAATAGGTGTGAAGTGGCGCCTGTGAAAATGGTGCAAATTTGCCGCGTCGGTGTTTGCGGATCAAACTACACCGGCGGCGACCGTTCGCGCGCTTCTAATTTTAAAGAAAACTCAAATTTGGATGCTCTTCACAATTAGGATCGTCGTCGTAGGCGAAAGTCAACAATTCGTTTTTTTCTCAAGTGCACATCTATTCGGCTGTCAAACACCCGAAAGTACAGACCTCCGGCTTCCATTTTTTTTTGCTTGTGTTCTCGCCGCCAATTTTTTTTCTTTTGAATTTCGTCTTCAAATTCATTACTCGTCGATAATGCTGCTTTGCGTTCATGGGAAAATTTATTGGTGCCGCAAACGCGCTCCATCGCACCTCGACAGTCAAATGGATTGGCGCGCGCCGGCCCATCGTGTGACGTCAAATTCGTCCCCAAGGGACCATCAAAATTTTTCCCGAGTCCCCCCCCCCCACCGCGATAAATCAGGCATAATGCTTCCATTGGGTGTTTTTTTTTTGTTTGCAACGGCAATTCCAAAACGCCTCATTCTTTCCTCGTTGCTTCATTTTTTTTTCGGAGTGTGACTTCGTCAAAACTTCTTAAAAATCAATTTTTGCTCATTTGCTCATTGTTTCCTTCAATCGTTGCCCTCTCGCAACCTCATGCTTCTTCCATTTTCAATTCCTCATTGACCGTTTTTTTTTCGGGGGTCCCACCGGAGGGGCCACCGCAAATAAATCATATGGAAACATGCAAATTTGGATGTGTTGCATTTTTTTCTTCGGAATCAATCTCAATGCTTCTTTCCCTTTCCAATGGTGCGCCAAACCCGGAAACTTGTCAGCAGACGTGGGATTACGATAAGTTCAAACATCCCAATTGGGTCCTGGCCCGAAAAATGCGCTTTTTTAAATGAAGGAGGATCTCAACGAGAAACTCGATTTTCGCCAACTCAAGTAGTGTTTGAAATACACGGATAATTTCTGGTGTAGATTTTTTTTGGTCGTCGGCCGACAAAAAAAAACACCGAAGAAGAGGCGCGACAAATTCACGGCTCATTTCACTCCGAAGCAATTTTCGCGCCGCCGACCGCCTCGACCCCAATAATGTGATCCTAGTAGACACTAGCAAATAAATAAGTAAACAAATAAACAATCGGTGGCAAATGTTCAATGCATTTCTGAGCACCACCCCCCCCCCCCTGTCGGCTCATTGGTTGTGTTGTTGTTTCCATATTTGTTTTTTGACGAGCTTTTTTTTCCACCCGAAAACAGCTGTTAAAACAATTCCCATATTTGATTTTGTGATGTACTCATCCATCTTTTTTTTTCGTTTTCTCCGCGCCGACCTTTTTTTTTGAATAATTTGTTTTCAATTTGTATTCTTCACCACAACCAACTCAATTATTCAAAAATAAAAAAAAGCCGACTGTTTGCTTTCAATTTGGCCGCCCCGGAATTTCAAATGAGCAAGTGTGGACCATTGAAAATTGGTCGAATTCAGAAATGAAACCATTTTTTTTGGGAAAAGTTCAGAAAAAAAATTTTTTTGAAATTCCCACAAATTTTTCAAAAAAAATGTCACAGGAAAAAATTGTTGTGTGCAATTTTGCGTGCGTGTGTACGCACACCTTTACACACCGTAGCGTTTGAAACAAAAGAAAACCAATCTATGCACATGGCATTTCACCAACGATTTATGTGCGCCAACCAGAATGGCGCCATAAATTTGAATTTTAAATGAAACATTTCGTTTTTTTTTGTTTGCTGGAGTCACATAGTAGTACTACTATGCAGTAGTAGTAGCCAAGAAGGGAAGGGAAGGGAAGAGGAGGGCGGGGGGAAGCATCAATTTGTAAGACCTCGTTTTGCCTCGATTTCTTGCTTCTTCGAAGAGTTTTTCTTTTCGGAAGGCGTGCGCGCCGAATTCTCTTCCCACCCCAATAAATAACACCAAAAAAAAACACGAAAAAAGAAAACGTTGTATTCTTTTGCGACTTTTTGGTCCCGACAATTATGATGGTCCCGCATGTTTCGTGTTCGTTTTCTTAACATCTTTCCCCCATTTTCAACTAACGATGAATTTTTTCTATTTCTAACAGATGCTCACACCGCCGCTTCCGCGCATCTACACAACGAGGACGGCGGCGGCGGCGGCGACGCCACTCCAGAAGGCCAAGTCTGAAGACGCGCCGACGACGTCATCGCTCACCGTCGACACGCCCATCATCCTGCGTTGCGCTCTCGTCCGCCAGTGCGCTTCCGTTGAGCCGCTGGCGACGCCGATCGGCAAGCATCGTTCGCGTCTCGACAATTGGCGCCAATTGTTGCCGACGAAATTGCGCAGCGTCACGGTGAGCCCGAGCAAACTGCGAAGCGAGACGATGCACAGTCTACACAATCTGCATGGCATCAGCGTGGTGGCGACCGTCACCGAGCCGGGACTCCTCAAAAAGAGCATCAGCGAGTTCGTCATCGGATGTGAGTGATAGCGACACCTCAATGTGATGTTTGATATATGGTATTCAAATTGATGGAAATGCCTAACACAAGGGAAGTCATTTTACTTCCCGTCTTAGGATTTTTTTTTTGTAATTTTGCACACATAAACTAGAAGATCTTCTGAGTGTGTTCACAAAATTCCAGCCTACACTGGAGGGTTACAGGCGAGTTATGGCCATCTGAAAATTCAAGGTGTTTTTCCATTGTCATCAACCATTTGGGCAAGGGGTTACATATACGCCTCTTGGAGCCCCGGTTCAGCATCCGGATTTAGTGAAGTGGTATGTGTGCGGGCCAGTAACATTACGATGAAGGTTCGCTCCCGGCACACGCATTTTCTTCATTTTTTCTTTTTCTTTTGTAAGTTCGTTTCAAAAACTAAACGAAAACAAAAAACACGCTGGCCCATTTTGTCTTCTTTTCGCTAATTAGTTGGCCCACCAAAAGTTAGGCACTCGTTTGGTCCCTCTAATTGAGAGCTTATTGCCAATAAACTTTGAAGCGAGAAGAAGCGAGAATATGAAACCGGCGACCTCTTTTGACGAAGATTAGGAAACAATCAGAACAACGTGTATCGTCAGAGATCGGATTTCATATAGGGCGGCCTACATGCCGGCCTCCCGTCATCCCTATCATCATCATCATCATCCGTCCTCTCCGCTCAACGTCGGATGAAGAATGAGGAGGTGGTGGAGCATCCCCTTTAATGGCGCGCATAAAATGTGCCAATATTGGGGGGTTGTCACCAAAATTGGCAGTTTCGCCAAGAAATGTCATACTGTAAAAAAAGAAGAAAAGAGGTCGCCACTGACGCCTATATTTAAATATACTATGTGTGTGTTGGCATATCGTATCGAATTTCCAGCAAACAAAGCATCATTTTCATCATCAGTAAAAATGACGTCCCTTCTGTCAGCATCCTACCATTCGCTTCGGTCGAAATCGCCAATCGCTGATCTTATAAGGCCATCGACATCCGCCTCATCGGTGTTGAGTATGTTCATTTTCTATATAATTGATTGATTGGGGGCTGGGCGGGGCGGGGAGGTCTACCTCCCTGATGAGTATTTCAATGTCTGATCATCGGCGATAAACAACAACGTAAACAAACGTGTTATCAGCGGGGCAGGTCGAGGCGGGGTTTTTCTGAAAAGTAGGCGCACATTATCATCATCACCTCTCTCTCTCTCTCTCTCTCTCTCTCTCTCGCAACCTCCCTCTATCCGTTCAAGCTGGGCTGGGAGCAATCGGTTGAGGCTAGGCGTTGCACATGGCGCAGCTGTCGTCCAGGTCGTCTCGGGCAGCCTCCGCGATTGGCGCGTTGCCTCTCTCTGTTCCCGCCCGGGCAGCTAGCTAGAGATGAAGAGGTAAACGAACTGCTCTCCGCTTCAGCCCCGGCCCCGCCACACGAAGAAACCGCTGATTTTATCGATTTTGCCAATTCCATCGAATTTCCCCCCCCCCGTCCCGTTGCGTGATTCTTTGTCTTCCGAAGCGATGCCGACGCGCTGATGACGATGACGCGCACTACCAACACCAACGACGACGCGATTGCCGACGCGACCGCCTCGATGTCGTTATCGTCGCCGACGACGACGATGAGCCATTTGACGGTGCCGGAGAGTCCGGCGACGACGCGGCGGCGTCGTCGCGAGCTCGCCGAAATGTTCGACGATTTTCGCCGCAAATCGGTGTCGGAGCTGAGTCTGGTGATGGACGTGCTGCGCGGCGGCACACCGTCGCCGGGCTCATCGCAATACATTCATCCGGAGCGCGCGAGCCAATCGACCGGCAATCTCAACGCGCCGAAGAAGGGCCGACGGCGGCGAAAAGTGCAAAAGACGTGGCAGGCGATGTCGCCGGCGAATTTCGCCAAACAATTGCATATTGGTAAGAGAGCGTCCCGTTTTCTGTTCCCATCTTTTTTTTTTGTGGTCCCCCCATTTGACGCCTCAATTATTCCGCAATGAAACAAAAACAACAATCGGGGATAAAATATGTAGCGCGCGACCCTCAATCATTTTTTTTTTGGGGCAAAGCCCCCTCCATTTGACAGCCGTTGAAGCATCGCAAAAAAAAACATAGATTGAAACAAATTTATGCAAAATCGTGGAGGTGGAGCCCGTCGCTTCTTCCTGTTTATTTATCCGAAAAGCGTCTCCCCCCCCAAAAATGTTTATATAAAAAAAATCGGCCAGCACACTGCTCAGCACCATATTTTTTCCGAGCGTCAAGCATGCGAATCGTCGAGTATTTGAGAAGCCGTTGGCGACGGCGAAAACGGCGTCGGATTCAATGTATCAAGAGTTTTTTATTTATTTTTTTTGAAATCGAAAATTCTCGCTAGACATTCGATTTTGCAGTACAAGAAGAGAAGGCGATGCAGGCGGTGCCGACGGCGCCGATCGACGCTTCCAAATTTGTCGCCTATGTTCAAGAGAGGCGAAAAAAGCGGATACTATTCAAGGGTGAATATCTGGTGAGTTTTCAAATGTTTTCTTCGTTTTGTTTTTTTTTTTTGTGCATTTTTGTGAAATTTGATTTTTTCGCGGGCAGCACAAAAATGAAGCAAAACAAAACTGGTGATTGATTTCTCATATGAATTTCCATCTGCGGACATTTTCGAAGAACGCCCGCAAATCATTTATAAATCACACAAAACATGAATGAATGGTTGGCACTCGGTCTCTCATTGATTGAGTGGTTCTCTGTGAGCTTCTCACCTCTCGCACGCGGCAAGCACCAACAAGCGTAGGCCGCAACCTCGCGTAAAAATTGAGAATCGGAAAAAAAAGAGAGAGTAATTATTATGGTACTTTGTAGATTTTGCCAAAAAAAAAAAACTGAAAAATCGCTTTAAAAAAAATCTAAAAATCATCATGCCAATTACCCAAAAAATCTAGATTTTGAGATTTTCAAAATGTCTTCTTTATTGTTTCTTTTTTTGATCGATCCAATCGATTCGTCTTTCAGATGATCAATCGCTCGATCGACAACAACAAGTGCCGTTGCGACGTCGGCAGCACAATGATGGACCGCAATCCGTACCCGGTAGGGCCCTCGCTAGTTTTAATGACGCTCGTAAATCGACACACCAATTTGTTGCGAGACCACATGTTTTGAAGTCCATATGGTTTTTTGCAGGACACACTACCGTATGACCACAATCGAGTGATATTGCCGCGAATTGACGACGATGAGAACTCGCACTACATCAACGCGAGCTATGTGAACGTGAGTTGTGATCGTTATCAGCGAGGAAGGCGGGAGGGGGAGGGGACCTTCGTTCAAATATATGTTTTTTTTCTGTTTTCAAGAGCTGGCTCCGAGAGAAAGCGTATGTGGTGACGCAGGCGGTTCGAACGAAGCCGATGAACGCCGAATTTTGGCGAATGATATGGGAACTCGGCACGAATTGCATCGTCATGCTCACCAAAGTCTTCGATTTTATGAGGGTTCGTCGCTTCTTCTTTTTTTGTTGTTCAAATCGTCGCGATCAAACACAAAAAAATATTTTTTTTAGGTGATGTGCTTACAATATTGGCCGCTCACCAAATTTCAATTTCGCGATATTGAAGTGGAAACGATTGAAGTCAAAACCTATTCGCATTTTGTGAGTGAAACTCGAAACGCTTCTCGAAACCCTCGTTGATTGTTGTAGGTGATTCGAACGTTCAAACTCACACGAACCACGTCGGAGTCGATCGAGACGCGAACCGTCAAACATTTCCATTTCACCGAATGGGAGCTCGACTCGTTCCCCTACATTTCGGCGTTTATCGAACTCCGCCGACGCGTTCGACAGTATATGGAGAAGAATCCCGTTGACGCGCCGATTGTTGTACATTGCAGGTGATCGTTTTTCTTTCTCCAATTTTTATTCCATTTAAAAACTACCCGTATTGATAATGAGAAAATTTGAAGGGGAGAGAGAGAGAGAGAGTTTTAGTTTGACGAGCTCAACACTATTCGCTTCCGAATGCGTCGTCGACAGTTGCCAAGTTTGAAGCCGTCGCATAGTAGTTTTCGGCATGTCAGCGGCGCTCGCGAACGATTTGTCTCTTTGGCAAAGTCTCGCATCCAATAGTTCACCTTAAAAGCTTGCATTAAAAAATATTGTCGATGGCAACTGCGGAAAATTGTGTAAATCGTGTAGGGACCTATGTATATGGATTGGTTAAAGGCGCATAGACCTCTTTAAAAATTTTTTGGCGTAATTAGCCAACAAAGAAATACTAACCTGAAGTCTTGTGAAGTCTAGTAGGTACCTAGCAGCTGCGCTTCCTTCATTGTCAGGGCATAGCTGAAAAATAAATGAACTTGTTCGAAAATCTATATGACTGTCTTACTCGATTCAATATGAATGTGGTACACGTGTGATCGCAGAGAAGTTGGCGACACCTAGAAAAAAAATAACCAAAATTCCTTTTTTCAAAAATACCCCCCGCATACCTTTGCGAATATCCCTCTTTTGTGTGAACTAATGGCTTATAGCCGCCACACCGCGGACGGCAATGCCTTATAAGCGCCGGCGAGGCTTTCGAATAGCATGAAAGGTGATGAAGCATCTCTTTAAGCCGATTTCGGCAAACGTACTCGCGTAGATTGAATTGAACCGAATAGCCGCATTCGTCGATGCATTGACTATGCTGGTAGTCAAGCATACAAAATAGTTCAAGATCGCGTTTCTCAACGACACTTGGCACGTCGATACTGCCAAACGCCATGTGCGCCTTTAAATTGTCGATTAAAAAAATTTTGAGAATGTCTACATTGGGATTACATTGACCATGTCCATTCCGATGTTCAGCTGATTATTGCACTTTTGAAGGCATTTCGCGTCATTGACGACCTCGTCTTGCCGCCGATTACCGTCCACTAGAACATTTATTTGATACTTTCACTGCTCCTCCTCCCCCAGCCTCCAATGCGCTAGCCAATATCTATTGGAATGATCTCGCCAAAAATCGAAACGGTGGTGAGAAGCGTTAAAAAAGATTGTATCACCAATGTTTTTTGCACTTTCACCCGTTAATCGGGGCCGGCGGAGGAGATTCAGAATGGACTTACACGACGTTTTCGGGTCGCTTCGAATCTCGTCGGTCGTCTCATAGTCATCATCGTACTCCTTCTGAATTCGCGCCAATGAGAATGCCGACGGCGGGTTGTGATGGAATCGAGCTGAATTTCTTGAATTTTTGCCAACTTTTTTGTGGGGTTTGTTTGACGAATTCACCATTTGGTAGTCGTCCTTCTGACAATTTCAATGTTATCAGTAGGAAAATGCTGAAGCATTCCAGCCTCATACCCGAATTTTTCTCCCTGAAAACTGAGCAAATTAGAGTTCATTAAAAAAAATGTAGTCAAAAAATGGTCGAAAGATTGATGAAGACACTTGAACTTGAAAATGAAGGACAGTCTCGAAATTCCGACCTTCGCGCATTTTTTCCACTAATTATATGGCGCGATTGGACGGAAACGAAACGAGGTTATAACGGAACCGTGAAACTGAGAGTTAGAAATTAAAATTGTCAAAAAAACAGTTTTTGAGGTGCAATTAGTCGAGAAAATCTCAAAATTAAATCAAAAATTAAAAAAAATAGAAAATTATCAAGGTACGCAAACACCGTGACATTCTTTTACACCATTCACTTTTGTTTTGTCTGTTCCGCGCAAAAATTGTTATTTTTTATGTTTCGCACTTATTTCGTCTTCCTAGGATCCGGATTCTTGAACGAAACTGCTATTAGGTATCGCATCTTTGGAATCCATCATTCCTATAATATATGTCAATGCAAGCGACGAATCTAACTAGAATCATCAATTTTTGTAAAAAAAAAATTATCATTGAAAAAGTTGTTAGTCAACTTCTCACTGGACGTTAAATATTAGAATGGGGCCAATTGGGCAACCTGTAATTAAAAAAATTCGGGCGCGTCCAAAATAAATAGAAGTTAAAACAGAATGGAGACGAATTTTTGAACAAAACGACCCGACAGAACACTTGAACAAATTAAGGCTGGACCGGACTGGGCGGCCGGGCCGGGCCGGGCCGGCCCGTTGCCGGCTAGCAGCCCGAAATTTCTTGACACGATAATTAGCGCTAAACTGATAGGTTGAGGCATTGTTCGAAATTGAATGCCAAAAAAAAAGAAGAAACTTTAGTTGGTTTCTCGGATTATTTCGCAAATAAATGCGACAAAAAGTAAAATCTGATCCAATCTAAGATATAGAGGCTAACTAAAAAAATATATACACATATAAATAGCGAATAGCATGCCAAAAAACTGGTCATCGAGAACAGATTCAAATCTCGACGTGTCAGCCGAAAAAATAATAATAAATCAAGAAGACTTGTCAGTAAAAGCCAATAGAAATAACATTGGTATTGTTGAGAGGAGGGTGGGGGTCCGATGCACTTTAAGTATGTTTGATAATGATCAACCGTCGAATAAGGCTAAACAAATATAATATATATATATGTGTTTTGTTACAGTAATGGAGCCGGCCGAAGCGGCGCATTTCTGGCTCTCGACGCGAATTTGGAGCTGATGAAGAAGACCGGCCAGTTGGATTTGTTCGAATACGCGAAAACGCTCGTCAACTCTCGACCCCATCTCATCGACAGCGTCGAACAATACATTTTCATCTACGAGGTTTTGGCAGAGGTGAGAGCGAACAGTTGTTTTGGTAGAAAAATGAACGGGAGGCGAAAGTCCCCTTCCTCCACGGGAAAGGGGGCTTGAGGAAGGAGGAGGAGGTGGAGGAGGTAGGTTGGGCCCCGCCGCCGTCGACGTCCGTTATCGATGTTGTTCTTTTAATTGGAATTGGGTGTCATTAGGCGCACCGGAATCATGAGAATGATGCATCATTTACAGGCGGTTATGTGTAACGTGCAACCCATCGAAATGCATCAACTCAAAGAGAGATCGAGTATGTACAAAGCGAAAAAGAATCGCGAGTTGCTTGAGAGTCAGGAGTCGCATGAGAACAAGGTGAGTAATAGGGGCGAAAGTGGCATCTTTCAAAAAAAAGTTTGTATTAAATGTATACGATTTCAATTAATATTATTATTATTAATAAGAAAACCGGTAGAATAAATCGCATAGCAAACATTTGGCGATAATCTGGCGGGGGCTTATGCAATTTTTTGGTGGGAATTCGAAAAAAAAAACAGACGGCGATGGTATTTGGCGATTTCGGAGTCGGATAATGCGTGCTGCTATCTGGCCGCTAGAATCTCAATAATCTGCGGTCACCGAAACATCGTCGAACACCCATCTCCCTTTTTTTTGGTGGAATTCGACATTTGAGATTTTAATAATAAAAAAACAAGCAAAACAAACAAAGCCATTCGATTTTACGATAGCGAGAAACATGCATGCGTGAGGGGCGCCTCGCGAAATTGTCTCAAAATGGGGTTTATGAGGAGAGGACGGTCGCCATTACCATTTAATGCTTCTAGCTTCTGATGCATTTGACGCCGACGCTAAGGATTGGCGATTGTGCCGGCGGGCATCGTCTCGAGAATCGCGGAAAGAATCGCGATGTGATGGTGGTGCCGCGTAAGCGTGAAAACGCTCGATATATTATTTTTTTCATTTTGAATTTCAGCCGATCATGCTCGACCCTATCTGCAGACGCTTCACGGCGAGAGCAAGGATTACACCTACATCAACGCCGTTGAGGTTGACGCTGGCTCAAAGTCGTTTCGAAATTCTGGTCCGTTGTTTAGGTTGATGGATTCACGCGCAAAGGCGAATTCATTGTGACGGAATGGCCGAAGCAGAGCACAATCGACTCGTTCTGGACGCTCGTCTATGATCACGCGTGTCATACCGTGGTGAATCTAAGCAATCAGGGCAATCAGCGGGTAGATTGATTGATTGATTCAATAAGCGTGCACCGAAATTGATTTCAGCAATTTCCAACGTTCATTCATAACAAGGGCAAGGCCAACTACGGGCCATTCATTGTCGAAATCATGAACTACCATCAGTATCCGGCGATGACGTCGCATATGGTGAAAGTGATGAAGCGGGTTAGTTGATTAGTGGACAACGTGGGTGGTTGGAGAAGAAAAACAAATTTTTGAATTTGCGAAACAAATTTGCGCTCTAGCCCTTCGCTTCTTCGTCGCTTTCTTTTTGCTCATAATTCATTTTCTTTTCATTTTTTTTTCTGGATTTTCTCTTGGCAATATTAACCACAGGTCGATCCGCCGAACGCGTCGCGTCCCGCCGCGAAAATCGTCACCCTTGATGGTGTGCCAGGCTATCAGACGCGTCCCGACATTGCACCGGGCCAATCGTTTCGCTTCAAGCCGATGTATCGCGGTCGGTTCCGGAATCGGGACGACGCGTCTGATGATGATGATGATGATGATGATGATGATGATAGGCTCCTGGCGGCGACGACGTCGCCACGCGTGCCCCAAAAATCGGCGAGCAATCAATATTTGAAATTGCCGCCGCGTGGCGCGACGACACACAAGCGACGGAGTCGATCCGCCGAGCATTTCGCCGATGATCCATTCAAAGAGGTTGCTCAAAGGGATGCGCGTTGAATCTCTTCCCCCCAAAAAACCTCTGTTAGTGATGAAACAAAAAGAAACGATATATATATATATATATATATATATAATTTTTTTAAAATTTCAATTTCAAATCTGAACTCCAAATTTTCGTATTGCAGCCCCACCAGGTTCCACCCATGAAGGTCAACCCTGAGGGTAAGGGAGGGGTGTCGAAACTAGTGAGTTGTTCTCTCTCTCTCTCATCATCATCATTGATGGTTTCTGTCAGCTAAACCGATTTCTGTGTTCTGCAGTGGTTGACCTTTTCTTTGGACCTGGTGGGCAATAAATGTGTCTTGCGTTTTTGTCCGGCGTCAATTCGAACAGCGAACAAAAAAAAAGAAAGAAATCCATTATGTTTTTTTTTCTGTCCGCTTCGTCTTCAAGCTCCCAATTTTTACGGGGCTCGTGTTGTGATGTTGTGTTGCAGAAAGGCTCCGCTGATATCAAAAGACTCTTGAATATTCGGCGAGAGAAGGCCGATCTGCAAAAGGAGACCACCAAGCAGATTCAGAAGCTGGTGATTGTTTGTTTTTGTGCTCGTGAGAACTTCCTCTCTATGCGTTCGACTAACTTCTTCGAATTGTTCTAATTTTATTGTCGTGGAGGGCCGAATTTGAGCTGCAGGTGGTCCTTGGACACCTTTTTTTTAAATAAGAAAAATAAAAATAAACGAAACTCGCTTTCATGTGCTTTTCCATTCGAGACCCAAGGGGCATCCCGAAAATTCGTCAGTCCACGACTAGATTAATGTGTCTAATCGGCAGCAATTTCGAACCTTCTCACACGTGAATGTTGGCGGTAGAATTTAAAGGCGCACACTAATGTGCACCTTTAAATTGTGCCTTGAGTTTCCATTTTTCACCAATTCCCACCTTTCAAATCTTTGATTTATTTGTTCACTTTTCTTGAAATTTGACATTTTTCGGTGCGATTTCACTTCGTCGTTTAACACTTTTCCAATTGACATGTTCAACATTTCTAACTGTTCTCATTGAGAATCGCATTGATGCCAATTGTTTGCAGACGTTCATGATCAGCGACATAATGGCGTCGGGTGCGCAGAATCAGCAAATCGACGCCGAAGTTCGAATATGTTGTGTCATACAGGTGACGGTGTCACCAGTTTCGAACAATGGTTGCATTATTTTTGAAGGTTCGAATGTGGCCCATTGAGAACAAGGTGCCGTTGTCCACCACAGGTCTTATTGATGTGATCAAGATGGCTAGAAGCTGGAGGAAACGCGCTCCAGATCGGCCCGAGACCAAACCGACCATTGTCATGTCACAGTTCGTGTTTTTGAAATTTAAATCGCCAACCGCCGCCGATTCGTTTTCAGCAACGGAGTTTCGCGCGTCGGCGTCTACATCGGCGCCAACATCTGCATCGATCAAATGGACATCGATCATGAGGTCGACGTGTTCCACGCCGTCAAAATGATGCGAATCAATCGGCCGCAGCTGATCGACATGAAGGATGAGTACAAGTATTTGTACGACGTCATGCTTCATTGGTACATGACGAATCCCGCCTATCGAATATATGACAAAGAGGATAGTGAAGACGCCGACAGTCATAAAACGTCGAGGCCGTCGTCGAATAGGCATTCGCTCAAGGAGAAGTCGTCGTTTAGAGTTGGCGCGCGCCCTTCGATGATGGCATAATTCGATTGATTTCAGAGCAAATTTTCATTTCGCCGCCGCAACACCAAATCGAATCACGATGCTCATAATGCCGTCGAGCCGCTCAACAATCATAAATAATACGACACTCATTTTCTAGTTCGATATTCGCCTTGTTTCTGCTTCATTTGTTCTTCAGTGCCTTTGACATTTCTCAATTTTCGGGTCCCGCGGGTCAACTCCATTTCACTATATTTGTTCTAGAATCTTTTATTTTTCAGCGCCCAAAAAAATCCACGCAATTTAAGATCATTTCAAGTCTGTTGCCGACATATCAGTTTGTGTTCCAAAAAATAGTAATAAGTTAGGCCCTTCTCAAAGATGTTTTATGTGCCTTTTAACGATCATCACTGTCAAGATCTGTTTTTTCATCAAAATTTCAGCAACACTGAAAAAAACGCCCCACCCCACTCACTTTTTCGTTTGTTTGTTTCGATGTTGTTTTCCATGACTTTCAGCCGTTTTGATTGGCGCATTCATTTGACAGCAGCTTCATTCAATCTGTGATTTTATTCATATTGCAAAAATGTATAATATTTGGTTTATTCGATGTGCCTTCGACAATTCTCGACGAGAAACGGACGCGCTTTCGCGTAGAAATTGTCGCGCGACAAATAGCAGCCGCACATTTTGCGTGTGCCGTAGAATTGGGTGCGTGCGTGAAGAACGCGATGGTTGTCGATGAATATCACCGAGCCCGGCGTCAGCGAGAAGCGAACGCTGTTGGCGGGATCGTGGCAGATTCGCGAAAACTCCTCATAGGCTTTGTAGAACTGCAACGCTTTCGCGGCGCCGTCGGCAGAGGCGAGACAATCGAATGGCGCGCGATCATATGGGTTGAATCTTGAAAGAAATTTTGAAAGCTCAACCTTTAATGGACCTATTCAAGCAATAAAATTGCAAATATTGCACATTTTTCCAAAGCAGCAATTCAAAATAAATGCAATGGGTACTGTAATAAAATGAGGAAGAAACCAGCGAGACCCATGAGACAATCTGTAGCCGTGCGTCTTTTTTTCAGAGTTACGGCTTTATCTTTTACAATACATTTTGAATATTCTGTTAAATTCAAAAGGCAAATAACCGATGAGGACGAACAAAAAACTCAAAAATATAAATCAATAAAATAAAAAAATAATACTGCAACTTTGATAAAAAGACGCACGGCAACAAATTGACCCATGGGTCTCGCAGGTTCCTTCAATGTGTAATTTTTTACTATCTTTTTTATTGCATGAATAGGTCGATAAAAACTACCTGATTTGCTTTAAATTCCCTTGTGAGTCCAATTCGATGACGGGTTTTTCAGCGCTTAAACTATGAATCGAACTTCCTGGAGGGTTTCCCTCCAAATAGTGATGAGAAATCTGAATTTATAAAATGTTGCTAATTGAATACGGCTCTTCCATCAGAAATACTCTGAAATTGGCGAGAATGCTGAAATATTCGGGAGATTTGCTGCGAAGAATCTCGGCGCAATTGAAACCATCAACTAGAATTGTGTCTCCGCCGGTTTCGGCCGGCTGAAGGCAATGGAACACCTTGAATGTTTTAAAAAGTGGCATTTTGAAAAATTTTTCGCAGAAGTTTACCTGAATTCCTGGAGTTTGGTCAAAGTAGGTTCCATCAGTATGAGGTCCGATTTCCTCATTTCCATAAGCGGTATCTTCATGCGTCACGGATTCCTTAGAACCATCGAAACTTTAAATTGATAAAAAATAAATAGCTAACTTCATTTGAAGCATTGCTGAATGTCCAGAATTGGCCGAAAAACGTGTCATGGAACGGAACAAGGCTTTTACACAATTCTTCAGTGTCTTCGGCGGTTTGCTTCACCCCATTCACTATCACAACACCATAACGAACGAGATTTTCAGCAAACTCGGAGAATTTCAAAAATTTGCTGGAAAAGTGTATCGATTACGAATAAAACGTGAGACAATGCCTTGCATCTTCTTTTCGAATTATTTATTATTTTTTAATGATCAACATCAATTGATTTTTATAGAAATGTAAGAAAAAAAAACTAAATAAGAAATATTTCATAAATGTTGAAAATTTTGAACGGGAGTATTAAAAAACAATTCATTCCGTAACTTCGAAAAAAGGTGCACGGCAAAAATTGTCTCATAGGTCTCGTATTAAATTAACGACACTCCAATTTACAACAACCCGCGTTTTATAGTAAATGCGCACCTTATTTTTTTTCCATTTTCTTTTGCATTATGCAGAATCAAAAGAATCGAAAAATGTAAGTATTAGAATTAAAAAAATTAAAATATTACCTATCAGACCTTGGAATATCTTCTAAAGTATTGTCCCATAGGGAAATAAAATTCGATTTCACAAATTTCGCTTTAATACACTTTTCCAAAAGTGTTTTAATGTCAAATGTCGAAACATGCCCATCTTTCCACTTAATTTCAAGGTTGTCAGTGCCAACGTTAAGCTTTTTAACAAGCGATTCCTCAAGAATATTTAAGCATTTTGATTTTCGCTGATTTGTCGGATAATTGTAGTATTTCGTGGAAGAGCAATGATCTCGAAGCCAAACAAATGGTATTATCACATTTTTTGACTTTCCTAAATGTGATTATTGTTGAAAAAAATAGGAAATAATTACACCTTCCAGAGAATATTCGAGCTCCAATGCGTCTTCATTCGACAAGACATCGCAAATTTTCCAATGTTGAATTTTCGGCAAATTTTTCGCCGACGAATAAAAGCGCCTAGTCAACATTGGCAGTCTAAAAAATCAATTAAAATATTAAAATATGCTGTGCAAGATCGTCTTATCAACAACCAGTGAAAGATTCGAGAAGGATTGTTATCAAACATGTATTTTTTTTTATTATAACACACTATTAGTTAGCAATTGGCCATTTGTCAATAGTTTTTTTTAAACAAAATGTGATTAATACTGGAAAACGTCGGTTATACCAATAGAATCGTTGGCAAGAAGGTATGACCATACAAGGTCATTGAATGTGCGAACACGTTTCTCTCAATTAAACAATTGATCGAGATCAAAAAACGGAAAACTGTGATAAAAGTTCTTAATATTTTTTTAACACTAAATTATCGCAATAATTCAATTTTCAGTTTCACTTCTCATAATTAAATCAGCATCCTCATCTCGAATCTAATTCTTCTACAGGGTGTCATTTAAATTCCCGCACAAAAGTTTGACGTCATGAAGAGCTTCGCTGACGCACTTTTCGTGCACCAATACAATTTATTTCTGTTAAATAAGGTATATTTTACTTACTTTCCAAGTTTCACCTCATTTGGATGGGTTTCAGAGAAATGGCGAAGGCTAACATCCATCGCGCTTCCATTATCGAACTTTATAAGCAAAATGAGAGCCCAAGAGACATCATTCAACGCCTCGGTGTGCCTCGTAGAACGGTTTATGACACCATCAAACGTTTCAAGGAGATAAATACAACCAGTGACCGTCCCAGACAAGGAAGACCCGTCTCGGTAACCACTCCTCAGAAGATCAACGCCGTCAAATCGAGGATCAGGCGAAACCCCCACAGGAGCATGAGAAAGATGGCGTCAGACATGGGAATGAGCATCTTCGCTATGGAACAAATCGTCAAAACGAAGCTTGGACTGACCCCATATCGTGTCCAAAAAGCGGCAATTCTATCGGCCGTCAACAAGCAGAGACGCTACGAAAAAGCAAAACGACTTCTTGCTCGCACGCGGTCTGGAGAACACCTCGTCACTGTCTTCTCCGACGAGAAGCTGTTCACTGTGGAGGCGGCATTCAATCCACAAAATCATCGAGTACTTGCCCAGACATCCCAGCAAGCTTCTGAGAAAGGCAGAACAATTCATCGAGCCTCACATCCTGCCAGTGTTTTCGTGGATCAGGGGGTGAAAGTGAACAAAGAAGTCTACGTTCGGGACATTTTGGAGAAGCATGTGATGCCCTGGACCCAAACGCATTTCGGTGGGCAGAAATGGGTCTTTCAACAGGAAGGAGCACCCGCGCACACTGCCAAAACTACTCAGGAGTGGTGCCAGACCCATTTTCCCGACTTCATCAAGTCATCTGAATGGCCTGCTTGCTCCCCAGACCTGAACCCGCTTGACTTCTCCGTGTGGGGAGTCTTGCAGGAGAAGGTCAACGCAAAACCCCACTCAAGTGTCGAGGCTCTGAAGAAGACATTACTGGCGGAATGGGACAATCTTTCCATCGAATACCTGCGTACCACCGTCGCCTCCTACCCGAAGCGTCTCCGTGAAGTCATAACGGCGAAAGGAGGCCGAATCGAAAAGAGTTACTAGATAATTATTTGTTATACTATAGATAAAAAATATTTCAAGTCTCGTTTGATTTGGACTTTTAGTTTCAGAAATATACGTTTTCAAAGTTGTGCGGGAACTTAAATGACACCCTGTATTCGCAGCGTCGCAAAAATTGAATTATGCGCCTTTAATGTCCCCAAATTTCTGAAATGCATTTGACTTAAAAAATGTTAAAGTTGAAAAAAAACTGTATTGGCCCAATTATCGGATAATTATCACAGGAACAAATTTATTTTCAAATAAATAGAAAATGTTTCCGTACCTAAAATTAAACTATTTGTTAATTTAAAAGAATCTATTATGCAATAAAAAATTACCCATTTTTTCAATGCAAGGATTTCAAAAATGCACATTAAATGTAATTTTTATATTTTTTGAATAGGTCCATTACAGAAATCAGCAATCATTGTCCAATTTTCAAAAGATTTCAATAATCAGAGATCAGTGAGTGCTTTATTGTATCCTCGTCATGTTCATTATTTGAATTTCACGTTCTTCAGTCGATTTTTAAAATAAACAAGAAAGTCCGAATAGTCATCATTTTCGCGTGCGAGTGGCCCCCTACAACGATGGTGTCTACGTGACTTTTACGCAAATGTTTTTGGTCTTCGCGATCTCAGATATTCTATAAAATGATGACAAATCTTTGTTGCGAGCATGCACATCCAAGCTTTCTTAAATCCCTCATTCATTTCTCAATAATTTGCCAACATTCGCTCATTTTATCATCATTTTTTGCGAGTTCACTTCTATTTACAAGTGCGTTTTGTCTCGCCGCCCGTCGTTTCTCGTCTGTCTCCCATCTCTATCTCAATTGGCGAAAAAATTCGCACCGCACGTTTTTTTCGTTGGAAATGTCTCATTTTAGAGGTTTTGTTTTTTTTTCAGAATGATCTCCATGCGCGTTTTTCAATGCTCACCGAGCTTCATCGTTCGTTCGACGATTCGCCGGTATTCGATGGATCCGTTGGAGCGGAAAATGGCCCAGAAGCGTGTGAGTGTTGCATCATATCGTCGATTCGCCCCATTCAGCCGACGATGATTTTTCTTTTGGCACGAGACTAATTAATTGCAGGCGGAAATTGTTGCACAGCAAAGCCAGGAGGAGTCGATGAAATACGCGACGAAGACGGATTTCCAGCAAGATGTTAGAGACACTCGAAATGCCGGCGCCGCGTCCGCTGAAACTGGACAGGTGCCGACGCGATGGCAGCGGCGATTCCTTGTGATTACCAAACTTTATCCGAGCATTGAATCAATTCCGCCATACGTTCAGTGAGTTGTGCTAGTGAAAAATTACATATTGTAGTTTGATTGATTAATCATTTGAATAAGCCGCCTTTGGGTCTAAAACGGTTCTTACAAGGGAGATCGTTTTCCACTGCATTGACGATTTTTCTCAAAATTTTTTCATATAATCTACGAAATTAAAAAAAAAAACGCCTAGAAGTCTGAAAATTTCGATCTGAAATTTAATTGAGATTTTCTATAGTAATTTAAATCAATATTTTTGGTATCACTGATTAAGCGCGACGCAAGCATAATGGAAGCATTGTGGGAAATCTGTGGAACGGAAGCATAATGCTTCCATATAGGAAGCATAATGTAATTCTTAGTGGCTGTGGAAGAAATATGGGACGAATATGGATGGAATGAAAACGGGATGAATATGCTTCCGGTGTTTGCGAGCCGTGGAACAAATATGGATGGAATATGGATAAAATAATCATATGTCAATATGTTCGGAAGGCTTCTTTAAAGAAATGTAACCCCGTGTAGGTTATTCGACATGTCTAGGGATCATTGAGATCGAGAGAGGGCAAGACAGCGAAAGAGCTTGCAATAGAAAGAGACGCAGACAGCGAAACACCGTGCGGTAGAGCGGGATCGAACTCACGATCTCTACGGTATGAATCCAAAAATTAGTCCACTGCGCTATTGCGCCGCCCGTGCCCTTCATAAGACGACTATAACTTATATCTTGATTGTCACCCACCGCAGAATCACGGATAAAGGGAGTCAAATAATTTGGGACGCAGGATTTTAAATGAAAATCGATATTTTGTTTTCTTTTAATTGGAAATTGATGTGAAATTTTTAAAATTTTGCCAGAAACCGCCACTTTTTTTTCATAGCTATTCTAAAATAATAGCTTACTTATTAGATAAATATGCAGAGCACTTGACCAGCTTAATCATACATAAAGCGGATAAAAGTCCAAGAATAGATATGATTCCAAGACCGACCTGGAATTTGAGATATTGGCTAGTTAAAACAGCTTTTGTTCCACTTGCCGCATATCCAGATTGCTTGAAAGCAAGGGGGACCGAGAAGCATCCAGCGCCTAGCATTCCTTTCATTAAATTGATTAATGCGAATTTGGATCTGCAAAAAAAGACAAATATGGATCATTTAAAAAAAATTGCAATTTACCCGCATTTGTCAACATCGAAATCAAAATTTTGCGATTTTCTCGCGCAATTCTGATTTTCGCATACAATCGCAACCATTTTAACAATAATGCGAATAATAATTGATAATAAAAGGGAAAGTTTGTCCCGACTTTTATCTTTGAACTTATGATCCCTTACGATATCTTTTCCTTCGTTTCCAAATATGTCAGCTTTCGACGCGGTGGTCCTAATGCGGCTTCGGTTTCGGCCGCGTTCAACGCCTTCACGTCGAGATTGTATTCTGACATCACGTTGTGCATTCCTACATCGTGCAAGTCCAAAAGTCTCTGAAATTAAAGCTTTGAGACATTACTGAAATTTGTGTAAAGTGTCGTCGATTAAAATGCATAGTCCGCAATCATCTTTTCTCCTTTTTTGCCTTAACCCTTTAAAATGGTTTGACGAGATTTACAAAAATTGACTGCGGACAATGCATTTATTTTGACGACAATTCATATTATACAAGAGAACCTTGTATTTCAATTTTTTTTCGAAAATCTGTGTTTTGAGAGATTGTATACAAGCGAGAGAGTGTAAGACAACGATAGAGCGTGCCGTGGAAGGAGACGCAGACAGCAAAACACTTCGCGCTAGAGCGGGATCGAACTCACGATCTCCACGGCTATCACTGATTAAGCGCGACGCAAGCATAATGGAAGCATTGTGGGAAATCTGTGGAACGGAAGCATAATGCTTCCATATAGGAAGCATAATGTAATTCTTAGTGGCTGTGGAAGAATTATGGGACGAATATGGATGGAATGAAAACGGGATGAATATGCTTCCGGTGTTTGCGAGCCGTGGAACAAATATGGATGGAATATGGATAAAATAATCATATGTCAATAAACATTATACAATTGGCGTCTGGACGGCAGACCAAGACAATTTCTAGAAAAATCAATACAAAAAACTTATGCTATCATATAAACAATGAAAATTTGAAAATTACATGATACACAACGGACGAAATTTAGCTTCTACCATTTAATGACTTATGTTACTCAGATTTATGTTAATTCAGTCAACTGTTCCTCACTTTGTTTAAAGATTGCCAACTACAATTTAGTCGTATTAATATATTTTTGCCGGTTTTTCCGAAATTGGCATCGCAAAATACTCACAATTTGCTCCAAACTGGTAGCAGACGCGCGTAGAAGAGGCGTGCCGCAGCATTGCAAAACCGTGCGCCGCTTTGCACAATGCGGCCACGCCTCACATTTTCTAAATTCGTTTTCAAAATTTTTGTCCTTTTGCTTTTTCTCAATGAATTTTCAAGATTTTTTGTGTTTTTTTTTGTCAAAAATTAAAGAATTTTTTTCAAAATTAAAGGAAAAATGTTTTTAAAAAATAAAGGAAAAATTTTCATATTTATCATCAAAATCGAAACCAAAAATAAATTGATAGCATTCGAAAATTTTAAAATCGATACGATGTTTTCAAATCGTTTCCGACACTTTTAAAATCGAATTTAAATATTTTCTCAATCGAATTGTGTTTAATTTCTCATCGAATCCGTTTTATTTTTATTTACGTTAACATATTTTTTATTATCGCTCGCTTTTTTCTTTTAATAAAACATAATGTTTTGAAATTTTTTACAGATGAAGACAAGATCGAGAGTGTTGTCAGATATAACTGAAACTGCTCTAGAAGTCAATAACAAAGAACCAGAAGTCCCTAACATGGAACCAAATTCGCTCGACACTTCAGATCCAGATAGTCCAATTTACTCGCCAACTCAGCAAAAAAATTTTTCTCCACAGTCCTCACAAACAACAAAATCAACGCCAATTCCTAAACCTTCGTACGCCCAATTTGTAAGTTGTTATCATCAAAAATTGGCCTGTTCGACTCCAGAAATGGTTTCAATTAGAAAAATATGCGCAATGAAGTCTTTATAAAGTACTTCCTAAGTTTAAAGCTTGTTGATTATTTGGTTCCAATCAGGGCTGTGCGGCAATGGAATTGCCGATTGCCGAAATTGCCGGTTTTTCAAATTGCCGAAGAAAATTTCGATCGGTAATTTGCCATTAGCCGAATCGCCGAAATTTCCGATTGCCGTACAGCCTTCGTACCAATATCATTCAGTGGCATTTATCTTTTTAAGTGGGGCTTTAATGCAATAAAAATAAATTATTTTTATTTTTAAGAAAATTATTGATGTAAAAAAACTGATTGTATTTTCTCGAAAAATTTAGTTTACGTAACAATGGTTTACAAGTTTTTCAAATTAATAGGCCCATTATAATCTACTTATTACAGCGTCCCGCTCGATGTCAGTACTGACAATGATTCGAATAGTTCGGCAGTTGCCAGTAACTAATGGTTTGATTATATCTTAATTGAAATTCATTTCATTGTTGTTTTTTTTATTTTAAATTAAATAAATGTGTTAATATGAAATAAATTTTGAATACAGCAATCAAATTGTTTTCTTATTTTCCCATATGGAAGGCATACGGCTCATTCCATATACGAAACACGCGGTTCCGCAAAAAAATGCTTCCATTATGCTTCCATATAACTTGCATATAAGATTCCTATGATATCCACAGCCGTTCCACTATGCTTCCATTGTGCCTATGCCGCCGTTTATCTGTGATCCAGAGTTTATATCTGTGTTGACACGTATTTTATCATTTAAATTACCGTGTTTGGGTCTCGCATGGAAAAATACTCCTAGGATACGAGCTTTGTTTAGTTTAACCATTTTAAGTACCAAGACCGCGCAATTTCAAAAATTGTCAACTTGGTTCGTCAACGACAATATTTTAAAACTATCTTGACAAAGTTATGTTAGAAAATTGTAAATATTGCTTCAAAATTGGCTCCAATCAGTCAACTCTCTGAATTTTTTTAATTCGTGTTTTCAGTAATGGCACGATGAATCGAATGCACGATCGAATGCGAGTGGTGTTCATCGTCGTCGCTTCCGGCTTGTTCTTCTCGATCTTCTACGCCGCCGAGTTGCTTTTGGATCAGCGGATTAAGCGAGACCGAAACGCTGGTGTGGTCGTTACGAAGATGTGAACGCTCGATGCCTCTTTCATTATGTTTTTTTTTACTACTGGTAAATGGATTACGTACGATTTGCAAATGCGCGGTCGTTTATCCCAATTTTCTGCTCTCTTTCAAATGAAACGTTGCTTTATTTTGGTACTACTATGATTCTTGATGGATCCGTTCAATCGGTTTTCAATTCTGTTGTTCGATTTGATCTGCATTAATCATTGTTTTCAGTATTTCATTGACAATGGGCATCTTCAGAAAGGTTTTGATGAATGTATCGGGTGTTCAGGATCCGCAAGAGGTTTTATTCAATGGTCCCGTTTATTATCAATTTTGTTTTTTTATTTAGGACACCAAAAAGGGTTCGTATCAATGGAAAAAAGAGCACTTGTCGGCTGACAAAATGTCGAGAACCATGGATAATTCAGAGAAATACAGTGGGGTAATTTATTGGACTAATTCTCGCCCCACAAACGATTTTATTTCAGGTGCCCGCGATTCCTGTGGATATTGGATATCATGGCGGCAAAGATGTGACGGGAACGAAAAAAACGGGCGTCGTCAGCAACGCCGCGAGTAATCCGGGTGTGATTCTTGGAATGGGTCTCACAACGGCGGCGCTGTTGGGAATGTTCAAGTAAGCGAGGCAAAATTGAAAATTGTGCTTGGGAAAGCTGGACAATTAATTGACATAGCTATTAGAAAATTTTGTGTTAGATTATTTAATTGGCATGAAACGGCTTATATAAATATAAATATATATCTGAATTTTGGCATGAAAAATTTACGAAACGTTTAGTTAAAATTTTACAGGTTTTTACAAATTCTTTTCGCGTTAAATTCCAGCGAATAAAAAAAATTGAGAATTAATTAAGAATGCTCGAAAATTGCTAGAATTGAGTGATTGCGTTATTGAGTTTGATTTGAAATATTTTGAGAATGTATTGAAGAACGTGCAGAGTTTTGGGCAAAACTGATATACTCAAGAAATTCCATGGGTCCGATTACCTATAGAGGTGTAGTTTAGTATAAACATAGCATGATGCTCGTTGAACTACAAACTCCGAAAAACCGAGTTCGCCCTATCCCTTGTCACTGTGCCACATTTTGTCCCCACCGTCACCCTCCGCCGTGGTCCCTATCTATAGGTTCGGTGAGGGACCACAATGTAGTCCGTCTCATTGAGGCCTGTCGAGTTGGTTCACGAACATTCGATGCCCCGCCCCCGCCCCCCCCCCCCGTTATTAATTGGCGGGGGTGTGTCGTCGTGACAAATTTTTATGTTTATCACGTATTATGACGCATATCTCAAGTGATGTTCAAAGATCCTCTGTTGTCCCGCCATTCGTACGCCCGGCCCCATTATAGAGGACGCCCATATTCCCGTGTTCGATCAACCACTATCGATTGCAGGTCATCATTTCTCGGCGACAAACTCGGAGCCCAGAAAATGATGCAGTATCGTATCATGGCGCAGTTCTTCACCGTGACCGCGCTGGTTGCCGGTGTGACCATTTTCGGAGCCACGTATGAGGATGAGGATGCTAAGAAATGATTTATATTTTAGCACTCAAACATTTTTTTTCTTTCATTCGTCTTTTTTTGCCCAATTTTTTTGTGTAGATTAGTTCAACAATTAGTGGGTTTTGCCTTTTTTGTCGATTCCTCCTCTCATTTTTTTCCCTTTCTTCTTCGTCATTTTTTTTCGCTCATTTTCATTTTCCATAAAATGAACTCGGCTGATAATATATATTTTGTCGTTCTGGTCGTCTTTTCACCCACTTTCATTTTTTGCAATTTTAAGCCATTTTAAGGTTTTTTTTTCATTGATTTTGTGTCTCAACTCTTCGAAAATGTGCGATTTTCAACAGTTTTGAAAATGGCCAATGGGTTGAAACACAGCGGAAAATGTGGTCGAAATAATGCGCTAACATTTTTGAATAAAAATGTTCAATATTTTTAAGTGAATCCACCCCAATTTTTTTTTGTAATTTATCAAGTAAATGAAGAAAATATGAAATTGAAACGAATTTAAAAAGACAAAATCATTTTTATGTGCCACACTAACACTTTTTCTCACAAGGGAGGTGTTTTTACTTAGTGGTTTGGAATTTTTTCTAATTTTGCACACAAACAGATCAAGAAATTCCCTATCGAGTGTGCTATGTCGTTTTCTGCAAAAGTTCCAAAAACTCCCAAAACTTTGGGTCCGAAGTTTCAAATTTTGATCCATTGTTTTTATACACTGTTTCATGATTTTTGCCATACTTCCTCACCACGCACAAATACCCCATTTCGATGGAGCTGCGGCAAGCAGCGATGGTTCAGTGGAATGTATACATGTATATATACATAGTGTATAAAAACAATGGATCAAAATTTGAAACTTCGGACCCAAATTTTTGGGAGTTATTGGAGCTTTTGCAGAAAACGACATAGCACACTCGATAGGGAATTTCTTGATCTGTTTGTGTGCAAAATTAGAAAAAATTCCAAACCACTAAGTAAAAACACCTCCCTTGTCAGAATTTGTGTGCGCCACTTCCAGTTTTGCTTTTTGAAAGTGTCGGCCTTGGCTCGAAATGAAACATCACAATTAAAAAAAAAAGTCTAACTAAAATAAAAACCAACTTACTTCATCGAAAATTCCTGAGAGAGCAAAGATAGCTTCAGAACTGATGATCTGGGTGGTGGTTCGCGAATTCTCCATAAGCACTAGTGAAAGTGTATAGGTGTCTGCATCCACTATTTCGTTACATTCTGATGTTTGGCGTATTTTGGCCATTTTCAAAATAGTTGAAAATCGCATTTTTTTTCGAAGAGTCGAGACACAAAATCAATAGCAATTAGCCTTTAATTGGCTTAAAATTGCAAGCAGTGCTGGTGACCATTTATATTTATGTATACTATTTCGGCTCGTTCTCATTTCAAAAAAAAATTTCAGGCGGAATGATGTCGCGAGCGATTTTTGCACTCATCCTCGCGTCGGTTGCGCTCTTCTTGGCGTGGAGGTTCGCTGAAGGTGTTGCTGGCAATTAATTTGAATTCATTTCTAGAGAATCGAATACGGAGGTGCACGTCGACGGTGAGTACGACGAGGAATGGAAGCCAGTGTTCGATTCCTTTAGGTAATTTCTATTTAATATAAAGTTTAGACGTTCTCTTTTGAATGAAACTTTTGTTTTGCACGAATAATGTGGATTCACGAGAAAATTCAAAACGCTCATCTATTCTTTAACAATTGAGTTGAGTTAATTAAATTTGAAATTTGAATTAGCGCGCTGAAAACATTTGATGGTCCGCAAACTATGGTATTAATTAATAGACATAGGAATACTAAATATGATCGATGAATATTGATTCTTTGATCTTCTAACATCATCTCTTGTTAATCGAACTACACTATATCGTGAAAATGATGATTGAATATATCGAGATAGAATTATTGCGATCATATCATTGTAGATCAAAACACAATTCCATAATTCAGGAGAAACCTTGAAGAGAATTGGGAGCGCGGTGGAGCGGCTTTTGTCGTGTATCGCGACGGTCGAAAAGTCGTCGACATTTGGGGCGGGTATGCTGACCGCGAAAGCGAGAGGTTGTGGAAGAACGACACGCTGAGTGTGGCGTTCTCATGCTCAAAGGTGATGATGAGGTGAGACCATCGAAATGATTATATTCGATATTGTGCAGGCTGTCGGTTCGATTGTGATCGCCGATTTGATCGACAAAGGCCGCGCGAGTTATGATGATCTCGTCACGAAATATTGGCCCGAATTTGGGAAACACGGCAAAGAGAACGTGACGATTCGATGGCTGATTGGACACAAAGCGGGACTCGCTTATACGGACCATCCGATTACATTCGAAATGACTAGGGATGTGAAGCGTGTCGAGAAGGTTTTCGAGGATCAGGTATTTGTTGAAGTCGCCCTGACAACGGGAAATTGGCAATAGTGGTCTTGACGCGAAACTAATGGTGTAGAATTACGGGGGGGGGGCAAGCATTAGTATAAGTTAAAGGCTCACTAAGACCGACATTTAAATTTTTTGGCGTTTTGCCAATATTCAGCCGTCAAAAACGACATATGTTGCTTCAATATACATTGCTCTCTTTGCAGATTCCGAATTGGCCGCCAGGCACTGCTCTTGGCTATCACGCTGTCACCCATGGATGGCTCGTGGACGCGCTTGTGAGGAGATTGGACGACAGGCATAGAACAGTAGGACAATATTTTAGAGAGGAAATAGGTTATAAATTTAGTGAGTCTCATTTATTTAATTATTGCGTTTTTTAAAATCGAAGTCTCTTTGTTTTGACACCTCAAACTTGGGTAATTAAACCTTTTATTTAATAAACGAGGCAAGAATAAAATATAAGTAAGTTATAAAATCAACAAAAATACAAATAGAAAAAGCAATAGTTCATAGCGAGCCACAATGTTAATAATGATTGATCATCGTTGTAACAATCACAAATATTGCATCAATGGGCGTGTCTGAACAGTGCTAACGAGCACACTCCCCGGGCCTACGCTTAAGTGACTAATACACTTGAGTTGCAAAACACAATTAAAATTTAGAAACAAGAAGATAACAGAATTGGCAAAGTTCAAAATTAAAATCTAACATTGTATATGTAAGAACGATAAGTAACAACTATTATTCTTCAACCAATTTCGTAATGGCCTCCCGGCTTCAGAAAAAAAAACTTCATCAAAATTTGCGCCACTATTCACGATGTTTAAGTTAAAATTAGTGAAAGATAGATTTTTTTTTTACACAAAAGCATTATTATTGTTAAGCATACACATCAATTCACTCAAGAAAGTTTAAAAAAAAACTTACGCAGTGTGGTCTTTGCGCTGTGTGGGCTTGCATTTGCGACAAATTTTGAAAGGAAGGCTGATAAGTTTCCAAAGAAGAGATTTGAACAAGTTGCACAAAAACATGTAGCTGCAGAGTATAATGACTATAACCGTAGCTATTGCGATGAAAACGTATTCCATGTATTGGAAGTATGTTTCTAAAAGGAACCAAAAATCTGGTAATTTCCATTCATCATAGATTTTTGTTTCTCCGTTCAGTATGCGGCTCATTGAACTCCAAACGTCGGCCTCAAAACGTAGGATTCCTTCCAAGTTGAATTGATTTATCGTCTTTCCGCCACAGTCGATCGTGCATTTTTCTG